TTATATTTTTATTGGATGATAAAACTAGATAATCCGGAAAAGGTACAAATGAAATGCAGCTGCATGATGTACGGAGTACTCCGCACAGCTGCACTTTATAAATATCTAATTATCTGGGAGTCAACCGCCATCCTATCCAAGGTCTATCTTTAAATATAGATGGCTCTTAACAAACATTTATGTACAACATAGAGTATACATGTTACATACACATAAAGGAATTTCAAGGATATATTCGCTCGCGATACGTTCACTTTCATTTTGATTTCTAACCGTGCACTTCGTATTATAATGGTCCTTATAGCGCCTGATTCCACTTTAGTACTGTTTGTGTTTATAATTCCTAATAATTTGAATGAGATTGTTGTAATTGGAAGTAGTGAGGCTAATACATTGCGAAAATATGTAGGGAGTAGTATTCTATCATGATAACATAGCATTTTTCCCTGCGTAGTCCAATGCTTCGCGAAATTACGTATTCACATATGCCAGTACTGCACCAAGTGCTAAGTTACCGTTCAGTGCAGCTGCACCTTTTTTTCAAGACTTACAAGGGGTGCGATGGATAAAGGCCTTTACAACTTGGAGGCTGCCATCGGCTGACAGCATATCCACATTGGCATGTTGATTTCCGTATAGTACAGGATCCCTCTGGCTCAATTCTAATTCTAGCAAGAATCAGGTAGTCAAGTAGTAGTCCTGGCAGTTAGAGATCATACATTGTATCTTACCCAGTTAACGGGTCATACACCTGAAATCATATTTCTCTAGAAGATGGTACACTTTGAGGAAGTTAAGTATACTGGTATAATGGAAATACACAGATGATGGAGATCAATGGCTGATTTTTGACGAGTGGATCCCTTACAGGGTGACAATTTCCAAGAAACATACGAAGGGGTTGTGAAGCTACTTCACGAGAAGAGCACATATGCTCTCATCACAGTTTGACTAGAAGAGTGAGAGAGCATGGGTGTTGAGGAAAGCAAAGCAAAGTGAGGGACAATTTTAGAATAACTGATGAGGTTCAGTAGATCTTGGTCTTTGCCGGCCTCACAGGCTTAAGAGTCAAAGGCCCACTTAGAGACCCGCATCCATGCCTCACCAAGAGGGCCACAGGAAGGGCAAACCTCGAAACTGTAGCATTTGGGCTGCACGACGGCGATACAGCGAGTCCCATCGAAGGTGGTGTCAGGAGAACAGCCAGAAGTATCAGGTGAGATGAACTTAGTTCCATCAAACGTGGTACTGGGAGGGCAACTCGGATAACTTTCGTGAAGACAGGTCTTGCCATTGAAACCCAACTCAGGAGGGCAAATGGAAATATTGGGGGGACAACCAGGCCGTTGGCGAGAGGCACATTTTGTGCTTGAAGGAGTAAGAATAGCGAATGACATGGTCACAGGGTAAAGCTGGCAGGTTAAATGGTTACTCTTTATAAATGTATCTCAATTTAATTATTGTGTCAAAATAAGTAAAGTGTAATTTAAAAAAAAAAAAAGAAGCAATGGATATTTTTATAGAGTGCTGAATGGTGGTCCTAAAGAGATATATATATTTGCAATTTCCTAGAAAGCTAAAAACACAATTTGCAGCTCGAGTTGCGCACAAGCTAAAGATAATATCGTGACAGATGTTGAAAACAATAGGAATTCCGCGCAATTCTTTTATTTTTACGCCCGTATGCTACTATGTTGTACACTACGTGCCTATAGGTATGTTGTAGGACTTGATAGTTCCTAAAGCGGAAAGCTCCCATGCGATGCGGATCCACTTAGCCGCTAGCGGTTACTGGGGTGAAGATGTTTTTATTCTAACATATGCAGCTATAGGAAGCTCCTAATACTGCTATGAGCTAGGGCAACTAATTGACTTGGAAGTACTCCGTACGGAGTACATAATACTCAGACAGTGTACAGACAAATCTCGAGGTGGAGCTAATGGTGTACTATTATTATTGGGTACCTGACATTTTTTTTTTTCGCATGTGAAGTACCTAGGTACTTCGTCCATGCGGCGATCTATCACGTTAAAGTTTGTACCTGCGACATAAAGATAGCAAAAAAAAATGTCTCATATCAACATTGAAGTCCAAGTATCACATATTCTAGAGAACTGGCAGCGATTGCAGTTGCAGAATGGAGCTGTTTATGCTACTCCGTACAATGCGATATATCAACTTAATAAAAAAATCAAAATAAAGAATATGGGCGCCGAGGAGACCTCGGGAGAATCCACTCGCCCGAGACGAACAAAGGCAACATACTCCGTACACAAACTAGTAACATTGTGTTCTTTGAGTTCAAATTCTAGTAACTAATCAAGAGAGGCACATTATTCCAGATACACAGGGCCAGAAGAGAATAGCCACATCGGTGGCAAGACCGAGATATAATTTTTATGCCCCGTTTGCCATCGGATACCCGGCCAGAGAAAAGGAGGTTGCCCCGGGGAGTGGAGGTCCGGCATTGGACAGGGAAATATACACCGTACCCCTACGGTACTATGCACCGGCGCTTGGGCCGTTGCTCGGGACTACAGGAAGTCGATGATCATAGTAAAAAGATGAGATCCTGATGGATTCCCAAAGCAAAAAAGCGAATTGATGGGTTGTTATGTTATAGATAGAGACCGAGTGATCCATTTAACAAACCAAAAAGACCCCCATACGCCCATAGCACCGTCCAGACCCAATATCAAGACCAGCTGGCCAGATTGCAGAATTTTCAGTGGATCGGGAGATATCGGCAAGAGGCAAACTAATACAGTATAATAACCGTAATATACTGTAATTTAACCCGCTGGGCTTCCTGATTGGGTTTTAGCGCCCGGCGGTCGAGTATTTTTTTTTCTGGCCCCCCTTCCCGCCTTCTCTCTCCCTTTTTCTTCCTCATTATCCCTGGTGTCTCTTTCTTCTTGACACTCTTTCCATCTCCTCTCTTTTTTTTGCATCCCGTTTCTTTTGCACTATCTTCAAAATGGGTTCCGGTGACGTTAACCAGGCCGAGAAGTCGGTCCTCGGCATGCCCGTAAGTGTTTTCCTAGCTTGCGAGCTGGCCTCGATGTCGCGTAAAGATTTCGATCGATGAGATGTCCATCAACTTATCGTCGAATTTGATTCAATGCGCGATTTCAAGGATCGCTGATGGCTATTTCAATGTAAATTGAACCGAGCAAGAAGGCTAACAAAGTTTTTCACAGGGCTTCGTTGTCGACTTCCTGAGTACGTGTCACGCTTGAGGAGTTCAATTATTAGCAATTGCTAGTTTGAATGTCTTTGATATCCATACTAACTGTGTATTAGTGGGTGGTGTCTCCGCCGCTGTCTCCAAGACCGCTGCTGCCCCCATTGAGCGTGTCAAGCTCCTGATCCAGAACCAGGTTGGTTATCACCTTCCAAGCACCAATTGGAGTGGGCCAGAGGCAGAATATCAGGCTTGATCGCGATTACAACTCAGTCTGAGGTTCAATGTTGGACCTGGGCTGTGTTTTTACGTCCATCACAGCCTGTGAAAAATTTTCTCCCTTGGCCCGTGACAGTCGGCAACTCAAAAATTTGGATCAATTCAGCATCTAACCAGACTCGATAAATAGGATGAGATGCTCAAGCAGGGTCGTCTCGACCGCAAGTACAACGGTATCACCGACTGCTTCAAGCGTACCGCCGCCGCTGAGGGTGTTATGTCCTTGTGGCGTGGAAACACCGCCAACGTCATCCGTTACTTCCCCACCCAGGCCCTGAACTTCGCTTTCCGCGACACCTACAAGTCCATGTTCGCCTACAAGAAGGACCGTGATGGATACTTCAAGTGGATGATGGGTAACCTTGCCTCCGGTGGTGTATGTATCCCTGAAATTACTCTCACACTTGGATCACGGCTAACAAAATCCATAGGCTGCCGGTGCCACTTCCCTTCTGTTCGTCTACTCCCTGGACTACGCCCGTACCCGTCTGGCCAACGATGCCAAGTCCTCCAAGGGCTCCGGTGAGCGCCAGTTCAACGGTCTCGTTGATGTCTACCGCAAGACCCTCGCCTCCGACGGTATTGCCGGTCTCTACCGTGGTTTCGGTCCCTCCGTTCTCGGAATTGTCGTCTACCGTGGTCTCTACTTCGGAATGTACGATTCCATCAAGCCCGTTCTCCTCGTCGGTCCTCTTGAGGGCTCCTTCATCGCCTCCTTCCTGCTCGGCTGGACCGTCACCACCGGTGCCGGTGTTGCCTCTTACCCTCTTGACACCGTTCGCCGTCGCATGATGATGACCTCTGGTGAGGCCGTCAAGTACAAGAGCTCCATGGATGCTGCCCGCCAGATCGTCGCCAAGGAGGGTGTCAAGTCTCTCTTCAAGGGTGCTGGTGCTAACATCCTCCGTGGTGTTGCCGGTGCTGGTGTCCTGTCCATCTACGATAAGGCCCAGCTCCTCCTCCTCGGCAAGAAGTTCTAAGCGATTCACAGAAATGTGAGTCTCTTGCCACTGTAGTTATACTGAATAGGGGATGCACACCTCCCCCAGTGTAACCACTGGGCGTGGAATTCGAGGATGTGGATGGTCAAAAGATAGATGCGTCAAGAAATGGGTCTGGAGGATCTTGAAGCATAGAATGGTCTGATTCTTCCTTTTCGTACCCAAATGTACTTTACTGCCTGCAAACTCTTTCGTTTTTTCAACTTCGTCCTTTGTAAACCTTGTAACAGTCCACGGGTAATAGTAAAAATTTTCATAAGACTGTTCCATCAGTTCTGTGATCGTTGTCTCCAAATTTTTTAAGGCATGTTTCTTTCTGCTATGCTGATATCACAATCTATGACTATGACTGAAAGCTCTAATCCACTTCAACATGTTGATAATTCAAAATTGACAGGCAACAGCCAAAAACAACAAAAGGGTCCCAAAGCGGCAAGGCTCCACTGCGGCAATAGCAATGACGTCTAAGCTCCTTGAAGCTACAAAGCCCCTTCACTCCCTTGACACTCACCCCAATATCTCTCTATCATCCAAGATGTCTTCTCCAACAGGTATCAAAACTTACACCTCAGCACCCGTGAACCCCAACATACAGGAAGAAGGCACACACACAACAACCTCACAGCCCGAACCCGCCACCGCAGAGTCCGCAACAGCACCGTCTCAACCTCAACCAGCACCCGCAACAACAACAGCAGCAGCAGCAGCAGCAGCAGCTCCCGCAAACCCTCCAATCAACCCAACCGCTGATCCAACCCCAGCACCACCCCAACCAGGTGCCACAGCAGCACAACCAACCCCAACAGCAACAACATCCACCGACAAACCACCACCAACAAGCTCCTTCCCAGAGCCAGCAACATCTACAACCAAAACCCCACCCGCACCTCAGCCAGGCGCCCAGCCAACACCAGAAACTGGCGCAGAGCCAACGTCATCCACAACTACAACCCCTTCCGCACCTCAACCAGGCGCCCATCCCTCCCCAGCACCAGCACCAGCAACAGCGACAACAACCCAGTCTCCATACCCCCAACCCCCGAAAGCAGGTGAAATCCACCCATCGCCAGCAGCCCAACCCCAAAGCTACGCGCAGTCATACTCGTACGCGCCAACTCTAGGTCCGCAGACTGCAATGCCTAACTCGACATCCTCGCCTTATTCATCTGTGTACCAGGCGAACGCGGGCTCGCACGCTCGTCCGCAGACTTTGCCGTTGCATTACGATCCCGGTGCTGGGGCTGGGTCTGGTGGTGGAGCGAGTAGTATCTTCCCTGCCGAGGAGGAGGAAGGGTTTCTTGGTGCGGCGAAGGGGTGGATGAGGTGGTCTGGGAATAAATTGGCTGAGGTTGAGAAGGGGGTTTGGAAGAAGATTAATGATGTTCATGATTAGGGTTAGGTATGGGCTTATTGGGGATTGGCTTTTTGTCTTATGTTCTGTTATGGGTTTGCTAGTTGAGGATTTGTATGCGGTGGTTAGGGTTTTGGGTAGGTTATTTGGGATTAGGATGGGGTATCAAATTGAGTTATGGACTTGGAGTTTGTACTTAGGAGTTTGGTTTAAATGATATTTTTAATACAAATGTTTTGGTTAGACTTGCAGTTTCATAATGAGTGGGTGTTATGGACAATAAAGTAGTTTAGACTATGTCAAGCTTGGACAGTTACGTTTACGAACGAGAAGAACAAGATAGCAACTGAACCGTGCAGAATTTGCAACGGGTTAAGTTTCTAAGTTAAGTGACTGCATATGTACCTCCATCCCATCCGCAGCTGAAGCGTTAAGTATCCAGCCTCGAAGCCGAAGCCCAACCCTCCAAGGTAATGCAAGGGCGATGGACCTGCAATGTACAACAGACTATGCGTAGGGCACATAAAGAGAAACACAGACGAGTGAAGAGGGGGGGGCAATAGAGAAAGGAAAAAGACAACATCTCAGTTGAATCAGTGAAGATGACTGAGATTCCATACAAGGAAGGGCCAGTGCAATCAATAAAGACGACCGGATCTCCTTCCAGATGGCTGAAATCTTTCAATGATGATTGGGGAGCAGAATCAAAGCCCATAAAGAAAAAGAGACAAAGTAGAGTATTAGAAAAGTCTGAAGTGTGAAAAAAGAAACACAAGAAGTCGTAGCTGACTTGACTAATGCAAAGATAAACGCCGGAATGAGTAAGTGACAGACGATACTGAGCCATCCCATGTGAAAAATAGAAAAAAAAAGAGAAGAGAAGAGAAGGGGTATTTGGAGTTGTCATAGTGGTAGCAGTGACGGGACTGCTACCCTGAATCGTCATGACAAGTTGTTTCGTATCAGGCATAAGAGAAAATTGAACACTTGAACGCCATCTTGGAAACCCAATACCACAGATATCCAACCCAACGCCCGTGAATCAAGGTAGTTGCACTGCAAACTAGCCAGATTTCCCTGGCTTTGGATTTTTTTTCTGGATGAATTGCCGGAAAGCCACGGCCGAAAGCGGTCCAGACCAGCTTCGACGGCCGTGAATATGAAAAAAGAAAAAAAAGTGTATCCCGTAAAGAGTTCAAAGAAAATAAACGCCGATCATGATGAAGGTGGGGCTTTACATGGAGCCTAGGCAGAGAAGCGCCTCCACAGCGGCGCGTTCCTGGATGTCGAAGGTGCGGGGTGGCAATTTAGCCACAGATGGACAAGTAGCGGGGAAAATCCCAGAGGGCTGAGGCTTTGCGCGCGCCGCAACGTGGCTGTTGATGAAACTGCCATTATTGTTCATCGAACGGGCGCGCAAAGCGTCAGCACCAATTTGTGCCCAGTCCTCCTCATCGGTGTCATCGCCTTCAACCCACTCGTTTTCTTGCATTTCATCGGGAGCCTCGGAGGAAGAGCAGTACTCGCCGTCGTCACCATCGAGCGACATTTTGTCTGCCTCGTGCTCGAGCATGTCAAGGTCCCCTTGCATGCCGTAATCGTCGGTGTACGAGAATGCCGTGGATTCGGCAAAGCTCATGCGGTACGGATGGCGGTTACCACCCTGCCAGCCCGACTGACCCTGAATCTGTAGGCCACGCTGCTGGAACGAGCCTGCAACACTCGAGGGAGGCGACGACGAAGTGTTCAAGTCACGATCGTGGGCAGGTTCACCACGGCGTCGCGCGTCCCAGCGGCCCCAACCAATCTTCTCGAACACCACGTCGCCTTGGACGCCACCTGTCGCTGCTCCGTTTCCTCGACCTTCCAACGCGGCAACAACCAGTCTGCGCGCCTTGGCTGGGGGGATGTGAGAAAAGCCAGGGACAGAAGTTGTCAGATGACCCATAACGTGACGGATAGCCAGAGGTCCCTGCTGGAGTAAGATCTCAGGAAGATGATACTTGGAGAGCATGGCAGGGGTGATCGCGCCGGTACTGTCGAGGTCATCGATAGGCTGGGGGTTATGACCGTTGGCTTGTTCCGCATCCTCGAGATCGATATCGGAGTCCAACTGGGGCACAGTCGATAGCGGCGATCCTGGCGACAGTTTCGCTCGGTGCTTGAAGGTCTGAGGAGGGAGGGTCGGGGAAATGGAATTAGGTGGCGTGGGCAACATCGCAGGCATGCCGGGTCGCGTAGACACATGGGCGCCACTCAGGCCAGAGCGGCGCTGAGGGATATCAACAGAAGCAGTCTTGCCAGCAAGAGCCATCGCAATGCTGGAGTTTGGTTGAAAAGCCATGATGAATAGAATATGGATTTGTGAAAGGAGAAGAACCTAAAGCGCGCAACCCGGGGTATATGAGTCAGAAGACGGTCTAAAACGCGACAAAGAAGGTACCACGGAAACGATGGGGGGTGGCAACAGAAATAGTTTCAGAGTGAAAGGGTCCAAGGCAAATTAACTAACCTTTCACAGACAGTGACAAAGAGACACTGTAGCCGGTATAGCAAAGTTGGGGAAAGTTGAGGCCAACTTGTTTAGGGCTTTCCAGGGGATGCGACGCGGCAAGGGGCGATAGTCGCGATAAGAGGAGATTCCAGGAGTCCGATCGTCAGAAAGACGAGTATCAAGTGAGAAGGTGAAGAAGTGAAGATAAGTTTTGGAGGGGTACAAAGGGCCTCTGGAAGTGACTTACACCTTTGTACTTAGGCAAGGCCCAAGGGTGTTCCGTTTAGGAAAGCGCGTGGGTGGATTGATTGGCGCCTCGTCACCGGGTGCTTCCGGCTCTATAGTTATACCTATACGACATTATTACTATTGTTATATTCTTCTACTCTGTATTATCTTTTCTATTGTAAACATAACAACTATACATTCTAATTATATTTTATATCTATATATTCTATACTCTGTATACCATCTTCTTTCATCTCCTTCCATCTAATACTAATATCCCTGAGTCGATCAAAGAGTAATCAAGATATCTGAGTAATAAAAAATAAAAAACCCCTCATGCCAAGTTGTTATCGTCCAGTCATGGCCATTGTAAGTGCTCGTGCGCCTTTTAATGAACGCTTGCAGCGCTCCAGGGCGTAACCCTATTTTCTCCTATCGGCTGATAACCATCGTTCAGGGCACGTGGACCATTTGTAGCACTCCAGTCTATGGATATACTGGAACATATAAGATGTCATTCTTATACGTTTCTGGAATTACCTTGTCTATCATTTTGAATTGTCTGAATTGTCTGAATCATCTGAATCATTTGAATTTTTCTCAATTTTCTGAATTGTGTCACTTCCTTGGAAGTACTCCGAACATAGAGTGCTCGGGTATGTACTAGGTACATCCACTTCCCACGGGTCCCACTATAATCTGGGCTCAGGCCCTTGACGTCACTTGTACCCGTGACAACTCTTGGCTATTCTTTTATTCCTCTTTGTGCATGTCCACGGGGATACATAAACCCTAACTAATAACAACATGAACAACATTGGTTGGACTCGTAACCCTTCCATATGTTGTATTCGCATAACCTTTCCATATTCGCCTCATCTTGGAATTTTACATAGTTGACTGCCTTGGAAGTCCAAGCCCCCGTTGCCCCGAAGAATGTGTCTAGCGCGAGGTCCATGTACGACATACAAGCCAGTTGTACACTTGTTGAGTGGGTTTATTATTGGAGTCTAGAAATTGTGGGCTTTCTCAATTCGGCCATTCCCTCCCCCATCATGCGGGAAGTAGATGCGGGTGACGAGTTAGCCCTGCATGTCACCTTCGATACCATTCTACAATTCCATACAATTAAACCCCTCAATGATGCTATAACTAGCCGACAATTTTACTTATCTCTGGGTCTCCGAGTTATCTATGCAATTGATCGATATGGTCCCACTTACCCTGCTTTACCCCTCCAAGGCTGCGTGGGGTGCATTTTGCTGCTCTTCTTAAAACTGTTCCTTATAGACACATGCAGTCAGAAAAATATTTCCAAAGTCAGCCAATCTGACTAAGAAGAAATGATAAGCGACTCTGCGCTGTACATTCTATGTTGTATAGTTTCCCGTCTCGGATTCCGAAGTCCGAGCCCCACGTCTCAATTTCTTGCCCTTCTCTCCGACCAAAGCTTTAAATCAAAAGACCCCTCACTTAGATCGCGCATATTGCCCACGAAGAGGAACACGTACCCCTCTGTCTGTATTGGGGATTCGCCATCCGTATACCGAATTGAGCACCCAACAGTTGTATAGCTAGGCCCCTCATAAGCCGCTAGTTTTTCCGCGTCCTCAGCTGTATGTACCTCGTACACAGCCCCGGTGACAGTGTCTCCGGGATCTCCTAGGAGTAAGGCTGGGTAGTGTCCCCAAAGCTTACACTTGTACCCCTTGATGTATGCGGGGCGCAGGTGGGAGGCGTGTTTTACGCCCAACAGATCTACTAGTAGATTTTGGTCTTGGAGTGAGCCATAGAAGAAGTATAGACCTGTTGGAGCAGGGGTTTGTTTTTGAGGTTGGGAGTGGGATTGAAAGAAGTGGCTGGGAGATGTGGTTCGTATCTTTAGGACTGTGGGTGATATTTTTGATCGAGGGTCCTCTGGGGGAGGTGGAGGTGGAGGTGGTAGACTATGTCCTGGTTGCTTTGAGTTCTCCATGGGTATGCTGGTCTATAAAATTGAAAATGTTGAGTGCTGTATGAGATCTTGTGATGTTCATGTTTCGCAAAGGGGAAAATCCTTGCTGGTGCGGGGGAATAGATACTTTCTTTTATGTACACACACACCGTGCTATTCCAGACAAGAATATTCATATACAGCTTGGTGATATTAATCCTTTTAGTAGATATTTAGATATTTATTCTGACTCTTTTTACATATCCCCTTATAATAATTAGAGGTGGACGGTTGTACAAGGGAAAGTGAAACCATACTTTTCTACGTACAACATTTGATACTATGTATAACTAGGGATAAAACAAGCTTTATGTATTAAACCGAGATGTTGAAGAAGATGAGGTTAAACTATGGATAAATGGCCATCTTCTACCTATTTTATCAAGGCTATTTTCCCGACGCGGGGTTTCAAATGCCTAAATAATTGGCCAATTCGACAATTAGCCAAAAAGAAAAATCGATAAATAGGAGTTTGGGGATAGTTTAAATGTAGTTTATAGGGGGAATTTTCTGAAGCACGTTTTGATGATGGTCTACTATGGGTTTGTATTTCTCTGTTGGGCAATCATCGCAAATGCAGCAGTGAGCCCCAAGTCATTGAACTCTGATATTTCCATTCTCATTCATAATGACCTGCTAGGTATTCATATTCTCTGAAATCAGGATCTAGAATCAAAGACTGACTGTTGAACAGAAGCTGAAAGTCCTTTATCAAGTTCAGGAATTGTCGTGCTCGGTGCGAGACCATGGCAAGAAGCGACTGAAAGCTGTCGAAAGATTGGAGAAACTCTCTGGGGGACTGATTCCAGTTACAAAAGCATCAAAAGCGGCTTGGACTACCTCGTATTCCAAGGCAAATACACTCGCAGCCAACGTTTTTGGACTGCCTCAGACCGCAAACCGTCGACCATCGACACAAATGGTCGGATCAATAAAGACTCTGCAAACAAAAAACTACCCGTTCTTTGTACACAAAGTGCTCCCTTCTCCAACAGCTCATTCCAGGATACAAGTTCCCAATGGCAGGTGACTATCCACTCCAACGATGAATATATCACTGGGTAGGAACTAGTTTTCCAGAACCTCGCAATACATCCTAACAAAATATAGATTCCGGGATCGATTCAGTTTCCGCTTTCTGGGGATTCGCTATGCTAAGCAGCCACGACGATGGGACTATTCCCAAGTATATAAAGGGACTGGTAAAAAGGCTTCTGCTCTCAACTATGGCTCTGACTGTACGCAAGGTACAACTGGTTCAGAAGACTGCCTGTTTCTCAATGTTTGGACTCCATACCTTCCCAAAAGCAACAAAGTCCGAAAAAGCCACCTCAAACCAGTGATGCTTTGGATCCACGGCGGAGCTTTCACTGGCGGAACTGGCAGCGACCCGACATTCGACGGTAGCAATTTAGCCTCAAGAGGTGATGTTGTGGTCGTCACAATAAACTACCGCCTGGGAACATTGGGATTCCTTGCACTGGATGATGGCAACACCAACGGGAACTACGGATTAGCAGACCAGACCACGGCGCTGGAGTGGGTTCGTCGGAACATCCAAGACTTCGGCGGCGATCCAGACAGAATAACCATCTTCGGCCAATCGGCTGGTGCAGGCTCAGTACGGGCACTACTTGCTTCTCCTGCAGCGCGAGGCAAATTTGCTGGTGCAATTATGCAAAGCAATCTTGGTGGCTTGGCTTATGGCACAACTTACTCGAAGTACTATACCATTGCGGAGGAGATGGACGTTGTAGGGAATGCTCTTCTTAACGAGACAAACTGCACAAATGCTGCTTCACCGGTCGAGTGTTTGAGACAACTCCCCGCGACAACAATTGCAAATCTAGCTGACTCGGCGCGGTATCTGGTTGTTGATGGCGTCTACCTCCGAAGCTCGGAGCTGGATTTGATAAACCCAGCATCAACTGCCAATGTGCCTTTGATGATCGGTACGATGAGAGACGATGGCGCTGCCATGATTGGTTATCCTGCAGTGGGACAAACTCTGAAGTCCTTCCTCAATGAATCTGGCCTGCCTGACTCAGTTGCACCAAGTCAACTCTTCCCCGTGCCATCAACCGCTAATGCTACGCTTGATATCTTCAATACCTCCTCCCGCATAGCCACAGATGGAATGTTCCGCTGTATTGATCAAGCAACTGCATATGCAGCCTCGAGAACCCATGTCTTCCCCGATATCTTCTACTACGAGTTCAGCCGTTCATACCAAATGCCCGGCTGGTCCCCCAATGCCCCGGTGTGCAATGCTCCCACCACGGATGAGTTCCCGAATGGTGACCCGAGCCAGGAGTACTTTAAATGCCATTCTGGTGAGCTGTTCTACGTGTTTGGCAGTTTCCGTCGTCAGGGTTTACCGTTTCGGGATGAGTTCGATCTGCCATTTGCGCAGTATGTGCTAGATTCTTGGGCAAGTTTTGCAAGGGTGGCTAGGCCTACCCCTGACTTGGCATTTTTGAAGGCAAGAGGATATAGTAATACAATTCGAGAGATTGAGGCAAGCGAGCCGTGGGAGCCGTTTGGTAAAGAAAGTCAGCTTCGGCTGCTTCAGTGGCCATCTGGGATGAGGGATTTGAATGAGTTGGAACAATGCCGTGCTTTAGAATTGTCTTTGGATTACTTCGGCTCTTAGGATTAGATAAAATGCATCAGTCAAAGGTTATACATAGAAAAGTCGTCTACACAAAGCGTCAATCCCGGGGGACGTAAGATCATCGACATCGAAACCTAAGAGAGCAGCGGAAATGGTGAGGCCAGTGGAAACAATTTCACCCGCAAAAGCCATGGGGTCACTGTGGAACAAGAGACCAACATTTCCGCTGCATCAGATCAAAATACAGAATCTGGAAATGAAGAAGAGGAGTGGTATTACTTATGTGATGAGAGATTTCTCTGTGTTCGCAAGCAGTTCCTTTACGAATCAGAGATTTGAGCATATGAGACGATGAAAGATCTGCAAGGCATTCACGTCCCCCGAATTTTTGCACATACCAAAATTCTAGGGCCGAAGTACACTCACTCAAGATCAGCCTCTCGGACGGTATTTCGAACACCCTGGGGTTCTTATGGAATATATCAAAGGAATACCTCTGCACGAAATCGGCGAAAATGCCCCAAGGAAAGCATGGGAGCCCATCGTTGACAATGCTATCGAGATTGTCAACGATATCATGCGCCATGGGGTTCTCAATGAGGATACGAATGTAAGATGCTTTATCGTGCAACCTGATCCGGCCAACCAGATTCGAATACAAATACAAATTAGCTATGATCGACTTTGGTCATACTAGCGTTCGTGCACAATACTCGCCTAGAGAGGATTGGTGATGGTCGCAAGCGCATGATGATGCAGAAGGAGCTATCGGGCAAATCATGCAACAGACATTGGAGAGGGATCATGGGGGAGGTCATGTCTATACAATGAGCCCTTATGTTCAGGCGCTTGCAAAGGACTACATGAACAAGCATGACTGCACACACCCCCACGAGAGACCGATGCTACGCGATGAGTGTTCTGCTAAGGGAACCTTGGAAAGAGTTTGTTTGCATTTGTCAGGGGAAACAACCGCCCTGTTGAGGTGATCTGTATGCTTCCTTTCTCTTTCCCCCTCTATTTAGCTAGGAACAATTAGTGACTGTCTTCCGATATTCATATATAAAGCAAAGCTCTGGTGTAATATTATCTACGAAGAAACGCCCCGTCCTAGGAGAATTATAAGCCAGGTAACCTAAGGAATTTATCAAATTTATATGTGTGATAAGTAACCTTGAAGCTAACCGATATAGTTAAATATATCCATATATCTCAATGGATGAATCTGTGTGGATATGTCCACTTCCGATGTCACAGCTTCCGAAGTACAATTCGAGTACCATGTAGGCTATCTACATGTACCTTTTCGGATATAGCGAGTCCTCACATGTATCAGTATCTCTTGGTATAATTCTAATATCATTCCAATTGGTCCATACAAAAAAATAAAAAGAAGAACCTCGATCTATATAAATCCTCGATAAGATCGGATGCGTCCCTTCCGACATTTTCCCCTCATGAAATAAACAAGAACTCACCATCCTCCCATTATTTTCCAACTTCCAAATATTTCTACTTAACAAACCCAAAATGTCCTACCAAATCACCTACGACACTACCCGCGCACCACCCGGCGCCGCCGCACTCGTCGCATTCATGGAAGACTTCTACCGCACCAGCGACACAGAGTCCCTGCACGAGAAATACGTCCAGAGCTTCACTGAAGATGGGACACTTATCATGGGACCGAAGGAGGCTAAGGGCGCAAGTGGTATGGCTATATCATATTCCCGTTAACATTGGTGACGCTATACAGCCGAGCCCGGTTCCGATCCCGATTTCTATCTCGATGCAAAATATACATCCGCATCAGCTTATACTTTGTACTCGAGCTAACAAAATGAAACACGTATAGCAATTCTCGCCCTCCGTCATGGTCTGTGGGCACATGTTACTTCACGTCGACACACGCCTATGCAGATCTACTTCGGCGGCGACGATGAGATCATGTTGTATGGTGGCGTGAACTATAGACTCAAGGCTAACCCCGATGAGGATGTTTATGTGCCTTGGGCCGGACGGGTTGTGTTTGCACCCCAGAAGGGGGATGAGGATATCAAGATGCAGTTTTATCAGGTTTATCTGGTGAGTATATCGTGCTGCTATAAGGCGGCTGTGGTGCTAATTGATCTCTAGGATACTGCGGCTCAATCGGGAAAGAAATGAAGTGGATTTTGAGCGAGCATTAGCCTTATGAGAGTTGCATAAATTCGATAGCAAGATTGAAAGATTGTATATGAATTGGCTTTTTATTGATCTATATCAGGCTGATAATTCGCTGGTAAACACCAGACGCCTACATCTACATCTACAACAGAGAGAGAGAGACGGAACAGTTTTGAAGTGTTTAGACATGCTCTTTATTTCCAGGAGACCACGAGAGAAAAAAGGGACAAAGACGCCGTAGGGTTGATCGGGGTCAAAGAGGTGAGGGAGATCATAAAAACATGTCAAAGGGAAAAAAGATCCCCTCCCCTCGACAAGAGAGAGAGGGGAAGGATTGTGTAGACCGTCTCGTCCGCTCTCTTCTCTCGTTCAAGTCTCCGGATAATGATGCCTCATCCTCATGCACTCTGCACCGCCCATATCTCTCTCCGCTAGTAGCCCCGTCTGGTCGTCAGATAAAAAAAATATGGAGTTGGAACAAGAAAAAAAGAAACAAACGTAAAGTCGCGCACGGGACCGCAAGCTCCGAATTTTTATTTTTGTGCCGTCATTTCCAATATCTTGCCGCCGTAGCGAAGACAAAACCACAAAAACAAACGACTTATCCCCGAACTATTAAAAGCCCATTGTTGCGATACGTTTATTCCTCATCAGACTCCTCCTCATCGACGGTGGTCTTGGCGATACGGTCCAAATCACGCTGACCGCTCTGGGTGATGCGACGGCCACCCTTCTCCTCATCGATCTCGAGGACACCGATCTTCTCAAGAGCCTGGAGGGCCTTGCGGTCGACGGAGCCGGAGGCATCAACGTGGTGGGCGGGGCGGGAGCCACGGTTCTTGGTGGAGCCGTGGACCTTGCGAAGACGGCCGACACCGACGGTCTTGCGCATGTAGATGTGACGGGCACAGGCGGCGGCGCGGACGTAGAACCTTTAGAGCAAAAATGTCAATTGTTTGTTCGAATTTTGGTGTTATTTGATGCGGTCGTACCAGTCAGCATCCTGGGGAGGAAGCTCGTTGGAGGCAGAGGTCTTGACAGTATCAACCCATCCGGGGATGGGGAGCTTGCCCTGACGCTTCAGGAAAGCAGAGTAGGCAGAGATGAACTTCTGCGCCTGCATGTGGGAGAAAATTGATAAGTTAGTTGTGGCTCATCAGCATATACGTGAATCGGTCAAAGTTTGTGGATTTGCAGATGTGTCGGATTCGTTTCTGGAAGCAGTTCATCATTCGTCGTGTGGAGTTTTCGCTAGGATGCAGTCGTTGTGTCGGGTATTCAGGGAGAATACCGACAGATAGATGGGATATATCAAAAATTGGCCGTTCAAAAACATGCATGCACATCCTTCGATATTCGACATATTCCCCATTAGGCAATGAAACCATTCGCCTATTGCGTGCGTAATCCGTGCAAAGCATTTCCATATTGGCGATATCCGACCGATGTCGTGGTATCCTTGCATCCAGAAACGAACCGTCCACATCATGCAAACCAGAGCTGGTGACCGATCACCTAAAAATCGAGCAGGACACTTACGTCCACATCGCGAACGGTAACACCACCCATTTTGGCGACTTGTCGAGGGGTCGAAGGGTAGGGATTAGAGAGAGAGAGGCGTTGGGCGTCGAGGTGGGCAGGGTCGAAGTCGAAGAGTCGCTCAAAATTTCAAGACACACACAACTCTGGGCGGGTTGGGTCTGTGTGCCGTTCGCTTGTCCATTTTGGGTTAGCCGTACCCTAAGCCAGATCATGTGATGTGATCCAATTTGTGCCTGATGGATCAGGCTCCACACCACTCCCCTTGATGCCTGATGTTTCTGGCGTGAATTATTTGATTTACAATTTCGTTATCCATGAAAGATTATTTTGAAGAGCTCATTTTCTCATGTCCTATTTATACACTAATTAACATCTATTTCATGGCTGTGTTCATTATTCGTAACTTTGAAACAATTATCAGATGTACCCATTCCCTAATCCATAGCCTTTGCCCCAGTTTCAACGCCCAAATCATTCCCAATTACAGCGTTGGCGCTCTCTTCAATCCAACGCAATACCTCACAAATAGAGTATCAATAAAGTGACCATGTCGAATACCAGGAGGTCGGCACCGATTGAACTCGTCAATGGCATCTTGTACAGCAAAACCAAGATGCTCGATCAAATAGCAACAGATCAAAAACCCGGTACGGTTGTACCCATAGTGGCAGTGAACTCCGACCACAGGACGTGGCAGAGACTTCTCTTCATCCGTGCGCTTCTCCATCTTCTCATCAATATCCTTTTGTATTCTATTGACGAGAGCAATGAAGTCGCGCGCCTCGTCTGGAGTCGGAGGAATCTTGGATATAGTCGGGTGCTTGTAGTAGTGGATTCCACCCTTCTCCATTTCGGCCGGGTTATAGACCGGACTTTCATGGCTGATGTCTATGACAGCATGGATGCGGCCACGGTACTTTGCCGAGAAAGTTGCAGGGTTGTGTTCCTCGTCAACCTCGCGCAACATCTTGAGCGCGACAAATGTGTTGGCAATTCGTTCCGAGACTGGGGCGACCTTTTTCCATTTGGCGAGATTCTTGACATCCCACTTTCCAGATGTGTTCATGTGCTGCAATTGCCAGCCCAGACCGAGACGCTTGTCGATATTTGACGAAAGGAAGTCCTGGATAATCCCTGCAAGTGTGCGATAGGTCGCCCGGTCGTAGAGGAGTGCATGAGATGCGGGCGCCGGCAAAATTGCCGATTTGACCACTCGCTTCCGCTGGCCAGATTCCAAATGCTTCTCGGAGATCTGCACACCAAGCACCCTCTCGTTTGCGAGATCGTCGGCTGCGGGTGACATCTGGTCATGGACTCGCGAAGCATCTGGAATGATGCTGCTATCGCTGGTGTCGATCGTGGTATGGGATGAAGCATCACCAAAAAATTTCAAAATCTTCTGTACCTCCACTGGTTTGGTCACAGCATCCGTCTCTCCTGCGACCAACAGAACTGGCATGCGAATTCCCGCCCAGATCTCTTGACCAGGGAGTCCACCAATCGGGTGGTCGCTATTATCGTAGGTGGGAAGTGTGCCCCACGCCATGCGTCGCCAAACAGGCGTCCGACTTTGCTTGTTGAAGCGCACCTGGAGGTTTCGTGTCTCCGCATCGGCAGCAGAGCCGACCATCCGCATAACACTGGCACTTTGTTCGCCTCCACGTCTGTCCCAGCGACGCCAAAGATCAAAAAGTACACTGGGGACATAGAGCGCTCGGCGAAACTTGGTAGTATCTTCGGCAGATGGAGGTGAGGCTCGAGGGCACACAGCAACAAGGCCGATTATGTGCTCTTTCACCTTTGCACCAACGGGGGATGCCGATGAAGCCAAGAGGGCGGACAGGGAACATCCGAGACTGTGTCCCACTAGAATAATTTCTTGGCCAGCCTCCCGGTCCCGGTGCTGATCAATGGCTTCGGCCAATAATTCAGATAGAGCCTCCACGGTGTATGCATTCCAATCCGTAGGCGCAAACTTGGACAGGCCGCAACCGGGCAGATCAATGCCAAAGCACGAACTGACATTAGATAGACTGGTTAGGAGGTGGTGGAATTGTGCCAGTGACCCGCCTAGCCCATGAACAACCACGATCAGTGGGATAGGAGTCGGTTTGGTCGGGAGTCGAGCTAGGTGTGGATGTGGGCTGTAGAAGGTGCGAATGGCGGGATAGGTAGCTACCGAAGTAGTGTAGGAGTTGTATGTGGTGAATTTCCTGAGAATGCCTGGGTCCGTTTCATATGCTGCGCGAGTGTTAATCAATGCCCGAAGTGAAAGATGAGCTATTCACCTACCACCGGAACTTTGTTGCTGAGATTCCGACGGCCAATCTTTCTTCTTGTAGTTGGGATTGGTTCCATGTCGCAACGATGCGTTGCTATCATAGTCTTCATCTTCGTAATCTTCCTCTTCCGAGGAGCTTAGAATCTTCGAAGACTTGGTCGAGCTCTTGCGGGCGGCAGAGCGCTGCGCACGAGTGGCTTTTGGCTCTGACCGCTTGCGCCTCACCAGCGACGACAGCAACCCACATCCAGTCATGGCGATCACACAGGTAGTTAAGAACACAACCTGACCCCAATTCACATTGTCATTGCGATAGAGGCCTCGCAAAGAGTTGGCGATGGAGGAGAAAGAAGCGTTTTCCGCAGCCGCGCGCACTGAGTAAAAGAATCGAAGGATAGCCGCGACACTTGGGGGCTTGGATTGGGACGTCAATGAGTCGTAGAGGGCGGAGATAGCGTCGGACCCCATGATTAAGTACCGGAGGGGCGTTCTGGGCTATTTCAGAGCCCCCCGACAGGGATATCGCCAAGAACCACGCGACGGCGCGCCCGATGCTCTTTGGATACAGAGCAAATAGGCCGGAGACCAATAAGGAAAGCTAGATCGACAACGTTGAAACCTTTGAGTGGCAAGGATAAGAAAAAGTAAAGAAGTCAGCTTCGGCCACTCACAGCCTCGGGAGGAGCGGCGTGGGGGTGAGTCATCCATTGTGCCCCACCTTGGCGGTTCTTGCAGCCACAAAATTGGGAAGGAACTTACTTGATTATGGCATTTACTATGGGAAGAGATGTACTTCTTGAATATACACTATTAGGCTTATGGATCTTCCATGGTTGAGATGCTCAGGTGGTCTAGACATCCCTTACTCTATTATTGTCTACGATATCCACGATTCCCAAGATGTCCATATTGGACTCCCTTTTAGAGTACCCCCGGGGCCAGCATGCGTGACTTCTTACCTCCTAGTGGCCAATTTCAAGCGGAGCCACAGGGATCATATCAATATGGAATATTTATCCCTTTTCTAGAATATAGTTGAATATGTAGATCATAACATCATTTTAACTACCCCGAAATATGCTATATATATTTACACTCAGGCGACATATCGTTATGATTCATTAAAACAGGTCTGTCATGGCTCCCTGTGATGCATCACTGACCAATCGTGCGTATTTGGCCAACACACCGCGAGTGATTTGCGGTGAAGGGGGGGTCCACTGACGCCGTCTCTCCTGAAGCTCCTCATCCGAGACATCCATTGAAAGTGAGTTGGTCTCAGCGTCGATGGTGACGACGTCCCCATCACGGACCAGCGCAATTGGGCCACCCACAGCAGCTTCGGGCACAATGTGGCCGACAATAAAACCGTGGCTGGCACCCGAGTACCGTCCGTCAGTAATAAGCGCCACGTTGGTCAATTTGGCTCCCATCAGCGCGGCACTGGCCTTCAACTGTTCCGGCATTCCCGGTCCTCCCTTGGGGCCCTCGTAACGCACAATGATTACGAGGTTCTCGCCGCGTGGGATACGGCCTTCGTTCAGGGCGTCGTTGAGTTCGTGTTCCTTATTAAAGACACGGGCCTTGCCAACGAACCGAAGCCCTTCCTTGCCGGTAATCTTGGCGACAGCACCGCCTGGCGCAAGGTTACCACGCAGGATCTGCAGGTGGCCGCTGGCCTTGATTGGGTTATCCAATGGACGAATCAGATCCTGGCCCTCGGTAAGGGACGGGAATGAGGCAACGTTCTCGGCCAGTGTCTTGCCTGTCACTGTGGGGATATCTCCATCGAGCAGACCGGCTGCGATCAGCAGTTTCTGGACAGATGGGACACCTCCGATCTCATACAGATCGGCCATATAGTACTTGCCACTGGGTGAGAGATTCGCAATGAAGGGAATCTTGTTGCTGACCCTCTGGATATCATCCAGCGTCAGGTCAACACCAGCCGTCCGAGCCATGGCCAGGAAGTGGAGAACGCCGTTAGTGCTACCGCCTAGCGCCATAGTCATGACGAGAGCATTTTCAAAGGACCGCTTGGTCAATAGGTCCCGTGGACAAATGTTTTTCTCTAAGCAAACCTTGATAGCATCCGCAGCACGCACACACTCGCGCATCTTGGATGGCGATTCAGCAGGCGTGGACGATGAGCCGGGTAGTGACAGGCCCATTGACTCAATAGCAGTGGCCATGGTGTTCGCCGTGAACATACCACCACAGGCACCGGCGCCAGGGCAAGCATGCTTTTCCAAGTCATCCATGATCTCATCCTGGGTCTTGGTTTGATCACCACCATCGTCGGGCTGGCGCAGGGTACCGTAGGCGTAGGCACCCGCAGCCTCAAAGCATGTTGAGACATTGATGGGTTTCCGCAAATGCTCGGAGTAGCCAATCCCAATAGTTCCACCGTAGATCATAATTGAAGGGCGATTATGACGAGCCATGCCCATTACGACACCGGGCATGTTCTTATCGCAGCCCGGAATAGCAATACAGGCATCATGGTATTGGGCACAGGTTACGGTCTCGACACTATCAGCAATGACTTCTCGAGTTTGAAGAGAGAATCTCATTCCTGTAGAGGTTAGCTATCTCGACCATAGCTATCTCGATCATTAGCGGGAGATTTGACGGTCAAACTAACCTTCACTGCCCATGGTGATTGCATCCGAAACGCCAATCGTGTTGTACTGCCACCCAAGCATCCCTTGTTCCACGACCGACTTCTTGACAGTCTTGGCTAAGTCCATCAAGTGCATGTTGCACGGGTTTCCTTCCCACCATACTGAGGCGATACCGACATGCGGGCTCTTGGCCATCGCTTCCTTATCTGGGACGCCGGCGGCGTAGAGCATAGCCTACAGCAGTCAGTAATATACCTCACGGTGTTCTCATTGTAAACATACCCGTGCGCCAGGGAAATCATGGCCTTTAGTGATAGTGTGGGAGTGACGGTTGAGTGCGGGGGAGCCATCCGGATGCTTCGCATCTGCGGGCAAAGAAGGGAAGTTGATATATTTAGCCTCACTGAGAGTGCTAGACTCCATTTGCTTGGTGGGATCCATGCTGATGAGGTGGAATGAAGACAAACCAAAAAAAGAGGTTGCAGAGGCAATTGACTAGAATTATAGCCCACACAACCTCGGGAGCTTCGCACCGATGTCCGATCCCCAGAACCCCACGTTCAGGATTGTCCAGTTAGATGCCGCCGATTTATGAGCAGATCGGAGTTAGGCCCATTCTCCGGATCGATGAGTTTGTATAGCATCATGATTTTGCATATAATTATAAAGTTACTATAATTAGTTAAGTATCATATTTACAAAGTGACCGCAACAAGGGGATTCCGCAAAACCCGCAAAATTCGGCATCATATGGTACCGACGTCATACATTTCGTATTTTTATAAAAGCAACATTCAGAACCTTTTATCTTTATTTCATTGAAAACCATTCTAAATACCAGATTAGACCTATGATGGCTACAGATCTGAGAATTGCCCAGGCAATAGGGACGATTGGCTGTGCACTGGCAGCAGGTAAGTAGCGCCGCGCAACATATGACCAGACACTCACAGTCTACAAGGCGGCATTGCCACATTGTCAATACTGAGCATTCCAAATCTCATCATTCCAGAACGTCGTCCAGCCAGCGCGACACTCCCATTCAATGATACTCCAGGAGCCTCGACCACGCACTTGACACATCAATGGCTTGATCTGTATGAGCGTGGCAGCAAGATTTTCCCCGGTATATCCGCAGTTTCTTCACTCGCAAACATTTATGCGCTCTGTGCATTGAAGAACTCTCCTACCCCTGCACCGGGTATTTTTGGGTCTAGCTGGTCTACATGCTATCTGCTTGCTGTCGGGTTTACGATGAGCATTGGACCTTTTACGTTTACGGCTATGAGGAAAACGAATGCCAAACTGAAGGCTTATGCAAAGCGAGACGATGCGGCCGGCGCTGAGGGTACTAAGGGCATGGTCGTGAGTGAGCAGGAGAAAGCGAAGCGGGCTAGAGATGATAGCGAGGTACCGGAACTTTTGCAGCATTGGGGGAAGTTGAATTTGATCAGGGCTGTGTTCCCACTTGTTGGGGCTGGTATTGGGTTTTATGCTGCTGTCTCCAGCTGGGCGATTCCTTAAATGGAATGCTAAAAGTTGTGGCGGGTTGGACGACTCCGCTAATTGTTAGGTTAATCGTGTGTATGATTATGTGAAAGGGTATTTCAGTTCAAGAATGGGTATCGTCAAATTTCTATCGGGGTTGCAAGTTGTATGTACTGCGGGTACCCAGGTAATTGTATAGTTATAAACAAGTCGGAGAAGAGAAGGCCAGCAGACCCGGAAGAGCATGGAGGTGAGATGTGTGCCTTAGGGTTACTGTCATGTTGAAGCAGGCTTTTGATCCTCATCCTCGTCCGTATCTCTTGCGTCATCGTCTTCCGTAGACTCTTCCTCAATGGTGGACCATTGCTCTGAATGTTGCAGGGCTTCATCGGCGCTGATCTCCTGTAACGGGCTGGATTTGTCCGATGAGGTCCCATGGTGAGTATCTTGCCCGCGGGTCTCGCTATCATTTTCCCCATCAATGGCGAAGCCAACAATCTTCCCAGTGCCAGGCTGCGACCGTGCCTCTTCCAGCACATCGCCGTTCCAAGGCTGACATTTCTTAACAAGTTCACCACACCGGAGGCAAGACCATCCTTGGCCTTCTTCTCCTTCAACTTTCTGCACAATACAGACGAAGCAATAGATGCAACCGCAAGGGACCGTCTCGTATGGATTCGTGATATCGGTTTGCGCCGATCCCACAATACCCCCTGACGCAGATGCCGCCATGGCATCGGCTTCTGACGTTGTGGTCGGGTTCTGAGCGCGGTAGCAGATAGCACAGGTTCGCTCTGGAAGGAAGGCCAGCTCTCCTTGCTTTTCCGAAACCTCATCATCATCCTCGCTTGATCGAATAGAATTGACCATTTTATGCCAGGCACGGGTGATCCATCGCCGCCAGCGACCAATTCCAACAAGAGGAAGGAGGAAAAGAAGGAATTCGGTAAACGCGTGCCAAACTAGTTGACGGTTTAGATATTCAAAGGATACTTCCCGGCTAGCTTGTGCAGACGGCGGAGTAAGGCGGATTCGAAGGATGCGATCAACCAAGGTACGGTATCGTCCATTCACTAGGAACACTAGAAAAGAAACGAAGGCGGCAATCGAGTGCGACGTCGAGATTATGTCCGTTAGTCGCGATAGCATTCGGATGTCCTGTGATGGCTTTACAGTATCCGTCAGTAACAATTGTCAAACAAAAAGTAATATGTCAATACTAACCTCGTCATAGCCACCTTCTTGTCCAACCAACCAGCTCTCCCATTTGTTCCAAGCATATCGCCCTCCAACTGTCAATATGCCATACATACCCTTCTGCCATTTCGTCGGAGAAGAGTAAACAGGTCCTTTGCTTCGACTGTCGGTGTATTTGAGGCCTTGTAGCGCCGCACCATACGATGCATTGTGATCCCATATCGATAGCTTAAAGAGAATAGCCCGTAACGCGAACAGGATCTCGTTTGACCAATCTTCGCGCATTTGAGGCTATTGTCATTGTCAGCCACCCCTCAATAAGAACACTTTAGAGAATCATTTGCCAAGCATTCAAACATACCCCGAAGTATTTGAGGGCGTCCCCGACCTGACCCTTCATCAAACCAAGCAGTTCCTCGTCCAACAATTCAGCATCCACCTGGCCCACTCGAAATGCGGGGCGCGTGCCATCCCGCCCCTTGATGGAATTCCATATACGCCACCCTGAGCTGGGCAATCGATTCAACGGATATGGAAGACGCTGGACGGCGGCCGGGCTGATTGGAGAGGCCCGCTGCTGTGCTGCATGGCGGGCCCGTGCTTCGGCTTCACGCTGGCGACGACGTTCAAGAACACGCTCTTGTGCAGCGGCGAAGTTTGTCGAACTCATCGCGAAATCATGACTTTGTGGAGGATAGGAGGGAGCGGTTTGGGAATTCATGAGAACACGGGGAAATGGGTCCCGGAGTTCATCTCGGTTCCCCAGACGGAAGAGCCGAGGTATCTCACGTGACTGTCATTTCCAATGTTTGGAAAATGTGAGTGTAGAAGGATATAAATTCTTAGTTGACTACATATGTAAGTACATATTAGGACTTTGATGTGTACCTGCCTAGGTATAACGTCGTATTGGAAAGTGTTGTCGTCGGCCCTCGGAGATGCCCTTGACAAGAAGCCCTAAAGTACTATGCGACTTTTCTCATGCACATTAGTCCCAATCACTGAATTTTATCAAGACATCCATGACCAAAGCGTATCATTCAGTTGAATGGCCCGCGAGCTGCTCACCCTAGAACCCCGCACAGATGTCTGGGCATCCAACATAAGCCATTTTGATTGATCCATGCGAGTTAGCTTGGTACCTGATTCGGTACAATCTCAACCACATCGCCAAATCAAATGATAGCTGATGTCGGACTTGTTGGCTTTGGGACTAAGGAGTAATGATTGGTTTTGAAATGCTAGCCCAAACCGAAATGTTTTGCTGGCATGTTTTATAAATTAAACCATTATCCGCTGAATTGGCCTCTTGGTCAAACCTGTGATTTTGCTTGGGTTGCTATCAAATTTGTTAAATATGGCGTCTATTATGAATGAATCTATCGAGACTCGGCTGTTCATTAACGGCGAGGTATGTACCAACTACGTTTATTGCCCTAAGACTGCTATTATACCATGCATCTTAATAGTGACTTTCCTAGTTCCGGGAATCTTCTAGTAGTAAAACGTTCGAGGTGGTATATCCATACACCAAAGAGGTCATTGCGCAAGGTGTGTCCCATTCCCCGCAAAAACCAACTTACTGCTAATACCTACTCTGTTACCAGTCCAAGAAGCCGACATACAAGATGTAGAGCATGCCGTTACTGCTGCTAAAGCAGCATTCCCCGCTTGGAGAGATCTGGGCACGGAAAAGCGCGGCACATACTTGAGCAAACTATCCCAGCTCATATTGGAATCAAACAACGAGCTGGCAAAGCTCGATACTCTCTCCACCGGCCGACCGATCTCGCAATTCTTCGACGCTAGTTTTGCAGCCAGGTTCTTCGGGTACTTTGCTGGTGGCGGTTGGACCGCGCAGGGGACGGCCAGCCTCAACACACCGGGCCACCTAAATATGACAGTCAAACAGCCGTATGGTGTAGTTGCGCTTATCATCCCGTGGAACTTTCCGCTTGTCATGTTTGCCGCGAAGATGGCGCCGGCGCTGGCGGCAGGCAATACAGTTGTACTGAAGAGTAGTGAGAAAGCGCCGTTGACGGTTTGTGCAATATCCTTTGCATATAACTTGGCCATGCAAACTGACACTCCGCATAGTCTCTCTATGTAGCCAAGCTGGTTGAGAAAGCGGGCTTCCCACCCGGAGTTGTTAATATCATCTCTGGGTTCGGCAACCCTACTGGCGCGGCACTAGCATCGCATATGGCCATTCGCTGTATCAGCTTCACCGGCTCCACTGCAACGGGCCAGAAGATCCAGGCAGCAGCCGCAAATTCAAACATGAAGCAAGTGCACATGGAACTGGGCGGGAAATCACCGGCAATTATCTTCGAAGACGCAGATCTGGAGGCAGCCGTTGCGCAGACACAGTTTAGCATTCAGTTTGCTAGTGGACAAGTGTGCTCGGCGAACTCACGGATCTATGTGCACGAGTCTGTCGCTAAACAGTTTACTGAGCTATTCCGTGAGAAATTTGCTGCTGTCCGGATGGGTGATCCGCTCGATCCTGATACCTCGCATGGTCCACAGATTGATCAGCTGCAGTATAACCGGGTCAAGGAGTACCTTGAAATCGGGGAGAAGGATGGTACACTCAGTCAGGGCGGTGATGCAAAGGACGGGTTCTTTGTGCGGCCGACCATCTTCGAGGACGTCTCTGAAGACTCGCGACTGATGCGAGAGGAGGTCTTTGGTCCGGTTGTTGCCATCAGCACCTTTTCGACGGAGACCGAAGCGATTGAAAAGGCGAATAATTCGGAGTTCGGTCTGTACGCCGCTGTCTTTACCAAAAATATTGATCGCGCTGTTCGTTTGGCTACGGCTCTGGATGCGGGCACTGTTGGGGTGAACTGCACTAGCCCAACGAGTGCTATGGATACTGCGTTTGGTGGGCTCAAGATGAGTGGGAATGGTCGAGAGGGGCTTCTGCATAGTCTTGATAGCTTCCTTGAGACCAAGAGTATCTTGATCAAGACAGCACCTCTATGAGAGATACCTGGTTTGACCAAAGGCATAGTTGACAATGGATGTGTGATTTCAGGGCTACAGAAAATTGAGTACCATAAAATCATACCGAAGTATATGGCTCTACCGAACACCAAACAAGATCTAGTATTTAGCAGCACCAGCAACACTGGATTCATCCTACCTATCAATGTGCTTGATTTTGACAATAAAGTAATCTGGTGTAGGGATATTGGCTATACCCTCATACTAACGTTCATGGAAGGGGCTTACCCCGGGTCATCACCTCCCTCTCCATAAGACAATGATCGGATAGCTTTGGCTTGATAAATTGTTTGAGACAGCCCTGGAGCTCTGAGACAACCCTGATCATTTGATACAATGCCTTCTTTGTCAGGCTTCAGCTAGCTATTTAACTAGCTTCTTTTTGTTTGCAAAGCATCAATCCTTCTTCTTTCCTTTTTGCTCGGCTATCAATATTTCAATATGCCCAACCCAGCAGACTTGCCTCTTGAGCTCTTTCTTGAGGTCCTACATTTTGCTCTACCCAAATACTACACAGATCCCCAGCGCCTCTGCAGCCTCGCCCTCCTTGGCCGCAAATGGCATGCAGCATTGCTTGGTCGCATCTACAACGAATGGACCTACAATGGTGCAAGACAGTCATTCATGACACTCTGGAAATTCGTGCGGACATTACGCAACAATACCTCCATTGCGGCCATTGTGACGACTTTGAATATCGGAAATTATGGCTTCTATCCTCGCGCAGTTGCTGGTGGGCCAAAGGTTCAGCTGCCGGCGAACGAGAGATGGATCCACAGTGCCATCCATGATGCAGGACTGGGCAATCTTGAAGACACCGTTCTCCAAAGTCTCTCCAGACGAGATCGTCGGCCTTTGATGGTAATTCTCTTGACATCAGTTCCGAACCTTTCGGCTCTCTACGGACATGTGCCTCAATATGATCCTCTTATGGCGACTTTTGTGAAAAGCACACTTGACTCTGAGGCCACTGGGAACTCAGTTCGCCCCCTTGGCAAGGTCAAGGAGCTGGTTTTATTCTTTGAAATTCCCGTGGTTGTTAATAAAAATGACGACGCGGATAATGAAGTGCATGAAGAATCCTCGGATGAAGACTACAGAAACATCACATCAGATCCCAAAATTGACTATGTATGGCCGGTCTTTTATTTGCCCTGTCTGCGAACCTTGTCGTTATTTGATATCGACCCCACAGATGCAGAGATGTTCCTAGGTCAGCATGATGCTATTTCTCATGTGGAGACACTTGTGATTGGGTGTTTCCATACGGTGTTTACAGTTCAAGATATTCAAGCTTTCTTAACTCGCATTGAAAGATTGAAAAGTATCTCACTTAATCTCCACACGGATTGCTTCGAATCTGAGATTTCGAACCCCGAGCTCTGGGACTGTCTGCAAAAGCACAAAGACAGTCTTGAAGTCATCGATATCTTTCGGAATGGCGATACGTTCGGCCATAAAGGCGGTTGGTTTGGTCTTCTTCGCGAGTTTAAGAAACTCAGACATCTCTACGTCCAATTTGATACAATCCTTGGTGGTTGCTGCGACTCCCCGATGGCGCCTTTTCGCTTGCGAGACACGCTTCCGTCAACAATACAAAAGCTCACGCTGTATCAAAACGACGATCACGGTTTCAGCATAATTAACCTACACAGCCATCTGCGCGAGTTACTGGGCGGATAGTTCCCATTTTTGAAGTACATCACAATCCAGGACACGGAATTCCAGTTCTATCCTCTACGACGAGATTAGTATTTTATACTACAAGACTTCTATGCTGTTAGAGGGATCGATCTTAGGATGGGCAGCGAAGATCAGATACATGCAGTGGGAAGTTTCGGGGACTTGTGGTTCAAGCCGTTTGACATGAAAAGAGACGGAACCACGCGAGCTCGCGCAGTTAGCGCCGAACCTCAGTCTCTTCGGAATTCCCAAGACCTTCTACTCTACTCATCTGAGGAGGAAGAAATTCCAAAGAAGAAAATTAGGAAATTCCGATATCGGGTTTGACATGTACTTTCTTTCAGCGGCTACCAAGAGGTTTGCACATTCTCAGGTTCAATGAATACACAGATGCAGATGCACACCAGCTTCTTAAGGTTTATTTTCAGTGTTTCTTTTAGCAGTATTTTAAGTGGAAACAGCGATATCAGATTAAAAACGCATTTGAAGTCATAGCTAAAGATTAAAATATTAGCTCTCAGATAGAGATTGCTATTTCTGTTTTACGACTCCGAAATTCAGAGAAAACATTCCTCCCCTTCCAACTGGGACCGCGTCTGCAAGTGTCCGGATAAGAAAAACCATCGGACTACAGCACATCCAGCTAGCCGAGTAAGAATGGATAAAGAATAGCTTAATCAGAAAGTGTAGGCAGCGATGGCTAGCAGAACTCCAAACACGACAGTAGAGAAGGGAGCCTTGAAAGAAACACCAGCGTTCTTGTGATCAGAGTCCACTGTAGAGTTCTTCTCGGTCGTGGTCTCATTTGACCGCTTGAAGGTGACCTTGTCATTGTAGTGAGTCTTGGCATCCCAGGGGTACGGCTTGGTGTCGTACGACGGGCTAAGATGTCCATAGGTCTTCTTGACGGTATCCAGGATACCATGACCAGCGGAGCACTTTTCATTGCTGTCGGTGATGGGAACCGGCCAGTTGGCAACAAACTTGGAGGTATTGCCAGTGGAGGTGTCCCCATCTGACATGGGACCAGGGTAGGTCTGGTTAAGTGTGAGGTGGGTCTTGTCGACCTCGTAGTTGACATAACCGGTCTTGTTGGCGACGATCTCAAAGATGTTGGCACCGCAATCCCAGCGACCAAGGGAAGGAAGACCCCAGTTGGCAGAGACACTGGCAATACTAGAGTAGTGAGTGTAGAAGGTATCATCCTTAGTACCCTTGAGGTGTTCAGGAACGGCACCACCAACGAGAACGCTGAAGATACGGTTGTCGCCAGTGTAGGTCTTGTCTTCATCGAAGGTCAGAAGGAGAAGAGTGTTGTTATAGAAGTACTCATTCTCGAGCAACTTAGCCACGAAAGGACGCTCCCACTTGGCAGCGAAAGTGATGTTGGTGTCATGCGCATCGTTGGTCATGTTGGGGGTAATAAACGCCCACTGAGGAAGCTTCTTGTCACGGATATCGTTTTCGAAGTCTTCGAAGCTCTTGATGGAACGTGCACGAGTGTCGTTAGCCACAACGGAGTCATAAAGCACCATCGGGTTGTGCTTCCGAACGTAATCAGGGTGATAAGTTTCCTGGTTGGAATAGTTGTAACCCTGGAAACCGGCATAGGGGATGTGCTCCTGGTATTCAGCCCACGAGATGTGCTTGGTGTCAAGAACATCAGCAATGGAGGAAACGTTTTCAGGCATATGCTTAAAGTCGTCGTTATCCATTCCAAACGTGTCACCGCCAGCGGCAGCGCAGTAGTTGGGCTCGGAAGGATGGGTAACAGCATAGAAGTTGGTCCTAAAGAGCATCAGAATGGGTCATTTCACACATAGCCTGTCACTGGAAACCTACAGTAGAATACCCTGAGAAGCAAGCCACTGCATGTTGGTATCCGCGGCGGAATCATCATAGTCCTATTAGTATGTTAGTCGCGATGTCTTGGAAACTCTATGGATGTTTTGGGGGTTTGTCACGTACAATGTTCTCCAGCCAGATCTGATAAAAACGATCAAAAGCCAAGCCCTTGACATTGGAGACAGTAACCTCCGGCTTGGTAGTTGCGGCAGCCGCATGAATCTCCGCCAAAGCGGGCTCAGAGGTAGTAGCTGTCTGAGCGATGGCCAGAGTAGCCACTCCCATCAGAACCGCGAAGACGGCCTTCATCTTGACGGATCAGGAAATCAATGAAAGATTGATATAGCTGATGGAACTGATGGAATGAGAAGGCAAACTGAGGAGATTGGAGAAAGAAGAAAGAAGAGAAGAAGAAGAGAGGAATCAAGAGATTTATGGAAGGAGGTGTCACCCCACGTGCTTCTTGGATCAAATCTGGAAGAGAAATGTATACTTTATAGGTACACAAGTTCTCAAGCCTTTGTCAGCTTTGTTTAAGTCTCATAGATGTACTATGTGCCTGGTCTTGAGTTGAAGTTTAGAGTGTCTGTTTGTACGACGTTGGCACATGTTGAAATGCTGGCCTCTGATTGGTTCGGGATGTACAAAGGTTCCTAAATGAGGGTCCGTGCCAAGACCAAATTTGAATGCTTAGCTGATTCCATAGCGGGCCCTCACAAGGTACAGTAAAAAGCCCTGGAGTACGCAGTACATAGTTTATTAATATAGGATGTACGTACATACAGTATACAATAATATGTAAAGGCCATGCGCTTAATCTAATCTTTCTTTACTCTCTGTTAGTGAGATAGAAGGGGAGATTTATAGGAGCCCATGTGCTTTTTCTGGAGATCAGACTTCCGAGGTCGGATGCTTAGCCGACGCTTAGTGAGTGGGGAACGCCCAGGCAAATCACTGGGCTTAGCCTAGGGGCGTGCTGAGCTTCACCCAGTGATTAAAAGGCGATTAATAAAACAGAAATTGACATCCATGGACACGAGTGGCATACCTACTACATATGTACGTATTTATATGTAGCTATAATCTACGCACGCCTACTACATGGGTCCCTGGGACTACCTAGTAGGGCAATTTCTCACCCTAGTAGTTGCCCGGGAGTACAAGTAAAGCCAGTAAGCGGCCATTTTGGGAATGACTGGGTAATAATAATTCTCGAGCGGAAAATTCTGGATGAAATCTACCTATCATCCTCTGAATCTTATAAAAGAAAGCGTATGTTGTATAGAGGTTCTGTTTATCTACAAAGTAGATGAGGTTCTAGTGGACCCGGGGGCCGGAGATTTCCAAATGTATCCATTGTACTAGTTAGGAAGGTGACATTGGGGCCATCACGCTATCCAGCCCTGGCTGCTGCCTGGATCGCGTATAGGCCGAGTTCTGATATTAAATGAGAATTCCATTATTGTACAAGTCGTCAGGTATCATTTGCAAGATATATTTTTACTTGGAAAGTCTGTGGCGCTTCATATCCTGAATGTTCAGTCTCTTCACCACAGTTCTCGATCTAGACCTTATCTTCTGGGCCGCCAACGCCCTCAAATTGAGCTGCCCTGGGGAGTCTAAACGAGATGTTAACATTGTGAACGGCTGACAGCTCACAGAGAAGCAGTGTATGGCTTACCTATTGCGGGCATCGCGAATACCACCCTCCTCCTCGGGAATCACACGACGGTCGCTGTCACAGGCAGTTGAGCCAGGGCCGTACTTCACACTTGTAGGCTGAGAGAATCGCTTGTCAACCATCTCGTCAACACCAGACTCAACAGCTTGAATGGCTGTTAGTATAAATAGTATCGGTTAAGACCTGTTTCTCCACGTACTTGAGTCACTCTTTCTGCCGGTACCCTGCCTGGACTGGTAGGAGTTAACATCTCTCTCGGCGTTGACGGCGAGCCGGTTCAATTCTTCGGTGCGGGGCATGTTGTTTGGGCTTCTTATATATGTAGGCGACCTGATGGGTGTTTAAGATAGAGCTGAGCTTAGATATTTCTATCTACATTGTACTGAATTGCGCTTTATATACATCGCTCTGGATCCCTATCCACATCCACATCATACCTACTTCACTTCAGTTGGAGATTTTAGTTGCATCATGCTACATCATAGGTATGTCACAAGAAGGAAGAGGGGGAATGTTGTATGGGTATGTGAACGGAATACTTGTGCTTGAAACCCCAAGGTCATAGATCCAAGTTTGATAACACTGTAAGCTTCCAAAGTTGGAAGTTGCTTGAGGCTGACTTTGTCTCCACTACAACATAGGTAGGACCTCAGAAACCTCAGGAGCCCTAGCAGCAGATCTGAATCGGGACAGAATCTAGGGTCCAGCCCTAGGGTTCGGCGGGACCGGAGTATGGCTTTTCCGGAGGCGGGGAGTTTATGCTGGAGAGGGACCTCAGGAGCTCCGACGAGATAAGTCAGTTCCTTGATCAATTAGCATCTTGGAATTCGCGCAGAACGTCTTTTCATGAATGTCGAGTGATTCAGGGCACTTCAGTGAAACTCTGATCTGGTGCTTGTGTTAGCAGAACTACAGGCTTTACAGGTCTTTTTTTTCACGCGTCGATCAACACTGCTATTCACCATGCCCTTTGCCATCGAAGCACAGGGCGAGACCAACCCACTCAGCCCCCAAAATGTGCTCAATACGCTAGTCCTTGCGGCAAGCTCGTCTCAGCAGCAAGTTCGAACGGGCACTGAACAGCTCCAGAACTGGGAGAAACAGGGCATGTACTACTCTTTTCTACAGGTATCAGTTGACAGTCTTGGTTGTTGTGGCTGTTTCACGTAATAACACATTTTACAACATACAGGAAGTTTTTCTCGACCAGTCCGTACCGAATGAAGTTCGTTATCTCGCCATTATCCAACTGAAGAATGGCATCGATAAATACTGGCGCAAGACAGCACCAAAGTATGTTATCAGAATATAGCTGAAACGAGGGCATGCTAACACTGATGGAAGTGCGATCAAACCAGACGAGAAGGTACATATCAAGACCCGGGCTCTTGAGGCAGGAATCGTTGAGCCCGCGCCGCTGTTGGCTCTCCATAACTCACTGATGATTGCTAAAATCATGCGATTTGAGTTTCCTCATGACTGGTATGGCAAGATGCAGCTTTGTGACTGCTCATTCTAATTTCGCTTAGGCCCGATGCTATTTCATACATCATTTCCTCACTCCGATCCTCCGTCCAACCTGGAGCAAATCCACTCCAACTTCCACGAACGCTCCTCATATTGCTACAAATAGTCAAGGAACTATCCACGGCACGGATTCAACGAACGCGACACAATCTTCAGTCTGCATCGCCTGAGATATTCCAGCTACTGGGAGGCATCTATGTTGATAAAGTCAATCAATCGGGGGCGATACTGGAGCAGGGTGGTGCGGGCGAGGGGAAATTGCTGGAGACGCTCGAATTGAGCTTGATGGCTCTCAAGGTCCTAAGGCGCCTGATCATTGCTGGCTTTGAACACCCCAGTCGCAACCAAGAAGTACAGGGCTTCTGGCTGCTGACACATTCACACTTCAGCAAATTCCATTCTTTCGTGGACGGGTCTACCAATTTACCAGAGCCAATTCATCGGTCTATCGAGAAGCATTTGTTGCAGATGTCGAAGTTGCATGTTGAAATGGCCAAAACACATCCCGCATCTTTCGCGCTGCTGCCGGAGAGTATCTCGCTTGTCAAGTCGTACTGGTCATTAGTCGTCACACTCGGCGAGAAGTATGACAGCCTTGGTGCTGGGGGTGAAGATGAAGGGAAATCATTGACTGAGAAGACTGGCCTCCGGGCTCTACTCCTGATTCGTGCGTGCGCAAAGATGGCGTTCAATCCTGCTCAGACCTTCAAGTACCAGACACCGGAAGACAAAGAGGAGCGGAAACAATCTGTTCAGCTCGTCAAAATGCAACTATTCACCGAGGAATTTGTGATCAATGTCATGGAACTACTCGTCACGCAATTCTTCAGGTTCCGCAAGATCGATTTTCAAGATTGGGAAGAAGAACCCGAGGACTGGGAGAAGCGAGAGGAAGAGAACACTGATGCTTGGGAGTTCTCAATCCGTTCATGCTCGGAGAAACTTTTCCTCGATCTCGTGATTCACTTCAAGGATTTACTGATTCCACGATTGCTGACCGTATTCTATACTTTCGCAAGTGAGTTATGGATGTTCTATATAAATTGTGCGCATCTCTAATATTTATACTACAGACACCGACAACCACAATGTGCTGTTGAAAGACTCGCTGTATTCTGCTATCGGTTTGGCAGCGGCCAGTCTTGAACAGCACCTGGACTTCAATGCATTCTTGGAGCATACCTTGGTTACTGAGGTCCAGTCTCAGGAACCGGAGTACAAGCTTCTGCGGAGAAGAATCGCGCTCATACTTGGCCAATGGGTCCCGGTTAAGGCAAGCGAACTTAACATGAATGCGATTTACCAGATCTTCCAGCATTTGCTCGGCAAGCATGATCCTTTGAACGACCTGGTCGTCCGTATCACTGCCGGTAGGCAACTCCGGAGTGTACTTGACTCATACGAATTTTCGTCCGAAGCATTCATGTCATTTGCGCCTACCATCTTGGAAAGCCTCATGTCTCTTGTTCAAGAAGTCGAATCATCAGATACAAAGATGGGGCTTTTGGAGACGGTTCGCATGGTGGTGGTTAAGATGGAAGATCATGTAAGTTGCTACCTCGTTTTCGTTGGCAGCTGCATAACTCATAATCATAGATCACCCCCTTCTCCGATCGAATCATCTCTTTACTCCCACCGTTGTGGGAAAGCTCTGGCGAAGAACACTTGATGAAACAAGCCATCCTGACTTTGCTCTCATCTCTGACCCAGTCGCTGGCTCAGGAGTCCGTGAGGTATCACTCTCTGATTCTTCCACTGATCCAAAGCTCTGTGGAACCTGGCTCGGTAAGCACCCTGTGAATCATGCTGCACATATCAACTCACCTAAACTTTTGTCAAGGAAACCATCGTTTACCTTCTAGATGAGGCACTGGATCTCTGGCATGCCATAATCCAGGCTACGCCATCTCCTGCCTCACCCGAGATCATATCGCTCCTCCCGTCGTTGTTCCCCATTCTTGAAGCGGCAACAGATAGCACCCCGCAGGCCATCCATATCCTTGAATCTTATGTGTTCCTCGCGCCGCAGGAGATTCTGAGTGACCGTTTCCGCTTCCAAATCATGGTGATCCTGGAATCACTACTCAAATCCACAACCAAGCAACGTCTCGGTGTGATACCTCGTCTTGTTGATTTAATACTCCGCGGAGCCGAGACCGTCGACGGCGGTAGCGAAGCAACCTATGGCATTATTTCCCAATCCCTTCTGGACAGCTCACTCCTTGCCTCCCTGTTAGAAGGCCTTTACTCTGCCTACGAAGCGAGTCAGACATCTGGCCCAAACAGAAAGTCCTCGCCTGTGGTCGGTGTTGTCGAAAGCGACTACTACTCCGTGCTAGCACGCCTTGCGTTGGCCAGCCCTACCATCTTAGCCTCATCCGTCGCAGCCGCGACAAACTCATCCGAAGAATATGCTCTGACCTGGATTTTGACCGAATGGTTCTCACACTACGACAACATTGGCAGCATTAACCAAAAGAAACTACACGTGCTTGCACTCACCCAACTCTTGGCCCTACAAGGACCACCACTCGATCCATCCCTCCCCCCTCCACCCCCAGCCTACATCCTCTCCCACCTGCAATCATACTTGAGTGTATGGACAGATCTTATCACCGAATTAGCAGACGGTAGCACCGATCCCAATGCCGATTATCTGGTCTGCTGGAATGCACCACCCGGATCCGAAACCGCGATGCCAGAAACCCAAGAGGTCGAATCGCCTGAGATCGTTCGTCGCCGCGACTGGCAGTCCGGGGATGCAATCCATCGTTTCATGATCCGAGACTTTGTGCGCCACCGCCTGCAAGAGGTTATTGCTGGCTGTGGTGGCGCCCAACGGTTCCAGGATGAGTGGCTAGTCAACGTTGACACCGAAGTTGTTGCAGCGTTTGGGGCACTTGGCCTACTCTGATTAAGTGAAGAGGACCTTGGACTCTTTCATATCAGCATAAGTACACATCAGTTTCATTTGCATTGCCACCATTATCCTGTACATGCTTATTGTATCCCCCATATTGTTCGATTTGCATGACCGCCTGGTCCATCCATACCTATTCCACTTTTAGCACTGCCGGAATCCTAGCTACATACCCAATCCATAGAAACATTCTCAAAGCTTATTGGAATTGCTAGATTATGTCCTCTATGAGGATCTAGAGTGATCAAGTTAAGGTTGTCCCAGTAGGCTCCACATGTACCGAACCTTCCTAGGTTGGAAACTACTCACGTGGCTATCTACATGTTGATATCATTTATGAAAAGGAGTAAAGAACTTGGAGCAAAAGAATATCAGTGCAATTGTTGGTTTCACAACCAAACCAGCAAGCCCTAGAAATAAACACTATAACACCTTGCGGGACTAACTTGCTTAATGCAAGCCCGAAAATAACCAAAGAATATGAATCCAGTCCGGACAGATAATTGGACAAAAGGAAACTCAATAAACGTCACAAGTAGAAGCAGAAGCGTGCTCCATGCAACATCTCAAAACAAAGAGCAAAAAGGTACATAACTAGTAGCGCTCAGCACTGGCCGGGGAATTGACGGCTAGTGACAGGGTTGGGGAAGACACCGGCAGCCATCTGCTCTTGCATATCCCACTCAGGGGCACCCTCGGTCTTCCAGGTCCAGTAGAGCCAGCCGGTACCCTTCTCATAGGCATCAAGTTGACCTTCGATGAAGCGACGAATGTTGCTCTGGTCAGCCTGAGACAGAGCACTCACGGATCCGCTAGACTTGCCCGCACAGCTGCCGATGTAGCTGCTACCAGAGAAAGTACCATCGTAGCGAGCACCGATACCCTTTCCATTCAGGTACTTGGCGCAGTCGGTCATGGCACCGGTCCACTCACCAACAACAGTCCACTTATCAGAGGTCTGAACGTGGTCTTTGGCAAAGCTGCAGACGTTGTTGACGTGGGATGCCGTGTCGAGGGTGAGAATACCATTGTCAAACACCTCGTAGTGATGGGTGTCCATCATCACATACCAGACACCGGTAGACTGGCTCATGAAGCCGTTCCATGACTCAGTAGGCACGAAACCGTCATGCAGGACGAGCGTGGTGTTGTCGCTTGACTGTCGGATACGGCCCCAAGAATCATAGTAGTACTGTCTCAGACCATCCTGGCTCACTCCACCTGGGATACTAGGTTCGTTCAAAGCCTCGATGGCAGTCACGACGTCTCCATCATTTTGGTAGCGTGCGGCCAGAGCCTCCAGGGCATCCTTGGTGGTTTCAACAGTATCACCCTGTTGCCATCTGATAGCACCACGCTTTCCACTGTTGTCAAAGCCATTTTGAGAGCCAGGGGCTGTGTTATTGGTCAGTTGTTGTCATATAATATATAGATGCGAAAACATACCTCCGTGCAAGTCAAGCATGACCTTTAGACCGGCAGAACGAGCCCAGCCGATCGCCTGGTCGAGATGCTCAAGCTGACCATTGACGTATGGGTCACCGTCCAAGTGCTTGAGGGCCCAGTATCCGACAGGGATTCTGACGTGGTTCATTCCTGCGCTGCGGATTTGTTGCAAGTCGTCGGCAGTAATGAAACTGCTCCAGTGGTCGGACAGAACAGAGCGACATTTTTCCGCACCCAAAGTGGCACAAAGCGACCACTCGTCAACAGCGGACTCGCCAGCTGCTTCAAAAATAGATGGAGTAATCCAGGGCTCTAAGACCAGCCAACCGCCGAGGTTGACACCCCGGATCTTGTTGACACCATAGTCAAAGTTGAGACTCCTATACACCGATGTATGTTAGTATCTGTATGAACTTGCGTACAGTAGAACTGTAGGACTATAGTTTGATAGAGGGGTACTTACACTGCGGGTGAAGCATGCACCAAGGCAGCCAATAGAGACAGCCCGAGCAGTGACTTCTCCGCGAGCTTGGACATAGACGGCATATTGAAAACCCTAACTTAGTCAAACCCGGTAAATCAGGAGGCTGGGATTGAAAGATGAAAGAATGAAGAATGAGGAATGATTAGATTTGAGTTGAATGGCTGGGGATCAGCTATAAGTAACTCAAAGAAGGTGATCAGGTGGCCGGATGCAGGTAAACGAAAGGTTACTTGGGCGGGAACGGAAGTCCCCATGGGGCAGAATAGTTGAAGCAAAAGTAACGTACCTATATAGACTATTCTTCTGAATCAAGAGGAAGGTGGAGTGGCCGAAAACGGTGATGGGTGTATCCCGGTTTGTGTTTTATAAAGGCACAAAGGCCTTTGTTTTCTTGGGAGTGGGGAATCGGCTTCTTCCGACGTCTGATATGTTGAAGAACAAGATAATATACCGAGGAAACTTCGACTCGACTTGTATATGTTCTAATGTTCTGGAAGCTGCGACCCATGTATACTTATTCGGGAAAGCTATACTCCGTTACCCTATATCATTTAGCTTTCGCTTGCCATTTACAATTTTCATTTCGACCAAATACTTCAAAGATAGACCAGATCACCTTGCAATCATCCTATGACTTACATGTTCAACTGGAACAGTGCCAAATTATGTTTGCAGCTTCTAACATTCCGCGAGATGATCAGCACGTGGAACTTGGCACCTCTTATGGAATGTGGCTTCTGACTTGGCAGCTTATGGGCACCTAGCTTGAGCTTGAGTATAAACATATCTATCTACGTAAGCTGATATTGGTGTGAATCCAAACTCAATTAATTTCAAATTATACAAATCAAGGTATGCCGTTTCACAGGGGATCTGCTTAGGAATAAAAATGTACCTTGCTGTGTATAGGTACAGCCATGGACATATGTGAATTCACAATAAAGCTCTTATTTAATAAATCCAAGTGTTATTTAGAACCGAATAAACTGTCTAATATGTGGTTGAGACCTGTCCTCGGTACTTCCGTTTCCGGCGACAAGTACATTATATCTGAGACAAAGGAAGAACCGAAATTTATGACGTGCATTGTACCCCAGAAAACCTTAGTGTTACGCTCCTACACTCTTCCGCCTAATTCAGGGGCTATCTTCTTTCTGTTCGCCGAGTCGGGAAGAGTATGGGTCTAGACCTTGCAGGTCTCGGGATTTGTATTTGTAACCTTGAGCTCACATATAAGAGAATGCTTGGACAAGAATGTGAAAAATGTCAACATATCGGAATGTTCATCCACATGTTTCATGGGTCTCGGCCTTTGTGATTTGAGCGACCTACATGTCACTATGTTGAATTTTATAACTAACTCGCTGAAGACTTTTCTACTAAGTTAGAACAGAGCATTAAAATTACCTGCAAAACTATGAAGCATTTACCGAGTAGCATGTAGACCAGTCACTCGTTTATTGCAACGGGCGCCGCTAATTGTCGAAGTATAGACCAAATTCACTTGCTAGTTACTATAAGAATCCTGTCTGACCTTCAATTTTGTACAGCAGTCTGATCGGAGATCAGGCTTACAATACATAGAATATTCTATGACAATTCCCAAGGTAAAAGAGAGAACGAGTTGGGATTCCTGTATACTATACCACACATCTCTTCCAGAGACCGGCAAATGTCTCTAATTGCTCTCGGGTTGGGCCTCAGTAACCGACGCATCCAAAGGAGCGGAAAGTCCGACCCGGTCAATAGTGCGAGTGTAAGTGATACCGCCGTTTACTCTGTCCTCGTGTACGACCAAATCCTTGCGATTAGTGTCGACAAGTAGACGGATCAAGTCTGGGCGCATATAGTGACCGCCGAAATCGGCCAGAGACTTAGTCAGATGGATCTCATCGAGGTCAATCTGTTTGACAGCTAATTAGTTTGACATTCTTAAGACTAAAGCATCCTCCACTTACGTCAACGAAAAGAAGTCCTTGGAAGTCTTTGTCGGGGTGAGGAACGAGATTCTGTCCATCGGGCCCGAAGATACGGCCATTTCCGTTGTAGATGTTGGGATCCTCAAGTTCTTTTCCGGGAGGTGTGTTGAGCTTGATTCCCTCCGCAGTAATTGTCTGCCACGGTGCGAGAGTGAATGAGCCGGTCTCGATCGCGTAAGCAGGGGTAACAAGCTGAGCAGTCTTGTCAGTAATCAGACGAACTCATCGCAAAATGAAAAGAAAATAAAGGGAAACATACATCTGCGTTTGCCTCAGCCACATTGGTGTACGGGTCCGGATACTTGAGGGTTTCTTTTCCGGGATACAGAGGCCAAGCAGCGATGTGCACCTGCTCGCCGAGCGAGGCAGCGTACGCCTTTAGGAAAGGGTTCATGTTCTCCCAGCAATTCAGGTGTCCAATGCGGCCGATCTCGGTGTCCATCACTGACTCGGTAGTGTCACCAGTTCCATCTCCGAAAACTAGGCGCTCAACGTGTGTAGCCTTGATTTTGCGACGGTGATTGATGACATCTCCGGCTGGGCTGATCATGATCTGCGTCGTATACAAGCTGGCGAGATCAAGCTCCGAGTATCCAAGAGACACCCAGATCTTGTTGGCTTTGGCTGCTTCACGGATGCGGCGCATTTCATCCGAGTTGGAGGCGAGACTGTTCTCACGGTACTTCTTCAGCAGTGGCAAGCTCTCCTGGTAGTTCACCTTCCAGGCCCAGTATGGGTAGCCGGGGATCCCTATTAATATTTGTTAGTACATTGTATCGGGTACATGGGACTGGGATACTGACACAGCTCGGGAAAAGCAATCAGCTTGCAGCCTTCCTTTCCTGCTTCGTCAATCCAGTGGATTGTCCGGCGAACGGATTCCTGGAGATCGAACCAGCCGGGCTCAGCATTGACTGCTGCGGCCTTGTACTTCTTGAGAACGGGAACCATGTTGAGATGTTGCTTTTACTGTCACGAGTGTTTGCTTTGAAGACTGTTGTGTAGAATAAAAGTCTCTCTCAAGCTTGCGAAGGACCTCAATTTATAGCAACTCAAGCTGTCTTCGATGTTGGCTTTGAAACAACGCCGTGCACCTCCCAAACCCCGAAACATAGTATGAGCAACATCGTAAGATTCGGAGGCTCTCGGATTCGGGAATTGCTATGAAGTTATTGAATAACCTTAGCAGTAAAGTGCGACTCTGGGAGACGGGAAATGGATACGGGGTTTGCTTTAATGTGGTATCACGGTGGAGGAGAGTTCCCGGAATTTCGACATTTCGCATAAGCAAGCGTATATTACCTATCCCGGGATCTGCTAAGGCTTTATCAGATTTGAATCATGCCATGAAATGTAGGCCTTCTCATTGTAGAACCTCGGTGTTCCATACTAATCCCGGGTTGTTCCACCCAAATCCCGATATCAACCCAATCCCGATGGAAATGTTCAGTCACCATGCTGAGTGGAATAAGGGAATTGCATTGCTTGAATATTATTGCAACCTAGAGATCTCGGATCTCAATGATATTTAACTAGACAGTCGCATAAGACCAATTGCCGCTCCCGAATTCTTTATACATAGATGCAGGCAAATGTCTTAATTAGGTAATTTTGTATACACGCCGCCATATTCTAGCTCTCTGTCACATGACGCCTTGGATCTTGGACCATGTTTACTTACCGAGCTGGATGCATATAATCGCGAATGAAGCATCTGTTGTTCCTGAAAGACCTTGGGTTCGTCGTAAGAGCGACATCTCCGTTATAGCACACATATTATATCATCAACACACTCGGAAGAACTCAGGAGAGAGATATAGATGCCCTAACGCTTGCTCAATGCTCCCCAGTGCTCAGTGGTAACTAATTATGGCAGTATATATTTGTCCGGGACTTGGTGACACCCACGGTGACCAGACTAAAATCCTCGGAATGTATGCTAGAGTTAATCCAACTATTGGACTTTTGAGGAGACGCCACTCGTTTAGTCTTCCAAATAAGTACCGCATGTCAGTTGATAGACACTGCCTCCCCGCACCTAGCTTTGGCATATAAAGTTAGACTATGCTTTCAACGCAGATGTGAGATGTAAATGTCTTGCAATTTTTGCCTTGGAATGCTAACTACCAAAAGAATATATATAATCGTGCCCAGACATCAAAAATTCTCATTTTACTGTATTTTCAGCACAGCTGTTCAATGTAAGTGCTTCAGTGGATAGCTCTGGTTGGGTTTCTCCTTTTGCCTTTAGATAGTGTTCTACTATGGCTACTTCACAATGCGACTGCAATCCCTCGGAGGAATATGCCCTATCAGAGCCAATATATCAGTTTCAATGGAGTCATTTCGACCATGTTTAGCAATCGAACTGTCCCTTCTATATAGAATCGGTGTAATCGGGTCTGTTGCACATGTTCTGGATTGGAGCAACACTGCCATTTATCATTTTATTTTTGCATAAGAAATGGCTGGACTCGCAACTTCTGAAAGCTATCCTTTGGGTCACCTTACTTCCTATTCATAATGAGGGCTGGTATAACTGACCAACTCACCTACGATTTGAGACTGGTTCTTGATACTACACATTTGGGATCGGTTATATTTTCAATAAGATCAACACCCATTAATTGTGCAGGTTCCCAACGATAATTCACAATGAACTAAATGAATTATGCTGATTTCATTATTTTCTCAAGAATTGGAAGGTTGGTATTGCCAGGGATGAGCCGCACTGGGGGTAAATTTTCACTAGGAAGGGAAGGCCATCAACGGGGTTAGGGACAGAATGTGATCTAGCCCGTCGGGGCCCTCGTAAATCAACACGGAAAGAATTCGTTTAATTGCTTAAAGGCTTCATTACACTATCACGCCATTATTCGAGCCCAATATCGGAACGTCAACTGAACCTCGGGGCTCACCGTAAAGCCCCGCTCATAGAACGCGGGGAAGAACGTGGACGGAGTAAGGCCGAAGCCCAAAAACCAGCCATTATCCTAAGCTTGGGCGGAGGCAGCAATCGGCTAAAAGTCTCGCCAATTGAGAAGAGGAGATCGTCGCGCCAAGCCAAGTCTCCGAGGGTCATGGCGGCCTTTCTTACTCTTAAATTGAATGCTGATACAACCTCAATCTACCACGTCAGAGACAGCGGGGTGGCGCGACATCCGTCATGAAGAGTAGGTGAATGATTGATATATTGTGATCTTGGCCAGACAGACCTATTTATCAAATATCCCGCTTGGGGTGCGGACCCTGGTGTGCCATGCAATCCGGACGCAAGGGATTGGATAGAAATCTCGATCCTTGCTGGTAACAATGCGAGATCAAATCATTCCATGTAAACATGACTTCATTCTTAGCCTTATGCATATGAGATGCATATATCGGCCAGCGGATGAGACACCAAGCAATAGAACTTCCCTTGCACATGAAATATATGCCTTGGTAAAGGTAAATTGGTTGTCGCCCGTGTCTTGTGATCGGCGTCAAGTTCTCACGGTATTGGGCAGAGTAATCGGCATAAACCGAACATTCCGTCGCGTGAGCAGAAGCCCACTCAGGCTAGAGCGAGTATTTTGTTGGCGAGAAATGCTCCACAGAATACCTACCACCGCCATGATTTGTTGTTCCCTACGGAGTAGAATCGGACGAGGAATAAGGGCCGTAAAACCTGTTGAGAGACTGTTATCATCGTGCGTCAGTAGTGTGCTGGTAATTTCGATTTGTCTAGAGAATCTACAGCTTGAGTTGTGCGTAGCAGGCAGTTCACTTTTTGTGAAGGGCTCACTATGTGCACATCACATTGCCCGCCAGTCCTTGGCTGCTGCACTTGGCTCCTTTGCTGTCAATAACGCCAAGCAGTGGCTAATGCTCCCTGTGATCAGACGCTAGCCAGCAACCGAAATGCTCGCGGTCCATAGTGACGGTGAATTTCTGGGCATCCTGTGTACTTCCTGCGGGGTTAGCCCTTGTGGAGGCCTCTGCCAAGTGGGCATGTTGTATGCAGGGAAGCACCGTGCCATGAGTCCGTTAGTCCGGCCTACGCAGGGTCCGATGTATTTAAATCCAGGGACTGGCCCAATCATGCTCAGAATGTGACATTTTATTCTGAAGATCTCCGGTGTTGTCGCTGTTGTGTGCGCATATTTCTGTCAGCAGATCTAAGTGCCTCCGATCAACATGCATTTGGCTCAGAGTTTTGTCTTGCTATGTCTGGTGGCGACTGGTATAGCTCTGCCTACCAATGAAGACATCAGGACCCAGGAACTTAAGGCGCGCGGTCCGGGTTACTCTCCTAAGCAGCCCCCCTTGACAACACCATGGACCAATAAAGTCGGAACGAAGCCATGGCCCGAATATCCGCGGCCGTTGCTAGAGCGCTCCGCATGGAAGAATCTCAACGGAGTGTGGAAGTACCAAAGTGCTGCAAGCCTCGATGCTGTCCAGCAACCACCTTTTGGGCAGGAGCTTGCACAGGAAGTTTTGATTCCGTCGTGTCTTGAGAGTGGATTGTCTGGTAAGACCTGCCTTGTTTGGTACATTGTCAAACATTCAATTAACAATTATTCGCAGGAATCCAAACAGATTCAGCTTTCTACTCTTGGTTTTCGACATCCTTTAAAGTATCTCCTTCTTGGAAGGGTGAGCAGGTACTGCTCAATTTTGGAGCTGTAGATTATGAAGCCACAGTCTTTGTCAATGGCCAAAAGGCAGGCTTCCACCGTGGCGGATACTTCCGCTTTGCCTTAGACGTGACAAAGTATCTGAAATTTGATCAGCAGAATGAGCTGTGAGTATCCGGGATCACAACGCAGTCGACTTGCGTATCTGACTTCGAATATAGACTTGTTTTTGTACATGATCCCACTGACGATGGCGACTATGTTATCCCCATTGGAAAGCAGACCCTGAGGCCGAGTCACATCTTTTATACGCCCTGCAGTGGTATATGGCAAACTGTTTGGCTTGAGGCTGCCCCAGCCAACCACATTACCAAACTCGATCTTGACGCAAACATGGATGGCCAAAGTAAGTGTCTGGTGACAGTTTATGGAAATGTCTCATTAATTCTGACTTGTATGTAGTAAGTATCACTGTACACAGCTCCGCCACTGATAAGCCCGCCAACGCCGAGGTCACTGTCCACAAAAATGGAAAGACTATTGCAACCCACAAAGGCCCCACCAACAAGCAATTCCAATTCAAAGTATCTTCGCCCAAGCTCTGGTCCCCGGACTCGCCTAACCTGTACAATGTGACTGTTAAACTCGGCAAAGATAAAGTGGAGAGCTATGTTGGCTTCCGTACAATCTCCAGGGGTAAGATTGACGGGGTTGAACGACCCTTACTCAATGGGAAATTTATCTTCATGTTCGGAACCTTGGATCAAGGCTATTGGCCTGATGGTTTATACACACCTCCCAGTAAAGAGGCGATGGTGTACGATCTGAAGATGCTAAAGAAGTTAGGATTCAACATGGTCCGCAAGCATGTGAGTGTCGACATGTCACACTATATCCCATTGTCTCTGTTGCTCACACTATGGAATGCAGATCAAAGTTGAGACCGACCTGTTCTATCGAGCATGCGACGAGCTCGGTCTGCTTGTAATTCAGGACATGCCTTCCCTACGTCCGTCGCAGTCCAGGAGAGGAGCAGATGGTAACTTCCATACTATTCTACCGGACGAGAAGCAGCAGGCCGAGTTCGCTCGCCAGCTAGATTTGTTGGTCAACCAGCTCAAGAGCTTCCCCAGTGTTGCAACTTGGGTAAGTTCAAATTTCTAGTGAGAGCAAGAAATATTCTGACCTGAAGCACTATAGGTCGTGTACAACGAAGCCTGGGGTCAGATCAGCAACAACCCCGAGTTTGAGCTGACCGAGAGGGTCAGACAACTGGACCCCACTCGACTTGTGGATTCGACAAGTGGTTGGGACGACCATGGCGCTGGAGACTTTAGTGTATGCACCCTTCCCGTGTGACATACCCACGTGGCTAATTAACTTGTTTTAGGACAACCACCACTACGCAAACCCACAATGCGGCACTCCATTCTATTCCCTACGTTCTAGCCCACACGATCCTAGCCGGATTGGGTTCCAGGGTGAATTTGGTGGCATCGGTACTAATGTATCCATTGACCATCTCTGGAACAACCAGAAAGCTATCGATACTATCGACCAAACATACGAACTCGACGAAACCATCGAGGCATGGAATTATCGCAGCCACCTTCTCCTGAACGAGCTCGAAGATCAGGTCCGCCTGTACGCATGCAGTGGGGGCGTCTGGACACAGACGACCGACGTCGAAGGCGAGGTCAACGGTCTGATTACTTATGACCGTCGCGTGTCAAGAGTCAACGAGAAGCAGTGGCAGGCAGATATTAAAGCTCTCTATGATGCTGCTGCCGCAAGGAGCAAGGCTTGAAATTCTCATAATATATTTAGTGGACACTGGACCGACTGCACCATCCGAGGCTATCTGGATGTGACGAGAACGGAGTATATAATCTTTATTTTGACCATTATCTCTAAATGGAACCTTATTCTATCAAAAATGATCAATCGCGGGCGTCGGTAAGCCCTAGAACTTATGATCAGCAGTCCACGACACGCATTTGTTACTTTCTTCAACCCCACTGTTTCATCTTGACTGGTATTATATCTCTGACAGCTGTCAATGCCGTCCCCAGAAACCTTCCAAGGTTGAGACTGATTAGATTGACTTTTATAAACCATGGAAACAAGCCGTCCAGATTCATGGTACACAGCAGTCTCGTGAATCGACTGGAACCACAAGACGTCGAGCCTTGTGTTCTAGGCCTAAAGAGTGCGAAAATTCGTCACTAAGGCGGCAGTGATCGTCTACCGCGCCTATTTTCGAAACATCCCAAATTGAATAGGATAGAACAAAAAGGGAAAGTCCCCTCTGATCTATTCATTTTGGAGAATTAAAGCAATCAAAGCTCAATATGGGATCTGGTCTCGATTTTTACCCCTTTCGTTTGGGAGGAAAAAAATTTTTCATCCAATATAGCTAATTAGAAATCTATTGATCATGCCATACCCACCAGCACTCCCGATTTAACCCATCATGCCATGCCATCACACGACACGAATTTGTTAATAGATTTAGATTTAATTGCGGGTAGATAGTCCATCGAATGGCCCCAATTCTCCAGTTTAGCGTTGCTTGACGTGCATGTGTTCACTGAATTTTTTACGCCATTCCCCGTTAGCTCCGATTGCCCCTATTTTGTATATTGTAGGCTTGCAAATTGTGTATTCCTTTGGACCCACACATCCACCAGTTCGCTTTCTTCTAGAAGCATATGCTTACTTAGGGGCTTTGTGGTTGGGCAAATTCTGTAGTCATAGTTCAAAGCTCAAGATTTTGATCTCAAGTTGTTGATCAAAAGTTAAAATTTTGAGTCACCGATTGAACTGACGACTGATGCATATGTATCTATCTATTATGGATTATTACACCCTAAGGCACCCGAATATGACTAGTAAGACCCGAACCCACTTCGTCCCGGGTTCTCAGCGAAACCGTTGGGCCCGTAGCGGAGTTCCGACTGTCCGTAGCCAGTGATCAGGTGTGAGATTCAAATGCCAAAGATCCATTTCAATCTACAACATAATTAATTAGCTTCGTTAGCACGGGCAATGGTTCACGGGATAGACATATGTGTGATCTTTTATGCCCAGCATCTCAAAAAACGCCATCTGATCGTACATATGCTGGGATGACATAGATCAACGGAGGTCTGACAGCACCACGTGCTTGTTGCATCATTCTTCACGTTTCCAGATCGCTTGTTTCGGTCTGACTGGATAGCAATGGACCCTTGCCGTCCTTGGCTTTTTTTTCTTTTTTTCTTAGCTTAGATTACAGGGATCAGCCCACACCACATGTCTAGATGATCACTCCACTTTCGTAGTTGACTAAATTATCTCACCCTGTGGTCTGATTCGACCATAGGCACTTTACTTGCTTATCCAAATGAAGTCTTTAAGGAAAACCTCGGCTTGATATTACTGTGCTCGTATGAAATCGGGAAAGATCGCGTTTCTAGGTAGCAGTCACGGACCATCTGGTCCCAGGATTGCGTAGAGCGGATCCCAAAGAGAATGCATTTTACAGTTTAGTGGCTTCCAATCTAATCAGGTTGCATTTAATATAGAAGGACGGTGAACGGAGTAATAACGGGGATCGCGCATCCATGGTATAAATACTCGATCCGCCAGTCTTGCCATGAGGTGCCCCAGTTTTCTCTTCTCTCTATTCGGTCTCCGATCTCGCTTCCATACTTCACTTTTTTTCTCCTAGACTTCGACTTTTCTCTCAAGGGTGATTCTATACCGAAAGGTACAATAGAACCATGGACTACAGTACAGCAACGGCTGCTGATCCGGTCCACGTCGACCGGAAGCTGCTCTACACAAGCTTGGAAGAGCGAATCAAGTATCTCCATAACTTCCTCGATTTCAACTCAAGTAAGCTCTTACCATAAACCCCTGTCATGGGTCAACGGCCACTAACATCTCCCCAGGCGATATTGAAGCACTCTTGTCCGGCAACAAATACATCAAGCAATTGATCCCAGCAGTGGTCAACCTCGTATATAAGAAGCTTCTCCAGTACGACATCACATCCCGAGCCTTCCACACACGGACAACAGCCGATGAAACCGAGCCCGAGGAAGATTATCTCCATGAAGAGACACCAAAAATCAAGCGACGTAAGATGTTCCTGCGGTGGTACTTGACGCGTCTCTGCCAAGACCCAACCACAATGGACTTCTGGCGGTACTTGAACAAGGTTGGGTAAGTTCATAATCGCCCACCTTTCCATCCCCAGGTCACCATTCCCGGGGTAAATTCTCCGCTTGTACAACACGCTAACGAGTTCGGTAACACAGCATGATGCACAGCGGACAAGCTCGCCTGTCACCATTGAACATCGAGTACATCCATCTCGGCGCTTGCCTCGGGTACATCCAAGACATCTGGATCGAAGCCATGATGTCCCACCCCCACCTCTCACTGCGACGCAAGATCGCGCTCGTGCGCGCCGTCAACAAGATCCTCTGGATCCAGAACGATCTCTTTGCCCGATACCACTCAAGCGACGGCGAGGAGTTCGCGGACGAGATGTCGGACTACGCCAGCTACACCCAAGATCAGGAGGGATACCTCGGCGACAAGCGCATTCTTGGCAGCAGTTCCGGTAGCTCAACCGAGGATGACCGGTCCAGTATTTCTAGTGGTGTGGCGCCTTCTATAGCGCCTTCTGTTGCGCCTTCTATAGACAGCGCGGCGCCGTCGACGACATCTAAGGTGTCAGCGTGCCCTTTCGCGGAAATGGCTAAAAGCGGTAACTCGACTGAGACGAAGATTTGGGCCAATTGAGGGGCTCCCCCTGTGTTATTGTGCGGGTCGCAATTTGCATCTTACAGGCGCTAGGGGTTAATATGGCTGGACTCTGGAATGGGGTTTTTGGAAATACACTTTGGCATAGACAGTGGAATAATACAAAAAGATCTTGAAGAAATTGGCATTGGGGCACCACCTACAATACCACATTCATCTCCTCACGGCGGAAAACTTCCGGCTTTGTCATCTTTTTCTCCCCACAACTACCGCGATCGGCTGTTATTCAAGGTAGTTGAAGAAGGCCTTTAGCATCTTATATCCGCAGACAGACCGGAGATAATTGAATCATTAGATAGCCCCTTCGGATATAAGTAACCGATCTACACAGGACCTTCATTCAATAGGTGAGAAACATATCAGAGTCTGCCCCCTTTGCGTCCCCACCACCCCCCGCCACTCTATTTGGTTAAGATCAGAGGACCGGGAGTTCTCTTATTAAACCAGTTCAGCCCCTCCATTCAAATAGACTTGCCCTTCGCCGTATTAAGGAGATTCTCCCATATTAATATCATTTTCAACGCGCCGACACTCACAATGGCACAATCGAAGGCGGTGACCCCGCTTATGATCAATAATGAATTCATTGAGACCGATATCAAATTCGAGGTCCACGCCCCTGCCACTGGCGAGTTGAGTGGCTATTGCGCCGGTGTGTCGGTCGACGATGCCAACCGCGCAGTCGATGCTGCCCAGGCTGCCTTCCCAGCATGGAGCAAGACCAAGCCAAATGAGCGCCGCGACATCCTGCTGAAGGCCGCCGATATTATGGCCTCGCGCAAGGAGGAATTGATTCAGTACCAGCGTGAGGAGACCGGTGCCGGCCGGCCTTTCTCGGAGTTCACCTTCAATATGGGTGTGCTCTTCATCAAGGACTTTGCGGCCCGGATATCCTCGATCGAGGGTGTCGTGCCGAATGTCAACGGCGGGGAGGGTGCGGGAGCCATCGTATACAAGGAGCCATACGGAGTAATTCTGTCAATTGCGCCATGGTAAGCTTTGCGATCCGATCTGTGATATATACTGCAATTTATCAGCTGGCCTGGGGACTGTTTTTAACTGGTTGATAGGAATGCTCCTTTCATTCTGGGTACGCGCGCTGTTGCGCTCCCTCTTGCGGCTGGAAACACCGTTGTTCTGAAGGGCTCCGAGCTTTCACCCAAGTGTTTCTGGGCTCTGGGTGACATCTTCCGCCAGGCTGGCGTTCCCGCTGGATGTTTGAACGTCATCTTCCACCAGCCCTCTGACGCTCCGGCTGTCACCAACGCGCTGATTGCTCATAAGGCTGTGCGCAAGGTCAACTTCACTGGTAGCACATTGGTTGGCTCGATTATTGCCTCTACGGCAGGCAAACACATCAAGCCTGTGCTGCTCGAGCTGGGCGGTAAAGCGTCGGCGATTGTTTTGGACGATGCGAACTTGGATAAGGCTGCTATGAACTGCGCCATTGGATCCTTCATGCACGTACGTAGAGTTGATTCGATGGAGACAAGGATATCACATACTGACAAGCGATACACAGTCCGGTCAGATCTGCATGTCGACCGAGCGAATTGTCGTGCAGCGTTCGATCGCAGACGAGTTCCGGCAGAAGTTTGCTGAGACAACTGAGAAGTTGTTTGGCAAGGATGCGCCCGCGCTGGTCTTGGTTAACAGCGCGGCCGTCACTAAGAACAAGAAGCTCGTAGCCGACGCTGTGTCCCGTGGAGCCAAGCTGCTGTTTGGCGACGCTGATGCGAGCGAGTCCATTAACACAGGCATGCGGCCGATCGTCGTTGATGGCGTCACCAAGGAGATGGACATGTACGCGACCGAATCATTTGGTCCGACCGTGTCTTTCATGGTTGTGGACACTGAGGACGAAGCTATCGAATTGGCCAATGATACCGAATACGGCCTGACTGCGGCTCTGTACACCAACAACCTGTTCCGCGGGTTGCGGGTGGCCAAACAAATTGATTCTGGGTGGGTTTTTTGAGTTCCGGATACAGATCACATCATATTGGTGGAGATCGAATTTAGGCTAACTTGCCCTTTCTAGTGCCGTACACATCAATTCTATGACTGTACACGACGAGACCGTCCTTCCCCATGGAGGATGGAAGAGCAGTGGCTTTGGTCGCTTCGGAGGAATTTCTGGATACGATGAATTCCTCCAGACTAAGACTGTTACTTGGGAGGAATAGGTGTGACTAGACTCGCAGGTACATACTGTCCTACGAGTACATCGTGCATAGGTATACGACAGACCTGTTGTTTAGCCCCATTTTGGCTCCGTTTGGCCCCCGGCAGCATTGGGCCGCTACGGGCGACGGTTTCCCTAGTTGTATTGACATGGCTTGTTCTGGACTTGTTTAGAGCCAATTTGGGACTTAGTTGGCTTGGTCTGAACTTTGCAGTTCATCCAGCCAATGACGGAGCCTTCGGGCGTCGCCTAGATGTGCTCCATGAGGATGCGGTCCGGATACCCGGCTTATACTCCGTACTGCACACCGTATAAGCGAGTAGAATGACTCGGGATGACTCCATATGTGATTTGTGTTGCATTGAGACAGCGTAGTATACGACCGCACGGGATATTTTGGTATTTTCTCATCTTGTTTCGGAGCCTAGGATGTAGGTCTGTCTCACTCTGGTCATGAGGCTGAAGTCATGTGACGTACTCTTTTTTTCTCTCTCGGAAATCTAAAAATACTTACTTTTTTAATAAATAAAGGGCTTGAGCCTATGAATAAACATGATCTAGTGCAATTTCGGCCTTCGACCCGGTAAAGAAACATTTGAACCTCAATAGTTGGGGCGAAGGCGCTGAACACAAAGTTCCACCCTAAATTCAGGCACAGGGCCGTAGCAAATCACGAAAATTGCCCGGTGAGACACAATCCATTCTTGATTTTTATTTTTATTTCTCATTTTACGTGTCTTACTTCTACACCGTAAGAAATAATCGATTACAAAGTGCAAACAACATAGGATACTGAGACTATTATGATATCCAGAGTACAAAGTACAACAGTACATCATACTTCATGATAAACTTTGACCCCCCCTGAATATCAGACTGTTGATCTTTCCTAAGACATCATTACCCCGACGAACTCATGGGATCGGCGAATTTGATACTGCCCTATGGTCACGGACCTGTGTGGAGCTGGGTGATAGTCGTGATAAGTCATGAATATCAATGAATATCAGTGAACATCAGTGAACATCAAAATCTGTCCTTGCAGGTTACCTAGGTAGGGTTGAAGTCCTGTTTGCCCCGTGGAAAGACACATGGTATGTACGGATGTACCTGCATGGCCCAACGCCTGCAGGGCAGTACAATACCTGTATGGCTGCTGTCACAGAGCCTGGGCTTGAGGGGCGTAATCTCGTACTTGCAATTTCCGGGTTGCTTTCTTGGACGAAGTAGGCTATTCCTATTTTACAATGTAAACGCCAGTGGCGTAAATGAGCAATACATCTATTTTCGAACAATATACTAGACCAACCGGTAGGTACATAGTATATTTCCATACCGGGTAAATATACAATAAAGAGGCTCTTTAGGTACCATGGATAATCCTCGGATTAAATGTTTGGGCCGCCAAGGGTTCCACGGGTATTGAGGGAAACCTTCCTAGATTGGAATCTAGGGAAGGCTTAAGGTAAACAAACATGTCATCGGATTTCATATTGAATCCTCCTTCTAATTTCTCCCTTGGCCCCATAAAGTGACATTTTCTAATCTTACACAAGACATATTCTACATTAAAGGGTCAGCCGTTATCAGGAATAAAATTAAGTTCCGCATCATCCACCAATTAAAACTTGTGCCTGTCCATTTTGATGATTACTTGACCTGTATCACACAGCCTGGCGGTATATTACAATAACATCTGAGCCACAGCCGACCCGCATGCCCCACGAGGACAAGATCTTTGCGGCATGTCACCTTCGAACAGTTACCTGTTTACAACATTAAACCGGTTATTAAGGTGTGATGGATAACCTATACGAAGTACTTACCATTATTACAGGGTTTTAGGTCAAAGCCACAGTTGAAATTAAAAAAAAACTAAAAAAGTAGCCGAAGGAAATGAAGATGAGATTTGGTTGGTCTACTTCGTTTAGGCCTGTTGGTTTAGTTTAGTGACCCACCTTGGAGGTACCAACATCCTTGAAGTCTACTTTGCCTCGCCCTTCTTCTTCTTCTTCCTTTATTATCCCTCTCTTTTCAGTCCACTCCTTACAATCATTTTTTTTTTTTCGTTTTACAACGATAGCCACTCTTTATTTCCCACTAAAGTCATTCTTTGTCAATCTCGACATTAAATCAACATGCGTTTCTCCATCGCCACCGTTTTCTCCGCCCTCGTGGCTCTCGCTGCTGCCCACACTCAGCCTGATTACACCAAGAACCCTACCGGCAATGCCATCGTCGCTCCTGGCTTGAACGAGATCGTGCCCGAGGGAAAGACCTACACCATCAAGTGGACTCCTACCACCACCGGTCCCATCTCTCTGGTCCTCCTGCGCGGCCCCTCCACCAACGTTCAGCCCCTCAAGACTCTCGCCGAGTCCATCCCCAACAGCGGCGAGTTCAAGTGGACTCCTGGCTCTGACCTCGAGGCCGATGTTACCCACTACGGTCTGCTCCTTGTTGTCGAGGGTACCGGCCAGTACCAGTACTCCACCCAGTTCGGTATCTCCGCCGCTCCTGGATCCGAGAAGAGCACCACCAAGGCCACCGAGAGCCAGACTGCCGCTCCTGAGCCTACTTCTGCCTCATCCACCGTCGTTGAGAGCACCGTGATCACCACCACCATCTGCCCTGAGACCGAGTCTGCTTCTGCCACCACCACCTCCAAGGCCACCCCCAGCGGTGTCTCCCCCGTCGGTCCTCCTTCCAGCCGTCCCTGGACCTCCATCCCTCTCACCACCACCACCGCCGGTCCCACTGGCACTGCCTCCGCTACTCCTTCGACTTCGTCCCCCGCCTTCAACGGCGCTGGTCGCAACGCCATCAGCGTCGGTGCTGTCATGGCCGGTGTCGTCGCTGCTTTCGCTCTCTAAACGCGTTCCCTTTAAAAGGAATCGCGTGCCGATGGCATTTTCTTTCTTCTACAAGCCGGAAATAATGTTTGTTGTTTTCATATAAGGCTTAATTTATTTTTGATATCTTGATATGGGCTTTCCGAATCTTGTCTTTTGGCGGGGTTTCTGTATCTCATACCATGTTTTTCTTCTTATGTGCAATATTTCTCGCATCTCGCTCAGCTATGCTGTAATGTGAAGTTCATGTCCTTATGCTTCTTCCTACCATGTAGTCTACCTGACCCTGGGGCATGAGTCGAGTTTGCACCTGTATAGACTTGTAGATAATCTTAGCTATGCAAGTCATCGACTAGACTTGAAGATCTTCTATGGCCTCAGGCACCCATGCATTAGTGATTGTGATATGGACCCGCCAAGCATCATCTCCTCGTGGGAAAAGAATATAGTGTGATCGATAGACTTGCCTAAATGGTAATGGTGCAGATACCTCATTGTCATAAAGTTGCTCCGTACACAGAGGCAAATAGGGGCAAAGACAGGTTTGAAACTGTCTCAGCAAACCACCTAGGCAGCTGCCCAGATGCGCAAACGTCCATGTCTTACAGATGTAGTACACCAAACAAGCAAAGCAGCAAACCGATTGCATTTGAATATATGATGTATTGTCACTTTACCTTACAACCTAAGTCCAGGGTAAAAGTATGTCAGTCAACTTCTTTTTAGTGAATAATATGAACAGATTACGCCATGCCGCCATCTACCAGAGAGAATTTGATGCAGTGTAGCTTTCTTTTGATGATATATCATATTCTGGAGACTGTAATAAATATCGAACACTGCCCTTTAAGTTATCTACATTAATCTGCCATTCGTCCTCTGCCACCATTGCTGAGGACCATACGGAGTACTTCCTCGGCCACTTGCAACAGCCAAGTTCCTCCACCAACCCACCATGGACCAAGAAGACGTCTTCTCCCGACTCATTTTCACCATCCTTCTCCTTTTATCCGTGGTCTTTTTGGACCATTTCCTCGTGCCGATACTAGTCCTCCTGGCCCTTACAGCTCTCAATTATATAGACCAGCTATTAAATCAACTCCGCCCGTTCATACGGTTTTGATACTTCATCTTCCGCTACGGAACCGTACGTCCCCAATTCCAAGCACTACTTTGGTCATCGGGAATCAGGTTGAACATGACTATCAACATATTAGTTAGAACTGATCATTGACCCGGATCTCGGCTTCACTTACGCTCACCAAAGGCACCGAATGTATCGTCAAGTTGCTCGAAGATATCCGCAGATGGGTATTCAGATGGTTCGACAGGTGTCTGAACTGGCCCACTATTCCCCTGTGTTGATTGAGGCGTGTCTGGGGACTGTCTGGAATGGGACGGTAACGGGGTTGTCGATATTGGAGGATTGTCGCGGAAGTCTTCTCGTGATAATGGCGAGTGACCCCCAATATGGTCTACACGAACCGGTTGTACATTCGAAATAACATCTCTCTCAGAAATCTCCCTGGGAAGGTTTGTTTCAAGTCCCCCTCTCAATGCACCGGACATCTCTCGCTCGACGGTTACTTTTAACAACTCCGTCAGAAGTTGTGCAGTCTGCTTGGCGATACGGTTGTGGGGACCCAAAGCTGCGCTAGCATGGATGATACGCATGATTCCAGTCTTTGCTTCGTGCGCGGCTGTCGTGAATGGTTGACTGGTTGGCAGGATGCAAAGGATGACTCCTGCGGTGAATTGTTGTAGGGAAGCGAAGGATTCGGCGAAATGATGCTTGAAACGGAGGACTGGGATGCGAGATATTCGCAGTGCAGCTGCAGTGGCCACTCTCAAGGACTCGTGGATTGCGTCTACTACCAAGCGTGAGCAGGAACTAGTGATTTTCTGCTCGAGTAATGGTCGACGGGCTTGTATTAGAGCTCCATCGTATGTTAATTGGAGAGTGGCTGCCTGTAAGATGATTGTTTCTGCTTGGTATTTAGTGCGTTGCGGTAATCCTTCGATTTGCTGTTGGAATTGTTCTAGGCGGTTGCCGCAGCTCCAGAACTCGAAATCGAATAATCGGGGGACTCTCTTTCGCCAGGAGATTAATTGTTCCTCGGAATCTTGTGCAGCTTCTGCGATTGCCAGGAGGTCCGCTTCGATTGTCTCTTTTCTTAATTGGAGACGACGAAACCGCGAAAGAATGTGTCGGATAATGTTGTAAATCTCGTGTTTCATAGCGAAAAACGCAGCTGTCGTTGTCGGCATTCCATCGCCAGATATCCATTCATTTTTCAGTAGAAGCGGATCAATGGCCAGATCATCCATGTCTCTGAGCGAGTGCAAAGCGACCAATCCAGTATCGATAGAGGAGGGTCGACCATAGATGCTCGACGCGAACGTGTCAGCAACAATAGCCTGGTTCCAACAGCGAGATCGAATCTCATCCACAACTGGACTATCACATTGCGCAGACTTCGTATAAAGATGAAGCGCATACGCAGACCTCACACCCATACCAGAGACAGTCCAAGCAATACTCGGCGAACTATGAAAACCATAATAGGAAGACACCAAGAAGCAGACCTGAACCGCTTCAAGTTGACAGTCGATTGAGATATCGAGCAGATTCCGTCGTATCTCATTAGTCAACCCGTGCATCAACTTCTCCCCGTCAACGGAGTATTCCCGCAACAATTTGTGCCCAGGCCATTTCAGATCTGGTAGGACAGAATGTAACCCAATCATAGCTACTGCCAAAACAGCCATGACAGGACTGAGATCTTGACGACGCCATGAAGTCTGGGATATTATCACGCGTGCGGTCTGTCGGAATGTGGGTTCGTAAAGTAGTAAGATGAACCATTGCATTCGGTCGAAGTAGGCGTCAATCAAGGCTAACATCACGGCTTCTGGGGGAAGTGCGACCTCTGTCAACTGCCATAATGAGTTGTCCAACGTAGGAGCTCCAGTATCGCCAGGGATCGATGCACCGGTCAAAGTCCGACCAGCTTCTTCCTCGTTGAAGACTCGTCTGGCGAAGTCAATCGCGGACGCATTAGCCCCAGACTGTGGTTTCTTTGGAGAGCGCTCTGGATAGGATGTTGAACTCTGTTTTGTACAAGGTATTTCGGGTGCTCCAGTGGAATGGAGAAAATTAGAATTTTTATGTGTCGCTGGTGCAATTGCTTTGTGCACTCCAGAACTGCCCCCTGGATTTTGTCTGCGAGTTCGTTTCGCTATGCGCTGGGATGTCTCGCATTTCTGACCAGCACGAGTACAAAGCATACAAGGGCGTGAGCTGTCGCACTATAGAAGCTCTATCAGTACTATAATTTTGAAGGATGGCCGTGGAGGGGTCTACCTTGAGTTTCTGTCGGCGACATCTGTCACATGCTCGTGATGTGCGGAGTGACTTTTGCAACAGATCAGTCTCTTGCTCCATGAGTTTAGTATAGTAAGGTAGTGTTCTTGCCAATCCCGTGCAAAATTGAAATTTGCAAGGTCCGGAGGAGGTGACAAAAACTGGGGTCCCCGCAATTTCGCCACCAACCGGGGCCAACTTTAATTGCCGTGGACGAAGCAATTATATCAATCTCCCAAGACCAACCAGAACGAGCTACATGACAGGAAAATGCATTTTTGACCTACTATGGAGTTTCCTGGCCCGAAATTGCGATTCCACATTTCAATTCGATATCTATGAGAACAAGCCACCAACCTCGTCATTGTCGAGACAAAGCGCAGTGGCCAAGTGAGTGCAGGGGAGGGACAAGCTCTGGGGTACATGGGAACACGCCTTACTCCCTATAGATCACATCCTACCTTACTAGCTAACCATGCTTTCAGTACCTAGCCGTTATCCATCAAGAACGGAAGGCAGCAGAAGAGCCAGAAATGCGACAGTTTACGGAGTGTCTACTGACGGGGAGTTGTTCTACTTCTTGTGCATCAATGATGACGGCAAGGTATAGAAAAGTTCCCCTCCTTTTCACTTAAATTCAATTAGCTTATGCGGTCAAAGGGGGACCGAATTTTTCTGCGACGAGGTTGTTGACCTTTTGGGGTTTATTATGAAGGAAGCGATGACCATCTCGCCATACACTTCCCGGTTCAACTCGAACCATGCCTCAACAGAGGATGATCCGATCACCCTTTCCTAGGTTAACTTTACTCTTGTTGCATAGCTTGACAGGTTTTCTTGCTTAATCATACTTATAATATTGCTAATACATGTTATTATCCTGCCGAGATTTTGAGAATGTGAATTTGGCGACTGATCCTACGAGTTAAACCTATCATTCCACGTGCTAGATAGGAGCTGTTCACTGGTTTTTGAACCTGGCTATATTAGAGAATAGTATGACATTCTGTGAACGCTAATAATTAAATGCTTTTAATTGTATCAAGTCCTGATCAAACCCAAAAGATGTCCACGAGCATTTTGCGCCTGTGAAAGAACAATCTCAGCTGCAGGATAAGTTTGTAGTAAATGTCCAGCTGCTTCCTCGCAAGCATACAAGTTCGACATAGCCTGCATCCTCACAATAGCATCCGGGACTTTCAAATCAGGAATGCTGGCCTCAAGAATAATACCCAGTATTGTAACAGTGCTTCCAGGGAGGAAATGAAGCATCCTGCATTCATGCAGTTCATTGAGAGTCTCATTGACTCGCAAAGTCAAACCTCTCATTTCCGACGTAATGGTGGTCTCGAGACCATCTCCTCCACTCGACGCAGCTTGGCAGAGTATAGACATCGCGGTGAGATGGAGGAGATACAGGAAAGCTTGGTGGACGAGGAGGACGATCTCCGGGGACTCTGTATGACAGCCATGCAAGAGTGATGGGGAAAAATAATGTGCTGGGGCGGGGAGTTCTTGAATCCAGGTCCTTAGAAGCTGTTCACAGCCCGTTATGGAAGCCTGTGATATATTGGACTTGGGGACCATGGAGTATTCACAGTCTCCTGACGGTGCCGGTGACCAAGCATCTTGGTAAAGAAGATTGATGATGACGCCCATGCAATGAGCGAGTTTGATCTCCTGGATGAATAGCAACATCATTCGCTCTTGGTTTTCCCAGTTGAGCATAATTGATGCTTCTCCCAGCATGACCAGCACAAGTTCATGGTACGGCTCGGAGGAATAGTATTTCGTGGCTTCCAGTAGCGACATTGTAATATCGCTGTTTGGGATTCGTAGTGGTCGACGGAAACCTAGGGAGAGAATCCGGTCACGCACGTAGAGACACCACCACAGTCTGTGCTTGTGTGAAAAACTACCTGTTTCTAAACTCGCAAGGAGACCGACGCGTTCTGCTGTCGAATATGCGAGATCGAACCAGTATGTTGGGACTTTGTGGCCATCTCCACTTCCGTGCCACTGCATCATAAGTAATAATGCTTGGATCTGGGTGTATGCGTTGGGTTCGGTCTCGAACTCATAAAGAAGCTGAGTCAAAATTAGTCTTGACCTGTCATAGATTTTGTCTCTAGATATCTCACCTTGGCTCGTCCAAATAATGTTCTTCGTAATGCTTTTCGTGATGAGAACCCGGCTTTGATGGCAGTTTCTTGCTCAATAAATGCACTGCCAGCCAGCATGACAGCTTGATGAAGTAGCGGACTTGGAAATCGGGATTCATCCTCGATCATGACATTGAGTAAAAACCATTGCAAATCAATGACAGGCAGCAGAGGATGAACATATTTGATATAAGCCCCGAGCAAGTGATTGCGAAGTTCGAGGGGCACTATTCTGAGAGCTCCTTTCAAATGTAGATACTCTTTACTTTCTTTAGAGATATCCGGAAGCTGAATTTGGAAAGTTCTTTCCACCTCAAATGGCTGATTGTGCTCCGCTGGAAAAAGATCCGGGGTCTGCGGCGACAGCAGCTCATTTATCGTCGTAAGATAGCTGTCTAAGGGATATGTCTGGGGCACATTGTGTGTCAAGGTCATATGCGGTTGATTAGATATCTGCTTACTCCCTGACGTGACGAACTGCGCAAAAGGACCTAACAATGTCAGTGACAATGCAGAAGTTGGGGTAATATGCTTGGCGCATATGTCTCACCTAGATCATTACCACCTCTTTCCAACCGATCTACATCCTCGGCCTTGGAAAAGGCCTCGAGAAGACTAGTAGATGACGGCAGATCCATCGGCACGGACTCCGGTTCCTTGGTCTGCTGCTAAACGGATTAGCGTTGGGGCAACTTATATAGTCGGGGTGATTACCTTGATTCTTGAGGACACCGGCAGTGATAACTCGATTGTCTGCAACAGACAGATGAACTGATCTCAGTTTCACACCGTAGCTTTGATTGTCCTTGACACACTCTAATTGAGTTACTTGCAGTTTCCCTGCTGTCTGGAGAATTGCCCTTAATAAGACACGAGAACCATCCGCGTCATCCGTGGAGTAAGTCGGGGCCCCGCATTGTCTGGTGATCATTGGTTGTTCCTTTGTTCGAAATCTCCAGTCTAGACCCCTTAAGTTCGTCAGAAATTGCGGTGAGTGGACGATCAACTTCCACCGGATCAAAACGACCATTCGGGAACTTCCACCGGAACTTAGTAACCAATCACATCGTTGGAATTTGATCTTCACATGCTAAACAGGAGTTTAAATTTCTTCCTTTGTTCTATAAAAGTTTCAAAACGACTCAGATTCAGAAAAAAAATTGAAAAGTCCATTCCAACAAAAGTCGTTTCCACAAATTAAGCCTTTTTCGGCCTTTTGTTGCTGTTGACCTATCCAAACAGAATGATATTTGAGAAGACAACTAAAGATACTGATACAGAGAGCAGAGAGGAGAAGGTTGATTCCTATAGAAGCTACACACCTAAATATCTAAGGCCTGATAACCCTGATAACCCAGGCACCCAGGCACCCAGCATGTGATACAACATATTCAACCTCAAAATAATCTACCAAGCCAACCGACCATCCTTATTAATAAATCCCCCGGCCTCCCCATCCCTCTCGCCAAGCACAATCTTCAAAATCCCTCTACCAGACTCCAACGGATCCCCCGCCCTCCCATACGCACTAACAGCAGCCTCATCCTCACCCCTCAAATTTGACCTCACAAGTCCAGGACAGAATGCAAAAACCTTCACACCTTGCAACCGCTTCTGCAACTGAACAGTCATCATATTCAGCGCCGTTTTGCTGGCCCGGTACTCTTCCCAAGGCGCAGTATAATAAGGACTATTGGGATCAGTTGCCAAAGCCATTGAGCCCAGACCACTGGATATCTGGATCAAATAGGGTTTTCCTGATTTGAGGAGGAGGGGCGTGAAAGCTTCTGAGACGAGAGCTGGGCCGATTACGTTGGTCGAGAAGATCTGGTTTAGCTTGGCGCGGCCGGTACTGTTTGGTGCGGCGGTGCCGGCGTTGTTGATTAGGACGTCGAGTCGGTTGAATTGTTTGGCTACGGTTTCCGCTGCTTGTGATATGGAGGTGTCGTCTTCCACGTTTAGATGGAGGAGGGATAGTGTTCCTTTGAGATTTTGGGTTTCGAGGGAGGAGAGGGCTTGTTGGCCTTTTTGGAGGTCGCGACAGGCCATTATTACATGGTGGTTTGGGTTTGTGGCTAGAGTTTGAGTGGTTGCATAGCCCACTCCTGAATTTGCGCCTGGATAGAGTTAGGCTTTGGGTCTGGTTGGCGTTTTACTCGGTGGCTTACCTGTGATGAGGATGATGGTTTGTTCGGACATGTTGTCGTTGTTTAGTCTGTGGGAAGGTTGGGAAAGATGGGATTGAGTTGATGATACTCTTTATTATGGGCATCACGACCTTTATATACTAACGATGAGAAACATATCAGCTATTCGAGTGAGATATACAAGTCGGGTTTAAGCTTAACACCGTGAGGTTTTCTGTCGGTGTTAAGCCGGAGACCGAGATGTGTTAACCTTGACAGAACACCAAAGAGATATTTATGATATCATAGAAGCCTGTGATACCCTGCATCACTGTGTCTATCACCGGGCGACCAATCACTTCTAAGTACTGTATGTCTCAGAGTTACATTGCAGGCTAAGCTTTTTGAGACTTCGGCCCTCGGGATCCGAGTTCTGAAAATGTACAGCTTGAAGGACTGAGCCGCATGATATTTAGCTACCTAGGGAGTTCTTACGAAGTTAGGTGCTCAAAAGATTTCATGGACATTGGATTCTGTTCAAAATATGTCTTATATTTTCCAATTTATATTTTCCAATTCAAAACAAAACTGACTCAATACATCGCCAATGGAGGTATCATCGCTGTGCAATCCATACACGAAAAGAGCGAGAAAACAATCGAAAGAGCGACAGGATGGTAGGAAGGCTAATATAACGACAGCGAGGATAGAAAAGTATAGTTGTCACTTTCAGAACTCGAGTCTTTTGTGGCCCGGAAGAAATGTAGATCGATAGTTATACACACCCAGCCCAAAGGAAGAGGCACTTCTTGAGTAGACCAACCTAAAGGAGTATAGACTAACTGCAAGCGGTCATGCCAGTGACCGCTTTTTGTCTCTGGTAGCAGCAGCATACACAAGAGAGGGGGAGGATTAAGAGTGTAATGGAAAGGGAAAATGACAAGAGAGAACGAAAATATAGTTTTCTGTTTCAATCGACACGTATCAAGGACGAGACCATGGTCCTTGCAGTGGAGGCAGCGGACCACCGGAAACGGACGGTGACCCAGAAGGAGGGCCAGCCACTGCCCGGCCGGTGGGTGCAATGGGCGTTGAAGAATACGGGGGACTTGCAGGCCAGCCAGGTTGAGACTGAACGGGGTCGATCAGTCTTCCTTGTGGAGCTGGACCCGCCGAAGTCGGCTGTGTGCCTGAAGCGGATCGGGCAGCATCGGCGCCCGACCAAGACGCTGTGGTGCCCGGTTCAGATGCGGGGAGGAGGGTGGTTTGGGAGCGTGGAGAAGACGGTCTTGGGGGTAAGGCGCTTAGGGACATTGTGCGGCCGAGATGATCACGGTAGAAATCTCGCTCGGAGCGGTAGTGGTCTCGTTGTTGGATGAGGGAGCGAAGCTCCTCGCTTTGGCGGCGGACTGTTTCTACGCCACGCTGGATCTCATCCTGTTGTGCGGTGAGACGCTGCTCGAGTTGCATTTCATTGCGCTTCCGATTTCGGAAGCGTCTTGATGCATCGCTGTTGGCTTTGCGCTTCTCTGCTTGGCTAGAAGAGCCGGATCGCATGTCTAGTACGCATGGTATCATTCCCATTGGGAGCGGGCTAACATGTGGCGTTCCGGCTCGTGAGGGGGCTTGTTCGGGGCGTCTGGGGCCTTTGGTTGCAGGAATTGGTCGGGTCATAGGGTCCATTGTCATATACGGAGACGCAGTGGGATATGGTGCGGTGCTTTGTGGGAGAGAGACATTGGTCACTGCTGGAGATACACGGCCAAAGGGACTGAAAGTTGAATGAGGCGTGCTGGGGCTTGTTTCTTGCGAGTTCGGGTTGGTGAGCGGCCCCGGGCCGGCACTGGTTCGCCGTGAATGTAGGGAAGTCAGCGGAGGCTGGGTGCTAGTGAGGGATGCTATTGAGCGTAGACCAGTCTCTATAGGCAGAGGCGAACTAGTGACGGGCAGACGTGGACCCAACAAAGTTTCATGAGGAACTAGCGGTGACTGTGCGACACTTGACTGACCAGACCTGCCGCCCCCGCCAACAAACCGTGCAGAAGGCGATGCTGGATTCATCAAAGGTCGTGAATGAGACCTAGGGGATAATGGCTGCGACGCCGAAGGATATCCTGAGCGGTTTGGCGAAGTGCCGGGACGAGGCGAGGATGGACCCGGTAAGCTCAATGGCTCACGACTGAGTGCAGTCAGATCAGCCTGTGGATGATTCAAGATGGAGTGAACACCAATGGGTCGCGATGACATGGATTCCAGTGGTGGCTCCACCGGTCCATATGGATGCCATGACTGAGGTCGAGGTCGTTGAGGTGGCCGGCGGGCAGGATTTCGGTTGCTTGTCAATGCACGGTCATTGTCACTCGCACGGTCATCTGATTGAGCCACATCTCTGGACAATGAACCTGCACGTCGAGAATCCTGCGACATAGAAACCAAATCTCCCACGACGGGACGGGAGTTAGGGCATGACCGAAACCCCCCTCTCTCCTCGCTGTGTTCTCGAGTAGAGAGAGAGGGTGCAGGCGATGGATATTCTGAATAGAGTGACAAATTGGGTGAGTGTGCTGAGTACAACACACTAATACCTAAGGCAGCCACGATGAATGAGAAGATATATAGAACGGATAACTCGATTCTCAATTGAGGATCGAGTGAAAAGATCAGAAGCTAGAAAGGTAAAAGATAAAAAGAGCTAAAGGGAATTAAGAAAAATATAAAATGGGGGCGACAAGCTTAAGAAGCGTTAAATAGCAGCGGTGAGAGAATGATCCATCACCTGGTCTGGATGGCTCCAAGACAAGTAAAGTTGTCTCTCTGTCCGACCCAGTCTGGCGGATAGTTGGGCATCCTCTTATCCCTCTAAACCCCCGGAGTATTGGGCTTCCCTTTTTTTTGTTTTTTTTTTTATTATATTTAGTTTTTAAATTTTTAGTTTTTTTCATTTTTTATAGAAAATTAGTAAAATTGAAAGGGGAATAAAAAAAAAGAAAAGAAAAGATAGAAATAGAAAAGTACTTGTCTGAAGTACATGATATCACCCCCTATTACCATAGTAAATCCAAAGTACCCGGGGAAAGCGATCGTCATGCACAGCACAAATCATCGGGAGCTGCAAGTGTGCACCGTCACCATGGACATGGAGTGGAGTCTGTTTTTTTGTTTTTTTTTTTTTTTTTGTTTCTATTATATATTGGTTTTTTTGTTCCTTAAACAGTTAGGGTTAAAAGGGAAAATCCAGAAAGTTCCTTTATAACGAACTATCTATATCCACTATTAGTGAGGCAATGGTTGCCTACGCCCTAATGGTCCTGTCAATTTCCGACAATATGGTGAACTAAACATATTAAAACAAAGTTTATTGAATATGTTGTGCATCACAAATCTTCCCCGTGTCCCGGCAAAAGGGGCCGTTACCGTTGACCGTTTCGGCTATAGACAACCTACCTACTACTTTTATAATATTTTGACGTCATTAACTAGGGTAACGCAAATGCTAGACCCCAATATCAACTTAAAAAAGACCTCATTGGTGTGACAGCCCTATATAAACCTGATTTTAGAGTACGAAAGTATGAAGTCCGGAGTACGGAGAGGAGGTGAAGGTGACAACTCTCACATTTGCTCCACGATCGGACCAGGCGGAAAGGGATCCGGGTTCCCCTAGCCTCATAATGTGAGATGCATGTGGATAGCTCTGTTTCCTTCAAGCTTACCCTAGATGGGATAATGATTCCGCGTGGCAATTCTCAAATAAGCAGCGGAGATCGATTTAGTGTCTCACGCAGTGGATGCTTGAGGAATAAAAACAAAAATTATAGGCGAGCTGAACTGGAAGCGTATTCTTGGCATTTCGTTCAGGCGGCATTGCATTGTCACCGGAAATGTTTCATGATATCCGCAGCTTTGAGATAGATCTTTTATGTGGTCTCATGCACAAATCATCCCAAGGCTGGACCTTGAAGGGGGCTGTCAGTTGCAGAGTTTCCGTAGTGTATTTTCTTTTTTTTTTTTATGTTTTTCCTTTCTCTTTTTTTTTCGACGAATCATTGGACATAAACCACAATTGCGGTCTGATACATCCAGTGATTTTGACTGGTTGAATTGAATGGGGCTATATTGTCTACGGAGTAGTTGAATTTGGCACACTCGTCTTTCTATTTCCTTTCTGTCTTTGTGGCTTAAATCTCAAACCGCCGTTCCCAGACCATTAAAGTCCTTCCCGTCTAGGCAGGTAGCTTTGTGCCGAATATGCGTGACATCGGACTATTTGAATTGTGCAGAAACGGAGAAGTTAAAAATATATCCGGTAGAATGGATTCATCGATAACTGGATGCCTTCTTTTTTTTCAATTTTCAGTTGAACTTCAAAGTGGATACCTTTGCCCCCTATTTCATGATCTTAGGGGTTCACCGTATTGATCTCCGATTATCTCGTGTCCGCTGCAACCGCATTTTCCATCAGTAAAAGAATAGCTTTGTCTAAGATCCCAGTTGACAGGTAGATCTTCCCTCTACTAGTCCTCGGAAAAGCAACACAAAACTATAAAACATATACACTCCGTGCCTGCGTCCTGCAGGGCGGATCTACCCAAAAGGGGTGGCAGTGCTATGACCTACCCACGCGTTCCTCGCGGCCGAACTCCAGCCGAGTTCCAAATCGAACGGGAATTAGGAACCTACAATGTATAGTATGTATGGGTTATATGGTCGACATGATGTGAGATATGCAGAAACCTGATTCGATCTATAAACCTCTTGTCCCTTGCGTGGGCTGCAGTGGAAGGTTACCCTAAACCCAGGTTGCCGGACAATGACAGCGACCCGGCATGCTCCCCCCCGTTTGTTGATCACCGATCTACACTCGACTTTCCACTGCATATCCGGATTTCCTAACGTACTTTTTCCTTTGTCGGGACTATCATTACCGCCTTTTGACCCAATTTTTTGGCGCGGGAAATGCAATGTACTAGTGATGCACCATTGATCCTGCTCTACACTATACTCCATACGCACATGTATGGTGGATGCGGACAGAAGTACGAAGAATAAGAATAGATCATCAAGAAACATGTACTCTGTGGCAGGATATGCTATGTACTATGTACTATCCATGTACAAATCCCTCAGACCCTATCCCTGAAACCGAAATTCATTCTTAGGCACGCCACGGACCCCGACGTCAACCCTGAAAACCCGGCCCCCATATCTAACCGACTGAGGCAACCGGTCATCATCACGATCATCCTTGGCGGTAGTAATGAACAATTCTGTACCAATAAAGACTGGACAGGTCACGTTGCGGGTCGGGAGATCGATCTGACCGATAATCTTTCCGGCCGGGGAAATGCGCAAGACCTTTCCGCCGCCATAGATAGCGCTCCAGATGCATCCCTCGACATCAATAGCGAAGCCATCGGGCTCTAGTGCATCACCGATATCGAAGTGCACCCGGCGATTACTGATCGCACCGCTGGACGCATCAAAGTCAAAGGCAAAGATCTTGCCTGTTGGCGAATCAGTCAGGTACATCACGTCGTCTGTCAGGTTCCACCCGATCCCGTTGGGGATCGTCACCGCTGCCAACATATGGTGCACAGTCTGGTCTGGGTCTAGTCTAAATAGAACGCCTTCAGCTTCTGGTTTCTTGACCTTCGGGTCGTTCATCGCTCCGGCCCAAAATCGGCCATGACTATCGATTGCCCCATCATTGAAACGCATCCTTTTGAAACAAATTAGTGTTAAACTTATGATGTGCCCTTTTTTTTATTTAATTATTTACCTTTCGGCTTTGGCCCCATCTCCCCAAAGGTCATGAATATCATGAATATATGAGAGTTTCCCGGTAGTCTGGTCCAGCCGGGCAAATCCATTTTTGGCCCCAACAATTAGCTCATTGGGGCTATTGGTAATATTAGCGGTCACGCTAAAAGTCCACGTGGTTATCTCGTCAGCAATAGTTTTTTAATTTAACGAAAGAAAACCCACCCAATAGAGGTATCGGTATCAATGACCTTCAATGAGTCAGGTCCTTTAGACAGATCGAGTCGATAGAGTTTGTGGTCCCAGATATCAATGAAACGAAATTCATTCTTGGCCACATCATAAAAGGGACCTTCGAGTAGTGTTCCTGGGATGTCAAGGTATGGCTGATGAAGTTAGCTTTGGTGTTTTTTTTTTTGCTTTTTCTTTTTTCCTGTCCTCCGACAGGCTCGGGACAAAATAATCTCTGACCGACACGAGAAACCAGGGGAGTAAAAAAAAAAAAAAGGGCAGCGAATCAGGAAATGTCAAATAACGTGGATTACTCACTTCGTTGACCGTCCACCTCTGAATTTCAGACATTGCCGATCGGTAGAGTGGACACCGCTATTTGAGAAGAGGGGTGAGAGAGATGGTTAGGCTCCAAATTGACACCTGTTGAAAGCCAATTGCGGAAGGTAAATTATCGGAGTCACTGGTCCGTATATTGTATTTATATTGAAGGGAATTAGGAGAAGAAAGTGGGAGATGCCAAGACACCCCCCACGAGGGCTTACTATCCCACGCTGGGGTAGCATCATTTCCACAGGTACCTTTGTACAGAGTAATCTATTTCATTTGCCAACTCGTATACAAGGATCCCACGTCCGTTCGTCATAAAAAAGACCCAATCCCACGCGTGAATCACCTGCAGAAATTATGCGAATCATCACACAGTCCAGTCTGAAATCTCCACGGAGTCCAACGGAGCGCTCCGTGTGAACTCTGCAATTCATGCAGTACATAGAGTTCAGGGCGAAAAAAAAAAAAACCAATATAATCTCTAACAAAGAACAGATCATCGGGGGCCAGGTGGCTTTTCACATGACCAACTCTGCATGCAGATGCAAGAGATTTCTGTGCTGGCGCTAAGACCTAGAACCTGGAACCTGGACTTACTCTTGACTACCAACGGAGTTTGAACTGTTTTTCCTGCCTGACTCGAAAATTGGGCGCCAAGTACTCCGTAGAAAGATTGCAATTTTGATGGGATGTGCTGACATGTATCACCTTAAAAGTGATGTAATCGGGGGATTGGATTGCCCAGGTGGATTGGATTTGGATGATTACCAATTCCATAATGAACGAGAAATGTATAATAGGAATAGTCAAAGTGCCTGAAACTACGTGTTTCGTGGCTAACCAATTAGCTTCAACGGCACAGCTCAATGCTCAAATGCACCCTGCCCCATATGGTTCAGGTAAGGCTTGCATGCAGATAAAGCTGCAGTCATCGTAGCTGTGGGGAGCACAAGTTGGGCATCAATTGTGCTGTCTGCGAATACATGATGGACAGCGTGTGAAAGTTTGGGTTTTTTCATTTTTCCCTTTTTGTTGCGTACGGGACAATTTTCAATTGGGTACGGGGGCGCAATTGACAGTCACGTCACTGCATGATGCAGGGCCTGATCTACAGTGATTTCAAGTAACATTCCCTGGTGTCTTGGAGAGTTTGAGGTTCCCTTTTTCCGTTTTCCCTTTTTGCGGTCTTGGTGAATCTGGATTTTGAGGACCGAGAGCGAGAAGTAGAGGCCGTGCTATCAAGATCGAATCTTGGAAGTTATCCCGAGGTTACATGGAGATAGTCTCGAGCGAATTGGGATCTATATGTGAAATGTCATAGGGATAAGTACAATATAGGAGCCAAGGCAAATATATATATATATATATATACAACCTTTGCAATGGTTTGCAGAGATAAGGTAGTCAAGAAAGGTTTGGTCATTAAACATAACAGGTTAACATATTTACACCAAAAGAGGCCACCCATTTTCATAAAAATATAAACAGCTTACAACTTGGTGCCCATGTTGACGTGGACCGCCTTGACCTGCGAGTATGCGTCCAAGCCAGCTTCTCCGAGCTCGCGACCGATACCGCTCTGCTTGACACCACCGAATGGCACGCGGAAGTCACTGTCATTGCTGCTGTTGATCCAGACCATGCCGGCCTCAATCTCAGAGGCAACACGGTGGGCGCGCTCAATGTCCCGAGTGAAGATTGCCGCACCAAGGCCGTATGTGGTGTCGTTGGCACGGGTGACGGCCTCTTCTTCAGTGGTGAAGCTGGCGATAGCAACGAAGGGACCAAACACCTCCTCGCGGTAGATGCGCATCGAGTCCTTGACGTTGGTGAAGATGGTAGGCTCGATAAAGAAGCCACGGCCATCACCAACGTTCTTGTGCGGTACACCACCGGAAGCGAGGGTCGCGCCCTCAGCCTTGCCGGCCTCAATGTATTCAAGCACGCGCTCGTACTGGGCCTTGGTGACCTGAGGGCCCTGGAAGGTGTCATCGGAGAAGGGGTCACCAACCTTGCTGGTGGTGCGGACGACCTCTTTAAAGAGTTCAACAAACTTATCGTATACAGAGTCGTGCACAAGGATGCGCGATGTCGCAGTGCAGACCTGACCCTGGTTATACATGATGCCAATGTGTGCCCACTTAGCGGCCTGCTCGAGGTCCGCATCCTGGAAGACGACTAGTGGCGACTTGCCGCCAGTCTCAAGGGTAACGTTCTTCAAGGTTCCTGCGGCCATCTTCATGATCTCCCGGCCGGTAAGGGTAGAACCAGTGAAGGCTACCTTGTCGACGCCGGGGTGGTTCACCAACGCACCACCAGCAACACGACCAAAGCCGTTCACAATGTTAATAACGCCCGGGGGGAATCCAGCCTCCTTGATAAGACCGGCCAAGTACAAAATACTGAGCGGGGTCTGCTCGGCGGGCTTGAGAACGATAGTGTTACCACACGCAAGTGCAGGACCCAACTTCCATGCTGCCATCGCTAGAGGGAAGTTCCAAGGGATAATCTGGCCAACAACGCCAATGGGTTGGCGGAGGGTGTAGGCGAATTTGGCCGGGGTGGTGCCAATGGTCTGGCCAAACACCTTGTCGGCCCAGCCAGCATAGTAGCGAAGAGTGTTGGTGACTTCACCAAGATCGTCATTCAAAGAAACCTGATAAGGCTTGCCTAAAATACAAGTCAGTTCCTATCTTCATTGATACTCAACCGTCTCCGATATCACTCACCATTATCCCAAGTTTCAATGGTGGCAAGTGTCTCCTTGTGTTGTTCAATCAAGTCGGCCAACTTGAGCATCAAGTGGCCACGATCAGTGGCTGGAAGAAGCTTCCAGGAGGGATCCTTGAGAGCTTTGCGAGCGGCCTTAACGGCAATATCAACATCCTCCTCGCCAGCAGCATACACTGACGTAATTTCGGTTTCGTTGCTGGAGAGCCGGTCAGCTCCTCAAAGTCCCACGAGACAGTTCAAAGGTACATACGAAGGGTTCACAGTAGCAAACTTCTCGCCAGACTTAGCAGCCACGAACTCATTGTTGATGAATAGACCAATAGGCTGGGTGTAGCTGCGCCCATTCGGGGCAGTCAATTGCACGGAAATATCGGACATGACGAAGGGGGAGCTGTGGAATTGGCGACGCTGGACGACAAAGCGAGTGAGATTTGATGGAGCTTTGTACAGACGGCGCAGATGTATATGAAACATGGAGAGAGGGGAATATAAAATATAGGAGGGGAAGCCCGCCCCGGAAAGTTGGAGTTGACCTCGGAAGCTCCTCGGAAGCCTCCGATAAGCTGATAAAGCTGCTCCACTCTCTGGGTAGACTTACTCTTCCGAGACGAGAAGAGAAATATTTCTCCATTATTTACCTGTTTGTTTGATTTGCATTCTTATACTTTGCTGGTTGGCTGTACATTCCATATTCGGCATTGCATATTCCCCTCCTTGGAGTACTTCACTTCTTCTAGTCCGGGTTCCAATTTATTCTCACGGATGCCCAAGGCATTCAAGCCGCTGCAGTGCTGCAGGGACATACATAGCGTCAAACACGTCAAATACTTTTAGCTTCCGGATACTCAAGCCGCCTTTCCGTGTCTCCTTGCATACCGCCTGCATTAACTTGCAAGGCCCGACGGGTGTTTCCATGGTTAAGACAAATTCTGACACAGCTCGTCCCGATGGTGCAGCTAACGGTCGCATATATTAGAAAGGCGGTAGATGGCTTGGCGCACATGTGTGATGGTGACCCAATGCAAGTAACGTAGTCGATGTGACACCATCCCGCGTGTCAGGGAATCCATAGTGCTGAAACAAGGGTCCCATGTCGACCATATACTGGTTACGCGAGAAATCAATATGATCGGCCCATATGGGAATGGCCAGGCTGCAGTGGTGAATGGATCCAAAAGAATCGGCCTGATCCGATGACTCTATACCTTGCACATATTTCTAGACGACACATCAAGTCAAGTAAAATAAATTTCAATTCGCTTGTGCAGATAATCCATGTGTGACCGGCAACGCCATCGATAGAAACTTAGGAGAACTATATCGAATACAAGTCTCCGTGCATCACTTGTATGTAGCGGCTTGCTCCCTCATGCCTATTCCTCCTCAGCACTGGGCTCCTTCTTGGTAAACTCCTCTTGTGGCTCTTCGCCTGCCAGCTCCAGTATGTACTTCCATTGTGCCGGAGTCACAGAAGACACGCTAAGGCGGGATTGCTTAATCATTTGAAGGTTCTCGAGCGGCTTTCCAGCCTGCCCATGAGACTTCAGATCCTGGAGTGTGACTTGCTTCTCAAGTCTGCGGCGATATTGAACATGAACGACAACCCACTTTGGGTTATCTCGGGTGGACTTCGGGTCGTAGTACGGGTGCGCGGGATCGAAAGCGGACTCTGTCATGAATCATGGATCAACAACGAGGTCAAACAGTGTAATTTTGAGAGTGACAAACCATCTGTGGAATGCTCCTGGACAATCTCCATCACTCCGACAACCCCAGGCACTTTGCAGTTTGAGTGGTAGAAGAATGCATAGTCTCCCTTCTTCATATCACGCATGAGATTTTTGGCTAGTTCACTGTGAGTATAATTCTTGCGATCAAAGCTACCATGACTTTAGACAGGACAACATACCCACGTGGTTGCGCACACCTATTCAATTGTTAGCAATCGGTCCATATATAGTGTGCCAGACAGGTTGTACGTACCATCCCAAGGCTCGGGTGCATCTGCAGCAGCCAGGTCTTCAATAGAGAATTTCACATCCTTGCCCTTCTCCATGCGAGATTCAGGCTCGGCCTTCATCAACCAGAAAGAGCGGCCAGTTTCAGGGATGACGTCGACTGCAGGCTTGACCTTCGGCTCAGTGGTTTCGGTTTCTCCATTTGGGATAGGGATCTTGCGGGGTCTTCCACGGCCATCCTTCTTCTTGATCTTCGGTGTGACGGGCGTCGCATCGTCTAATGAGACAATGCAAGGTCAGTATATACTACCTACAATATGTGAGTGTGGTCCCGTACCTGGGTTCTTGCGGGGTCTTCCACGGCCATCCTTCTTCTTGATCTTTGGTGTAACGGGTGTCGCATCGCCTGATCACGAAAGGGAAGGTCAGCATAGACCACCCACAATATATCATTATGTCTTCAATACCTGAGTCCTTGCGGGGACGTCCACGGCCTCTCTTTGGGCCTGCTGTAGCTACAACCTGAGGTTCTAGTTCGGAAACAATCTTCCGTGGGCGACCACGGCCACGCTTAGGAGCATCAGGATCAGGCTTCGGAGTCGAGCTCTCGGGATATTTGCGCGGACGTCCACGACCTCTCTTTTCTGTCTGAGGTGTAGTATCAACCTATTCCACGAATGTCAGTTCTGTGCCCACGGTTGGAGTGGAGAAGCCGGGAACGCAATGATCAGCCCCTGCATAATGCACTTACCACTGGATCCGGTGTCGCAGAAGCTGGGGTTGCATCTACAGTGTTTCGAACTCGCTTGGAAGGTGTTGCGATAGACTCATCTGCGCTCACGGCGCGTTCAGACTTGCGCTTGAACGGCATGACTGTTCAACTGTGCGCTGGTTGAGTGAAAAGTTGCAAATATATGCAGGAAAGTAGTGAATGTATGAAAATTGAATAGAAACTGTACAATCAAGTGTGGATGTGCTCCTGTGAACTGTTGAAGAAGCTATTAAATCAAGCTGGGCTTTGGAATGTTTGGCACTGAGCTTGACGCGGATGTGGGTCTGGGGTCGCACGTGATGGGGTCGATCATGATCGGCGCTAAAAAAACATTCGAAGGTCAGAAGCATGTAGCTACACAGCTCTTCAGGTAAATAAGTTTGAGGATACTAGAACATCTATCAGGATCCTCTCAAATTTTTTTCATTTACCTCAGAACAGCTGATTATCTAGATTTGAGGCATAATTGGTCCATTACTGTCTTTTTCACGCGGCTATCAAAGCTCAGCCACTTGATCAATGTTCTTTCTTCAAGGAAATCAATATAGTAATAATTACATTGCACAAGAAGAATTTACTGTGCATATTATAATTGGCGAGGGAGATATAGCCTGATCACATACTCTAGGTAGGCGATTAGCATCAAATATCATGGCTCAAAGTAGTCTTAAGCTCAGAATTGTTATGTTTATCTTACGATTCAATTATCATTAAATATCAAAGATCATAATGACAGTGAGAAGTAGATAAAGTCAAGAAGGTTTATTTGTCAGGGCTATCTGGGAATGTCTCAGAGTAATCAAAATAGTGTTAATTAAGCTTATCACAGGCCCATTCGTATAGACGACATTGTAGTAACCTAATTATGATCGGGATCTTCTATGATCAATCCCATTTTAAGGTCTTTGAGCGTCAAGGCACTCTTCAGGGTCCTCTAGGGAAGCTCTCATTGATGTCATAATGCGAAGATGGTCTGAGAAATTAGATAGCAATACATAGGCGTGTTATCAGATGTACATAGCACGATGTGTATTGGTACATGCAATTAGCCCCACTGACTACATACATGCATACATATGTGGGTCAAATCCTCATTCAATTAGCATAAATGTACTTGTGCAAGTCAGTCCTCGTAAGTGTATACATCTGTCCGGGAAATCACCTAAAACGAAAGACCAAGGGCACATACCCCAGCAAACAATATATCCCTTATACTCCCATAGCGTGCTTAGTCTATAGGTTGGACGTATAAAAGTACATTTCACTAATTAATTAAGCCTTTTGTTGCCGTCAACCTATAAAATGCAAGGCATCTAAAGGGAATAGCAGAGAAGACTACTAAAAAGACATCACAAGGACGCATGAGCGGCCGAATATTCTTGTTAATGTTCTTTAGGAAGGAGAACCCACGATGGGGGTCATGGGTACCATTATGGCATCTGACCTTACTACTACGGTATACCCGGTTGGATCGAGGCACTTAACTATCTGGCCTTAAAATATAAACCAGGAATCAAGAACCATTCTTCAAAGCCAGCCACTTCCAACCTTATTCGGCTGAGCTATCTGCATTTCCCTTTGGCCAGCTGATAGGATTTTATCAGCACCAATGGAAACCCAAGGTGATGGCGCAATATCACTTTTACATGATGAATGGTCTATCACCTACCATCGTAAACCTACTATGAAATATGTTGTACATTATACCTTATACTCCGTATGTTGTACATCCAGTCAAGATAGCGCTGGCATGTTCGCTTATTGGGGATATTTCTGCTCCAGTATTTTCCATTTCGTGAGAATCGGAATTTTTCAACGATATCTTATAGTTAGTACCACGAACATCATGTAACTAGTAGATATGTCCACGGGTGTTTCATTCGAGCTCCCCGTGGGATCGTTTGATTTAAAGATTATGGCAAAATTGTTTTGCAATAATTGCGTTTTTCATCATATCCATTTTGCGTATGCAGTAAACCATTTGCGTCGTAGGCCAATGGTTAGCAGAAAAAAGCAAAAAGTGCCAAAAAAGAGAGACAAAAGATGTAGTACATATTGCTATATCATATGTGTAAAATATACTTCAATACAAGAGCCATAGTTGTTTCAACATAGGTTCATTCTAACTAACATAAGGTTGAGGGGTAAAGTTGAGGGGTAAGAAGAAAACCCAAGGAACCCGAAATGCTCATCCACAGTTGATATTGCATCACGCACGCTAAACAGCCCACATTATGTGCTGTTGTCTCTTGGCCAATCATAGACGTTCTGCCGGGCGGAAACAATGATCACGCCATCAATAACGAATGCCAAGTGGGGCAGATGAGGTTAGGTGGGGCCAATGTTTGGATGATCTATGGGAAACCGAGGGGGAAACCGAGGGGATTCTATGGTTCGAATCATCTTATTAACCGCGTATCCCGCCAACTTCTACCTCTATTCCTCTCTCTTTCTCATACCCAACCCCCTATCTCTCTATTCACAATGGCTGACAACGCTCCTGCGTACGCTTTACAACTCCCGCTTTCTTGTTTACTGCTAACTGTCCTTCAGCCTCCGTCTGGGCTCCATTGCCCCCAACTTCAAAGCTCTTACTACCCAGGGCGAGATTGACTTCCACGAGTTCATCGGTGATAGCTGGACCATTCTCTTCTCACACCCGGCCGATTTCACACCGGTATGATGAATCTCGATAAATCCTGATATATTCCAACTAACCGCTAGTAGGTATGCACCACCGAGTTGGGTGCATTCGCCCGCCTGCAGGGTGAATTCGATCAGCGCGGAGTGAAGATGATCGGATTGGCAAGTTACTACCATCTACTGGGTAACCATAAGCTTTAGCTAACATTCTCCTTCTCTTACAGAGTGCCAATGACCTCAGCTCCCACGACGATTGGATTAAGGACATCAATGAAGTCAACTCCACTCAGGTCAAGTTCCCAATCATTGCCGATGCCGACCGCAAAGTCGCTTTCCTGTACCAGATGATCGACCAACTCGATTTGGAAAATGTCGACAGCAAGGGAATCGCCTTCACCATCCGCTCCGTCTTCATCATCGACCCTAACAAGAAGATCCGCCTTATCATGGCCTACCCTGCTTCCACCGGCCGTAACACCGCTGAAGTTTTGCGTGTGATCGACTCTTTGCAGACTGGTGATAAGAAGGGTGTAACCACACCCGTTAACTGGCTGGTATGACTTACCTATCATCCCCTTGCTTCGAATACTATGTTTATGTGAACCCCTGTTAACAAATGATCTAGCCTAATGACGATGTTATTATCCCTCCTACCGTCAGCACCGAGGATGCCAAGAAGAAGTTCGGCGAGATTCGTGAAGTGAAGCCGTGAGTTTCCTTGTCCAACTGCCAAACTGAAACAGATGATTCTAACACATTATAGTTACCTTCGGTTCACTACTCTCAAGGAGTAAACGCGGCTTATGACTCAACAAAGATACCACGGGTTATATAGTCTTAGAATGAAACTTTTTGAAAGACTACTCACGCTGTCCATTTTGATTATGCGCTTTTATATTGATTCTTTTGAGTGGAATAATGTCACCAAGCGTAGTGTAAGATAGTACTAGGTGGCCCGTGTGCTTGGCTCCAGCATTAGCACGCTTCAGACTCACCATTGGATACCCTTTAGCAGCGAGAGCGAAGCCGCCGACTCCTTGTCAAAAGCTGACAACCTGAGAAGTTCGCTGCGAACCACTGAATGCCAATCCCAGGAAACTGGGTTAGTCAACTAATAGCAACTGGCAACAACCAAAACCATTCATCATTGTCCCTGCGTCATCCTCCACTATGGTGCATACTGCTCATCGGAACTCTAATTCCAAAAATCTTTGGGAGCCAACAGTTCCCTGCGAGAGGTGCTCGCACATGTTCCGCACTAAAGATGCTGACGCCCTCGGCCACGATCAGGCGGATCTTGTTCCAGGTAAGGTGGATGATAAAGACGGAGCAGATGGCGAAGGCGATTCCCTTGCTGTTCACATTCAAAACATTACGAAAGAATCTAGTTCTCTTTGACTGAGCTGTGCTTATAAGGGTTATATACGAATAGTACCTGGACTCGAAGACTCATCGTGGCACTGATATTACGTTGTCAGGTCAGGATCAAAACGCTGGATATCAGCCCATTGTTTTCTAAAAAAATTTCAGCTCTGCTATGTCTTTCAAACACACAAGAACATGTACAATGCCAAAGTTTGGGATCCGTGAAATAAAGCCGCAAGTATTAATATACTATTGTGTCTTCTACATCCTCTACATCCTCGCATTCCACGATATGAGACATGCTTTAAACAGGATCGACACTTTTTCAAAGAGCCATAGATAGGATCGAGGGTTTTCCCATTCAAAAATTGTTTATATAAATATTGACATTTAAAGTGCGGAGGGGCCACATGTTTTAAAAGAAAAGCGGTAAACATTTTTTGTGCCGATCTCCAAAGTCAACGGCTGACACTTCGGACTGTGCGCTCATCCAAGATACGAACGGCAGTAGTTTGTACTGTCTACTTTTTATTTTCGTCAATCCGAAGTTGCGGCGTCGCGGGGAAGCCACCCCCTTTTTCGGCTCCCCACAACCCTTTCGAGCCGTACCAGAGACACACCTACAATCACCGCCGGGAATATTATCCGAGAATAACACGTTCGAGAGACACCTCGCCGCATGAGAGCGACACTTGGTGAACTGGAACAGGGCGCCAACGGCTACCGACACGATCGTCTTCGCTGAAAGCGAGGAATTTCGCCCACCATGATGTCCCGAAGTCAGTCGAGTCTGGGGTATATGGATTCGGGTCGAGAGGATTCCGCCCCGGGGGTCTCTCCGTCTTTGAACCAGCCGTCTGCCTCTGGACCTATCAACCTCTCTGGTCTGGTGTGCAATGTGCGGCGAACGACCGGCAAGGAGCCCCGTCCTCTCGTCGGTGCCACTACGACCATACTGGGCGATAAGCTATACGTGTTCGGAGGCCGGATCCTCTCGCGCAGCCGCCCTCAACTAACCTCCGATCTTTACGAACTGGACTTGATTCGACGACATTGGACGAAAGTCGAGCCTGCAGGAGATGTTCCACCGCCGCGGTATTTCCACAGTGTGTGTGCTTTAGGGGATAATAAGTTGGTCTGTTATGGAGGCATGTCACCCGCACCGAGTACGCCAAAGGACCCCGAGAACCCCGAGGAACCACAATCACAGTCACAATCGGAAGTCATTGTTATGTCGGATATCCACATCTTTGATGTACAATCGCGGGCATGGACCCGTGTTGCTGCCCATGAATCTCCTCAGGGGCGCTATGCACACTGTGCCACTATACTGCCATCGAGCGCTTGCTTCACGTCTGCCAGTGCACCGCTATCTGCTATCCACAATAATCCCGAATCCTCCACACATGAAGGTACACTTGGCGTGGATATCGACGGCTTCGGAGGTGCAGAGATGGTGGTGGTTGGAGGCCAAGATAGTTCCAATCACTACATCGAACAAATCAGTGTTTTTAACCTGCGGAGTCTCAAGTGGACTAACACTAGCTCTCTGGGAAGGAGCTGCGGCGCTTATCGCAGTGTGGTAGCTCCTTTGGTGGGGATGGATGTGTCTGAAATTGGATCCTCAGCTCCAGACCGCGACCAACACGAGCCGATTCAAGATAGCACTGAATCGCCAGGTTGCCCTATGCTGATATACTCCAACTATAATTTCCTTGATGTCAAGCTGGAGCTGCAGGTGCGCCTGCCGGACGGACGCCTTGTCGAGCGGCCAATGCAGAGCCAAGCATCCCCCCCAGGACTGCGTTTCCCGAACGGTGGAATTATCAACGGCCACTTCGTTGTTAGTGGTACCTACCTGACGTCATCAAAGCAAGAATATGCGCTGTGGGCTCTCGATTTGAAGACATTGACTTGGGGCCGTATTGATGCCGGAGGATCAGTATTTGGACAGGGTAGTTGGAACCGAGGAGTGCTTTGGCCTCGCCGTAATTCTTTTGTCATTCTTGGACACCGCAAGCGAAGCCTTGTCGATGATTACAACCACCGGCGAATCAACTTCTCGCACATCTGTCTAGTCGAGCTGGAGGCATTTGGACTATACAACAACCCTTGCCGCACCTCTCCAACCTCAGGATATAAGTCATATAGCTCCTCTTCTGTTCCAGCATCTCTGCAGAAGAAGTTAGTGCAGTTGACATCAGGTGGCCGGCCATTATCTGCCGCATCCGATGAGCTAGGCAAGCTCGCGCTATCTTTGCCAGAGACGGCCGACATGGAGTTGCAATCTGTGGGCGGAGAACGTATACCTGTCAATTCCCGCGTATTGACTCGGCGCTGGGGTCCTTACTTTATCCAACTCCTCCGTGAGTCGTCGGATGGAGGTATTGCAGACATCGGAACTCTTCGTCCGGCCCAGATACACCCGAGCCGCAACTCGAGTATTACCATCACTCCTTCGCTAGGCTCCGATGCAGCGACTCTTGTCAATCAGTCTGTACCATCCAAGTCTCTGCTTGAGAACCTCGAAGTTCCGTCTGCCCACAGCCTAGCTCCAACCTCCCGACCACGTGTACTGTACCTCCCCCATACCATTTTGACTCTTCAGGTGCTGGTCCAATTTCTTTACACCTCAGCCCTTCCACCTGCAGGCAACTCGCTTTGCACGCCACAGATCCTCTGCTCGCTTCTCCAGCTTGCGCGTCCATACCAGATTGACGGACTACTAGAAGCCACCGTCGAAAGACTCCATCAAGTTCTCGATGGGCGCAACGCTGCAGCTGTATTCAACGCAGCTGCTATGGCTGCTGGGGGTGGCCGTGGTACCGGATTCACTGGTGGACCAGGAGGTACACTTGAAGCTCTGAACGGAGCTTATACCGGCCACAACGGCACTGCGCCCACAATTGGCGAGAACAGCAACTCCCAACACGGTGCACTCACCTCAGACTCGTCCGACACAGAGCACGGTGGTGCCTCCACGTCAGCAGCGAGCAGCACAAACGATCTCACTAACTTCGCTCGAGGTATTCCATCTCTCCGCATCGATACCAATGTCTCCCAACATTCGCGCCAGCGCAACGCCCACCGCGACCGTGAGGACTCCATTAGTAACCCAAGCACAGCGACATCTGCGTCCAGCGCTAGTTTCAGTCAGTCCGACTCCGAATGGGTCAGCGGCGATGAAGGTCGCTCTGAGTCCCGCTCGCAGTCTCGCTCTACCCATCACCGCCGTGACACCGATACTGAGTTGCGCCGTCCCCACCGTGAGCTCTGGACCGGTGATCTAAGCAGTGTTATCGGTCTCCAGAAGCGCGGCTTGCGTGGTCTCATGGAGGGCCGTCGCATGCGCGAGCGTGGTTCGAAGCCCGCCAGCACTGGTAGTGGCTCGATATCCATGCCACCGTCGGCTGGCTCAGGCGAGCACATCCCTTTTCAAGGCGTCGCCACTTGATGGTTGCCTATAACTAATTTGTCTTGCTGTGACATCTGACTATACGATCTCTCTTTCTCCGCCTTATCCTTCTGGTACTTAGTTTTTTTTAGATGATCTCTTCCAGATACCGTGTTTGGATTATGTATATTTCTTTCTCCTTGCTTTTCACTCCAACAGGCTGGCAATGTGGGATGAATTCAGGAGAGGGCTTCCAAATCAGGATGCAGCTGGATGTTGTACCTTTGTTCTGTTTATGTTATTTGGGTTGGGTAGGTTGTTCTCGCCTACACAGCCATGGATATATACTGAGACTCTGGGTGTTTGGGTTTGCAATGAAAGCAATGAAAGCAATGAAACGCATTGAAACCAGATTCGTGATTTTTTTTTTCCCGTGGAAAGACTGCCTTGGAGATGAGAAGAGATAGATTTTATTAGGACTTCTTATTTACAGTTGGAAAGTCTCTCAAACACCACTCTGGTTTGGACCGGAGAATTCCACTTTCAGAGGAATAAAAAAGAAGGGCATTAGTCCTTCTTTACTTCATCTCCAAACCGCTTGGGACTCTTGCCAATATAGACTGGGAAACAAGTTAGCATAAGCCTGTATATACGATCAAAGACAATGAGATTGCCTGGGAATCAAAGAACTCACGTCGCTCATAAAGAATCCAAGATGTGTACATTACAATTGGTAGCCCGACAATAGTCGTTGTCCATCTAGAAAAAGGATTAGATTTCTCGTTGTCGCCATGTATTGTTCACCAAAAGCAAAGACAAAACATTCAAAAGAACAGAAAACAAAGAATGACACCTACCTCCGTGCAGCAGCCTTGTACTCCTTCGTCTGCCGGATATCATCCACCCCTTTGGGGAGCCGCGGAGAAGCGGGTTGCCGGACTGGGCGTGGAGGCCGGGATTTGGGGTCCACGGATCGGTATCTGTGTTGGTCTTTGAGGGAAGTCATTATTCTGGGCTTTTGTTAGATGGATTTGAATATAGAGCAAATTGTAGGGGCGTAGTTACATGTTTTGGTCGGTGTATTGGAGGTTATGAATTCTGTGAGGGAAGATTCGGGAGGTGTTGGCGCCTGAGGCATCACTGCAACTACTCATCTACAAGAAGAGTAACTTATAGAATAGATTATACTATAACCACTAACTGTGAGGTCGGTTGATAATGTGAATTATTTGGTAGCTGAGAGCAAAGCCCATCTTAAAATTACTGAGAATATAAGAAAGACCTTCTGATGTTCTGGGGTATAGAGTTCTACACAGTTCTGTTTACGAACAGTTTCATTTATCACATTTGATATACATGCTCTCAAGGTCACATATGCTAGGTGCCAATGCCATTGGTTGGCATATAGAAGTTTGAGCTTCTCAACTTAAGAAGAACAAGCCTGGTCTTTTTTTACTCCCACCTTTCAAGCTAGAACCCTAGGCTTCTTTTGCTCCATCAAATAGGCTTAGGTCAATTATACACTGAAAAGGTCCACGGGTATAGGCAAGCATAGTGATTAAGTATGCGGAGACCAATTATCTGTGAAGACAGAGTTGTTATCACATTTTGCTATAGTTATACCAATTTCCAAATAGACTACAAAGAATACAAGGAAGCTTTTTTACTATTGTTTTTGTGTGCCTTTTAGTGTTAGTGTAATAGAAGGATTGCATGATCATTGTACCTGACCTTGGCTCGTTACCAACGATCTTGCTGTCTAAAAGCGAACTTGATCAGCCGTCATCTATCACCCTTAGGTACCATACTCGAACTGTATGAGTTTTAAGTTGACGTACCATCTACGATCTTTTTAGCTCCACGTTTCGTCAGCTCTCTGTTTGGGGCTTTGCCAAAACAAGAGGCCATACAAATGGCATAGAGTGTCAGAATATTTTAAAATGAAAGTAAGTGATGAACCCTTCTTAGTTTTATAGGTTTAGTTGGCTAAATCTGAACTATCAAACTAATGTGATACCCTAGTCGCAAGTTATTTCTCAACCGATGTATATAGTAGCTATCACTTAGAACGTCACATAAAGTAAATGCATCTAGGATGTAAGGCAATAGTAATGGGAAAGTGAGTTGGATGTGAGTGAGATGTGAGGGCTATCTGCACTGTATTTCATATTTACCAGAGCTACATTTATAGAGACTACGAGGGTAAGAGATTACGAAGTAAAGCAATACGAGTGGACAACAAAGACAACTGAAAAATCTCACTATTCACCATGGTGAACTCCATGGTATGCTCCTGCGGTGCTAATCATACACGCTTGACGCCCGCTGGTAATCATACAAAAAAAAACTAAGAAACAGCGGCCGTATTCTGATAATCATCGCCCGGCCGTAGACGGGCGGAAAAACACTCATTCTGCCCTCACTGGGGCTTCACACCGCGACGGCGGCGGCGTTGCTTTTTGGTTAATGCGGGGGACGGCGCACGTGAGGGGGCGGGGGAGGAAGGGGACTGCACGGCGGGGGCATGCTTGGAAGCAGAGGCCTCATTCCCGGAGGTCTCAGTCTTTGCTTCCGGCTTCAAGGTCAACCGGAGCCGCTGCACCTTAGGTTTATCACCTTCGGTGGTAGCGGGGGTGACGGCGGCAGCCGGGGCTGAAGACTGGACCTTTGTCGCAGTAGTCGGAGGAGAAGTAAGAGAGGTGGAAGAAAGGGTAGGGGCAGGAGCGGTCTGGCGACGGCGACGCTGTGACTTGCGTGCACCAGTCTCGGGAGTGGCAACGGGATCAGCTGCAGTAGGCTGATCGGCGGCATCTGCAGCCGCGGTCTGACGGCGCTTTCGGCCACGGGTCTTCTTGGTGGCAGGGGCTGGCACAGGCATCCGAGCAAGAGCCATGGCCTTCTCTTCCTCCACGTTTTCAGTGACGAATGGGCTCGTCGCCTCGGAGGGGAGATTACGGTCTCCCATGAGTGGGGCGAAGCTGTGAGAGATATCGGCCTCGGCTTGCTGGGTAGTTCTGGCGCGCACCGGAGGGAAAGGAAGACCCCCGTACCCATAGGTATGAGGTGGGTAATAAGGGTGGCATTTTTCGGGGATCAGAGCAACCTCTTCGCCGCTGGAGTTGACATAGCCAGTCTGAATCCAGCCATCGCTGCTGACCTTGGTATCGGACTGCTTTTTGTAGCCCAGGATGCCTGGGGCGTTGGTGACTGCGGTAGGGGGAGTAGGAGAAGGGGCGATTTCAGGTGCTGGGGGTTCTTGGTTGATCATATCGACATCAACATCAACATCGCTCGGCGAGGTGGGCTTGGTGGTAGGAATCTCGGAGCCATATTTCTCTTCATCTTGGAGACGGAAGTATTCACTTCGCTGCTCCTCCCAGAACGCGGGGAAATCTAAAGGAAGGGTGAACTCAGGGCTTAGGGCCTTAACAGTCAAGTCATACAGTTTCTTGCCCGCCACTTTCGGGTCAATATCAAAACCGATCAGGATGGCGTTCTTTCGCATGTTCAAGTTGGTCATTCTCTTTGACTTTCGAGTTGTCTTCAGGTGTTTCTTCGAGACATTGTTCTTCACAACCTTGGTAGTCACGGGGGCAGGTGTTTCCACGGTCGGGGTAGACATATTCGTATTCTTGCGTCGAGTTCTCTTCTTACTTGACTCAAAAGACTCAAGGGCCCTTATGGTGGGCTTGCGAACCCGAGATGAGTTCCGCATGTCGGAAGCACTGGTAGGGCTCGAGGGACCGTCAACAGTTCCTTCGGATTCAATGCTGCCCATATACTGGTCAATCGCCCAGTTGCCAGTACTATCTGGAAAATCGATATCCGAAACTGCTTGCTTCGGCGTCTCAAGTGCAGCTGTTCGTCTTGTCCGTCGACTCCCCGGGTTGGTAGCCGGGGCTTCTAGGGCTGGAGTATGAACAGTTGAAAGACGTGACGGACGAGCCTGGAAGGTTCGCCGGCGTGAAGATGGTGTTTCTGGAGATGTCCCACGTGAGGTAGGACTTGGAACAGATGGGGTTGGAGTGTGGGTTGGAGTGTAAGAACGAATATTGATAGAATTGTCTGGGGGAGAGGCGGATGTAAGGTTCAACGTTTTGGCGGGCTGAACGCTCCCATTTGTACTTTTTGACGGGGGAGCAACTCGGGGCGAGCGCCGAGAAGGTGTCAATGTAGGCGCCTTATTGATGCGCGCAGGCATCGACTTACGCTGGCCCTTTTTGGGAGGCATCGTGAATTAAAGCTAAATGTCCCGGAATATGTCAGTATAATCTATTCATGCAAATACAATAGGCGGTAAATAGAGCGACTGAATGTACAATGGAAGACTAGATAATACCCCCAATAACAGGCAACTAGAGTGTGGGAATAAGAATATATGGGGATCATCATGTGAAGGGCCGACGTCAGAAGACCGCAGTGCGCGGAAAGGGAGAAGTTGGGAATTAGGGCCCGGCGTATAGGCGCAGAACTCACGGAATTAGAGGTACACCCATCCGCAGTTATTTTCTAAAGGGTTCGTAAACAAGCTCGCAAGGACTAGGTGGGTGTTGGAGTTGTATCTGTGGCAGACGAGGCGAAACAAAGTGATGGAAGATGTTGAGGTCAAGCAGAAAAGAAATTAGGGCTACGGTTGATCGGTGCTTATCGGCTTCACTTGTCCGCCTTATTCTGCAACTCCTCTATCCTCACATCATCTCCCCCAGCTCTCTACAGCTGTTTCCTGTTCTGTTTTCTTTTAGTTATTTTTTTCACAATGCATATGTGGCAGGCCACCGTTCTATTCTGCCTATTGGCTGCGGCTGCCTTGCCCGGCGCCGCTGCCACAGCTTGGGGCTTTACTGATGCCACCGTGGCCGTTCAACCAAAAGGTGCTGGTGTCAATGGAGGTTTCAAGGAAAAGTATGTATTTTGACCCAAATAGAGGTACATGAATCTAATTGACATATTCAAAATAGATTTGTTTCATCGAAGCCGCTCTCCAAGCCCGTCTCCCTTGTCGGTACCGATACCCTACGCGTCATTTTGACAGCCCAGGAAGACAGCTCCCCAAAGCGGCCAGACCAGGCTTTCCTTCTGCTTAAGGATGCCCAGACTGGATTGGATATCTCTTACCCTTTTAATGTCAAGGATAATGGCAAGTCAAGGGTAGAATTGGTATGCAACCCCCCGAAAATGACTTCCGCCGCGCAGCTAACACATGCCCTCCAGACCCAGAAAGACCTGCCGATACAATTCCTTTCCCTCTCCGATCCTGTTGATGCGCATATTGTTATTGGTGGCTTCGGAAGCTCTGATGCCTACGACAGCTCTGTATTCAAGTTGTCGATTGATCGTAACCCCGACGAGCCCGTGCCGACCGTTGAAACTCAGCGATACGGCAAGAAGCCCGAGATACACCATATCTTCAAGGAGTCTCCATCTAGTCCTCCAATTGCCATTACCCTGGCCTTTGTCGCCATGGTTTGCGCTACTATTCCCGCTCTTGCTGTCTTGGTAAGTCGATCTACTTGCCGTGCCAGTGACGTTGCTTATATATTGTATCTAGTGGCTCTTCCTCGGCGCCAACGTCAACCACCTACCCACTGCATTCAAGTCTGCTCCTCTCTCCCACACCATCTTCCTCGGATCTTTAGTTGGATTTGAGGGGATCTTCTTCCTCTACTATACCTCGTGGAACTTGTTCCAGGTCCTCCCCGCGATGGCTGCTGTCGGCGTGGTCGCATTTGTTAGTGGAAGCCGTGCGCTGGGTGAAGTGCAGGGCCGGCGTCTTGCTGGTCTCCGGTGAAATTTCGGAACATCCCTAAATTTATCTGCCGTGGTTCTGGTGGTCCTCTCACGGTGCTCCCAAACTGCCGTGCGGTATTAGATTCCAGTGGCATTGTATCTTAGCTGTGGCTGTACCCAGTATTTCTTTGAAAAATTACAGATTTCCCACTGAAGCTATCCTAGGAGACTGGCTAATCTTCGGACGTAATAATCTACAAGACGTCTAGAAAACGTCTAGAACATGGTTAGGTTGGAGGTCTCTAGTTACGCAGCCGCACCAACATGTGCTCCCGGTCAAGCTCATTTCAGTATTTAGCATGACATTTTTAGCCATGTTAGACAAGTATGTGATACTCTATCTTAATTAATCTTGCTACATAATTGATATTCCCAAGGAAGATGTTTGTTGACTATGTACATATTCTTTTGACGTCACAAGGTAGGGCACGTTTCAGCAGCATGAACGGTCATCGCCACTTACCGCTTTATTTACCGCCTAGGGGGACCCCAGAGATCCCGTTGTCTTCTCAACCGACACTGTAGTTATATATGGAAAGAGGGCTTATTCAGTATCCTAGAGTATCTCTACAATTTTTGCTTCTTTTTGAGACCATAAAAATGTATTAGTTCGTATGACTCGTATACTTCGGTTTATAGATCAGCCAAGAATTATTGACCGTTCTGCTGGCAAAAGACCGGAACGTACGCGGGTCGCAAAAACACGCTGTACGATAAGATCGAACGCCAAGGCGACCTCGGGACCTCCGCGCAAAGCTCCGCAAAAAGCTGCAACGTCTTCTGTCCACACTTCCAACTCCACAGCCTATCATTCTTAATGGGTTCCGCTGCTTCAAAGCCCGCCAAGTCAGCGGCTGGCGCAGCCGCACGGCGCCAATACCCCAAGCAGTCCGCCCCTCCACCGAGGCCGCGCAAAGCTCCGAAAGAAACCAAAGCAGCGTCCGCACCTACGCCTACTCCATCCAAGCCCAAGGCCAACCCCTCGCCTCCTCGGGCACCTGCGCCTCCATCTCAAGGTCCAACATATCACTCAAAGGAGAAAGCATCCGGCGTGAAGTCTGAGGGTGAGTACACCCGCCATGATTCTTTCAAGTCTCTCAAATGCAGCAAATTCAAGATCAGCAAAGAAACACTTACTAATGACTTTCTAGCCATTGATATGGATGGCCGAGACCCCGACTTCGCCGCCTCCCTCCGGTCAATAGGCCCCGTCAACCCATCACCTACATTCTCAAACTCAAGCACCGTCAACCGCCCCGCCTCAATGCAAACTGTCTTTCCACAAGCCTCCAACCCGGCGCTGCTAGTTGTTACTGCTCGACAACGTCTTACGGAGGCCGCGGACAGAGAAGCTGAGCACTTCGGTCGTGCGGGTCACCCGGGGAGATCGTTCCTGGATGCCCTGACTATCCAACAGGTGTTGACTATGCGGGATAAGCAGGGTATGCGTCGTGGAGACATTGAACGGTTCCTTGGGCTGAAGAAGGGGATCCTGGACCGGTTAGGAAAGGATGAGGTTGTGTCGCGCATTACATGATCTTCGTTCCCTACCCGAGTGAGCTGTTTTTTGTTTAGCGGTCTTTCCCCTAAAATATCGTTTATTTTTGGTGCATTTAGATTATGTTGGCATTATTATTCTTGGTTTTATCGACACTTTGTATAGTAATGTGGTTCAGTCATCCCAACTCATGATAATATCAAATTCTTTAGTTAGACTGGCTAGAATTGGCCCTTTCCAACTTTCCCTGTTGTCTCTCCACGGGGCGCGCTGTATAAAATTATAACAATCTGCTTCCCCGCGGCTGCCCCAAGGCGTGGATGTTATCACGCTGGGGTCAATCGTCCATGACAACTGCTTCTCTTGTAGGCAGGTCCAGGGCCGCACCCTTGGATATTCTCGGAATGCAGGCAGCTCTTTATGGGTCTTGAGAAAGCAGCTTGACGAGTTTTGCCCTGACGTGTATCTGTCGCGCGGCATGGGGTAAACTCTAGCAAGCCTGGGCAAGGAGTTCGGATTGTAGATCCACGTTCAGGTCCTGTCAAAGCCCAATACCACATTCCGGTCTTTGGCAAGCATGGCGGAACATCTTTCCGTTGCCGCTAAAGTCGTGGCTGGCGAAAGGTTGTAATGTGTCTAGTAGTGTTCCATTAGGAGATTAATTGCCTTAAATTGAGCAGGTTATTGTTGATGAATAGCATGCACTAACCCCGCGATGAAATTTGCAAGGTTCTACTGACAGAACGGGTAATATTTTTGAGTTAAACCTTAAATTGTATATTTTATGTGACTCTTATAAAAAGTGGTGATGGTTCGGCGCCGACTACCAATTACACCACTCGGATATGCAATGACTCAATGTGGGATCCGATCTAAATTACTTACAGATGGCGATAAACTGCTACTTATATCGTGTCTTCGTTGTTTAGAGTACTTTGAAATCTATTGAACATATTCGCCTCTCAATCCTCTCCGCCTAAGAGTCACAGTTATGTATCTCCGCGCTGTCCACGCCGAGGGGCAACTCCCCGTCCTCCAGCAATTCATTCGCGACAACCCACTCGGAATCCTAACAACGGCGATTAAATCCCCGATTTACTCATTCATCCAATCAAGCCACATCCCCTTCGTCCTCGATGTACCCCCGACCAAAGACGATGACACAATCCCGACCGGCATTCTGCGCGGCCACATGGCCAAGCAGAATCCACAAGCAAAGGCCCTGATGGAAGCCCTCGCCGAGCAAAACGCAGCAGGGAATAATAAACTCGAACTCGCGGACGAAGTCCTTATCCTCTTCAACGGCCCGCACCACCACTATGTGACGCCCAAATTCTATACAGAAACCAAACCGGTCTCCGGCAAGGTCGTCCCGACGTGGAACTACTCCGCTGTGCAAGCGTATGGCAAGATCAGTGTGTACTGCAACTCCAAGGCAGAGGAGACAGGTGCATTTTTGCAGACACAGATTGAAGATCTGTCGCGACAGTCTGAGACAGGCATTATGGGGTATACCGGGGGTGATAAGAAGAGCCCGTGGAAGGTCTCTGATGCACCGGTCAATTATGTGCAACTTTTGAAGAAGAACATCATTGGCATTGAGATTCGGATTGAGAGGCTGCAGGGGAAGTTTAAGATGAGTCAGGAGATGGGTGAGGGTGATCGGGAGGGGGTTGTGAAGGGGTTCGAGGATTTGGGGTCGGAGGTTGGGAATGGTATTGCTGCTTGTGTTAGGGAGCGCGCTGCTTTGAAGGATCAGCAGAAGTTGTCGTAGGTGAGTTGTTACAGTATAGAGAAGATCTGTATATAATCTGGCAGGTTGCCATTGCACATATAGTTGATGTGATCATGAGGGATGAGAAGCATGAGAAGCATGTCTAGATGAATAGTAACATCCACGGAACAGTCTGCGTTTAATTCAAACTTTGAATGTCTAAGCTTTCCAGATGCATAAGCACGGAGTGCATAAATACAGATGTACAGTTCTAGTACGTTTCACTTAAGCTTTTTTAATTTCTGTACTAATCACCTTGATACTACATCAAAAAAAAGGGCATTGCACGCTATGTTTTGATTCGCGAAGCTCGAGACTAGGTATTAATGTAATTTTGTTAATATTAGGATACAAGTGCCAACATTGAAGATACAGGTCGTACAGGTCTTTCTACAAGTCTCCTGCAGGATGTATTGCCAAGCATTTTCAAGGCAAATCCTGCGGAATCTCCAACCTCACCCCTAGATAGCCGATACGGGTATTGTATATTGCAAACTATTTATGAAACCCTCCCCACAAGATCTGAGAGACACGGGATCTCAAGATCGGATCGTCATTTCCCGATACATAGTAGCAATATAAATGGAAGTGGGGAGAGAACGGGAATCGTAAATCACCGTTCCCCGGATTTTATGCAGAAGCTCTCGAACATGTTCCCCCTTTTTAAAAGTTTGGAACCAGGAACCTTCGGACCCTTGGAACTCATTAGAAAGTCCCGCTTGTAATTGAATTACCCCCTTTTTTTTAGAACTGTTGTAACTTATTGTATTATTAGTTCTCTGTTTCACCGAAAGAGCGAATCATTGTGGAATAGTGTAATGCAGGGTCCACTTGGTGGCTACACAATTAGAGGCATAATAATGTTGGAACCTGTACAGCCGCTTTATGTCTCTCATCAGGTCCACTTGTATCCAAAACAGGTTGAAATGGTGCCATTTTAATATGGAGAATGAGGTTCTAGCGTAATAAAAAGAATGATGTAAATTTCAAACGATTGGAAAAAAAAGGAAAGAAACCGGAAAATAAGCATTTGGGGTATTTCGGAGCCTCTTTTTCTGAGTCGCGTGCACAGTTTCCTATCGCCTAATTAGTCTTGTTCTGTTATTCTGTTCACTCTTCCTTTTACTCCTCTCACCTTCTTGTCTCTGTTTACCATTTCAACTCTCCTTAATTTCTTCTCCTTACCAACTGCGCAATTCCAGTGTACAAATGAAATGATTCCAATATGTCCATCTTTGCCCTCTTACCAGCTTTGTCGCCCTTCCTTTTCTCTGCTCTCGTCGTGAGTGGCCTCGCCTCCAAGGCTTTACATATTGCGCTACACTTTCAGTCATTACCGTTTCTCTATTTCGTCCTCTACTCGCCTACCCTTATTCTTCCGGATGTCTTAGTTATCATCTTCGTGCGAGTCTTGTTACGCTTTCATACGCCAGAAAGTCGATGGCAATGGCTCTCGACTGGATTGGGAGGGGCACTGTCGTATGTTTACCCTCGAATACCCGAAGACCAAAATGGAGGACAAGACGAAATCTGCACAACATGATCTAACACTAATACTCCAGCTTGATCACATGGGGTGCTTCTTCTATCCAGTTTGGGTTCTTTATGCAGACCGGTGCCGAGGTCGCCTGGGCAGCTGGTGGTAGCTTCCTAAGCGATCCGGCGGCGATGAAAATTCTCCTCAGCGGTATCTCAACTGTGTCCGCTGCGGCCACCGTTCTAGGATTGGTGGCCTGGATGGTTCATTCGCATTTGTACAACATCACCGGTCTAGGCTTGCAGGCGATCCGAGACCTGTGCGTGGGGGGATTCAAAGCGCGTTATACATTAATTACCGCCCCTAGCAAGTCGTGCATGGCCTCGGTGGACCTCCGGTCGTTCCGCCGCATTATTCCCGCAGTCGCCGTTTGTGTCTCGCTCATTTTCTTGGAAATAACTAGGCCCGCTATACCATATGATCATATCTCCGGAGCTCTACCATTGACACTGCTCGACGCTTTCCAGAAAAAGACAGCGACGGTGGAAGGATGTCGCGAGCCCACCAGGCCATTCCCTCTGATGATCACGGACGATAATGGGGTGTCGCGTCCTCAATTCCAACCGGACTCGACGTTTGTGGAACAATGGTCACGAGCTACATGGCTTCCCGAAAATCCGCCCCGAGGATTCAGCCGCTGGGACCTCAGCCCGAGTGACCGTGCAGAGAAGGACAATCATTATTCTTTTGTTTGCGCTAGTGATCAGGGATTCTACGACCCGAAAAATGATCCGCTAATGATCACAAATTTGGGTGGCGAAATTTATGAGCCCCTCCAAAAGGCTTTCAAAGAGCACTCCGTTGAGGTCAACCACATAGTGCTATTAACACTCGAAAGTGGCCGCAAGGAACTTTTCCCCACACAGCAGGGTACCCCGTTGTTCGATGGCCTAGTCGCGTCTCATAAGAAGGAGAAAATCAACGAGGCCATTGATCGTCTGGTCACAATGACCCCGGTGGCTCAACAGCTGACAGGCGAGTACGCAACCGATAGCAAGGGGAAGAAGGTCGACTTGAGCCACTCTCCGTGGCAGAACCCGCCACAAGAAGGTATGGGAGGACTTAATGTCCGTGGTGCCATGACAGGTAGCTCCTTAACTTTCAAAAGTGTTTTGGGAAGTCACTGTGGTGTGAACCCTCTGCCGGTGGATCTGCTAGAGGAGTCTCTGCTAGAAATTTATCAGCCATGCTTGCCACAGATATTCGATCTGTTCAATCAAGGCAAGTCGCAATCGGAGCAGCGCCGGGAGAACTCTTCGGAGAGTAATTCTGCGGCTCTAAAGAACCCCTGGAAGTCTGTCTTCATGCAATCAATTACGGATGACTACGACCGTCAGGACGTGCTGAATGAAAACATGGGCTTTAAGCACAAGGTCGTCAAGAGTGATCTAGTATCACCGCAAGCGAAATACAAAGCTAAGGGCGAAGAGATCAACTACTTTGGCTATGCGGAGACTGAACTGCGACCATACGTGTTAGATCTATTCGAGGAAGCTGCAAATAACAAAACCCGCATGTTCTTTTCACATGTGACTAGCACGACCCATCACCCTTGGAGTACGCCAGAAGATTTCGAGAAAGAGCCATACATGAGCGACCAGGGGAACATCAACCACGACCTGATGAACAACTACCTGAATGCCGCCCGCTTCGTGGACAATTGGCTTGGGGACATTATGACCATGCTGGATCAAACGGGGATCGCCAACGAGACTCTAGTCGTTGTCGTTGGAGACCACGGCCAAGCCTTCGGCGAAGATAACAAGGACATGACCGGCACGTATGAGAATGGCCATATTAGCAACTTCCGTGTACCCTTGGTCTTCCACCATCCGCATATGCCTCGAGTGGACATCACCGCCAACGCAACCGCCCTCACCATCGTCCCCACTATTCTGGATCTGCTCGTGCAGTCGAACTCCTTGGACGAGCGTGACTCCGAGATCGCCTCTTCACTCCTCCCAGAGTATCAAGGCCAGTCTCTCCTACGTCCCTTCCTCTCTTCTATGGAGGAACCACACCACCGCCGTGACTCCCATCACCATCCCCACCCCGATGAGCATCCGGAGCACGAGCGAGAAGACACCCGGCACGGACCCCGGTCCCACCCAGCAGCCCCAGCCAAACGTCTTGTTTGGAATATCGGTCTGATCAACGCTGGTGGCTCGATGCTCTCCATCATGGCAGCCGATGTCCCATACCGTCTCATCCTTCCGCTGAAGGATGGATTCGAGTATACATTCACCCACCTAGGCGACGACCCCGGTGAAACCCACTTCACCAAGGCATGGACTCTTGAGGAGCTTATCGAAGAGGTCGAGCCTAAATATGGCGCTGAGTCCGCTGAGTGGCTCACGAACGCCGAGCTAGTTGGCAAGTGGTGGGTGAGTGAACAAAAACGCATTTGGGGTTACCGTGAAGCATAGTCATATGCTACCTCTGGAGACTCATCAAACTCAAAAATCAAACACGAACCCGACTTTGGTGATTGTTCTGTTTCACCTAACATCGCATTTCGCATCTCCTCCCTTTTCTTCTGATTTTGTCCCCTTTCACATCTCACGATATCTACATTTTCCTTGGAACCGGCGTCAATATGGAGTTTTATGTTTTCATTTATGTGTGAATGCTTGAGCTATCTCATCTTTGAGACATTCTCCCATTGTGGCTGAACAGCCCTTTTTCTTTTATTCTTGTGTGAATCTGCATATTATGCGATATCACGTTTGTGCTTTTCTATTTTCAGTTTCCGTCTCTTAATGTTACTCAGAACTGGATCTTGGCAACTGTATTTGTATGGAAACAGCGAGGACAGAGCATTGTACATAGCACCGAAGAAAACTTCGGCATCTTGAGGTGATTTTTGTTGCGCAACCTAGTGCATTGGATGGTTGTGTATTGGTCAGGTATTCTGGCTAATATGTCTAATCTACATAATCCCATTCGACTTGACTTCAGTTTCCCCAGAACAGTGTTGAGAGTTGTCATCAAGAATAGATGTACTCTGTAAGAGCAAGCCAGTCATTGGTGAGACTAATTTGCTTTTCCTACTCATGAGGTTATGATCATCGCGATCTACCTTGTACCAGTGGACGCATGCAGATGCTTATCCTTAACTTAGACCCTATATGTAGGGCTCGGCAGGACCCCCGCTTGATCCACCAAGTTTCTCCTGGGTACAAATGTTCGCATGGGATATCATGTAAGGCTAAGGTCAAGCTTTGAAGTCAATTTAGTGCTAAGTTTTGGGTGATTCCAAGGGACTTGATCTAACTGTGTACCATAATTTGGGAACAAATTGTACCTAAGTTGTTGTTCCCATCCCACACAGCTCTACTAACTTGTTTTCAACGTATATAGATGATCATGCCCACAGTAATCTATAATTATTTGAAATGATAGATAAATTCTTTAGCCTGCAGTACTTGTTATAGTACGAAATCCTCATGTACTGTAGCAAGAAATGAAAAGCGAGGGGAACATAGGGTGCAAGACAACGCTACACAGATCATTTTATAATACTACATACATGTAGTTAGGTAGCAAATATCTACACAAGTACTTGACTATGTCAAAGCTCATAGCCAAGACCGAAAAAGAAAGGGTCCGGCGGCAATTGAGAAACCCCCAACTGATGGGAATTTCCTTTCTTAGCCGACCACTTTTACACCGACAACATCGACCCGTGCATATGTACGGAGTATCCCACGAACAGTTCCTGCGGGTTGAAGCCCCGAGCCACTCGGGGCAGGTCCGAGAAGTGCACGACAGGGGGAAGAACCGGCCAGACCAGATTCTGACAAACAAAGAAAAAAAAAAAAGTGAAAGCACCGACAAATTCACCGATTTCCCCTTGCCAGCGTTTACCCGGAATCCAGAGTGTGGGGGTTTCGTCAGCCGTTTCGGGTACAAATAAGGTGGAAACGCGGCTTGCACACCGATAGAGAGGCTAGATCCAGGGATGTTAGCAAGATATCACGAGAACAGAAAAAGTGGAAACTTCGGAATCTCCCCATTGAGTAAGGAGTTGAAGATTCTGATGGTCAGGTGTCCCTTATGCAGGGTTATACTAAGATAAGCTATATGACCTTAATTCTATAGAAGAGAGAGTCTGGACTCTCCAGGGCTTTGCATTTCAACTAATTTTAGTTTATGTATCCCCCGCATACAATTCGTACAGAGTACAGACTTTCAGAACTGTTCTGCATGATTCAATTGAACTTGTACCAATGATTTTCACTGACTATATCCTAATTGGAAATGTAAGATTGTAATTTTTAAATTTTATGAAAAATCTTCAGATCCTAATATAGCAATTGACCAATGATTCTCTCTTCGCCCGGGCCGCCACCTTGGAGCCGGGGCGATCGGACAGGAACGAGACAGGAACGGATATCACACGCCATATGTACTGATGTGATTGGTAGAGATTCAATTGATCTGCAAATAGCCACCTGACCCCGGATAGTACATTGAAGCTTGGAAGATTTCTAGAAGACTCGGAGTCTCGGCAGCGTAAGATGTACGTGTAGTTTTCTTTCCCAGGTCACCTGGATATTTTCCCCCAAAACCAAGAAAGAAAAAAATAATGAGGTCAAAATTATTAGAGTGGCGTTGGGGGGTTCCCCGGGTTCTCTGTCCCCAGACGGCTTTCCTAAAACAGAAATCCGGCCCCATCCATCCCTTAGGTTCCGAACTATCGTGAATTCCATGTCTGGTGACTATTACTCCTGTTGAACTATCTCTAAAATTCGACATAGTTATTCAATATTATTGCTAGAAGAACAAATTTTGACAATGACAAGAGACAATGAAAAGAGAACACAAAAGTGGCAAATTCATTTCCTTGATCAATTGATATACATCCTTGTTCTATACAACTTGAATTATCATTCTATGCGCTAATCGAGTCTGTTTGTAGGGTTGCGTATGCCTCGCCACAGCCGTTTAGCCCACATTCCAGGTCTGGACCCAATCCGCTTGGCCCATGTCTGGATTTCCTGTTTCGGCCGGCTTTCAGTTTCTTTCTGCTCACGAGACACGTCTGGGGCGCTTTGATCTTGGTCCGGTTTGAACTTGTCGGTCAAAAGATATTTAAAGGAAGTTGATTCTCTGGTCCATGGTACTTCATCAACTGAATCATATTCTTTCTTCTTTATCTGTACACAAAACAATCAGGCTAATCAGCTTTGACGTCTTATAATATCCCTTCTATTATTACTCCCATCTAATATCTACTATATATCGCAATGTCTGTCTCCATCGAAACCACCACAGCTCCCACTGCTCCTATGACCGCCCAACCCGTCGTGATGGGTCAGAAGTCCAGAATGCCCGAGTTCAGTCTGGCTGGAAAGGTGGTGCTTGTTTCAGGTGCTGCTCGGGGTCTAGGATTGGTCCAAGCAGAGGCACTTTTGGAAGCCGGAGCGAAAGTATACGCACTCGACCGTCTGGAAGAACCGGTAAGTTTCTACATCCCTCGATTCTGGTTCATACAATCACGAGGTCTTTCCTTCATATGTCAGCAATGAACTAACAATCAATCAATTACAGGCCCCCGAGTTCGAGCAGATCCAGCAACGCGCAAAGGAGCTTGGCACCGAGTTGCACTACCGTCGTATTGACGTGCGTGACACAGAACTTCTGAACAGTGTCATCGAGACCATCGCCAATGATGAGGGCCGTATGGATGGCCTCGTCGCCGCAGCAGGTATCCAGCAGGAGACCCCAGCGCTCGAATACTCAGCCAAGGACAGCAACACCATGTTCGAGGTCAACGTCACGGGAGTGTTCATGACCTCCCAGGCTGTTGCTAAGCAAATGATTCGCTTTGGAAATGGAGGTAGCATCGCTATGATCGCCTCTATGAGCGGTACTGTCGCCAATCGAGTACGTTCCCACTCCCCTCCTTCGTCTTACCCTTCACCTTTTCCATCCCATTTCGCTTTCAAGTTGTCGGTATAGGCCTAGTGCCTCCCTGCCCAGACTGGAATTCTTTTATGGATTATTTCCCCCGCTTAATGCCACATCCCATTCTTCTACTTGGTCAACAATCTAACATATTTTCCCTACAGGGTCTTATTTGCCCCGCATATAACGCTAGCAAGGCTGCTGTCATCCAGCTCGCCCGCAACCTCGCTGCCGAATGGGGCGCTTACAACATCCGTGTCAACACCATTTCCCCTGGCTACATTGTCACCGCTATGGTTGAGAAGCTGTTCATCGAGTACCCCGAGCGCCGCACCCAGTGGCCCAAAGAGAACATGCTCGGCCGTCTCTCCCGACCGGAAGAGTACCGTGGCGCCGCCGTCTTCCTGCTCAGCGATGCTAGCAGCTTCATGACTGGAAGCGACCTGCGCATGGATGGAGGCCACGCCGCATGGTAGATTGATGGCTGTTGTTTAATTTTGCCTTTTCAATCAGTGCGCATGACCATCTTATTTGGTCTCTCATTGCATGGCGTTCTGCGTCTTCTTCTTTTGGGTCATGGGCCGGAAATAGCGTGTTTGGTTTTTTTGTTTGATTTTCATTGATAGCGATTCGCTTTGCGGATTTAAGATCCAAAGTTGGATGTGATGACGTTAGACTACAAATCGCTCGAATAATAATTGTTTCAACTCAACTGTTTCATCTCTGTAGAGTTTAGCTGCATGTAAATCTTAACCCACTTTGTTGAGATCGGCATTCAAATCTCATGGTCGAACGCAATGACATATATTTATTGTCATAGGTAGCCTTGTAGAGATTACCCGGCACCAAGAACCCGAATCTCGAAAACTTCCACGCAGAAATAACCGCGTACAGCCATCCAGTCGGAGCGTACCACATATTCAAAGCGAGGGAATTCACCACCTGACCTCCCGACAAGGGTGATCAACGAACTTAAGGTTCAATCCGAAGATGAAGTGTTAAGGATACTGTTGAAAAAACAATGCTAAATCTAGTAACCCGAAAATCAAGTATCGGTGATAAACTACGTGGCCATTGTAATCGTCATCAACACATCCAAGAAAAATCCAGATCTATTCAGCCGCCATGGAAACCAATCGACTGACATCAAGTCTGGGGAAGATGCGGAGAACTGGAACCAATCAGAGTTGATCGTGCTGGATGTTGATTGTTTGGTATCCAATGGGAATAGAGTTGGCAACCAATCATCTCGCGGTTGGTCATAGGGTGAATATTCCAAGGCTGGGCTTCTATAAGGGTAACTAATAACTAGTCATGCTCTTTGGTGATATTCTATACATAGTATCGTACATGGTATCTTGCATGCGCTGGTATGTTCGCTTGCTGGGATGCCTTAATTACCCGTTGGGTACCCAAACACCCCGGACTTATGCCCGTGTACTTGCAGCAAGGAGTCACCTGTGCTGACATATTTTGGACTTCTTGGAGCATGGGTGAAATACGGGTAGGTGCTGGGTGTTGACTCTCTAATTTGTCTAATGGCGATAGCTTAGCCTAAATAGGTAAGTGATCTCAAAGGCGCTTGCTTGGCCAAGTACTAGAGCAGGAAGAACTTGTTTTACAGTGAATATTGTGTGGACTTGAGCTGTTAGATCTATACATACCATAGGCCAAGGCAGGGCTGAGAAGATGAGCACGTCTCTGTGGCAAGTATTGCCATCTTGACTTGGCGTTCTAGCTCTGTTCTTCGGGGATTCTTTGCTGAAAATTTAGATATCTCATTGGTTGGTTGGTATCACATGCATAGTCTCGTTGGCTCTTTCAGGGTTCTCTCCCTTGCTGTGCGCTGTTATAATTTGCACCCCCTAAAGTCCGTGCCCTTTTTCGAGGAGCGCTCGAAGGGTCAGACGGTGAAAGTCACCGGGTGACTACAGTCTAATATTGGCGAGTAAAATCCGAGAACACTTTGGGTATAGTAGAGTATTCAGTATTCACCCTGCAACCTCCAAGCCCTATTTTTAACATCGTAGAACTTGCTAGGTGGGAAATATTAGATATCATATTGTCTCTAGTATAATTTGTGGCATACTAAACCACCTGATAGCTTTTATCTTGCAACTATGCGGCTCAGCCCTCCCTTCTTGTTCCAATTACAATGGTGTTACTTGAAAAGCGGTCACCCGTGGACACCTGCATGAAGAACGTATTATGGAATAATATTAGAGCAGACGAATTGAGGTGAATGGCATTGCTCTAACTCAATCTCAGAGAATGGTATCATAGAAGGCTATGCCAAAGACACATCGGAAGCAGGTATCAAGCTTTCTTACAAGCTTTACACTAATACGCCAGCTGAGGTCTATGCAATTGCTAACTATTACACTTCCTTAACTTCAATCTTGTTAAACCTCAGTTGACTCTCAATTGGATTCTCAATTGAATCTCACTTTCATCTCAATTGCCCAAAAGAGGTCTATGCTTGACCAAACCCCGATGTCTTACACCTTACTACAGTATCGGGGTCAATTTGAGCTCAGGAAAGTGTTGTGCAGAATACAATGCTTGCTCCATTGACTTCAGCCTTACATTTCCTTCTCTATATTGAGAAAGGGAGCATTCGGAGCTATTCTGTGACAAGGCTACAATAGCACCACAGGTTATACGGCACATGTTGCATCTATGGCAAGCCTTGATTTACTATTTTTTGTTCATTGATTAACCTGACATTGAGATATATCGCCTTGGTCATGGCTAGTGTTGTCTTGCTGTGAGGGCATCAAAGTGAGGGGAGATACATGGGTGCTATTAAAGCCATTGATTTTCTATAGGTAATTGAAGCGAGACAGGAGGTGGCCCCTTTGAGTCAGTCTCCAACATGTGAATCTCTGCCTCGCCTGTTTACTTCTGTCTCCTCTTCCGCTCGCGTCTTTACCATTGTTTTTTTTTTTTTCTCTTACCCATTATCTTCCCCATCACCTTTCCCATCATCTTTTTCTTCCATATCTTGCACTGGTCCCTATTCCATCAAAGACGGCAGCTGAGGCCAACGGCCAGGAATTGGACACTCTCGCTGTCCATGATGTCGAGCCAGCCAACCCCAGTTGCCAAGGTGAGCCAGTTTCCAATAAGAATTCCAGAGAAGCATTATCTCCGGGTCATTCAACCTTGATGCTGGTGATGAGGATCCAACCGCTGATGAACTTCATGCCCTAGCGCCTTGCGTCGGGTCTCAGCTCCGATTCCCGGATGACCTTAGATAGTGTTCCTTCGAAACGATGTTGTGAAAAATTTTGATCCCTTTGCGCTGCTCGTATCCGTCCCGATCTACGACACATTCCTGTGTTCCGGGCTGCGCAAAATGGGCATTAAATTCACCGCTATCAGGAAGATTACCCTTTCTGGCTGGCGTCGCTCTCTATGTGCTGGGCTGCCGTCATCCAGTACTACATCTACAATACTTCGCCCTGCGGATTACCAAGCCAACAACTGCTACACTGAGGATGGCAGCGTCAACCCGACTAGACAGGTTCCTACGTTCTGATTGCTTTGTCGGAGATCTTTGCCATAATTACCTCAATGGAGTATGTCTACTCCAAGGGGCCTCGCAATATGCGTTCCCTCATTCAAGCTGTCAGTATTTTCACCAACACAATCTCTGCTACTATCTCTGAGACATTGGTACCGCTTTACCAGGATCCTTCGCTCTTGACCTTTGTCGGTGGAACCATTCTCATTCTCCAGTTCTGGGGCCAAGATAGAGATGAGGATATGTTAAACAACTTGCCCGAAGGTGATGTGCAGGCTAGCGACCACCGGAAGGGCCAGGCACAGGCACAGTTGGAGATTGCCGAGGTTAGCCCCGGTCGTGGCTGAGATGGAGGTTGGCTTGGTTCTCCATGTCCGTGTTGGGTGATGTCTTCAAGCCCAACAGCTTGAAGATATCACCCAACACTTTTATCGAATAATTCAATGGAACAGTTCGATTAGTTCTTCTCCATCCAATCGTATATTATACATCCATTAGACCCTAATGCCTAAGTTATACGCTACAAGCGCTTTGAATACAACACTGTACCTGAAACTGTAGAATGTAATTGGATTGTGCATAATTTTGATTTAATCCAATGAGAGTCTCGATGAATCTTTTATGCCATATCCACCTCGGACCCTAAGTTATCCCCGTGTTATCATGGATCCTTCGACCGTTGGAGTAATTTGAAATCCACTTTTAGGCATTTCTGAAATGAAACTCCAATAATGATTACTGAAATGCAGATGCCTAGTAATAAGTTTATAATCCATGGATGTAAGTAAGCACAGTGATATCACATGACGACCCTCGGATCAGCCCCGTTGCAGCCCTTTGCAGCCCTACGGGTTATCTGCTATCTAGGAGGAGCTGAAGTCTGCGCCTCAAAGAGCAAATAAGATTTTTTTTACATATGCGTAGTGGGTAAATCGGAGACTCCGGCATATTCTACATCACTCTACTCCACTCGGCAGCAATGATTCGTGATTCCCGTATGAACATACCTACGGTACGAAGTGAACTACTCGGGTGCCTTGGCTGACCTTCCGGCGGGCCCGACACATAAGTATTCCCCCCTGGGTGCATAAGTATCTCCCCCTAGGGTATGAGAAATCATTCCTTTCTCTTCACTTAGCGATCTGTCGCAATTGTGGTTTGATCGCCATGAAGACTTTTGCGCTGATCTCGATTGCTCTGGGCTTGCCCGGTAAGTGATTCTCGCCTTAATTTTTCTTTTTTTACTTTTCATGGGGTTACCATTCTTGGCTTAATCGGACCTGTACACGCGCGAAACAATACGTATTGTTCCACACTAATCACCATCTTCCCGCAGGCGCAATCGCTGTTCCTGGTGGGCTTAATTCCGATGATATCACATTCGCGGGCGTGCAACGAGCTCTCCCCAATGCGCCCGACGGGTACGTGCCGACATCCGTCAGCTGCCCAGCAAACCGACCGACAATTCGCAGCGCAGAGAAGCTGTCCTCGAACGAGACATCATGGCTAAAGGTTCGCCGCGGCAAGACCCTGGCGGCGATGAAGGATTTCTTCGGTCATGTGAAAGTCGGTGATTATGACGTTGCTGGCTACCTCGATAAACACTCCGGGAACTCGTCAAACCTCCCAAATATCGGTATTGCCGTTTCGGGCGGTGGATGGCGTGCGCTGATGAACGGTGCCGGTGCGGTCAAGGCTTTCGATAGTCGGACGTACAATTCGTCGGCCACTGGGCATTTGGGTGGTCTACTGCAGTCTGCGACCTATATCTCTGGTCTGAGTGGAGGCAGTTGGTTGCTGGGTTCAATTTACATCAATAACTTTACTACCATCGATCAGCTGCAGACGCACAAGGATGGTTCCATCTGGCAGTTTGGAAACTCGATCCTCGAGGGTCCTGATACCGGTGGTATCCAGCTTTTGGATTCTGCCAATTACTACAAGGAACTTGTTGACGCTACTGAGGCGAAGAAGAAGGCTGGCTTTGAGACTTCTCTCACTGATATTTGGTATGTTATCCCTGTTTACGGGGATACATGTACGTGTTTATTAACTTGAGCAGGGGCCGCGCACTCTCCTATCAAATGTTCAACTCTACCAACGGTGGAGTCAGCTATACCTGGTCTTCCATTGCCGACACCCCTGCGTTCCAGGATGGAGACTACCCCATGCCGTTTGTTGTTGCAGATGGTCGTAACCCCAACGAGCTGGTCGTTGGCGGCAACGCGACCGTCTATGAGTTCAACCCCTGGGAGTTCGGCACCTTTGATCCTACGATCTTTGGTTTCGCTCCTCTCAAGTACCTGGGCTCTAAATTCGAGGGCGGCTTGCTTCCGAAAAATGAGAGCTGCATCAGTGGTTTCGACAATGCTGGTTTCGTGATCGGAACCTCCTCCACCCTCTTCAACCAGTTCCTTCTCCGGATTAACACCACTTCGCTCCCCAGCTTCATAAAGGATGTGTTCACCGACATCTTGCACGGGTTGGACAAGGATCAAAACGACATCGCTGCTTACGACCCCAACCCCTTCTATAAATACAACGAGCACTCCTCGCCGTATGCTGCGCAAAAAATGTTGGACGTCGTTGATGGCGGAGAGGATGGACAGAACGTCCCTCTGCATCCTCTTATCCAGCCTGAGCGCCATGTCGATGTCATTTTCGCCGTCGACTCCTCGGCCGATACCGACTATTTCTGGCCAAACGGTACATCCCTCGTTGCAACCTACGCGCGCAGTCTGAACAGCAGCGGTATTGGCAACGGCACCGCCTTCCCTGCGGTTCCAGACCAGAACACCTTCGTCAACCTGGGCCTCAACACCCGCCCCTCTTTCTTTGGCTGTGATAGTGCCAACCAGACCGGACCGACACCTCTCATCGTGTACATCCCCAATGCCCCTTACTCCTTCCATTCCAATATCTCAACCTTCCAATTGAGCACCGACAACACTGAGCGTGACAACATCATTCTCAATGGCTACGAGGTTGCCACTATGGGCAACAGCACCCTTGACAAGGACTGGTCAACCTGTGTTGGCTGTGCGATCCTCAGCCGCTCGTTCGAGCGCACGGGTACCAAACTCCCGGATATTTGCAACCAGTGCTTCAATCGGTACTGCTGGAACGGCACTGTGAACTCCACCACGCCTACATCTTATAATCCAGCCTATTATCTGTCTGAGAGTATGGCCTCGGTTAATTTGCCTACTCTGCTGTCCACAGTTGTCGCAGCCGGCCTGGCCATGTTCGTCCTGGTGTAACAGGTCGTTATGAATTCTTCTTCTCTCTGCCATCTTGCAGCTATTCACATTCTAAACATGGTTTTTGCCGTTTGATACACTTTCTTTAACTATGGGCGATGTGCCATCGTGACATCCTCGTGTTGTTTTCTTCTTGATATTTTCCTAAATTTTTTCGGATCTCATGAGATCCAATTCGGTAGTAATGCACATATTTTCCCATTTAAGAAACATCTTTGCACATATTACAGCATTATCCCTCCCTACTCTTCGATCGTAAATAAACCGTTGGAAAACTACGTCCCTCGAATAAACATGCCCTGCTCCTCTGGAACTTAAAATTTGTGCTATGTTGGATGGAGATAAGGGCAAAGTATCTAAAGCTAGTCCAGATCATTGATTAATTCATCGTATATGCTAAAGAAACAACATTGAGTTATAGAGGGTTTGAAAAACCAGCAAGAATTAGACGATGTAGTAGAAATATATATTGAATGGCGTACATATTATGGCCCAGGTTTCGACTTTGATTTGTCTATAGCATCTACGAATAAATCAAGGTTAGTCTTACTACTTTCTCATAACTTTCATATTTCATCTGTCCTTAAATCTGATGTAGCATCCTTGTTGATATGTTTTCCGAATGAGGCGTAGATCATATCACGTGCTCATGTTGCTATGGGAAACGCCACAACAAGCAACCTCGGATCGACCGCCACCTCCACAGTGGGTTATTTGCTTTGCCTTGCTTCCCTTTTTCATGCACCTAATCCGACTAACCTAAGACCTTACGAGATCGGGCCGATATCATATTTGACCGCCCAAACCCGCCATGAGCGCGTGCCAATACTAACAGCGACCATCAACAACATCAGGCAATATCAACATGGCGCGTGCTGCAGTAATCCCACAATCTCCTACAAAACGGGTACGAAGTTCGACCAAGTCGACAGCTGCTGCCGATGCAAAGAAGAAAGCCCCTCGCAAAGCAACACCAGCACCACGGACTGCGGCCCCGGCTGTCGAAGTTGAGTCCGATGATGAGCTAGGATGTATCACAAGTAAACCTGCGAAACCCAGTGGACGTCCTGCTGGCCGCCCAGCTACCAAACCAAAAGTGACTACAACTGCGACTGCACGAGGAATGAAGGCTACCGAGACTCTCGCCGACAAGTCAAAACCCCAAAATAACGCCGGCGAAGATGGACCAGAACAACAAATCGAGGCACCAAAGAAGCGTGTTGGAAGACCGAGAAAAAACCCGTTCCCCGCAGAAGCGGTAGCGACCAAGCCCGAGGCAACACCTAAAACCAGAGGACGACCAAGGGCGGGAACAACAGCGAAGGCCCCTCAGATTCGTGAAACAGCGGCGACGAGCAGGCGCACACGAGCGGTAGTTGATACAGCGAATGAAACGAAACCGAACCAAATTAGGATTGCGACCAACTCGACAACCATGCGCTCAAACCTTCTGCGTGGGCCCGCAAAGAAGAAGACGGTGAAATTCCAGGATGTCTCAGATTCCGAAGCTGAGGAATTTGAGCCGGAGGTTCCTGCTGTCGGTCGTCGTCGAGTAGCAACAAAGGGCGCGGGGGTTGGCAAGACCGGCCTCGGAGCGGCCGCGGTTCGTAAGCCTGTGACAACCGGTACTCGCGGAAGGAAGCCAGCTGCAGCAAAGAAGGATGCGACTCAGCCATTGTCTCCCAAGAAGGCCAAGCAGGTGGCCAAATCTCTATCGACATACGTAAGCTCGGATGGAGAAGACGACGAATTGAACACCATTAAAGACGACATCAATGATCCACTCAGACTTGTTGTTCACTCGCCTGTTAAGCATGGGCTGGAGAATACTGGACTGAGCTCTCCTGTACGGAGGATCAACTTTACACCCAAGAAGGCGTCCAGCTTTGTGGACGAGAATGGCGAACCGAAACTACCAACACCAAAACACGGATCAGACGGCATCGGTCTTAACTCCCCAGTCAGGAAAATCAACTTTGCACCGAATCGCAGCCAGAATACAATCGCAGATAATGGGCACCTCGCTCTTCCACCCGGCAACGCAGTTGAATTTAGTGATTCTATGTTCATGTCTAGTCCAGCGAGACGACCAGCGCCATCCTCCCCCTTCCAGTTCTCCATGAGAGAGACCCCGAATCGTGGGGGTTCCCTCTTCCGGGACAGTGTGAATCCGATTTCCGCGCCTGATTTCACACCTGGACGAACATCTCCATTGAAAATGTCACCTAAGAAGGGCTTTTTGGGTGCTTCTTTCTTACAATCCCCGTCAAAGGCTTCTACATCAGCACCCCCTGCTCGAAACCCCTTGTTTCAAAGTCCCGCAAAGAGAATAGCCTCTCCATTCAAAAACTCGATATTCTCCGCTCGTGCATCTGTGGACACCTGCAAACCCGCGGAAAATGATGGAACCCCTTCCAAGGTAGTTGAACTCACAAAATCCAACACCCCCAAATCCTCACCAAGGGGAGGCCAATCCGACGATATGGCTTTTGAGAGGGAATCTGAAATGGTCGAGGATGTGGCTCGAGACATCTTTGGGATTGAGCTATCTTCTGATAGAAAGGCGTCATCGGCTTCTCCTATCCAGAAAGATATTGCCTCGGAAGTAGCTCAAGACCCACTAGATGATGGAAACACCGACTCCCTGCCCGCAGATATGGAGCTCGAGGGAGAATCAGACCCGGAAGAAGACGAAACTGAACATGATGAAGATAAGGCCCAGGCCGAGTACGAAGAGCCTGAAACGATTTGCTTCGACACAATGGAAGAGGCTATGGCAACGGAGGACTATTATGACCAAGAGCCGGAGGAAGACTCAGGCCCCGGAACTACCGAGCAGCTTGAAGACCAGGCGCAATTTGACCGCGAAGAAGCTGATACGATTTGCTTCGACGCCATGGAGGAGGCCAATATGGCAGCGCATGATATCCATGACCAACAAATTCAGGAAGAATCAGACCTAGAAGAGGGTCAAGATCACCAAGACGAGAGTGAATTCGAGTACGAGGAGCTTGATACAATTTGCTTTGACGCTATGGAAGACGCCCAATTGACAGAACATGATCTGCAACAACGTCAAGTGCAGGAGGACTCAGACATGGAAGAGGGCGAAGAACTCCACGATGACAATGAATCTGACTACGAGGAGCTTGAAACTATCTGCTTCGACGCCATGGAAGATGCACACGCAGAAAATGACCTGCATGATGACAATGGTCGAATGGCAGACTTGGCCATGGAGGACACCGATTATCCCGAAGAAGAGCTCGCGGAGCTGGAGAGGGAAGTCGAGGAGGAAGAGGAAGAACATCAGACTTTCGATACCGGCTTCCAGCCCCAAGAATCGACCCCAGAACCCTCGCAACCTACGGAGATGGAAGAACTAGACATCGAAGAGCAGCCGAATGAAGTTCCTATGCCCTCCAGGTCACCATTGGACTTAATCAATGGTGATGAAACCCGGCCAACTGCTGACATGGAATATCCCTTGGAAAGTGAACATGAATGGCAAGAGGAAGAAGAAGCCATTCACCATACCGAGGAAGAGGAACAAGTGATGGGCGAGGAGAGCGAGGTGGAAGACGCCGAACCTATTATGGCTGCGTCTGAGTTTGTTACAACCTCGCCAAAGCCTGCTTTGTCACATGAGAGCAACCATCCTGAGGATGCTGCAACACCGCTTCAACAGACTCAATCGTTTACCTCACGACACCCGAGCCCTACAGCCAGTGAATCTACTCCCTTGCCCTTGAATCGCCCAGACAACTCAGAGAATGATCATGGCTCCACCCTCGATGCTAAGAATGCCAATAATGTGAACATTGACTCGCCCCTGCATGAAGAAAATAGCTGGACTCCAAACACCCAGGTTGACAGCCCTGCGTTAATGGCACCAAGTCTCTTCAATACACCAAGCGTTGCAGATCAGCGACAATCCCCTGCCGAGGTTACCTTGGGTTTTACCCCATTGGCACAAAAGTTTGGCCGTTGGGAACAAAATACCCCTTCCCAAGCTAGATCACTCCGACCACGTCGCCGTGGAGTCTTTTCGTTAGTAGGCCCCTTGGACCGCACAACCACGGAAACTCCGACAAATCCTGATACTGTGTCGTATCCTACTTTGCCAAAGAGCCCTTTGGCACAAACCCCCTCTTTGTTTGCCGAATTGCCACTTCAGCCTCAAAGCGATGTTACTTGTATGAGCCCTGAGAATGAACAAACTCCACGGCCATCTTCCATCTATGAAGACCAAATAATCGACCCTCCAAGGACAACCACGGATATCTTCGAGGATCTTGACTTGGAAATCAGTGAACCGGAGCATACTTCTGCCGCCGGGGTCTCACAAAATCACGGCCAAGAGTTCGATCTACTCGAGGACAAAGAGAACTGTGGTCCTTTGAATTTCCCGTCAACGCCCATGAAGGCTCAAGTTCAACCCGACGAGTTACGCACTATTCATACAGTGTCCAAAGTGCCTTTGAAAGCTGAAGGCGACGTATCACCTCTCAAGCTGTCCCGCAAGAGAGGTCTATCCCTCTCGAGCACATCCCCCACTCGATCTTCCCCGCGTGTCCGCAAGCAAACCTTTATGGCACTCAATGACAATGCACCGATTCTGTCTCCCTCGCGGAAATCTTCACGAGTGAGCAGAAGCCCGACACAGAAACGCCGTTCTATTGTTGGTAGACGCAGCAGTGTAAAGGTACCAGTGATGGATGCACCCAGTACTCCTACCGCAACCGCCAGTCCTTCCAAGAAGCCGCGTCATAGCATCGGCACTGAACAAAAGGCTCTGCATGGGGCAGTCGTGCATGTGGATGTTCATACCACCGAGGGCGAGGATGCCTCTGGTATATTTGTGGAACTTTTGCAGCAAATGGGCGCCCGCTGTGTGAAGTCCTGGTCCTGGAACCCTCGTACCAGTCTCTCGCCAGTTGATGATCCAGAGCCCAAGGACTTGAGAGTTGGAATTACCCATGTTGTGTACAAGGATGGTGGCCTGCGGACTCTGGAGAAAGTCAAGAAGGCAGCGGGTCTTGTCAAGTGTGTTGGAGTCGGCTGGGTCCTCGAGTAAGTTTGTCTTTTGTGTACCTTTCTTTGCTCGGCTTTTCTGACTGTTATCTCAAGTTGTGAACGTGAAAACCAATGGCTCGATGAAACCCCGTACGCGGTTGATAGCTCTATCATCCCACGCGGAGGTGCCAAGCGCCGCAAGAGTATGGAGCCTCGTGCATTAAGCAATGTGAATGGAACACTCGTCCGCATTTCCGAATCTCCCGCGCCATCTCCCGGCGGACGTCGCAGTGGTGTCAACCCGGGTGCCGTTGAGGGTTTCCGCAAAATCACACCCCCAACCCACCAGAAAATGCCCTCCACGCCCCCACAACAATCTTCTGCTGATAGCTACCAATTCCCTGCCACTCCGGGATACAACTTTGCCAACCTTGATGCCATTGGCATGTCACCCGCTACACCAGGATTCCTTGGAAACCGCTCTAAACTAGTCCAGCAATCTTGCCCACCAAAGCAGAGCAACCGAGGTCTGTTCCCGAGTGCTAAGCCTTCCAGTCTCCTGCTGGATGAGGGACAAGATGAGGAATCTAGGAGACAGCGCCGCTTCCGCATGGAGGCTGCCAGGCGCAAGAGCCTTGTTTACAAACCTGCTGTCGGTAGCCCTCTTGTTCGTTGATTTTATTCATTGCATGTCCACCTTTCGTGGACTCATACCCAGTCACTGTAAATATGGGGACTCTCTTTCCCTTTGGCGTTTTTCTATTTTGCCCCGCGGCGGCGACGGATAGGTTTGGCTGTTTTGGTGCGAGGTTGAAGGTCATTACTTTTTGTTCAAATCTCAGTTAAATCAATTCAATCCCAGATGATTTAAATCCCACTTATGCCCGTAGTAAGTTTGCAAAACATGACTTTTGATTTAGAAATTTGATGATAAAACCCGGAATAATTTCGCTGCCCAGTTTACCAAAATGATGATGTATGATATCACTCCTGAGACTCCTCGCGATAGAATCCAGCAACCAAGAAAGCGAGTTCCAAAGCCTGCTTCTCATTCAAGCGTGGATCACAGAATGTCGTATAGCGCTCTCCAAGTCCATCCGCCGTCAGCCCAGCAGCACCACCCACACACTCAGTGACAGCCTCTCCAGTAAGTTCAAGATGCATACCGCCAAGGAATGAGCCCGCAGCGCGATGAATTTCCAACGCCTGCTTCAACTCGGACAAAATATCCGTGAAGTGGCGAGTCTTCACACCCAATGATGTGCTCTGCGTATTGCCGTGCATGGGATCACACTGCCAGACGGGGATATGTCCCGACGCCTGCACAGCGGCAATATGGCCCGGAAGGAACTCCGCGATTTTGGATGCGCCGTACCGTGAAATTAGAGTCACCTTACCGATCTCACGATGCGGGTTGACGACATCCAGCAGTTGCACCAGCTCATCTGCCGCCATGCTAGGTCCGATCTTGATTCCGATGGGGTTAGCGATGCCGCGGAAGAACTCGACATGTGCACCGCCGAGTTGGCGTGTCCGATCGCCGATCCAGATGAAGTGGCCGGATGTTGCATAGTAGCCTGTTTCGTGGGTTGTGGTACTTCCTGGGTACGCTGGGTGGCGAAGGAGTCGGGTTAGACTCTGTTCGTATTCCAGGGAGAGGCCTTCGTGACTTGTGAAGATGTCGGCTGTCTCGACGCCGCGGTCTTTGTCGATTCCTACTGTGTGCATAAAGCGTAGGGCGTCCTTTACCGCGCCTACGGTTTTGGCGTATTGCTCTTTGATCGAGGGCGTAATTACATGGCCCAGGCCCCAGTCTAGGGGGGAGTGCAGGTCTGCCAGGCCTGAGGAGAGGGAGGCTCGGAGGTAATTCAGAGTTGCTGCGGAGTGGAAGTAGGCTGAAACTAGACGGGATGGGTCTGGCTGGCGGGATTTGAGGTCTGCTGGGAAACCATTGATGTTGTCACCGCGGAATGAGGGCATTTCTACTCCTTTGATGACCTCTGTTGGACTTGAGCGTGGCCTAATTTGTTGTTAATTTTGTGATTATGAATTGATATGAGGGACTTACTTGGCAAACTGGCCTGCAATGCGAGCAATACGAATGACGGGCTTATTGGCTCCTATTGGTTGGGTTAGTTGGTATTTTATTAGCTTTTTGTGGGGGTTTCACATACCCCAGATGAGAACCAGACTCATTTGCAATAAGAGCTTCACCTTGGCTTCGATCATCTCTTGCGTGCAGTAGTCGAAAAGCTCCGCACAGTCACCTAGACAAAATGGTTAGCTATATTTTGCGGATATTTTCCTGTGCAACTGACCACCCTGTAGAACGAATGCTTTGCCCAAAGCGACATTTCGTAGGTTTTTCTTGAGATTGTTGATCTGCGGACTAGGTCAATATAATAGCTAATATGTAGTCTAAAGACAAGACATACTTCTTGTGTGGTCACAAGTGGAGGAAGCTTTTGTAATTTCTGCAGTGACTCTTTCAACCCATCAAGATCTTCGTAGATGACATCTTGCTTGATGGGCTTTTGTGTCCAAGCTAGACATAGTTAGTGGTAGACCAAAAAGGTTTTATAGATTTTAGTTCTTACAACTAGGGCTCCATTCGGCCATGGTGCGGGCAATTGATCCCGAAGGTGGGGGGAAGATATGAGTTAAATGTCTTTTGAACAGTAACCAACAGTTGCAACCAAAAAATGGGTAAGCAGAATAGTGAGTATCGACAAAGGGCTGAGCGCAAAGATATTTAAGGGCACTAAACAAAAGAAAACATTGTGGTGGACGTGATACGCCACTTATCTCCCGAGGCCATGACTCGGATGACTCACTTTAGTGCCTGATATATCAGGCAAAATGTTTCATCCCACATTCCTCAATCTGACTGCAGCTTCCATACAGCCATTTTCAAAACCAGACAGTGTTCATTGACTGGAAAGCAGAGGGATTGTATTGCTCTCTCAGTAACCTCGTAACCCGTGGCCTTCATTCCTGCATTCCTAAGGCCACAGAGCAACAATGATCTCCAATCGAATCTAAACATGAAAGGTTGTGAATTTGGGAAACGGACTGTTTCATGATGTGTATGAATGCCTAATCTAGAGATTAGTCTATATGATGCATCGAGGAATGAAGTTTGCCTCATCGCAAACAGCAGCGCGAATTTCTCACAGCTGACTCAATAACCATGCGAGATAGGGCTGGCTGAGGGTAGCGTCTCATAGCATCTCATAGGTGGTATCTTCTGAATGTCTTGATATGTCTGATAGTTTCACAGATCTATTCATTTGATGAACCCCGAACCTTAAAAATGGTCTGCTGAGCTAGGCCCTTTTTATTCAGCTCAGCACCACAAACATTCTGTACACATGTGGGATGGTGTGATATATCATATCTGCAGCATGTAAGTAAGATTACCGATTTTAAAAACAGAGTTGCCCATGGCTGCAACGAGGCTAGTGTAACAACACAAAACAATGAAATGTTTTTCAAGATCTTGATTTTGGGTGAAATATAAAACCGCCTTGGTGTCTTATTGGCTATAAGATCGGCAGTAAGATGGCCCCTGGGAATTGATAAATGTAACGACAAAACTGTTATATGGAGTATTTAATAAACTAATAATATTTGGAGGCATAGAACTTGTCATATTTGTACTCCGTATACTTACCCTGCAGAGTAATGTATTCCTACCCCAGGCTTGGCATAAAAAGCTCTTCAGCTAAATTCGGCAACGGACCACGGAATCAATGAATAGGGGCAAAAAGGATCACAATGGAGTCATGCGGGAATTAATTGCCGTGGCGTTTTAATTCTAATAATATAAGTCTAGACAACTTCCAGGTTTTCTTATCGAGAACGGCCTTAACGTAGAGGGAATTTGGTCTAATCGAGCCGACCAAAAGGGACGTGCTGACTGTGATTGGTCAGGTCTCGGGGACTAGCCATATCTAACGACTCGGCTTTTACTTGTTTTGGAACTAGTGTGGCCCTAACAAGAGTGTACTCCATAAAATGTGGGACTCTCCAAGGCAGAAGAGCCCCAAAAGGCTGGATTTTTCGCCTAGCTCTGAGAGTATTTAAGCCTCTGTTCTTCTTTCTAATCCATGTCTGTACACTCCCACATTCTCTTTATCATGCAGTATACGACCCTTGCCACTCTTTTCCTCGCCGCCACGGCCCTGGCCGCCCCTGCGGATACTGCTGCAACTCCAAGCATCGAGACTGCCGACAGCAATTTCGACATCGAGGATGTGCCCAGCTCCATTCTCGCTGTTCTAGCAACAGCCATCCCGGACTCATGGTACAGCGACATCATGGACCCGGCCTCGCTCTCCGCGATGGCGAGCGCCGCTGAAGCTGGCACCTACCCAGCTTGGTACAACGCATTGCCTAACAGCGTTAAGTCCTGGGCCACAGAATTTGGTGGCGACCTCGATGGTGATGCCTCGGCAACTGCTGATAGCAGCGCCACTCCGACTGAGCCTGCTGGTAGCAGCGCCATCGAGACTGGTTCCAGCGCCGTGGTCGTTGGCGCTAGCACCACTGCCAGCCGGACCTCCTCCAACGCTGCTGAGACCACTCCAGCTTCCTCTACCTCGGCTTCTACCTCTGGCTCCGGTTCTGACTCCAGCTCCAGCTCTGCATCATCTTCTCCCTCTTCTACACACTCTACTGGTGGCGCTCCTGCTCCTACCGGGGGTGTTGCCATGGGTGTTGCTGGTGCAGCTGGTATTTTGGCTCTGGCTCTTGCCCTGTAGAGTATTGCTGAATAGTTATTTGCCTGCTCGCAAGTTTATAATGAACTACATAACCCCCTGTGCAAAAGAAATCTGTGTTCATAACAACCTTTCATAATACATGTACCTACTTAATTTCACCATAGATACAGGATCGGATAAAAATATAGCCTACATACTCTCTAACTGTTGCATAATGTAAACGGCCATGTTATTTGTCTATTGTCCAAAAATTACGCATCTAATACGACTCTCACCTCCAAGGGCCACCGAGATCCTGAAAACATAAGCAAGATGTGGTCAGTTGCTCCTGTTGGTCGTTCGGTTCGGCGGGATGTGCATAATATTTGATGTCAGCTTGTTCACAGTCAACACAGAGGGTCATACGGTCTAAAGAATCAAACCATCTGGCCACCAAATCAGATTGCAACCACTTGAGATACAAACCCGCAACGTCATAACAAGGGTCTGGTAAGCCGCTCATTTCCTCAAGCTTCCATGATAGAATGTTCAAAATCAATCCCGATACATAGCAGTGAAACTTGACAAACCAAACCATTAGTCCGGCACCCGATCTTTGATAGAGTTCAGCAACCCGAGAAGACGATTGTACACTGTCCTGTCACTCATCGGATGATTCAAGAGTCTCCATTCCAACATATGCAGCTTGAACTCTAGCTCAAGACAGTCCCGGATGAAACCAGTGACGAAGTAAGTAATAGCTTTGTCTCGTACAGTCTGACAGCCGGGAGAATGCTCAAACATGGCCTGTCCCGTGCTTCGAATATTGTCCACCTCAATCGGAAGTCGGCCTAGCTTGTAAATGGTCGTTTGGTGATACTCGGGAGATTGATTGTACCATCGTAGCCTGTCAAGTACCTCTATGATGCGGGTTTGGAAGTCGCGCCACGCGTTGTGATAGGCTTGTTCCCAAATCGACACGGCGTCACGAATGGGGTTCCTCTGGCAGGAGGCATTGTGAGGGGCCATGCTCATGGTAAACGGGAGGCGAGGGATGTGACTGTACGTAACCTAAGGCTATGCTCCAAAATCTACTAAGTGAGCAGAGGCCAAGGATATAACCAATCAGCTGATTGATGTACCAGACAAGAGATGAATGGAGACGGTACCTCGAGGTGATGGTGGTTTGGATGAAGCTTTTTAAACCTTTGTAATTGGCACAGAGCTGATAAAATAAGTAAAGAGGTAACAATGGGGGTTATGAATGTGATTGTGCGTATTATTATTATCTCATATTGGGAAAGGGCAGGGATACAACAATGACTTTATCGTCCGAAGCAGCACCGATATGATCCAAGGTCAAATTAATAAAGACTTACAAAGGCATTGTTGAAATTATTTGTCCCTATAGCTATTCATCCCAACCAGAACAAGTTGGAAGTATCTCGATGAAGGATTTACACTAATAAGCAAGTTAAGGTGTACTTGTTATTCTGTTCAAGTTATGCGCAAGCGATCGGCGCGTGGGAAACATACGTCGTAGATTCTCTTCTCTAGGATACTGTTGGCGATATCCACTAGATAGGCCACTAAGGCTATCTCTGGCGAACGTTCGTACAAAGCGTCGCCCGGAGGGTCATATTCTAGGTGCTCCACGCTGATCACTACGTATATGTTCTAGGATACTCATAGTTATACCCGGACCTGGAAAAGGTAGGACCGCGACCTTCCTTGGTTATGAGGGAAGCTGACTCAAACGTCGATGCATCAATTCCTTTTTCTGCCTTTGTTGTGTCTGTTTTCGGGTTCATTAGTTTTAGCTCTCATCAAACGTACCTTCATTCTGCTTTCTCTACCGGATTTGGATGAAACAAGGGCAGCCCTCGCATACGTGACCATGTCCTGTATAATTTCAAAAGGTCTTTTCGGTGGTCTTCTTAGATATCCTTTGGTTAGATCATAAATAATATCTTTCCACCTTGCTCAGCTTCATTAGCTGGACAGAGGAAGAAGGCTAAAAAACATGCAAAATGTGCAGAGAACTATGTATAACCAGGGACTTTATTGTTTTTTTGGCCTTGCGGTTAACTCGGCAACATCTCCATCGTATCGACCCCACGCAAATGTGGAGTGAAATGGTGTCATAGCTCATTTTCCCACTCCAATTTTCCCCTCTCTAACAAGAGTCACTGGTATCCGGATATAAATCTGTGCCAAGCTAAAGTCGTACGGCCGTGTCGTACATTCCGGTATAAACCCCAGCCGAAGTCGCGTGGCTTCCCGAGCCGGTGCCGTTGATGGGGTCTTCCCCGCAAACTCGGAACTCTGGCCAAGACCGCCAGCAACAAGATGTTAATTTTGGCTCCCAAGACCCTTCTGACTTGATCAGTCATACGGAATTGTCAAGTACTGAAAGCGACACGGATTTCGAGAGCGATGACACCGCGATCTTCGAAAGCAGCTCCCAGCGGACGAGGATATTGGAGTCCGCACCGCTAATAACCACTCACCGACGATTGACCTCCGCCGACCAAGGCGATGACGATCATGACGGCGTGCTCGGGCCCGTCGAGGTCGAGGAGAAACCAGTGACTTGGAGCTCGCTACCGAAAAAGGGCCAGTTAGCAATCTTGACCTTAGCGCGACTTTCAGAGCCCTTGACGCAGACTTCTCTGCAGGCATACATGTTTTATCAACTCAAATCGTTTGATCCATCTTTACCAGACTCGAAGATTTCCGTGCAGGCGGGTATCCTCCAGGGTAGCTTTACAGCCGCGCAATTTATCACCGCTGTCTGGTGGGGCCGTCTTGCTGATGCTGAATGGATGGGACGGAAGAGAGTGCTGTTGATCGGATTGATGGGCACTTGTCTGTCTTGTGTAGGCTTTGGATTCTCTCGATCTTTTGCGACTGCCATGGTGTTTCGCACACTGGGCGGGATCCTGAACAGCAATGTGGGAGTGATGCGAACGCTCATTGCAGAGATTATTTCTGAGAAGAAGTAAGTTGATATGCTCACACATTGTGTCGACTTGCCTTAGGCTAACCGCTTAGATATCAATCCCGAGCGTTTTTGCTCCTACCGATGTGCTTCAATGTCGGTGTAATCATAGGTCCAATCCTGGGAGGATCCTTGGCCGACCCCATCAATAGCTTTCCGCAAATATTCGGTCCGGGGTCTACCCTTGGAGGCAAAGAAGGTGTCTGGTGGATGAAGCATTGGCCCTATGCATTGCCAAACCTATTGAGCGCAGTCTTCATATTTGCATCATTTCTCGCAGTATTTCTCGGGCTCGATGAGGTGAGGTCATCCCCGTCCGAACTCATGTCGTTACTAACAACGAGCCGGCTTAGACCCATGAAATTGCACGATATCGAAGGGACTGGGGTCGTAAACTGGGGAAGCGGCTCACAAGAGCTTGGAACCGACGAACCCGGCACTATCGTCCACTAACACGCTCCAGAGATAATGAATCCATTTACACAGACGATAGCGTCGGAACTTGGTCTACGCCATCAAGTCCCGCCCGCTCTCGCGCGCCTCCACGGCCACATAAAAAAATAGGGTTCCGCCAGATATGGACACGCAACGTTGTGTTGACTTTGGTGACTCAGTTCCTGCTCGCCTTCCATACAAGTGCCTTCAACTCCATGGCGTTTGTGTTCTTGCCCGCACCGCGTGCCCCAGAGAACTCCCGGCAAGGGTTTTTCCACTTCGGGGGTGGTCTTGGGCTTCCATCATCCCGAGTTGGGCTTGCTACAGCTATTATTGGTTTCATCGGTCTGCCACTCCAGATCTTCGTTTATCCACGGGTACAGACAAAGCTCGGCACGCTCACATCGTTTCGAACTTTCCTTCCATTTTCGCCTATTGCATACGTGCTGATGCCGTTCCTTGTGATTCTTCCACGCGTACCATGGATCGTTTGGCCTTCTTTCACGTTTGTGGTAACCTTGCAGGTTATCTCAAGGACATTCATCCTGCCCGCTTCTATTATCTTGGTAAACAACTGTGTCACGGATTCGTCTATCCTAGGTACAGTCCATGGAGTGTCGCAGAGTGTCTCCAGTGGAGCTCGGACCTTGGGCCCATTTTTAGGTGGCTGGGGGCTCGGATTGGGTCTTGAGAATAACATGGTTGGGGCTGTGTGGTGGGCATTGGCGGTTGAGTCTTTGCTTGGTTGGCTTATGCTGTGGAGGATTTCTGAGGGCAAGGGAATCGAACAAAAGAAAGATGCGCCAGAGGATGAGGAATAATCTTTTTATCTTGAACAAGTCGCTGCCTACAATCCTTAAACGTGAGCAGAGTCTTGATATAGAGGAATGAAGGACATGAAGTTATGTTCATATCTGGTTCATCGGGAAATCAATTAACTAAATCATGAAAAACAAAGCAGAAAATAGTTCAGGTAGCCAAGCCTGAATAAACGGGGTTAATGAATGCCTTCATCGCCTGGATGACATCCCCATCATGAGCCTTGAGCAACTCCGTGGCCTTGATCTTATTTAAATCCAGCTGGTCAACCTAGCGTTACGTTAATAAAGCCGCACAAATACAACAAAATCATAAATATGGCAGACATACCAGCAGTGCCACATCAGCTGGAGCAACCTTAACGATCTGCTTTTTCACAACCGCATCAGTCTTAGGTCCCTCAGCTGCCTTGTTGCCCGAATCTTGTCCAGCAGCTATCTCAAGGCGACTCATGGCCCTTCCCAGGGCCTCCTGGCTTGCAGTAAGCGGTGCTCCAATGGAGGGTCCCTCTGTTGCAATCTCATTTGTGTTGAGCGAAGAGAGAGCAGCAGCGGCTTTGCGGTCTTCGGCGTTTGAGGGGATGGGCGTTTCGATGCTGTTTGGGTCAGCAGCTGCAGAGGGAATTGAATCAGACATATTTTCTTTGTTCGAAGGGCGTTGAGAGTTGATATTGGTCTTGACTTGAGCTGTCAACAGGTGTTTTGGACAACACGACGTCACTGATAAGCTCTGGGTTCAGATAAGTGCTGACATAATTGTTCGTTTGGGCGCTGCCCAGGTGACTAGGTGGGTAGGTTGGGAACACAAGTTGGGAGTTCCCGATTTATTTCAAGATTATGATCTTCACATGGTCAACTTAGAAGATCCTATGTTTCTAATTTGCCTATGGGTACGGAGTACTCTGTACTCCGTATAGCTACCTATCCTTTTCGGGCTGGCTCCACAGCTTGTAATCTCCACTTTGAGGCTCCGCTTTTGAATACTACGAACTATCAGAAAAAGTGATCAATACCGCTCCTATAACCTTGGTATAATGTACATAATTGTCTGAATTGGTAGCTGTCTCAATTCCCCCTAATTAGTCTGTGCTAGATGATTGATGACCTGTGTGAGTATGTAGCCGCTTGGGCTGGCCACGGGATAGGGACTAAGCGTAATTCACCTCTGACTCAAGTTCCTACCAACACGATACTAGCAGGCAGCTGAGGTAGTTAGCAAACTAATCAGGCAAACTGCTAGAAGCACGGTAAGACTTAGAGGGACTGGTTAACGTGAGGGGGTGAGCAATCAGTGAGTAGATTACCCTGTGATCACAAGAAGTGGTATGGTACCCTTAACACTGCATTGATATTATCAGATTTCTGCTCATACCTAGGTACCTAGTCCCCACAATCCGAAAAAAAGAGATTTACCCCGGATCTACAGGTCAACCATGGTTTGCGCTGATCCTGATGTGGTTGAAATGAATCTGGTGAATTTCACATTTACAAGTTATTATACCAAAGGAAGCACCGATAGTCTAGAGGTAGGACATTGCTTTCCCACCTAAAATGGAAATAATTTCCATTGTGTCAAGCAACAGCCCGGGTTCGAACCCCGGTCGGTGCATTTATTTCTTTTTTGTTTTCATGAATCTCCTCCAGCATTTCTCTCTCTACCATACTATTTTTTGGTCTTTCTATATATATATACATATATTTCAAATCTATCGCTCTTTCCATTTTGCTCGGGGAATTTACGCCCCCGGGCCTAGTAATGCATAAGCTATGATACAACCTAGCAAATTTACAAATCTACATCCTAAAATGAGTTCAAAAATATCTAAAAATAAAAGATATCCATTCTAAATGACTCTATAAGAGACTACCAAAAGAACTACGAAAAAGACTGCCAAATCCCGGCTATAAAAGATAGTAAGAATTACCAATTGTCTAAAAATGTACAAGCTAACAGCAAGTTCAAACATATAGGAATATTTCGATATCAAGGCGAGCGTTTATGCTGCATTTGGTCCAATTGAGCATCACTTTGTTTCTCAAATGAGTTGATTGAGCCTCGACGTATCGAATTCTCAGTTTCAAGATCATCCTTTTTGGTCCAGACCTCAAGCGGAACAGCTTCGACACGATTCATATCATCGAAGAACTCAGTATTGGACCCATTGATTGGTTCAGCACTCGAGCGCTTGGTGGCGCTGTGCTTGCCAGGCGTTGTGCCTTTGTTTCGACGATAAGATGGCTTCCATGAGCGAGGTAATGTGAATGAAGGACGAGATTGTGAGTTATCGGAGTTGTCAGAGTTTCCAAGTCGCTGGCCTCGGTTGCTGTTGTACTTGAATGCCTTGACGCCAAACAACTTGCGCAGTAGTGGCCACCAGCACATGAGGTTGGCGACATAGATTGACGTGCTGGCTTCACGTATGTACCAGATCTGGTAGATGGTTGTGAGAGGGGAGGCGAAATTGAAAAACTTGTTTAGGATAGCAGCAATGATGGTGAACAAGCCCAGACTCATGACACCGATGAGAACGACCTTTCTGCGCATTTTGAGTTGAGCTCTGATGAGGAGGGGAATCGGGACGGCGAACATGGCGGCGTCGGAAGAAATATTGAAGACAGCTTGAGTTATCGAGTAGTATTGGTATGTTGCACACTGCATGTTCTCCACGGGCATGGCCCAGTATTGTGAGAATGGGCGACAATAAACTGCATAATAGGTGACCATTATGACGACAAATCCGACGGCAACGTAAATCGAAAGGATCTTGATATAGAGGTTCGATTTCAGATTCTGTGTCATTCGCCAATAAAGCATTAACATGCATGTCTTCACACCCCAGGTTGAGACCAACATGCATTGCTCTAGTCCAATGACAATTTTGCTTCCATAGATTCGATCGCTGACTTGCTTGGGATCTGCTAGAACCGTGGGGTAGTCCTTCGGGTCCATCAGGTTCGTTGCATAGCGGGCAGAGATTTGAATCAGTATTAACATCGTCGTATATATTGCCTTTTGAAGAGCCGTCGGGTCAGCGGAACGAAGTGATCTGATTGTCGATGGTAAGCACTTACGAAGGTTGCCGTCATCACATAGTCGTCCACTAGAGATATAGTCATTAGCAGAACTAAAAGAAATAAGAACATAGAAGTCTTACGAAGCAGCCGTTTGGATCCTTGTCCATTGCCAATTAAACGAGCCAGGCTTTTGTTGCAAGTTAGCATTGTCCGAGTTCTGTAGTTGTATCTCATACTTACATTCTCCCAACAAAAATAATAAGCGCTATACACCAGAAGACCATAGCTTCGGTAAAAAGTTCACGTGGGGTGGGAGACACATCCCCCATTTTGACGTATACAGCGATTTTCGCCCTGAAGCGAACCTCAAAATGCCAAGACCTTATAGAACGAGCCTACCATATATGAGAGATGGCAATTATCGAAGCGTTCTGATGAGGAGCTTCAATGAGAAGTTTGAATTCGTGTCATTGCTTGTTTACCGACAGCCCGGATAATCTAGAAATGAGGTATTAGGAACAGGCTCCTGAGTCGAGCAGAGCGATGCGGTGAAGTGGCTAAGCTAGGTCCCGGGGATGGATTTTAAAGCTACCAACCGAGGAGAGGACGGTTGCATTATGCGTATTGGCCCGTGAGATGTCAGTGCTGGAGTAAAGTTGGCTGACAAGCAAGGAAAAATGGGGCGCAAACGCAAGGGATTGCTTCCCTCGAAGCACCAATCCGGTGGATGGCAGGCGGGTTTGGAATGTGCAAGGTAGACACGGAGTATGGAATACACATGGAGAGGAAGTCTTTACGGATCACATTCCTCATTTTTGTGCCTTCGAGTCCTTCTGCTAGCAAGACCAAGAGGCTGATAAAAGCAGCTTGTCACACCGAGTCTTCCAATAAATGTCCCCATGTTGTGCAAACTGCGCAGCTGTGCGCGATATCTGTGATAGGGATAGTTTGGCGAGATTGGTGTAACCCAATATTAAAAGTCGTTTTGATCGACATTCAATTGGGATTCTTATTTTCGGGCATAAGATTCCCCTTATGCACATTGCCGGTAACTTTGGAGTACAAGCAAACGCTTGACAGGTCATATTCCATAGTGGATGTGAAGGAGCCGAGCGGCTGATATTATTGGGGAGTTAGGAACATTTGTCTGCATAGTGATGCAATATTCAGCACTTCTGGCCATCGTGATTGATAAACATAGACTTGCGCGATATCCGAGTTAAAGAAAGGGTTAATAATAGCTGACATGGTTTGTGCCCGAAGATCATACCCAATATAAATATTGAACCTTGTACGTTTCATCCCTAGGGAACCTTATAATTATTCTTAAGTTTTGTACGGAGTAGCTTATTGTTATTTCGGAAGCCGAAAATCCCTGGTGCATATATTTGAGCTTATATCCTTAAAAGCTGACAATTTAGCTCTTTATTTGGATAATCTATCCAAAGTAGAAGATCACTCGGTTATAGGGGATATCTAAGTAGCCTCAAGGGATCTTTTAGCTTGGCTAAAGGTTATCCGGCGTTATGCTAAGAAAGGGGGCTGCATTTCCTAAAGTTCTAATCCCTAGTTCGAGATGTAGAGTACTCTGTAGACTAAAACTAGATACGATGATCAGGAGTAAGAAAGCCAACATTGAGGCCTTGCCCTTAAACGGTAGGGCTCCCCCTGAAGAAATGAGCTGCAGCAATTGCAGCGCGGGATATGGTCCTTTCCAGGCCTGTGCCCAGGTCCCGCTATTGCTAGGCAAAAATCTACAACCTCTGCTGTCTCTGCGACTGAGTCTTGTTCCTCTCGTACTGGAATCAGACATGCAGGTCGCTTTCGCGGTGTTTAATCCAAAATGGAAATCTCGAACGCTACAATGACTTCCGACCTAATGTTTTGAGGTAGAAGCTCCCTTAGAACTGTGGTCCGTGGTTGAGGATGGGTGTGTCTTATTTGATGCATTGGGTTCCTCCTTGTTAAGGCTCGGGAGAGTGCAGAACTTTTGCACACTAGCCAAAGAGCGTAGTTGTGGCGTGACAATCCATACACTGCATTGTTTGCCTTAGCCGCCGAGGTGACAGTTGGCATATTCAATGACGCACTCAATGGCGCCGGTCTCAGACGCAGGTGATTTTGTGGTTTATTTGTCATTGACGGACTGGAGATACTAAGCCTGCGGTTTAGACGTGTGACTATTGGTGTTGCCGCCACTGGTGTTATGGAGAGCTATAGTGGCACAATATCTTGGAACAGAGCATGGAATATCCGACCTATACGACGCAAAAGTAACCATGCAATTGTTGTCTAAGAGAAGGGTTGAGCTCCCTGCAGATACAGCCATAGTTAATAATCAAACCTTTGAAGCACTCGTCGTATTGCTTATTGATTGGAGGGAGTCGCCTTGGATCTACCAGCTCAGCTGATGGAGCGGGCCACCTTTGATTAAACTAGATACTTCTCATTGAAAAGTCTTTATGGATGTCACAGCTACAGCTGTAGTTATACCCGATCAGTATCAGACGTATGATACGAAACAAAAGCGAGAAATCAAGCGAACTATACCCCCTTGTCCCGGCCCTAGAGGTAATCTCGCATCGAATGCCCAAAACTGCGGAACGCTGCAGTATTGAGATTGTTGATAAAGTTGAAACTGGCCATTTTCTGTTCAGTATTAAACATACGCATAAATCACTGAAAAGGGGTGTGGTTGGTGGAACAATGATCCCAGGGTATCTACCTAGAGGCTGTCGGTGGCGTCGATTCTTAGCATCATATTAGCCAAAAGACCATAGACTAGTTACTCAAACTGGACTAGTTTCATGATACGAAGGCTCATGTAGTTCAAAAGGATGCAGGTAGAACTGTCCGTTCGCATACTACCCCCTCGCGTTGCATTGATTGCCTTTCGAGGGCGTTTAGGTGATATTCAATATTGCTTCCCTGTTATTCGACTCTCTCAGGGGAAAATTGACATAATTGACATATTTCAAACATCTTAAGGCAACATCTTGCACCAGCTGCAAAATGGATTCTCCTAGAGATGAAGAATTAGGAATCTATTTTGATCGTTCAAACAGCGAAGCAAGGAGAACTATGGAGCAAATATACTATTTATCTACTCCGTACTCCGCCTTCACGGAGTATTAATAATGTAACCGATCGATCATACTAGGCCATGTGGGCGCCTCATCAAGGGAATCGCGATTGTGTGCATGGCGCAGACCAATTGAATGTTGCGCAGCAGACCCCTGACAATGCTGGAATGTAGGTAGTCGATATGTACCGGAGTACTCCGAACTCCACATTCAAGAGACAGACAACTGAAACTTGAGACGCCTCAAAAGCATAACCCTACAATATTACAAGGGCTACCCTAGTAATTGAATGGAATACGCTCTATGCTACGGAGTACGGGAACCTAGCTATGCACTCCGTACTCCGTAAACCTGTTATATGTGGTTATCCCCATTGGATCGACGCCGTAAATGCCGTATTCGCCACGAACCCCCCTTGCTTGGGTTGGGATCTGTCAACTCGGGTCCGATCTGGGAAGGTCACAAGAGACAGGATTTGTGCAAGTCCATTTAAAAGAAATGCATACATCTGGGATATTGAAACATATAGTTCGTAGATGCGCATAGTGTTCTTTTTCTACATACTTTGTTAAAAAAAGTATTTAATGATAATATTGCCAATAACGGGTCTCCATATTTCATCCAGGGCAACAAAGAGATAAATATAAACCAATAATCCTTGCATGAATGCTTGGACGTTTCGAAATACATGTGGCAGCCATGAGGGCATTGGCCCTCGCATCTTACATTCCTATTGCGACAGACCCGGTTCCTGTGAACCCTATACGCTCCGTCAAACCTAGAGGACATAATGTACCTCTTTTCCTCTTTTCTCGTCCTGTCGCTGTCATTTGTTGAATTTCGCTCTACTGCTGCATGACGCACGACAAAATGATGGCATTCTCAAGACAATCATCTCAGGACACCGACATGTCCGCGAAAGTCCACACCGGAATTGACGAAGTACGGCTAGAATCCACACTTGGGCATAAGCAAGAGCTGTCGCGGAACTTTGGACTGTGGAGTTTGACCAGCTTGGGGATTGTCATTGCAAAGTAAGGCTCTTGTGAATTGGAAATTATAACCCATCAAACTTCGATGGACTAACCCGACACAGCTCTTGGGCTTCATCAGGGGGTACAATCGTCGCAGCGCTCCAAAATGGCGGTCCGATGGCTGTTCTCTACGGGCTGATTATTGTCAGCATATTTTACACGCTCATCTCGGCTTCTCTGGCTGAACTTGCCTCCTCCATGCCTTCTGCCGGTGGAGTATACTACTGGGCATCAGTCTTGAGCCGGAGTCGAGGCCGCACAACAGGGTTCTTTACTGGGTATTTGAATGCTTGCGCGTGGTTGTTGTCAGCTTCATCGATGAGCTCCATGTTGGGGAATGAGGGTGTGGCGATGTATCTACTTCGATACCCGACTGTGAAGTGGCAACCCTGGCAAGTATTTATCGGCTTCCAGATTGTCAATTGGATGTGTTGTGCCATTGTATGTTTGGGTAATCGGTTCATTCCTCTTATCAACCGAATCGCCCTTACTCTTTCGATGTGTGGCCTCATTACAACCGTGGTGGTTCTCACGGTGATGCCGAAAAAGCATGCTAGCAATGCCCAGGTGTGGACTGAGTATCATAACAACACGGGTGGATGGTCGGACGGAATCTGTTTCATGACTGGTCTGTTGAATGCTGCATTTGCAGTTGGAGTCCCAGACTGTATTAGCCATTTATCAGAAGAAGGTACGTTAGAAACAAGAAAACAGAACACCTCCAACTAACATGGTTTAGTCCCTAAACCCGAGATCAAGGTCCCGCAAGGCATAATGCTGCAAATGCTCACGGCCTTTGTCACATCCTTTGTGTACTTGATCGCCCTCTTCTACTCCATACAAGATCTAGACGCCGTCTTTGCAAGCAACATTGGCTTTTTCCCAACCGCCGAAATCTACAGACAAGCGACAGGCTCTAACGCAGGCGCCGTCGGTCTGATTGCGGTGCTATTTCTCGCAACCTTCCCGACTCTAATCGGGACATTCGTGACAGGCGGTCGAATGTGGTGGAGTCTAGCACGCGATAATGCAACTCCTTTCTCGAAATATTTCGCCCAAGTGCACCCGACACTAAACTGCCCCGTGCGTGCCACAGTTGCTATGAGCGCGCTCGTCACTTGTTTAGGGTGTATATACATCGGCAGCACGACAGCATTCCAAGCACTGATCTCATCGTTTATTGTACTCAGCTCACTGTCCTACTTCGGAGCCATTCTTCCTCATGTTTTGTCTGGTCGTGGAAACATGGTCCCTGGGCCGTTTTATATGGGGCAGAAACTTGGGATGGCGGTTAATATTGTTTCTTTATTGTATATTGCGGTTACTGTTGTTTTCTTCTGTTTCCCCTTGGTGTTGCCGGCCACAGTTCAAAACATGAACTATACCAGTGTGATCGTTGTGGGCTCTCTGGCTCTCACTTCCTTCTGGTGGATGTTCCGTGGAAGACGTCAATACAGTGGCCCACAATATAGCTTTGAGGCTGCTGAGCAATTGGCTGGTTTCCAAGAGGGCAAGAAGGGTCGTCGATCTTTTATTCACCTTGTGGGGGTTTCGGCTGTTGGACCGAGTGAGCATGGGAATGCTTCCTGATAACGAGAAGTGGACACCCGAAAACAATGAATATGGGCGGGTATCTTGACTATTGTTGCTTGTTAATGGCCCTGAACCTTGTCAAAGCATGTATATTCTGAACTAGTGTTGGCTGGATATAATAAGCATTGTGTATAAAACCGATGTGGTCAAACAAGGCGAGGCTAGAGATCGAACATAGTTGCACAATTAGCGAACCTTGAATTTGGAATTGGGAATAGACATCTTAAGATCATAACTATCATGCACAGAGATCACTAGTAGGAGACAAGTTATCCTCTCATCTTCATAGTCGCGACTTAATGCTCTGCCCACCCTCCCAGGCTTCTCCAGCTTCAAGTGTTTGCCAACCGGACACCGACCCAGCTTCCACACAAATCATGTTCTTGTAAGCCTCATCAGGGCCGAAATCGGCCATGCCCTTGGCCTTTTCAATCCAAGGGTTCCAAACCACAACATCAGTCAAAGCTTCCCGAGTGATAGAGAACAATGGTTGGTCATCCTTCGCAGAGGCAACAACAACTGGAACGGCAGGGTCAAGTTGTTGGTAAACGCGATCGGTTTCTTGGGTAATCGCCAATGCGGGGGACGATTCAGTGTGAGCAGTCCCCTGGAGGGTCTTATCGAGGTAGGTCGCGGATTCGAGGCCTTTAACACGGATATCGGAGATGTCCTATTCATCAAATTGAAAATTAGCGGGAAATTGGAGGAAATAACTCTGGAGTGTGGTATCGTACCGCAATGTTCAAATACGTGTGCATCAGCACCTGGAACTCGAAGTTCTGCTGGCCCTCATTGCGAACTTGCAATGAGGTCTCCAGTGAGTCCGTAGTGAGGGTAACACTGTACACCAGACCGAACTCATATGGCCAAGCTTGACGGAACTCATCGGTCAGCATAGAGTGCGACAGCCCGAAATCCAACTTCACAGTGAGATCGGTCTGGTCGCTATCTCTTCCGGGCGCTTCCGAAGAGGACTTTCCCAAGAACTCCCAGTTGGAGTTGCGGGCGAAGCCATGTTGTGGTAGGGGTGAGGTAACGTGGTTCTGGGGCGGAGGACCGAAGACCTGGAAAATAAGCAGGGCGGTTAGCTGTAGCTCTCAGGAAGATCGTAGAGCTCACATACCGGGAACACCAGCGGAATGCCACCACGGATAGGCTTGGAGCCATCGAGATGAGCCTTCTCACTGACGAACAGCTGCTCCTGGCCGCGGGTCTTCCACGAGGTCACAGTAGCGCCGTACAGGTTCACAGTCACTGACTGGCCAGTGGGCAACGAAGCTTCAATGATGTTGTCCCTGATGGAGAGGGTTGGTTGCGGAAGGGAAGCTCCCAATCCAATTGCCGAGGGTTTGTTTGATCGGTCCATAGTTTTAGATATTTTGAAAAATAGAATTGGGTGTGTTGAGAAGGAGAATAGAGCTGGATGTTTCACGTTGGAGCGCGGGGGGAAGAAGGGGATCTTATCGGCCCCGCCTGTTTTGTGACTGGGGCCACCTCCAGCGCTTAACATATACACTTATGCAACTTGAGCACATCAAGTTAATATATTCTAACTAGGTACTTTTCTTAGGCCGATACAGTTCCAGCTGTTTCTCCGACCTGGTAAACAAAGTGCCATTTTCCCCCCTTGGCACCTCTGCTTACCCATGTCAAGCACTAGAACGCTTTCAATCGACGACCACGCCCCTGGACAAAAAGGCGCACGGACAAATGCCTGGACCTTCAAAAGCTCACCAGAAATTGGAATGGCGAGTGCCTATATCTTTGGCACCGTCGAATGTTTAGTATCTATCATGTCAGAATTCTTCCGGGTCGAAAACGACAATGGCATGCCAGACTCTAACTCAAACATCTCGACGTCCGGCACGCCCTGTTCTTTGGACTGATTGGCAGTCGTCACTTCGGTGCCCTCGGCTCTTCGATGAGGTGGAATAAAAATATTGTAGTATCGTGGAAACACCAAACCGAGCAGAACCAAGAGTAAACAAAAATGGGCCAAAATAAACCCGGCGATCATCATTGGGTCATATCGCAAGGAATAGAATTCAGGATACGCAAAGCTGAACACAATGGCCAGAATAGGTGCGCTGACATACCGGAGTAAAAGAGGCCAGAAACGAGGGATGTTCCAGTTTCCATTACCACCAACGACGCCGTTCAGGTCGCGTCTTAATTGATTACCCTGAGCATGTTAGTTTCTTTGGCACAAGATTGGTTGGGAATGGGAGACATACAGAGTAGAATGCTAAATACCAAAATCGACTGAGCAGAGGGTTGCGTCCCCAGAAGCTGGCAGCCTTGATACCCGGGGTCGTGGCGATGAAGATAGAAAGCACCGAGCAGACGATATACAACCCAAACCCAGTGCCGGCACCAGCTGATGGATTCGATGCACCGTGTGCGACGGCAACTCCGACAATCTGGCCACCAAAGTATCCAAAATTATACACAACAAAAGCAGGCAGGCCTGTCTGGCTTACCACGTCGTGCCAGCGATAAACAGTGGTTGCACCGACGAGCTCCGACCACACAACAAAGATCAAAGCCACATTGTTAATCCATCGGTCGATTCCATCCAGTAGGTAGAATCCAAATTCGGTGCAGTATGGCAAGCTCATGAGGAATGATATTATTGTGAGGCTAGTCACAATCATCGGTCGAGACATTTTCATGCCAGAATCCACGGCCAACGTAGCCACTGCGTCGAGCATCACAAAGGCCGAGCTAAATCCGAGAACCACCAATGTAAAGAATAAGAGGATAGCCCACCAATTCGCGCCAGGCATGTGAAGCACAGCCTCAGGGAGTGTCAGGAAACCGACCACGAATGCACCCAATCTCTCGCCATCCTGTGGCCAACGTCGGAGGTAGCCTACAACACCAAACACGGCAAAGGCAGCAACGTTTTCGAACAGGACGTTACTTCCGCAAATGAGAATTGCGTCCATGACAGCATTCGAATGTTTGGAATTATAGGAAGCATAGGAAGTGAAATAACCGAAACCAATGCCGGTAGAAAAGAAGACTTGTCCGACAGCAGTTTGCCAGACAGTGCCTGAGGCTAGTTGATCACTCCTCCATGTTGCCCATAAGAGTCGGATACCCTCGCTCGCATTTTCCAGTGAACAAGAGCGACCGACGATAATGATGGTGGTGACAATCGGCAGACCCATCGTCCAGTAGACGACACGACCTGTCAGGCCTACTCCACGGAAGATGGAAATCCATATCAGAAACCAGATGAAGGCGCTCCAGCCGACCGTCTCGCCGATAAGGGCAACGCCAGGGTACACGGTGTAGCGGGCAACGGCACCATTGCCAGCAGTGAGATTGCCAATCACCGGGTTGATATTAGCAACAACATTGCCCATGTAGAATTCCTCGATTCTGCCCTCCCATGGTAGTGGGCTACGGAAGGAGTTGCGGAAATAGTTCATGATCCATGCCAAGTTGACTGTGAAGTATTGCACGACGACAAAACTGACCAAAATCGGGCCCATGCCAACGCCTTTCAGCCGATGGTTGATATTATTGAATGCAATCACTGTCCCACCACGATAGGCTTGTCCAATCGCAATCTCGAGAATAAGTGCCGGAATGGCGATTACAAACACAGCTAACAGGTAGGGGATGAACCACTGTAGTCCGTAGTTATTGTAGACCACCGAGGGATATCGTAGCAGATTTCCCTGACCGGCGCAGCCTCCCATGGCGGCTAGCAGGAAAGCTGCTCGGGAGGGCCATTGATCACGTCCATCTTCGGACTTTTGCGGAGGAGGAGCGATCCAACCCACGACCTTCTTTAGATACTGGGCAAGTACCATGATGGTACTGATCAGAGGAAGATTTCAGCGGTTGAGTTGAGACCTTTGTAACTTCATGTGGCGAGTACAAGACGATTTTGCAAGATATGAACGGTCAAAACAGGCTAACAGCAAAAGGGCTGTCCAGAACCCTCCGTAGCAGATCATGGACGCTTTCGTGTGACATCCGAGTGATGCCAAGCAGCATGCCAACCATCTCATCCTGCCGTCCCCGTCATATTGGACCGATGCCAAGAAACTTGGAAAGGTATTCTCATCCCGGGTCCTTAGATTCGTGGATTGTGCGGTGCGATAGCCATGCCAAGAGTCTTGGAAGCATACCACTGTGGTAGTGGTGCGCGATGTCGCAATATTCTTGGCCATATTAGCAGTCCAAGCTTACGGGAAAACATTAGCTAGCCCGGCTGGGTCATGTGAGGTCACATGTAGGCATCTATGGTCATAAAGAGGGGATGCCAGGCTCGGATTATGACCGAATGAGCGGAAATGTCAGTCAAATCGGCCTCAGCTGCCAAGAGCGCTATTCTTGGCATTGAGCCGCGCAATTTTATCTGATTGCTATATATCCATGGCCATTTATGCAAGGATGGGGGACATAGACACTGCGAAAGCCCAATATGGGGATGAGACACTGACCAGAATAGGAAATTCGAAGGTCCTTGTTTTAGATGAGGTTCCGTCAACTTGAAGTCGCAAACGATCGCTTTGGGGGCCAGAAACAGCTGTCTTTCCAACCGTAACTTCTCGCTTCTTCTTCGGAGAAATTCTACTCTGTCCACTAGACAGGTAAGCAACTGGATCCCTTCAAAACGAGTGTACTGTGCTAGGACGAATAGGAACACTATCCACTATCGATCAAGACAACTAAGAGTACCTAGCCCTAAAAGTACTTAGGTGGTCATAGAGGCTTAAGTAGAAGAGCTTCCCAGCTCTATAGAATCTGTATATTAGTCACATGGAAACTTATAGATCTCATTGATGGCTAGAATGAATCACCCTAAGAGCAGGGACACTATGATGCATTGCGGCTGGGAAGACTAAAGCCCTCAATATACTTGCTCAACCTTAGACACCTTGTCATCTGTTGCATTTGCTACAGATGTACAGTCGTGGACCAGTCATATGTTGAGCCGACGCGGTGATCGATGAGTACACACTTATTTTAGCACACCTCTCACTCTAGGCATCCACAATATAAGAGTAAGAGCCCTTCTATCGATTGGATTCTAAAGACATAACTGCGGGGTAGAAGCAAGCCACAGTATTCGCATTAAGGGACAGTCACTCGAGATTGCTCTGTAATCGACTATAACTTGTTGCCTCATTCTTTCGATTGGCCTCCCGATTTATGACATTTCCCAAGATGTCAGCTCCTGCAGCAAGTATCTTGATATCCTAAGGATTTAGGGCCCCTCTGATTGGCAAGTTAAGGGGAGCCAACGAGAGCGACTATAGCGACCGGAGTGACCGGAGTGCGAAGCACGGCCATTCAAAGAGTATATATATAGTAGGGGAAATTTTGTGCCTGCACAGGTTATTGTGTTTGGTTCTCATCCGAACATCTGCTCCTATCGTCCCGGCTGTCAAACCAATTCGGAAATATCATCAGTCTGAAGTCCCAGGTGCAATCATGTTTGTCTCCCCTAGAGCAATTTGTTCAAGCTAGGCGAGGTTTGATACTAAAGCTAACTTGGGTTATAATATAGGTGCATCTATAAATTGAATACCACCTCAAAGGGCATTATTTATCTTGACACCAACACCGAGAGTTGGCCAGACGATGCTCTTGACGAAGGCGCTGAGAGGTATTCGGATTGTAACCTCGCAGACTGCTCATTCTCTGATAACAGGGGAGGTTGATGAGAACATCAGTTGAATGAACTGGGATTTCCGTGGATATAGTGAATACAAGTGACTGTTCTGGGTCTATATACCTCGGGTTACACTGTACACTTTTGTCACTATCTATTACCTACCCATGCTGCATAAAGGAAGACCTAGTACCCTGTAGACTGACTGATTCAATCTCTCTCATCTCTTCTTCTGTCAGCCGCCATCCAAGCGCTTGCATATCCTGTTCCGCTTGACCAGCATCCCGCACTCCAACCAGTGGCAGAACGCCCTTATTGATAGAATAATTTAAGGCAACCGCAGGTACAGGCACACCCCGCTCCTGGGCGATAATCCTTAAGACCTTGATAGTAGGTCCCAGTATACGCATGGGATAACTACTGAAGCGGCGGCTCCGCGGGGGCTCATTGAAGCGTGAATATTTACCGGAAAGGCGTCCCTCGGCCAATGATGCAAAGCCCTGGAAGCAGATATTCCGCTTTTTGCATTCTCGGATCAAGCCGCTGACTTCAGGTAAGCGACGGACGATTGAGTATTCGCACTGGCAGACAGAGAGCGGGACGTTGTGCTTGGACAGCTCATCTGCCATCTTGATCATTTCCTTTGTGTCATAGTTAGCCACTCCAACAGCACGTGCCATCCCGGATTTCACACAGTCGGCCATGCCCGTGGCAACAGTGGATATCTTGCTGGGATGGATAGGTCCGTGAACGAGATAGATGTCGACGTAGTCCAGTTGGACACGCACAAGGGAATTTTTAAGCTTAGACTTAGGCCCACCAGCCTGCATGAGTGTATTTGTCATGTCTGGCGTTGATAGCCACTTGGTTTGTATCACGAACGAGTCACGGGGCATGTCCTGGAACAGGGTTCCGCATATCCTCTCGCTCTCGCCGTCGCCATAGGACTGCGCTGTGTCCACGAAGGTCAACCCAACAGACTTGAGCTTGGCCCATGCTTCGTGGATGCGCGGTAAGTCCCGTGTTGGGTTGTAGTTAAAGGTTGCTTTGTCGCCCCATGACCATGCGCCGATACTGAGGTATGGAACAAGTACGTCCCTACCGTCCACACCACGTAGGGCGATTCGGCTTTTCGAGTCGGGTGTTAGGTCGGGTGGAAGCATGTTGACCGGATCGCTGAGATGTGGGTCCACCAGCTTGGGGTACGGGGAGTGCATGCCCTGTGTGCCTGACATCCCGGCTGCAAGACCGGCTTGCATCATATACTGAGTGCCTGGGGTGGCCATTGTTCGGACAAGTAAAATCCAGCAAGTATGTACATATAACTGAAGCTTTAAATAGAATCTGCGTTGTCAGATTGATCAAGACCTTCTAGACCGAACCCGGTTTGATATACTATTTAGGAAGGAGTGGCGATCGGCGTCATCATGACATTCAAGTAAACTGTGCCTGAGCACCTTCGGGTCAAATGCCAACTGGCCAATATAGAATCTCGTTGTCATTAGTGGTGGCGACGACAGACGATTGACGGAAAACGCATAGCAAGTGGGTGAATTAGAGATCTACGCAGCAGTATGCGACAAAATCCCCTTTTTAGTGGTCTCTTTAATGGTCCCCTCAGATATCATTCTGTTTAGATAGGCCAGTTTTATAGGTCGACGGCAACAAAAAGGAGGAAAAAGGCTTTGTGTATACATAACCTTCGATTGTACAGGTATAAAAGAAAGTCGAAAATTCTATGGTTGATAGGCTAGCCCTGGAGGCATCAATATTGCTTGAAAAGGGCGTTTTGTCGCATGGCCCCTATACCGTTGCGTAGACACGTTCGGCTTTCTTTGCTTGGTTTCTCACTTTTTCTCAGATACAATTGTCATAATGTTCAATATTTGGATTCTATTATACCCGCAGAAAGCCGAAACCATAACGTACAAGAAAAAAGGATTTGGGACCAAGCATGCCAAGCAATAAAATAGGCGCTGTGCTTCATATTTATGAAGACATATAGGATGCAGGTGGGGAATAATGATGAGACGGGGTCCAATATAAAAAAATCATATCCAACAGGTTTCGCTGTAAACGCCATTCGCTATGCTGAAGTATTGTGTCGCGTTGATGCATTTTGTGCTTCGCAACGGAGTTTGAAGAGAAGATCATCGACCTCGCGGAAGGCGCTCGAGGTCAAGGTCGTTGCTTTCATTTCATCCAAAAGGATATTCAAGGATTGGACGATGCCTTGTTCGCTGATGTCGGATTTGGCGGGGGGTGATTGTTGGGTTTGGATACCCATGGTGATAGCACTTGTAGTTTGCTCGGCCATTCCATCGGGTTGCTGAACTGCATCCATATCGATGTCAATCTCGGTGTCTGGTTTCACCGGGGGCTCAGTAGACTGTTTTATTTCAGAGACTTGAGTGGCAGTTGCCTCTTCGGTAGAAACAAGAGGTATGCTCTGCTCCGCTTGGTTTTCTGTAATGAGGTCCTCGGGGACTATTTTATGGTCGATTTGAGGTGGCAAGCGGTCGGTATCGCCATGTTCCTCGGAGGGGTTGCTTGATACTTCAGGCTGAGACGCTTCAAATGCATGTTGCTGAGATCGTGTTTTGCGGGAACGGGTATCTCGAGGAGCACTTTTAGGAGTGCTATCGAGAACAGACTGGTCAAGACGAACGGATTTACGAGACCTTTTAGATGGTCGCGGGATATCGGCATCTTGTGTTGGTCCTTGTACCACGGAATCTTGGGTTAGAGGGACTGAGTCCGCAAGGGCGTCATCATCATCTTTTCGTTGTGAACTGCGGGTGGATCGGCGAGTCGCAGTTGGCGACAATGATTTAGATGTAGAGGCCGCCCGAGGAATGACAGGGTGCGATGGTGAATTATCAGGCTGCAATGACTCGACGCCGACTACGTCTTTAACAGTGGACAGCCGCGTTGACCGGCGCCTGTCGGTCTTCGTAGATGGAGAAGGCTCCTCTAAACCCCGCTTTCTCTTCCTCGCGGATGGCTCATTGGGGATATTGACTCGTTCTGGATGGTTCCTATCGTCCATATCCACAGCAAGTTCCAAATCCTGTCCAAGCTGTGATGCGATTTGTGTGTCCGTCTCCTCACTCGAGTCTATCAAAGTATCTGGAATATCGGGAGGCATGTCCGTGGCTTCCTGGGGTTGATCATCCGCAGGCTGAGATTGAGCTTGCTTCCGTTTCTTCTTGGAGCTCGAGCTTGGTTTACTCCTGGGAGGAGGCTGGACAGGTGTTTTATCAGATTCAACCAGTGGCTCCGGTGAAGGCTCTGTTATCTCTGAGTCCTTACACAGCGCAGATCGAAGCTGACGACTGGGATTTATTTCATTTGCTTGAGGTGTAGCGTCGGCACCTTCATTGTCATGGTCATGAGCATCACTCATAGATGTGTCTATGCTCTCCGTTGCAAGGCGAGAAGTAGCCGGACTGTTGACTGTTGAGTGTGTTCCGGATGTACCAGCAAGAGCCTTTCTTGCTTTTGCAGCCCTTCGCCGCGCCCTTTTTGTGCGATTCTTCCGAGGGCTTGGGCTCCGAGATTGCATCTCGGGAGGAGATGATGGAGGGTCTACGCCCAAATCTACAGGCACCTGACTCGATCTCAGTGCGTCGGAGTTCATTGCAGGTGTCGGGTCTCTGGTCCCAGGTGTCGGAGAGGAGCCGATGAATCCTTCTTCATTCTCAGTAGGAGCGAGAGTGGGCGTCAGAGGAAGTTCGGTCAGTGCTCCCCCATCTAGTTTGCGCAGATTGGGAGGAGTATCGTAACCCAATTTCCGTGGAGTACTGGCTGGTGACGAGGATTGAAGGGATTCAATCATCGAAAACATTTCACGACGGCTTTTGCGCTTGGTTGAAACTGAAATGCCATCAACAATTTGCGCATCTGTGGGCTGCTGGAAGTTACTTGGCAGCTGGGGTTCACGGAAATGGAGAGTCGGCTTGAGGACCAGGGAGGAGTCTTCGGTCCGTATTACGGGTGACGAAAGCTGGGTGTTCTGAGACAGCTCATGCAATGACCGATCTATGCTGTCTTGCGGAGGAGGTGGAGGTAACATCTCGGTATCCTGGTTACCGTTTTGCAGAGGCAAGGTTGCTGTCTGGACCCTGGACCCAGCAGTTTGTACGGCTTGCAAAATGGTGGTTGGAGTGACAAGGGACTGCGAACCAAAGGTCGAGCCCCAAAGTTCGACGTATCTCTTGGCTGTTGAAATGTGCGAAGACTCCAAGCCGGCACAAAGAATAGGCTCAAAGTTTTTCAATGAAGGTAGATCATGAGAAACTGACGTTTGCAAAATGTTGATAGTAGCCGACGAGAGAGCACGGCACGCTGTCAGGATTCTGCTGTCAACACCGCGGTCAACATGGATTTTGTAAGATTCGTCCTTCAACCAAATGCTAAGTGATGACTGGAGAGATTGAAGAAGTTGGCATTGGAACTGCGGAACACCGGTCCCTAGAAAAGAAGTCAATGCCTCGATGAAGTCGGCAACACCGTGGGATTTTGATGCGCTGAAATTGTGATATGCACCGTGTAATGTCTGGGAAATCGACTCGAGAAGTTTATGAGGAAAGATAGCATGACCAGCTGCCTGGATGCCGCTGCGATCGATCCCTAGTCCGGTTCCTTGCATGAAAGGGATAGACAAGGAATGGCCAAGCAGCGAAGTTGAGGGTAGGTAGGTATCTCTCGCGGAAAGATGCATGAGGCGTTCGGCCATAGGTTCTACAATCATCGTGGCAACCGCTTGGTTCCCTTTCTCTGTTCGAACCACGCGAACAAATGCTTCAAGCAAATGAGACCACCCTTGAAAAGCTGATGGAAACGAGAGACCGAATGAGAGAATCTTGATGACATTTTCGTAGTCACGGGACACAGAGCCATCGCGCCCGCGAGCGGATTCCATAGGGAAAGACTGCAAAGCATTTGCAGCGGCCTGGGCAGTGGCATTCCAAACCACCTCCGACAGCTGCGCCGCACGGGGAATAGCACTGGTCGTCATGGTGCTTAATTCTGCACATTGTTGAAGAAGTTCGAGGCGAGATCCACGGGAGAATCTGCCGTTGCATGCGGCTTCAATGCTACCCAAGACAAGGCGTGCGTAAGATTGGCTCGGCGCTATTGTTCCTGTGGTGCTGCTGATTATTCGAAGGAGATGAAGAATAGCACTTTCTTGGGCCGTATTTGGATGTAAATGAGTAGGAGTGCTGTCGGCTTCATCCGCGTTTCTTAAAAGAAGCTTTTCGGTAAACGGGATGCCCCCAATAGAAACAATCATGGTTGTAGACAAGAATCTGAATCTTTCGAAGAAAACATCCGTGGTCTGTGCATTCAATGAGGGTGGGCCTGTAGTCCAAAGGCGGTGCAGTAGACCCCAAACGCTAGCAACAGCTTGCATCGATTCCCCTGAAGGGGTGATTTCTTTGCTGGACGCAAGCGATAGAGAACTGGACAGACTATTCCAGGCCAATGCCACGTGAGACTGGCCAACTGCATCATCAATCCAAACTGAGGCTTTGAACACGTGCTCAAAAACCTTCAGAATTGAAGTAATTCTTGATCGAACCCATCTGCTGTCGGCTGCGGGAAGTTCCTCCGCTTCCATTTTGGTAGTGTCATAGATTCGATTCTCTGTCCATATCTTAGCCTGTGTGCTCCACAACAGACTTGTCAATACGCGCGAAAGACAGTCGCTAAGAACCGGGACGGATGAGAAGATGCCGGAAGACGGAATGGCTACGTAATCCTCCCATATAATATCAAGGTATTGATAGGAAGCTGATGGACGGAAAGTGTAGTATAGCAGATTATAGTAGCTGGTCAGAGCAAGCTGAGTGGGCGGTGCTCCTGACTTGTCGGTCTTCTTGCGGTCGAATTGAGTAAGTACGGGTTTGCTCAGCATTTTGATGAGAGATCGGCTTGTCGATTCAGTGGGGTTGACAGCGAAGACAAATCGATTCCAACCAACAATAGCCTGCGCTTTGATCAAAGGCTCGCTGCAATTGAAGCACTTTTGGAGTACCAGAACCCATTCCTTGAAATGATCCCATTGCTCTAAGTTCCATCTTTTGCTCCGAAGTAGAAGGATAATGATGCTCCAAATCTGAGGAACATGCTCACCACTCTCGACCGTTGGCATCATCCGAGCCATGCGCTCACGAACCTCTGTTACAAGTTTCCGGTCGTGCTCTAATGGCCTGTCGAAGAGATCCCGAATGTTTTTCGATAGTATAGGATTTGGACCGGCTTCTGCGGCCACCTGGAAGCCAAGTGCAATTGCTTTTGACCTGGTATCCTTCAAATGATGAAGCAGCCCGAATATCAAGTGTTCGATCCATAGGTTCGCTTGGGAGATGAAAGTAGACTTGGCTTGGCCTAGCAGCCGTTGGTAGATGTTCAATCGATGGGAAACAATTGCGTTGCCACTGATATTCTTTGTTATTTCTTGTAGCACCGTCAAAAGCCGGGCTACACGTGCACCTGTCATAATTTTTGGGCCAAAGTTTTGAGTAGACAAGATGGACATATAGTGCGTTAAAACGGACTTTGGAGCCTTGGCCTCATGGAGGCAAGTGATGGAGTGATCGACTAGAAATATTTTGAACTCCTCCGAGAGCTGTGTTGAGATTTCTGGATGCCAAACGAATGCGGCTGACAATTTCAAAGCCTGATTGGCAAGGTTTGTGTCAAGAGGGCCACTGTTCGTAAGGTCCCGATTCACGTCTCGCTGAATAAACTCGGTGATGAGATTTAATTTTTCGGCAATCTTCTGACCCGCCGGAAGACCATCATATGTTCGCAGTGCACCAAAGAATTGCATGTAGGCATCGAGTCGGGAGCTCATTGACTCGCCTGCCAGTTGTTGGATGACCGATTCGAGCAGCATGGCAAGCGATTCGGCGGTGAATGTATCGACATTGGGTGACCAAACAGGTATTGGTGACTGAGTTGCTTTCAGGATCGACTTTGTAGGCTTGGAGTCCGTGGAGGGAGGGATTTTGAAGTTGGGAGCCGATTTCATAGCACTAGCAAATGTTGGTGGTTTGATGTACTTCGGCCATGGTGAGAAGTTCACTTTCTTCGAACTGCGGCTGGACGGGCCAGTTCCCACCGATCCCAGCGTGGAAAAAGTTGACTCCTTTGGTGTTTGAACGGCTATTGGTGAATCGGTGTTCTCAACGATGCGCGAAACGGTCCTTGGGGGTGTAGGCGGACGAGCAGAGAGCATCTCCACCATGATTTGATTCAGACAAAAAGTGTGAAAAATAAAAAGAAGCAATAGTCAATGATCATTGCTGAATGAGATGCTGTTCAGGCCCTGTCCATGATCTGTTTGAGATTGAAGAATCAAGAAGCCACATCAAGTCGAGAAAACTAAGTTCAACTTTCCGACGCGCCGCGATGCGCGTAAAGTGTCACCGCCTGAGGCGACGAGGCATCAATACACGGACTTTTTTATGCAAGTTGTCGATAGCTTCAATGATCATTGGGGTGTGTTCTAGTGCGTATATAACGATCTACAACAATAAAACCAGTGGAACCTTCAATATATCTAGCATTTAACAAAATTCTCACTTATCGTCACATTATTCAGGCAAACAGTGGAGTTCACCAAAGTTCACGTTTCAAAGATATAGACTGGATTTGCATAGGGTAGGACTTTTTTTTCATAATTATATACTAAATATGTAATATTATTGCTGTAAGAATTCTGGAGCAAATGTTCTTAAGGAAAAGTAGCTTATGTGGGGGACTCCAAATAATTTATGACGATTTGCCTGACTTCCCCGCGTGGCTCCCACTCCTATTTTTTTGTTTCCTCGTCAGTAGCTACCTGCTCAAGCTATTGATCTGTTCTCAATATTATACTGTGCAGGGGATTTTAATTCAACACAAAACGTCAGTGAAAGTGACACCAGTCCTACATCCTCCTCCTATTGGAACGCTCGACTCAGTCCGAGCTCAGATCAGTATGGCGTTTCTTCAAATGCAAGGAACAGGTATTTTATGGATATTGAAAAGCTCTACTCTGGAATCAGGTCAGCTGACTTGATACTGCGCATACAGCGAAGCTACAACAAGTGACACAGCTTCTGAAGTCTCTTGAGAAAGACCTACAAGAGAACAACCTGTCATCAGGAGGTAAGTCGGATGCAATAGCCATTATATATGCCTAATACTAATCCCTTCCACTACTAGACCGAGTGCAAACCCTCCTACAGCTCCGTCAACACGGCACAAACCCTACGAATGCAGAACCGATCTATTCACAGAATGTATGAGCACAACGGAGCTGCCCGTCGAGAGTTACAACTGGTTCTGATATTTTCCAGGGCATTAATACCTTGGTGCGGTATGGCGTTGAGGGGGAGACCCCTGACATACGTCGAGCAGCATTGCGATGTGTTGCAAATGCGCTATTACTTGACCCCAAAATGCGCCAGGCTTTCGTAGACACGGGATACAGTGGAAGGCTAGCAAAAAACCTCAAGGTAGGCTCGCAGCAGATACAATGCCGGTACCAAAGCTGATATTTAGTAGACTGAAGAATCGGAAGATGAGATGGTTACAAGTCGGATATTGTTCTACGCAACCTATAACACCACACTGGACTTTAAAGACTTGATCAAGAGTCATGCATTGGGAGATAATATCAACTATGTGAGTTGGATTGTTAAACTTGAAACTTGTTGGATGTGCTATGCTGACCAGTATAGCAATTGAGCCGTCATGCGAAGCAGTTCCCCAAGTTGGGCAGAAAGCCATTGTCACAAATGGACGAACTGGCATTGTCAGACACACTCAAGTTGATATACAACATCTCCAAGATATTTCCAGATCTTGCTACGGAGTTCTCCCCTGCTCTCCCTCATATTTTGAAGATTATATGTCGCGTTGATATTCCAGCAAAGCCCCTAGATGGTTTACTCGGCGGCTTGTTAAATACATTGTCTATCCTTGACTTGGAGGAAAAGAAAGGCAAATTTTTCGAGAGCAGCCCCCTTTTCCCGACATTCGACCCCAACTGCAACGTGGATAAGTTGATCAGCATCTTGGATCAGGCCGTATCTACATACAGCCCCAACGAGCTAGAGGCAAATGCAGTCCCATTGCTATATTCACTCATTGCTATCCACGAAGTGGCTCCCGACGGACCTCGCAAGTATATGCAGTCACTTCTTCTGCCCGAGGATACTGACCGAAGCTTGCCAATTGGACAATCTGAAACACTTTCTTCAAGACTTCTAAAGCTCTCGACAACCCACTTTGCCAATCTGAAAGTTACAATTTCCGAGCTCATGTTTGTTCTGTCGGGCAAGGATGCTGAGCAGCTCACTAAGAATATTGGCTACGGGTTTGCTGCTGGGTTCTTGGCCGCTCGAGGCATTGAGATGCCACAGAGTGCAGGTGAAGCATCATCCAAAGATGACCCCGAATCCGCACGCAATCCGATCACTGGACAACGGTGGGCTGCCGAGCCACAAGATTCCGGTCCGCCTATGACCATGGAGGAAAAGGAGCGCGAAGCTGAAAGGCTATTTGTGTTATTTGAGAGGTATGTTCGGCGTGATAAAGCTATATAGTGCACTTGCTAACAATTATCACAGGGCCAAAGCAAATGGTCTCCTCAATGTCGAGAACCCCGTGACTCAAGCTCTCCACGAGGGAAGATTCGAAGAACTGCCGGATGATACTGATAGTGACTGAGCATCATCTTTGACGTAGTTCTTCAGTCTCGCAATGTCAGCTTTCACTTCGATTTTATACAGCTGCATGCACGGTCTATGACATAGATCATACCCTCTTTAGTAGGTCTGTAGCGATGATGCTGGCGTCAATTCAGAGTCTATTTAAGAAGTTTACCTTTCGGCTCAATGCACTAAAGAGGGAATTTGGAATCAATGCAATAGCAAATTCAATATAGTTGACTTGGATCTATACCTGTCTACTGGTCCACGGGTTGCTGGCGGAATGACGTTATGCAAGGCGAGGGCGCTCTCCGCCCGTCAAAAAAATTATGCGCGGGGCACCGAACACCTCCCACTTCGTTTCCTCCACACTTATTATATCACTGCTTTCTTGTGTTTATATTTCAAAGTACTTACTTTACACCTAACCGTCAAAATGTCGAAGCCATTCAACCCCGAGGAGGCGGAGAACCTGGAGGATGTACGGCCCCGCGTCCATATGGTCTAACTAACATTGATTGCTGACAACACAACAGATGGAGAAGCAGTTCGCCGTCAAAGGTCAGTCACGCATCGATTTACATCCCAGTCACACCTTCGGACAAGATCATAATATTGATATTCTCTCGCATTGCAGCGGTTGAACATCTCATGACGTACTGGTCTATTCTGGAGAAAGTCAAGGGCTCGCAGCTTCGCTTGACCAAGCAGGACGATGATATCTACAACTCATTCATGGAGGCATTCCCGGATTTTGATCCCGCCGCCCCTCTCATTGAGGACGAGATGAAGAGCAAGGCCGGCAAGGAGAAGTGGCGCAACTGGATGATGCAGTGGGATAAGATCGACGACTTCAACTTTGGCACCATGATCCGTACCCGTGCAGATGCCGAGTATGACCAGGATACCACTATTTTCGGTGTGCGCATGCAGTTCTACGCTGTTGAGATTGCTAGGTAAGCACTGAGCTGAGTTGCGTTAGTCACGTATCGAAACTAATGGAGTGTTCTAGAAACCGCGCCGGTCTGAACGATTGGATCTACGAGAAGGCCCAGAAGGCCAGCTCTTGATTACAAACCGTGTCTCATTGCTGCTGTTCTTGAAATCGAGGACAGTTCCACACCCAGGCTGATCTGGCCGACGGCATTTGCTTGTTTCCCTGCAGTGCAAATGAGGAATGGTCTCGAGTCTGTGATATTGACTACAAGATCTCGCAGTATCATGGCTTGAGGTTAATTGGTTACGATAGAAGCGCGATCATACCCCATAGATACGTGGTTCTGATTTAGCATTGATCCGTTAATCGCGACTCAAATGTAGATTGCCTGTCCACCAGAACTTGGACAGTCTTTCAACATTGGGTCGAAATATACCCTGAATAAAATGTCATTTCCACTGGTCCTTTGTCTATCTCGATCGCTATTGTCTATGCGGACAGGGCCTTCATTGCGGATGATTGCGGCCATCCCGCATCAAACATTGAGTAAGTCCACCCTCTAGCCTTAGGTTTGTTCGACTGTTAGAAATCATCCATCGACAGTCAATACTCTGAGTGCTGTGTCAAGGGTGGGGCCGATGAATGGCACATTCATCCCAAGTGCCTTTCAACAATGTCGGAGCATGGGTGTCTTTGTTCTGCACCCCTCTTCAATGTTACCCCATTGGGGACTTTCTTCGTATTGTTCTTTTGTGTTGATAATATTCGTGAAACGAACATTTAAATACCCCATGATGATTATTTCATGTCGATCTTTATCATCTTCCCTCTTGCCTTACTACTATGCCGTGGCAAGAAAATTCTCCACAGACCATCTTAATCCCCTAATGTGACATTCGGGCCTTTCTCCAAAATGTGGCTCAAACGCAAGAGTTCCACTCAGAACAGCTCCAACAAAGAAAATAGTCCCGAGGGCAATCCGGGTTGGAAATCGCTATTCGGATTCACGACTCGAAGACACCTACCAACTCTCATATTAGGGTCTATCTTTGCCCTGGTTGCAAGCCTTGTTACGCCGGCACTTGCAATTTTCCTCGGCAATTTGTTCGACTCTTTTAACTCTTTCGGCGCTGATAAGACTGATGCCAAAGGGCTTCGTGGGCAGGTAATCACAAATTGCCTAGGGATGATTGGACTGGGAGTAGGCGGTTGGTTTCTGAACGGTGCATACTATGCTCTTTTCGTCGCATTCGGGGAAATGCAGGCCTCCGTTATTCGCAGCGAAGTGTTTCTAGAATTACTAAAACGCGACGTTGAGTGGTTCGAGGCCAAAAGCGAAGGCTCCGGGGCTTTGTTGTCTGGAATTCAAGCGTGAGTTTTCCCGTATACTTGCCGAATCTTATATCTAACGTAGCATTATTCTCAGACACATCCATGAAATGCAGATGGCAACATCGCAGCCACTCGGACTTGTACTGCAATATTCATGTCGTTCACTGGCTTCATTGGGGCTGGGCTTCTACACATCATGGAGCCTCTCTCTGGTAACTCTTGCAGGCATCCCCATATTCTCGACAATCATCGGATACCTTTCTTCCAAAATGAGATTTAGCATTACAGCACAGCAGGCTGAGCTTACCGAGGCTTCTAAGGTTGCCAACAATGCCATTTCCAATATCGATACAGTCAAATGCCTCAATGGTCAGGCCTTCGAGCATCGGAACTTTTCTCAGCGCATTGAGAGGTCTGCTACGCACTACCTTCGACAGGCTAGGCTGAATTCTCTACAAATTGCTGTCATTCGATGGATGATGTTCGGGATGTTTGTTCAGGGATTCTGGTATGGCAGCTCGCTAGCGCGCGCTGGGAAACTCACATCCGGAGAAGTTCTCAGAACATTCTGGGCCTGCCTGACCGCAGCTCAGTCTATCGAGCAGGTCTTGCCACAGGTGATTGTGATGGAGAAAGGAAAGGTCGCTAGTGCCGCCTTGAAATCGATCATACAGGCCCGAAGAGAAGACAAAATTGTGAGCGAGCTAAACGGGACTCGGTATCCGGAACACTGTGAAGGTGATATCGAAGTTAAAAACGTAAGTTTAAATCTTTCTTTGAGTTTCATGGAGACAAACTAACATCCATGAAGGTATCATTTTCATATCCTAGCCAGCCTGATCAATGTGTTCTTCAGCGATTAAGCTTTTTCTTCCCCGCTGGAGAAACGACGTTTGTTATAGGGAAAAGCGGCTCTGGTAAAAGTACCCTTAGCCAACTGTTGATGCGGTTCTATTTGCCAACCTCCGGTAAAATCCTGATTGACGGCAATCCAATGCAAGATCTCGATATCAACTGGATCCGCAACAACATTACTCTTTTAGAGCAAAAAAGCGTTCTCTTCAATGAGACTGTGCTCACGAATATCGCCTTCGGTCGTCAGGATCACGAAAATGTCACGAAGCAAGATGTCAAAGGTCCTATTGGGTTGGCCCTGCTTGAGAATACAATCGATGGTCTCCCCAAAGGAATCCACACTTGCGTTGGGCCAGGTGGAAGCTTTTTGAGCGGTGGCCAAAGGCAGCGAGTTGCAATTGCCAGAGCGAAATTACGTGACACCCCGATTCTGATCTTGGATGAACCCACTAGCGCTCTTGACCACACCAACCGAGTTGCAGTAATGAAAGCAATCCGTGAGTGGCGAAAAGGGAAGACCACCATCATTATCACTCACGATATGTCACAAATCATGGAACATGATTTCTTGTACATCCTTGAACAGGGTTCCATTGTGAAATCGGGCTACAGATATGCCGTCGAGTCCACTCCGGGAAGCGAAAAGTATTTCCATGCGAAAGTCGACAGTTCTCTGGGAACCAAGTTCCAGAACAATAAGGCCCTAGATGGTATCGACATTCCGTGGGAGAGCTCATCGTCGGAGAGCTTGGACACCCCGAGACCTCAAACAGCTTTCCTCGGGCATCGTCGGGCCAGAGGATCCTGGGCCCAAGGCCACATCCCTTTAAACGTTCACTCTGGCTCGTTGGACTTGATGGCGAGACGGAATTCGGAATATGTGGTCAGGAATGGGGAGTTCCCCGGGTCTTCTTTGCAAGTTCAAAACCGACGTATCTCCTTTATGGCAGAACAGCGAGATTCGAAAGAAACAACTATCCAACTTCCCGTGGAAGAAGTCGAAATGGTTCATATTGATGATCATGTCTTGAAGTCGGATCCATGGCCCAATGAACACACCGCGAAAAATCTATCAAAGAAGCATAGCCGGAGATCACATGGCCGTCGCAAGAAATCAAAACAGCAGCCCACAGCGAAAGAACGAATGACACCGCTCTCTCAAATTATGGGCACCATTCTGTCGACTTTGACACTCAAACAGCGAATCATCCTCTTCCTAGGATTCGCCGCAGCACTGGCCCATGCAAGCGCAACTCCGATATTTTCATATTGCCTGTCACAGCTGTTCGGAACCTTCTATGCTGGAACCAACAGTGAACACCTGACAATGACATGGTCACTCGCTGTACTAGGAGTGTCTTTCGGAGATGGCCTTGCGTCTTTTTTCATGCATTATTTCCTAGAAATTTGCGGCGAGGCTTGGATGGATTCCTTTAGGAAGAATGCCTTCCAACGCATTCTTGACCAACCACGGGCCTGGTTTGAGAAAGACGGTAACGGATCTCTTAGACTCACATCCTCTCTCGATCAGAATGGAGAAGATATGCGAAACCTACTGGGCCGTTTCGCCGGTTTTGTGGTTGTTGCTGCCGCAATTACCGTCATGGCAATCATCTGGAGCTTGATTGTTTGCTGGAAGTTGACACTCGTTGCTCTTTCCTGTGGGCCGGTTATCTATATCATCACTCGAGGCTTCGAGGGAACAAATGGACTATGGGAAATACGGTGCAATCATGCGAACGGTATCTCCGCCGATGTCTTTACTGAGACCTTTTCAGAGATCCGTACTGTACGGACATTGACATTGGAAGGCCACTTCCACCGCAAACAAGCCAATGCGATCGCGCACTGCTTGTTGCTGGGATTGAAACGTGCCATCTATACAGGCATGCTTTTCGGTATGGTAGAATCGATAGTCATATTTTCTACCGGTAAGCTCGCTAATCCTTTGGTTTTTTGCTATTGTTCTGACGCCTTTGAACAGCTTTGATCTTCTATTATGGAGCGGAGCTCGCAGCATCTCGCGAGTTCAATGTTAACGACGTGATGATGGTATTCTCGATGCTACTTTTCAGCATTGGATACGCTGCTCAGATTCTCTCATGGAGTCAGTAAGCCCTGAACCACTCCGAAATACTCTACTCACTCTTTGATAGTTCCCCAAATCAACACCTCCCGCGAGATAGCGACGCAGCTTATTCGCCTCGCCAAGCTCCCACAAGATGGATCCCACGAGCACGTCGGTAGTTTAACGGTTTCAAATCTCACCCCAATCAAGCTCACGAACGTGAATTTCCGATATCCCTCTCGACCAAACACACTGGTGTTGAAGAATGTCTCGATTTCCATCCCACGCAACTCCTGTACAGCACTTGTAGGACGATCCGGGTCGGGAAAATCCACGATCGCGTCGCTGCTATTATCGCTCTACGAAGCTCCAGCTTCCCAAACTGGACAGCCCACAGTGACACTCGGCGGTGCAGACATCCTTCGGCTGCATGTTCCAACCCTCCGCTCACAGATCTCTATCGTATCGCAACAACCAACGATTTTCCCAGGCACCATTCATGAAAATATCAGTTATGGGCTAGATCAGCACTTGCCTCTAGCTTCATCTCATAGTGTCCGCACTGCCGCTCAAGGAGCAGGGATTGATGATTTCATCTCCTCTCTCCCTCGTGGATACAATACTGTGATCGGGGATGGCGGAGTCGGTCTTTCCGGTGGCCAGAAACAGCGCGTGGTCATTGCACGGGCTCTTTTGCGTCAACCTCAAATCCTGATTCTTGATGAAGCCACGTCTAGCTTGGATCCCGCGGGTGCGGAGATCGTGCGGCAGACAGTGCAGCAGCTGGTGGCTGTGCGTCGGGGGCTTACTGTAATCATCATCACGCACTCAAAGGAAATGATCGAGATCGCGAATCATGTCGTTGTCCTTGACCAGGGGGTTGTCGTAGAGGATGGAACGTACCAGGATCTGGCCAACATGAATGGCGGCAAGTTGCATGCCTTGCTCAGTGACCCTGAGGAAGTGGGTGCTTAGGTTGTTTTCATGGTTTTTCCGACATTAGTCGTGAGATGTACATTTTCGTTTTCTTCTCGCCCAGGTGGTTTCTGTACTTATTGACCAATTATCATCGCGATTCGGCGTTACAACGCTCTCAATATATCCAAGTAAATCTACAACAACACGTAAAAACATCACTGCTATTGGCGAAATCAGCAGAGTAATAGAACAATAATGTGGATAACATCTTACTTCAGATAGGGAGAAAAGCGGTAAAATTAAATCGACCAAACTGAAGTCACGCGTCGATCTCATACCCCCTGCAACCTATCAGCCTAACAAGTTTATATTGTACAGAGCAAGCGCCCTCATCCAATTCACATAGCTTCCCCATCAACTGGGTTGACAATGTCAAAGCCAACTCTGATTTTCGCGGCGGGCGCGTGGTACCCGCCCACCATTTTCAACCCAATCATCAAAGAACTCGCCGACTATACCTGCCACAGTGTCGCATTTCCCTCAATCCAGCAAGCCAGCTCGGTCACCGATCTTCAACCAGATATCGATGCCGTGAGGTCTATCGCTCAACAGGAGGCAGATGCCGGCCATGACATCGTCATCATCGCGCACAGTTGGGCCGGTTTACCAGTAAGCAGCGCGCTGGATGGACTGAGCAAGTCAGAGCGCGAAGCCGCCGGTCAAAAAGGCGGCGTCGTGAAACTCATCTTCATCGCCGCTTTCCTACCGAGCATGGGCGAGGGTTTGATCGGCGCGTTCGGTGGGATGCCCCCGCCGTGGTATGTGCGCGATGTAAGTTCGCCGATCTGTATTTGCAACTTGCAAAAAGTCCATGTGACTGACATTCATTCCAGGAAGAGAACGGAACTGTAACTGCGAGTGATCCGCTCGTGTTGTTTTTCCATGATGTTCCCGATGGCGCGGAGTGGGTTAAGCTTCTCAAGCCACATTCTTGGGCGACGCAAAATGCCCCCGCTACCGGTGTCGCGTACATGAACATTCCATCTGTGTATCTCTTGACTGAGGAGGACCGCGCGACTCCGTTGCCGGTTCAGCAGGTGCTGGTGGAGCGCGCGCGACGGAGGGGGGCGCAGATTGAAACTGAAAAAATTAAAACGGGGCATACGCCTTGGTTGGCTATGCCGGGTCAAGTGGTAGATTACATCAAGAAGCATGCTAGGGAGTGATCGGAGGGAACTGACTCTTCGCAATGATGCAGGTCATCATTCAGCTTGCACCTGAGGTACCTTAGTCTCTTGTATGGTGCAAGGAATAGAGAAGTAACACAAAATCATATTGGCCTATTTCTAACGAATTCAAAAGTGATAAATACGACTAAGGACGACGTATATACAGTAGCATTTACAATATACGACAACAAGACCAAATAGCACGGAGACAAACCTATGTTTCTCAAGGGTTGCTCTTCCTGCGCGACAGCTTATCCACGAACCTCCTCAGGCCGTGGAAGCGGCTTGGCTTGCTTTCGTTATCCTTGCTCTGTCCATTCTCCACGGGTCGCTGGGATCCATTCTCCAGAGGCTGCTGGACTGGCGTAGCCTCCTCAACGGTAGACATCTTGGCAGAAGTACTAGAGCTGCTGCCAATGGTGACTGTCAAGAGCTGTGGGTTACCATCATAAACACTGCCAGATTGATCGGGGCCGTTGTTAGGCGCAACGTCATCATAGGGGAATGCATAGCCCCGAGTATCGAGGCTGACCTCATGGCAAATGCGCGAGTAGTGGTTTGTTACAGGGTGCTTGTAATAGTTTGAGACCGACTCCCCGTTCGGCTGGTTGACATTTATCAACAGGGTTGAGCGATTGAACGCAGCCGCGAGACGAGCCGTAATAGCGTCTTTGGTTGCATTCCCAGAAACTGCAAAGGAGCCAGAACTGTTGCTGAAGATGTCTCCAGTAGACGGCTTGGTGTAGGAGATACCTGGAACGGAGAAGGACAAGAGATCGGAGGAAACCTTGGCTGTGACATCACCGGCGCTAGCTTGCGTATTGACTGTCAGAGTATTGTTGGTGTTGTTTGCGTAGTAAGACCAGACTTCATTCACGTAACCTTCGTAGTAGTTATTGAACAAAGAACTATTGAGGGTCCTTCCTGTGTTTGGAGAAACGGCCCGTAAGTTGACCCCGTTTTTCTGGATTATGAGCTTGTCCCAGCCAGCATTATCCTTGCTGTTCTGGGCCTTGAGAGCGTTGCAGACTTGATCGAGACCATTAGCTGGCAAACCCTTGACGGTCTGGGTTGCACCAGCTTTGTTGGTTAGGGTCATCGCTATTGGCATGGACACGAAGTCGACGTAGCTGAGATTCGCATAAAGCTGGAAGTCATTCCAGGTGAATTCGCAGAAGGCCCAGGTGAGATTATAGTTAGGATCTGCTGGGTTGGATACCGAAGGCTCAACAAGGGCAGGGCCAGGATTCAGATAGAATGTCAATTTCTTGTCTTGGGCGAACCACAGCCGTGCGCCTGCCAGGTGCGGAATAGTGATCGTCTTAGTACTGCCAGGTGCGCCCAACGGAATTGCACAATCCGCACCCAGGTCGCTCATAGTGGACGATGGTGAGGTTGGGTAGTAGGCTGTCTTGCCATCAGATCGCAAGAGGAAAAGCGCATTGTGATTATCAAGCGCCTGGCCTGTAATGTAGGCCCAGACCGTGCCGGACCCGGTGTTGTTTTTCAAAGCGAAGTTCAATGTAGCCATTTTGCGTGATATTAGTGGCTTCAGGGGTTGTGGAAGAATTCAGGTAGACTTGAGGTCTTGAAATGATTGGCGCAGAAGCCCAATAAGAAAGCCGTATCAAGATCCACAAGGCTGCCGAGGATTTGAAACTGGTATCGACATTTTAGTCCGCAATAGGGACCATAATATATACTATCGCCCAGAGTATTATGTTGAATTCGTACCAAACTCATGGTCTTGGGTAGGGCAGGGTGACAAGACCCTGTGATTCAACGCGGCGATGACCTCAGGTTTCTCGGAGATGATGGCTTAGACCCTATTGGACCGGCGACCTGATTTAAACGGAGATGTCGATCATAGTTCACAAAAGGCTGCGTATCCATATCAGCAATAGTATATACCGATGTCGATCCCAGCCACCGCGGAACGGCACGATCATGCCGTGTCTCCAGGTGATCGAATTTCAACTTGTCGATCTTGGCCTCTTTGTGCGGGGGCAACCGTAAGCTGAGCATTATGTAAAACCACGGGGGAATCGACAGCTGAATACTTGAGTGTCGAGAAAAACTCGCGATATCCTCGTTCTATCAAGTGGATGCGTCCATAGCTGAGCCTTGGCTATTGGGAGGTCATCCACGCCTTTTATTGGCTAATACAACCATTTGATATCACTATGCCGCCACGAGACGATTACTGGGATTTTTCTTAACTTTAAAAAGTATATTCTATTTCTTTTCATAAATCATCTGATAATAATCGTGGGCTTTTTCCCAATCCCTGGGGCTGAAGAGCCTCGCGATGCACAACAGGTGCCCCTCCGCGTAGTTTGAACATCGTTTGCGCATATAATGTTCTGTTCTGATGACTTCAATAGGAGCATATTCTTGAAAACGAAAATGGTCCCTTGTCATAGGAAAGAAATATTATCACGCCAAGAATATTAACAACAAAAGAGGACTATATACTAGCAACTCCTGCTGTCTATCATCTCTTGTTCAAGTCAAATATCTAACCCCGAAGACTTCTATCTCCATGTGAAGTACTTGGCCTCGCTTGTTTTTGAAACCCTTTCTACTGCATTTGGGTGTTCAGGCAGAGGTTACGATATAACAAAGGTCCCATATACTACCAATGAAGCTCACATGTCGTTGTCTAGCAATATCCAAAAGCAGGAAATGAGAAAAACTATCATCCACGTGTTTTATCTCACGCCTCGAAACAAGTCCGACCAAAACATTACATTCATCCGGGTGTGGCACATTCCTTACCAAAAAAAAGTGTATGTTGATCTCAATCCATATATATCTGAATAGGCGAGATTAACGCACCATCCAAGTTTGCCTTTTAAAGGGGATGCCTAGAATGCTCGCCAAGATGTATAAGTGGCGGTCTATCAAAGTTGATGTCTGTACAACAATGATCAAGGGCCAAGTCAGGAATCATCATCACACTTCGATTTGGTCGTAATTGCTCCGAGAATTTAGTTTGTTAGAAACTCCGGCTTTTACTTCCGACTACTCCAGTGCCATTTGTTTGCAAACACCACTGAGAAATGCACACTTTGTTCGGTTTGGTGAGCCCGCGGTAAACATTGTCAACTCTACTGGAACAGCATGACGATTATATGCAGATTATATGCGGGAGCCTAGCACATATGCATGGGAGTATATCTGGCAGGAATACCTTCAATTATACTTGACGAAGGGTCGTCAGCATCAACATTGGGCTCCCCATTCTACACATACAAAGTATACGAAGTCAAAGTCCCTAGGCAAGGGGACATGGGACGAAAACATACTTCCGACCTGACACGCAGAGACTTTCTCAGCCCGTATGATGTTCAATTTATCTATGTTCCTAGCAGACATAGTATGGCCCTATAATTCCAGTTTGCCTAACGGCAGGAGGGAACGAGGCAAGCTGTCATCGGCATCTTGCTGCTTTGTCCAATTAATGAAAGAGCTGCCCTACCCTCAATCATATCATAATTTGGTCTAGCCCTAAGTGAGGCACACCGCGAAGAAACGCTAATTCATAGTATAGTTCATGTCCCACGTTTCATAAGCGATGAGTTTTATAGGCACATGGAATCGAAGTTCCTGGTAGGCTGAGCTGTTCGCGGGATTTACCGAGGTGTCTGTGCGAGAAATCCAGGACGCCCATTTCACAACAATAAAGAAGTGAAACTTGAGGCTTAAGCCGGGCGCTTTTGGGCGAGGATTCGCCACCAAGACAACGTGGCTTCTCAGCCTATCAGCCATTCTTCGCCTATCGTCCATCTACTGCGTCTCACTAGTCACTGCAAGACATGCATTCAGAAATGTTGGGACAAATACGATGATGATCCAATGAGTGACGAGAAGCTCTTTCGATGGAAACATTACAACTTTCCCGAGCAATGTCCGAACAGTGTGGTTCTATTATTATGTACTTTATGCTGGTGTAGACCTCGGCAGCTAGTGCTTTTTCAGACTTTTAGTACTCCGTATCGCCCCACGGTTTGAACTAAACGATACAAATCAAGTTTGAGGACGTGGTCAAAACATGAGAATTTGCTCAAGCGCATATGTTTTCATAACTTCTTTGTGTGGCTCGGATACTAATAGAAATGGGCCTCGAGGGGACAAAGTCGATAAACGAGATAGCACACCGAAACGAGCATCCGCTGTCATCCGTGCTTGGATTCCCGAGATACTCCGTAGATGTGGGATGAGATAGATCCACAGGTCAAGGGGAGCTTGTTTGCCGGATAACCGCCGAGAAAAGTCGGTGGAGCCGACCTGCAAAGAAGGGGTGTTTCAGAGATGGTAAGGAGGTTTGAAAGGGAGCAACATTTCGATATTGAGATTCCACCGAATTTATATCTCACGATTTGGACTGAAGTTAGTGATTCTCATATCACAAACGGACCCTAATGAGCCCTAACGGTACCCAAGTGGAGATTTGACAATTCTTGATTTCAATTGATCAGATGTCTCACCACGATCTCACACTGGACCCGGAACGCAAGGGCGGACCTATTTTTGTTTTAAGGTGTCTTCCAACAAAGTGAACTCGTGCAGTTTATCAGTGGAAAGTCAATTGTGTTAATTTTTGAGATTTTGAGAATTTCGAAGTTGGAAGGGTTCAAACGGCTAGGGATCTCCCAAACGATCGCCATGGGAATTCCAAAGGGGATGTGATTGGTAGAGAATTGCAGATTGCAGAGATCGACAATTGTGAAATTACAAATAAAAGCGCATTTGATTGAAGGAGGAAGCCCAAACTGAGCCTCCACCCGGGGCCACGCCAGCGTTTCAGTTGCTTGGCGTATAATAATAGCAGTAGAAGGCTGGGCTCTTTCAAAGGCTGACGCGCTTTGTCCTCCTTTCACATTCCTCGACTCTTTCTGAAATCCGGGGATTTTATTCCATGCCTTCCATTAAAGATTTTTAGGGCAACATGTCCATTATGTACATTCCACAGAAACGTCAAAATGAAAGCAACAAGAATAATATCTTTATTATTGTATGCATTTCCGATCATTCCGACTTTCCCCCTATACTGACCCCGATTTAGTGTGCCGTGAGCATCATATTTGCGGTTGCAGTCGGTGTGGCCGCCTACTTCCTGTCCCGACAACTACGACAACGAAACTACGAACCGAAATACCTTCCGGGGAAATTCCTCAAGCGAAAATGGAAACAATGGGGCACAGGGAGTGCTTCATACGGCGAGGTTCCAAATCAAAGTGGTCAAGATACCTCTTATCGTGGAGCTACCGCAACACCAGAGATGCAGACCAATGATGGCGTCCGCCGCGATACCTCAATCCGTTCTATTATGACCCTACCCCCCTATTCCCTCAGCCCAAAGCCGACCGAACAAGTTATCGCCCGGGAGGGTGAACGCGGTGGGATGGATATGGTCCTGGAATACCCCGAGACCGCAGAAGAAGAGGAGACTCGCCGTGAGGAACAAATGGACTCGTTGTATCAGATCCGCCTGCAGCGCCGTCAACAACTAGCCGATCGCGAGGCACGCCGTCGGGAACGAAGAGAAGCCCAGGCACGTGGGGATGCCGCTCGTCTTGAACAGCTGAATGCTGAAACTCGCGCTCGGACGCAACGTCGCCGTGCAGGAACCAACAGCGCTATCGATGTAAACGCAGTGCTAGCCGAGCATCAAGCGAGAGAGCGGGAGCGACGCATCGCTAGTGTTAGCTATGCTGAAATTGGACGTGTTCGCCATGATGGATCACGGCTTCGAGCCGACTCGCACACTTCTTACTCGCATGATTCAGATCGACGACCGCTGTTGCAAAGTGACGCTTCTAGCTCCAACGCGCCATCCTTCGAACTATCCAACGTCAACTCTCGGGGCCACTCCTTCGCTTCGTCGATTACGAGCGATTCAAATCTTGCTACCGAACTTGATCCACTATCTTTAACCCCAAGCACGACACACGGCTCGAGCCGACCAGTATCACAAACCGATGACGGAGACCTGGGGATGCTCAACATGCCTCCACCTCCCGATTACGAGCACCTGGACTGGGGTGATGCCCCTGCGTACCAAAGTCCTATTACGGAGCAGAATGAACAGGCGCGACAGCTCCCAACTATCAATCGTTTGCCTTCGATCCACGTCAATTTACCCAGCCCCATGACTGTGTCTCCCGTGACTCCGACTCAGTCACAATTCCAGAGTACCAATAATGATGAACCCCCAACCCCGACAGATCCGACGTCGAGGATACGAATGGTGTCAGCGGAATCGGCAACTACCACACGCGGTTCAGAACCCAGCCTCAATGAGACAACCTCCACCTCTGAGAGCAACCATTGAGTGAACCCTACTAGGAAAAGCTCCTCATAATATATCACTCAGCAAGAGCACGATTCACGACCTGTATTAGCATTAGTTCTGGGAGCTTTAGTCTTCTCTTTCACTCGTTGGGAGCCTTTGATTTTGTCCTTTTCCCCAGCGCCTTTTCCCTTTTGTGTCATTTACTCGGCTAGCAAGGCGTTTTGAGTTTAGGTGGCGAGCGAAGAACTGCGCATAAAGATACATCACGGGTTACTTGCTATCAATGTATCTACGGCATCCAATATATATAGGAAATGGAAAGCAAGAACACTTGACTTATATTTGCCAGTTCCCACTGCTATACAGTCCGCGCCACATTTTTCTCACCCGTGTTACATACCCTCTACACAACCCAACCATCAAGTTATGCAAATATTCTCGTTAGCCCAAGGTGAGTGCTTTGTCTGCCTAGTCTCTTTAAGTACAGAGTAATAGCAAAATATAACTGAAGAGAAGAGAGTCACATTATATTCTTGGATACACCCAAACCCCAGCTCATAGCGATGTTTGGTTCACTGCGCAACCAAAACGAGAACAGCGGTATAAGTTGAAGCAACATAAGTATGAATCTGTTCCACACGCAAACCCGCACTTTCCGCAAGCGACTCCCATTGATGTTTCGTCCGCTCTTTACCAGCAAAGGTCATCATGGCAAGATCAGCCATGGCCGATTGCCAGTTAGCGCCAGTATCCGGCAGCACGGCGTCATCGATCAAGATCCGCGAGTCAGGGCCCATGGCGGCGCGAACGTTGCGGAGAATTGTTGCGGCTTTGTCGTCGGGCCAATCATGCATGATTCTGCGGAGATAATAGAACTTGGCGCCTTAATAAATGAAATCTCAGTCAGTCTTTAATGTCTTTCATTCATAGGATATTTGGAGACAAACCAATGATAGGCTGTGTTTGGAAAAAGTCATACGCCTCAATCTTCACACCATCAATGGGAGCGAGATTTTCCACTGCCTCTGGCAAATCTTGGAGAACGAGGTGACCTAGGAGATTGGGATACTTCTTTCCAAGCTCGATGCATTGATGACCGTGGCCGCCACCGACGTCGACGAAGAAGGGTTTCTCCGGGGCAGCGGATGAAACCTTGAACGGAACATTGCGGGCTTCTTCGTTGAAAAGATTGAAGCCCTCGATCCACTCTGATCCTTGAAGAGCGGTCATAATCTTTTGCAGGTTTCCGAAGTGCTTTGGATGCTGCACAAGCCACTCGAATGAGGTGAGTTTGGTATTGTGACCTTTCTGGAATGGGGTGTTGGTGTTGACTGTGACATCTTGATACTTGTTTTCAGCGAAGTAGGCGGGCATTGCTTGTACGACAGGTCCATATGTGTCGAACCTAAGGTGTTATCAAGAAGCTAGGTAAGCAGGGATGTTTTCCAGATGAATGGCTAGGTCAATGGACCTTACCCGTGGTATATCATGGCCTCGCCCTTGGAGCTGGCCAAAGCATGAGTGATGCTATTTGCGGTATACTCGTTGACTCCGGTCTCCTTTACCATATCTAGCGCTGCCAGGTAACGAAGAATCCTCTCTAGTAGAACAGGTTTAGAATTCGAAGTAGATACGGCCGTCTCAGAGGTGGTTACCTAGGAATGGAGGAGACGCCCCCGTTAGCTCCGCAACTTGCGTGATACTCAAGGATACATCGCTTCTCGTGAGAGAGCGAAGTAGTCCTAGATCTGCACTAATTCGGAGCATCGCATTCGTTAGGCCCTACAACTGTCAGCTTTAAGTAAACTTGAGTTGTTGTATGTTAGCACAAACCGGTACTGCAAGCTCCATTAATGTATCTTTCGGAGACTGAAGCTCATTTCTCACTCGTTTGAGAGACTGAATGATGTTCAGCCGTCCAGCTTCGTCGGTATCTTGGGCGAGAGCTTGGATTTGAGCAATGATGGAGTCCATATTCACAGAAATGAGACAAAAATATTGTTGGATTCTAGAAAAAAGAGAAGGAGGAAGTCAAATTGATGGGCCATTCTAAATTTCCTAGTCAAAAGAGGTTCTTATATACCTTTTGTCCTTCTGGTTCTCATAGTTCGACTCCACGGAGGCCGCGGAACTTCCACGGATTCGCCGGCCTTTGATTGGTCAATTCTACCAACTCCCATTTTATCCACTGACAAACGCCCAGAGCTACACGCACACTGCTTCAAATAATATCCAAGGCTAGAGATGCATCGAGTTGAGAAAAAGCGTGTTCGGTCTTCACGCTCGCGGCCTGTATCTTGCCACTTTTGTCGATCGAGGAAGCTGAAGTGTAGTCGGCAATTCCCTTGCTCCAACTGTACTAGTCGGGGCATGACTTGTCAGCTTTATCCTCCTACGACATTGCCCGATAGTCCTCGATACCAGGTGGATGAACTGTCTGGAAATGATGACACAGATGTTCTGGCCCGGCTGCGCAGGCTGGAAGAGATAGTGCTCACCAACGCACCAGCGTCTAGTCTCCTAGGACAAACTTCTACCCAGGCTTCGTCGCTTCCATCTCCTCCTGCCCGACAATCAAATCAGGCGGACATTATTCATGAAGTACAGTTATCTGCAGAGGCTGCAACTTTGCTGGAAAGCGAGATCACATCATCGGGCTCAAAGGTTGGCCTACCTTCTTAAATCAAATTATGGGAAATCGACCGCTCACAAAAATGGACAGGATAATCTTTTGAAACATGAAATTGAATTTAGGACTTGCCCCATTCGTAGTGCGGTGGGATCTGAACAAATGGCGCATCAATCCAACTCCGCGAAAAGATGTATCTGGCTGCCACTCCATGACGAAACGAAAATACTAGTGGAAAAGTATATCACAGAGATCACCTTCCTCCAGCATGTGGTTCACATCCCCTCAGTGCGTACAATGGTAGATGAACTCTATTGTGACCTGAGGGAACGCAAGCCGGTCAAAATTGGCTACGTTTCATTGCTCCTCAGCATTCTCGCCAGTACTACCTCCTTCTGGACTGAACGCGATATGTGCAATCCTATCTTTTCGACTGTTGAAGAAGCAGTTGCACAGTCTCCACAGTGGATGAGACTTGCGATGGATGTGCTTGATTACTCGCGTTACAAACACTTCGAGTCAATAGAAGATATCCAGGCGATGGTCATTGTCACATTTGTGACTACTAACATCGTTGGGATTACATCCCACGCCCGGCATTTTCTTTCTACTGCCATTTCAGTTGGGAGAGAACTCTCGCTGCATCGAATCGATCATCCGTATAATTCTAACCTAGATGTGCCTTCGCCGTCATCTGCGAAGGCAGAGATATGTAGAAGACTGTGGTGGTATCTCGTGGCAACTGATTGGTAAATTTCCTCATCCTCCTCCTCCTCCTCCTCCTCCTCCTCCTCCTTCCTTCCTTCCTTCCTTCTCCTAATAATGTGTTTTCTCAATAACAGGCACATGTCGCAACTATCTGGCCCACAGAAGGGCACCTATTCAATTGACCCACGCCACATGATGACCAACAAACCTTGTAATGCGAACGACGAAGACCTTGTAGACGGGATGGTTGGAGTTGGAAAGCCACTCACTCACCCTACATCGATGTCGTACTGTCTTCAGCGGATTAGATTGGGTGAATTTTGCCGCGAAATCACAGATTGTGCTCCATTTGGAATATCTGATCCAGGAAGCCCGGACTATGAGCACACGAAACAGATGGACGCCAAGATCTGTGAATTCTCTGAGAGTCTACCCTCGTTCTTTTCGTTGGAATATAGGTCGGACGAGCTGCCAGAATCTGACCCTTCGAAGTCTCCCGGAATAATTATCCAGCGATATATCCTCAATTTTCTGCTTCATTCCCAAAGGTGCAGGCTTCACCTGCCTTACTTGTCGCGAGCGTCAAATGATGCTGCGTATGATTACTCACGAAAAGCGTGCCTGGAAGGAGCTCGAATGGTGATCCGAACCGAACGCCAACTGTCGCTAGAGAAGATCCCCTTCTTGTCAGCGCGACTGAGATTCTCAGGTTTATTACATTGCGTCTGTGTGGCGATCATTGTTCTCCTCATAGACTATTGTGGGAGTGGGCCTCCGCGGGAAAAGGACCTAACGGAGATTGTGCAAGCATTTTCAATCCTAGAAACGGCTAAAGAGGAATCCCCTTTAGCAGGAAGGTTGCTTGAAACCTTAAAGACGGCTCTTCGCCGACACAGTGCTTCGGGCTCAGCTATTGAAGAAACTATAACAACGCAATCCACCTCTCAAGACCCCAAGGCTTCGGGTCTTGCCCGCAGCTCTACGACACCTACACGCATGTTATATCCGGCAGACGGGAACATCGATGACTTCATGATGGATCCCACATTGCCTACTTTCGATGACCTCTGGCAGGTATTCGGTGACAATGTGGACTCGGGAACAGTGGACTGGGAGAGCCTTTTTGCTGAATCGGATACTGCGTTCTTGTCTATGTAGTAGTTATATTAGCAGTAATTAAATAAGCGGTCTCGGCATGGGCTGGGGTTTGAAATCAACGACATTATGACGCACGATATATCAGTTGGTCGAGTTGCACGGAGGATAATAAGGTCGCCTAGTTCCTGGGCACATTCTTACTTTGCCCTTGCACATGCCCGCCACTCTGTGTAAGCTCCTCCAGGAACCTCTACCGTATCATATCATCAATCTACGGACTACATTATGCAACATATGTTATACCATATCTATATTCATATAACAGGATCTGCGGTCTAGAATCTCCGATGTCCTATTTGGGGGTTCTATCATTGTACACACGGTAATCCTTTAGATCAGATGCTCCAATATAGATACGCATCGCCGTGGACTGTTATGCATATCCACTGTAGAGTGAACTTGTATATCCTACTTTGTATAGCAAGATGTATAGTTTATATAGCATGACGCGGGTAATAATTCCATGAGATTATGTAAATGTGGCCATTGAGCGATATAAAAATAGTTGGAGTTGGCCGGTTCGGGTTCCACTTCCACGAACACATCCATTGTACAATGATGATTTATTGTCGGCTTCGCATGATCCGATCCAATCTCTTTGTTTCTTTTCTTCTTCTCTCATCATATTTGTGGAATGTTGTGCTCTACAACATATGTGTCTCTGTCGGCATTTGTTACACAAGTCCACGTTATACAATATATCATTCTTTATATGTTTCACTAATCTACCTCAACCCTGTAACTCCACTGGAGGCTACAATGCACGATGTACGTTATATATACAGTCTATAACAGACTTTAGTTGTAGGTTCTGTTGTAGTTGATTACGGTGGCATTTAGCCTTATCAAATTACGTTTATTTCTTATCTCTCATACTATATACTGTACTCAATATGGTATGATAGCACATATCCGGGGTTCGTAGCTATATGAGGTAGGCATGCAAAGTACCCAGAATCATACAATTCGTTGTGTAATGGTTGTTTACATGTACATATGTAGCTGGATTAGGAACCAGCATATCAGTTCAATGTTACTACCCTCCGTATACTCTCGACTGCCTGGTAACAACAATGGAGCTTTGTCCGCATCACCCACCATCGAATAATCTGGGCCTCTCGGAGCACCCAAGGAGGTAGTGTTCCATGGGAGAATGTATGTTGCCACCTTTAATCGGTTGCTCAAACCGTGGACATTAAGTCCGCATCCTTCTCATAATGAGTCAGTGGCCGTTGTCTATTCGTCAGATCCTGATTTCAGACGGAGAAAGAAGCATACTGTCATACTCCATTCTACTCCACATCCCAATGAATTAGAGCTCCGTTCAAGATGACGTTGTGCATGTTGCTACGCATCTCCGTCCGGCTGGTTCGGACCTACCATTGTCTACTCTCCGAGACTAGGATAGTTGGTCCATCGGAGGTCTCACCCACGCTTAGCGGCATGAATGACTGACAGCATGCAGTGTCCATACATCTCGGGGGCTTTTGCCGATATGTGCCTGTTATTATATTGCTCCATGATTCGTTTGGAGCACTAACCCACCGCTTCTTATAAAGATTCACACTCCCACCAACTTTGCTCCTTCAACTAAACCCTCATCTGCCACAGCTATACAGGTAGATATCAGATCATTCAGTTGTTCACGATCTTCTTAAAAGAGGGCGCCGTGTTCATTCGCTACCTGATAACACATCAGCGTTTGCTGAACAGCAACAATGAGGAAATTCGCCGCCCTCGCTGCCTTTGCTGCCGGCTCCAATGCCCTCGTCGGCCGCACTGATAGCTGCTGCTTCCACCTAAGTTCGTCCGGTGGTGCCTCCGGTAAACTCGGCCAGCTAGGTGATGGCCAGAACCGCATTGGCGACGATAGTCTGCAACCCGCGCAGTACTGCATCGACTCCAATGGCGCTATCACCGACTCTAATGGCCGTGGATGTATCCTTACCCGTAAGTAAACTGATCAAGTCTCTATATACCAATACGAGTGTATATCTAACTGTGTGACAGCTCCGACGACTCAGCTACAGTGTGACGAGGGTGTGCCTCCTACACCCGGTTTCTCTGTCAACTCACAGGGTCAACTCCAGTACCAAAGCAGCCCGGACTTTGTTGCCTGTGCTACCGGCCAAAATGGTGGCCTGAATATCTACACTACCCCTAATAAGATGGATGTCACTGGCTGCGTGAATGTGCAGTTGTCTGCCGACGCTTGCTCGAGCTCGGGCGCTGGTGGAGGTGGCGGCGCACCTGCCCCAGCTCCTCAACCTAGCCCTGCTGGCCCTGGTCCTGGTCCCGCTGGCCCTGGCGGCGGCGGTGGTGGACCTGGCCCTGGCCCCGGAGGACCTGGTGCTGGAGGTGGAGGTGGCGGACCTGGACCCGGACCCGCTGGCCCTGGCGGCGGCGGTGGTGGACCTGGACCTGGTGCTGGAGGTGGAGGTGGTGGCCCTGGGCCTGGTCCCGCTCCCGCTCCATCTTGCCCTCCCGCCCCCAGCGCCCCTCAGACTGTTACCGTTACTGTCACTGACTGCAGCTGTCCTACCTCCGGTGCCCCTGGTGGTGGTGGTGGTGGTGTTGTGCCGCAGCCCTCAGCTAGTATGCCTGGCCCATCTGGCGGCGCTGGTATCAAGCCTTCTGGTACACAACCTGCTCCAGAAGGTGGCGGTGGTGGTGCTTCACAACCTGGTCCTTCACCTAGCGCGCCTGGTCCTGGAGGCGGCGGTGCTTCCCAGCCCGGTCCTTCACCCAGCGCGCCTGCTCCAGGCGGCGGCGGTGCTACGCAGCCTGGTGCCTCACCTAGCACATCTGCCCCATCTGGCGCTGTTACCAAGCCTTCAGTCACACAACCTACTCCCGGAGGCGGCGGTGCTTCGCAGCCAGGTACCTCTCATAGTGTTTCTGCTACCGGCGGCGGCGGTACTTCGCAGCTAGGTACCTCTCATAGTGTGCCGGCTACCTCCGGCGGTGGAGGAGGAGGTGGTATCTCTGTCAGTGTGCCTCCCATCTCTATCAGTGCCTCCCACCCCACCGGCTCTGCCAGCGCATCCGTCCCTGCTACCTCCTCTTCTGCCCAGCCCTCAAAGACTGGAACCACTGGCGGTGCTTGTCCCACTGATCTCTCGGGTCCCTATGAGATCCCTCACCTTATTGTCAATGTCGATTCCTCTTCGCCCGGCACTACCGCAGGAACTGGGTTTAACGGTACTGTGAGCTCGACGATGTCAACCGTGTTCAACTTCGATATCCCGTCCTCCGACGCTGGCAAGACCTGCAGCCTCATCTTCCTCTTCCCTAGGCTCGAGGATCTCGAGACCTCGTCTTACAGCTTCAGTGGTGATGGAAAGATTGACTTCGCTAAGCTCTCGTCTGTTGCTGATTCCTCGACAAACTTCGGTAACATGCCTTCGGTGTCCCAGGACCTCGGCACCATCACCGTCTCCCCTGGCAACTCATACCTTGTTTCTACCTTCTCTTGTCCGGCTGGACAGGCTGTCGCCTATGTGATGAAGAACGCTGGCAGCACCGACTTCAACTTCTTCGAGGACTGGAACCCCTCTCCGTACGTTTTCTACCATTTTCCCTTTTGCGTGTATATCAGCTAACATCCTTGTCAGTCTCGGTCTGTACATCACCACTTGCTAAATAGGGAACTTCCGTTGGGCAGTTTCTAGGGGCATTTCTATTGCCTTGTAAACTCCCATTGGCGTCTCGTACGCGTCGATACGTATTCTCTTGGACCGGTGTCCATAGGGAAATAATCTTAAAAGGCTGACTCTGCCCTATTTGGATTGGAAATCATTGTCATATCTGGTGTTGAATTGAGGCGCATGCACATAGCGTCGACATTCCTTAGTATTAGTACATTGAATCCACTCCTTTCACAGTGCAATATTTCCCAAGCGCAAAAGAATTAAGAAAAAAACAAAAAAGTAACTTCGATACCGGGAATCGAACCCGGGGCCGCGGAGTATACAGACTCTTTTGAAGAGAAACTGAAAATCCGCTAGGTTAACCACTACCCCATATCGAACTTGGATGACAAATGGTTTCGCTAATCCTATTATGATCAATGAAGATTGTGTAGACATCCAAGAGGCTGAAGGATGAGATCTACAAAAGACCCTTGAAGAAAAATCAAAAATGTCGCGTGTTCATTTACTATATATATAAGGTGAATAAAGCATACTATAATCTATTTTTATATCCCAAATTAGGATATCCCGTGGAATATATATACTCAGCCCCTTTGAGACCCGAAAGCCAATCAAATACATTTGAACGCGCAGTCCGCCAAGTGTGATTACCGCTGATGCCAAGCAATGTCTTTGATTAGGCAGAGATGTTTATTTTATACCGTTTCCCTTTTTTTTCCTAATCTTCAGATCTTTTGATTTGAATTTCTTTTGGGAGTAGTCCTGGAGTCATGGAAATCCCCGCGAAACTGCCCTTCTCCAAGCGGCGGCTTCGACCGCGCGTTGTTATCTCGTGTGTCTCGTGCCCCAGTTTCCCCCCGCGAAACCCTGAACTAACACTTCCTCAGTTACATCTTTGACTATGTGATCATTATGTACGGACATTCCCATCCCTGTTTATGCTGTGTACTAACTCAAGAAACAGTGCATGTGCCATCGGCTTCGCGATTCTCAACAAGGTCGAGCCCTACCACCAACACTTCTCCCTCACCAACACCTCCATCCAATATCCTTATGCCGTACATGAACGAGTCCCCATGCCTCTGGCCCTCTGCATCTCCGCTGCTTTCCCACTTGGGCTCATTATCGTTTACACCTTGTTCCTCGATGGCTTGTTTTCACACCATAAGCCACAGGATGCGGTGTCTGGGAAGCGGAAGCTGAGAGGTCCACACCGCTGGAAGGACAGACTTTGGGAGCTCAATTGTGGTGTTTTGGGTCTTTTGCTGGCTCAAGGTCTCGCGTTTGTCATTACACAGGCGCTGAAGACCGCTTGTGGCAAGCCGAGACCTGATCTCATCGCTCGTTGTCAACCAGCCGCTGATAGCAAGGACCTTTTCCCGGGATTGTCGAACTCAACGATTTGTACAGGTGATCCCGCGTTGTTAACAGATGGATTTCGGTCGTGGCCGTCTGGTATGAACCATGACCCTGATACCAACTTATGAGAGTCGCAAATGCTAACGTTAATTCATCTAGGCCACAGTAGCTGTGTGTATACCCCTTAACCATTCGCCGGGTCATTCCTATCACTAACATTTTGCAATCAAATAGCTTCCTTCGCCGGTCTCGTTTACACATCGCTTTGGCTAGGTGGAAAGCTGCACGTTATGGACAATCGGGGTGAGGCCTGGAAGGCCCTACTCGTCATGGTTCCTCTACTAGCAGCAAGCCTCATTGCCGTGTCGCGTATCATGGACGCGCGCCACCACCCCTTCGACGTGATCACGGGGTCGATGCTTGGAGTCGTCTGCGGCTGGGTCGCATATCGCCAGTATTTCCCACCGCTCACTGAAGCCTGGCGCAAGGGCCGGGCCTACCCAATCCGAACCTGGGGGACTGATCCTGCAGGTCCCGATGCCGTTCGATTCACGGGCTCCAAGGGCGATAGCTCTACTGCGCTCCGCAATCAAGAAGAAGAGCCAATGGCCCCGGTAGATCTCCCCAGATCGGAGCATGCCAGACCCGATGCCTCTAGCTACCTTCAGTCCTCAAATCCATATGCATCCAATATGTACAATCGCCGCCCACATGACCATCACGCTGATGGCGGTGCTTGGTCGTCGAGTGAGGACGATGTTACCAATGGGTATGAGATGCGACATGGTCATGCTATGGGGCAGAACACCGGTGCCGGTCACCATGTGCCTCAATATGACTCCAGTAATGCGTATGTGTCCCAAACACAGCCGCTCACGGCTGATACAGGAATCTATGCCCCTGATGCGACAGCGGGTCCAGGGCGTCCGTTGACGGATATGCCCGGTCGGGCCATCTAAAGATAAATGATGCGATGCGTTATTGATGGTTTGCAGTCTAGTCCAGAGCGGTAATTGTCCGAAGTTATTGCTTATGGTTTCAACCATGGATTATTGCGGTGGCTGGTGATACCACTCTGTACTAGTATGATTATGAGCATATTGGCGTTGACAAAAAGAACTTACATTTTTTTGTGAATGAAATCAAGCATAGATCTGACAGTTCTATATCTTTTCAAACAAAATTAATATGTAATTATTGTATAACTTGCTACAATTGTAATGAAGTCAAGTTCAGTATGTTGTATGGACTACTCATAGTCTCCACTTAATTGTGGTTGGCTTGACAACGATTATATATTCTGCCCTAACCTATCAGTCTAAAGAACAAGTCAAATCAAATGCAAGACATGGCTTAAAATGGGACGGCTCATGCAAGTGCCTAGACTAATGAATATATTAAAAAGTGTCGAGGTCAATATGGAGGAGTCGGGTCACCCCAGCCACCAACATCGTGCATTGTGAGTCGCCCAGCCTCCTCAGCCCAAGATGACGCTGAATATCTTTTTCTAATTCCCCTCTTATTTGTGCTATTTTCCTTTTTTTTTTAATACTTTCTCTTCTGTATTCATCTGCATCTTCTACATCGTGCATCCTGCACTGTAATCGCAACTGCCTGTGCTTTCTTTGCGAGCTCGTGTAGCCCCCCCCCCCGACGATCTTGTACATCTGACATACCAAGCACATTGAGACAGTTGCACATTCCAGAGATCTCAAACCCAATCTCTCTGAGAAGCCGACAAGATGATTGGCAGTGTGTTCTTTATATTCAACCGCTTGGTTGAGATCGTCTTCCTGATCCCAATCATTGGCATGCTGGTATGTCCCATTTTCAACTAGTCTGATCAACAATACCCCTCCGAGTCTCCCGCTAACTAGACGTCTCCAAATACAGTCATACTTCGTTAATGGCTACCTAAAAGCAAACGAGTTGACCCCACCCTATATCCTGGTCCTCTTCATCGTCAGCGTAATCGCCATCTTCTGGGCTCTCGACACGCTAATCCGCTTCTCAACAACAAAACGATCCGCAATCTTCGTCGCATTCGTGGACATGATCTTCTTCGGCGCATTCATTGCATCCGTCTACCAGCTCCGCTTCATTGCCAACGCTGACTGTGCCAGCTGGCATGGTGGCTCTGTTTGGATCTCCCTGGGTCCATTCGGGTCCTACGGCCAGCGCACAGATAACCCGCTCTCGCTGGATATCAACAAAACGTGTGCCATGCTGAAGGCCTCTTTCGCAATTGGTATCATGGAGACGGCATTCTTCTTCTGGACTGCGCTACTTGCGCTGTTCTTGCACCACTCACATGACAAGCGGACTGTTGTTAAAGAGACGACTGTTCGCCGACGCAGTCATTCCAGTCGTCGTGGTCATGGATCTGGCTCGCACTCACGTCATCGCAGCTCCAGTCGCCGACCTGCACCTTATGTCGTTTGATTTTGTTCTATAAGATTGCCTTTTTCTTTTTTTACGCAAAGTGCTTCTCATGATTTTATGAAGATCATATGCCTTAATGAGATACGGATTGGGATATTTCCTTGGATTGAATCCAGAACAATTGTGATTTGCAACGATGGGTATCATATTCAGATTTTCGTTCTATGTGCTGAAAGGTCATTTCCAGCAGAGATTGCGGTCTCCATGTCTTTTCATACTGTTAGTTTTATTTGCAATGCCAACCCCTTACGATCAATATATGATACTAGCTTTATATCTACAGTTTTGGCCATATTGGCATTCTGTGAAACGCTATTTAAAAAGTGCTAAGACGCTAGACCTATGTAACTCGTGAGCGCATGAAGACAGGGAAGTATATACTTCACGACTCATGTCCTGCTTGGAGCCCAGCAGATGTGTCGATCAACACCAGTTGAATAAAGGCATATATCAAACGGGCAAGTGCACTCCTTTGTCTAGGACAACCAACCGCGGTTTGGGGGTTTAGGCAACCATAACTGCGGTTTGGTATCTAAACCGCGATCGTTGCCTGGGCTCCGCTTGCTTTCCAATTTTACTCTTGTCTTTCACTTAAGTATCTACATTTATCCTTCAACTTGCAGTCTCACTACCACTACCCAATTCTCTCATTTCACGTTCATTCGCCATCTTCACGCCTTTTCATCAAATACTACAAGGCGAGATGGGTTCTCCTTCCAAGCGCAAACGAACCGATGTCGATGACGACCCCCCAGAGCGGGTGTTCGGCGTAGACTTGACGTACTCCCCGACACAGGACGCCAGGAAATTGATCAAAGGGTACAAACCTCGCTACCAATCCATTTGTGATGAAGTTGACGTGCTTTGGCGCACAGCACAGATGAATAAGATGATTCGAGAAGCCGCGGCCAGTCTGACGTGGCCCAAACACATTCGGGAAGCTCAAAAAGGCGTTGACGAGGGTCAAGCTGACCAAGACAAACTGTATGCCAGAGTCGTCGACCGAATCAACAAGGTGCAGAATGCCGACCTCAAATCCGCACTTCAATCTGCGCTACATGAAGTTGATATTATCTAAGAAACTGTGGCACAAACGGATAGGGCCGTTGAAGGAAGATGATCTACACATGACCTCGACTTTCAATCGAACGATGTACCGTGGACAATCGTCCGCCAACCGGCGAGTCTCTCTAACCCTCTGCGAATCGGTCAACCAACGATCCCGGGATGATATCTTTGGTGGTGACTAGGGTATGGCATTGTTCATCTACATTTACCCCTTTCCTGCAACTATTTTCTGTTCTTTTCATTTTCTAGCAGCTCAGACTGCGACGGATGCATCGTCATTTGTTTATCACCAACGAGGACGTTGGTGAAGCGTTTTTAATGGGCCATTGTTACGGGCTATGATCATCTTCAGCCCTCGCGCCCCCTAAGTAGATAGAAATCCAATTTTCTTATCTCCTACAGTTCCCAAATGACTGACCATTTATAGTGACAGCTACGAAAGGGACCTTAGAGTGAAACGTACTTCAACGCCCCTGATTTCAAATTGCATTCGTATTCAGACTCTTCTATTGTTAGATCGGATACGAAGTACGAGGAGCCAAGATCGGATCTCCTCGGTCTTCCGTACTTCATCCCGCGCCCCTCTCTATAAATACTCCAAGTGTTAGCTTGCCCAGTTATTTTGTTTTCTACCTGTACTTTCACCATGATTCCCACAAAGCATTGGACAAGGCGTTTCAAACCAGCAGCTCTCATATTTCTACTGATTGTTCTTTTGTTCAATGCCCAGCCCGTGCAAGCAAAGATCCCCACATCTCAACGTTTCGATCTATCAAAGCCTTCATACGACCTCTTCCGCAGCAAGTCCCTCCATGACGTGACAATACAGCAAGGCTTCGCCTTCGACAATACCAATCGCCGACTCTTCGTCAGCCAACGACGTGACGGTTCCTCCGACACCGCGGGCGATCTATGCATCACCCAACTTGACTTCGACGGCAAATATGTGGGACACATGCATTTGAAGAATTTCGGTCACGGCGTCTCCTTTGGCGCTCAAGCCGTCGGCTCATCATCCTACTTATGGACGGAAGTGGAGGCCAATTCGAATGGATATGGCAAGAAACTTGCTCGGTTCAAGTTTGTTAGCGGAACTACGCTATCGTCATCCTCGTCATCGCTTAAGAAATTCGCCCCCGTCGCCGGTGCTACGGAACATACCTGCTCCATTGATCCAGTGAATAACCGTCTTATTGTTCGCGCCAACCTCAGTGACGGTAAACACATTTCCGTGTTTGACTTGACCAAGGCGACGGATGGGGATTTCTCTAATCCGCTGGCGAATTTCAAGCTTCCAAGTTGAAGACAGCGTCGGATACATTCCAGGGGTATGCGGCATATGGCCAGTATATCTATCTCTTATACGGAAACTCGTATGATGTCACCGGCGGGAAGGTCAATTCAGATGTTACTACTGTCGATATGAATACTGGGGCTGTCGTTCAGGGTCCTCTCATTACCAAGGCGGGATCAACACTGTCGTTCCGTGAACCTGAAGGGTTGGCTATCTATAAGACTGCAGGTGGGGAAGTTCGTCTTTTCTTGGGTTTTGCCTCGGGTGAAGGTGGTGATCGGCGGTCGAATTTATTCTACAAGAATGCTTTGGTTTAGTCGAAACATTTTGATTTTGTGCAAATGTTTATCCTGAATCCACATTTTAAAGTCAGCTTCAATCAGATCAAGGTACCCAGACGATGGAATCTGAGAAGACTACTAAAGATGTCACTGGAAAGACTACCGAAAAGATATCGTTAAGTGTATAGTGCCAAAAGCTTCATTTATTACCTACCCATATGATTTTACCTGACAGACCTTGGGTATTTTCCCAGTTATTTCTTGAAAACTCTCACTTTTTGATTGTACCTTCCAATGTTCTCGGCGCCTACTCAAAATACTTTTTTTGGTTCCCAGCTGCAGAAGCTTGTTCTTTCTGTAAAATAAGAAGCTATAGGCGTAGTTACGACGTAGTTGGTACAGATTAAGCAGGCACGATGTTGCGTAGAGGGTATATCATGTTTCCACCACCGTGAACTTGTCTTCACAACATCGCAACCATGACAAACAACATCACTAATATCATAAATATCGTTGTTAATGCACTCCCACCACCTCCTCCATCCACCTCCGCCAACCAAACCTCCCCATCTCCCTCTGCCTCTGGGACCTCTCGGTCCATAGGCGAACAGTTGGTCGACGACCCGGGCTTTTGGGCCCTTATGTGTGTCGTCGTGGCCGGGTGCTTTGCTGGCTGCGGCTACTTTCTTTGACGGAGGCCGGTCTCCAAGGACGAGGATCTTGAGGGCACCCCGTAAGTGGCAAACCACGATTCTTATGGATACTGCATTGGCGGGTCTTTTCCTATGTATGCACAGAGGCTAATGTATCACAAAATAGCCTCAGAGAAGTCACTGTGGGTGGGCAGCCCACGAAGACCGACGAGGAGATCGCCGAAGAGGATAAAGCCAATGGCCATCCGCCTCCTGGGGCCTTCGGGACCCTCAAGACCCCTGACGCCCCCGAGACCCTCGAAATTCGGCCGCCAGCTGGGATGGCTAGCTCGATATGCTGAAGTGATGCCGAGGCGACGGCGTTCTTCTGTTGTTTTATCTCTTTTTTCTCTCCGAGAACCTTAGCGAGGTGAGATGAATGAAAACGGAGCTTTTTAACAAGCCGGGGAGGAGGAGGAGGAGGAGGAGGAGGAGATGGTGGTGGTGGTGGTGGTGTTCCTCTGGGCTTTTTGGCCGTTTTTGCTTCTCTCCGAGGACCTCAGTGAGGTGAGATGAAGGAAGAAAACGAGTCTTTTGTCTCTACTTTTTGTTGCTTTCATTTTTGTCTTTCTTTGGTTGGCCCTCTTCGGAGGTGACCATATCTAAATACATACTGCTGGGCAGTCTCATCTTGGAAATGCGTTTTGCTGTTCAATGTAGACCCCTTTGCAGACTTAGATCTTATGGTAGACCCTGATTGATCTAACGTGAGACCTTGTAGAGGAGAGGTGCTAAAATTCACTTTATATAAAACTCTTCTCTCAGTTATCTCTTAGTTATCTCTTAGTTATCTCTTAGTTATCTCTTAGTTATCTCTAAGATGTCTCTTGCCTTTGGCTCCCATTATCTTATTAACATCCTTCTCTAATACTGTAACTTCCATGACAGTTAAGAGCCATGAAGAATATATTTCCGCAACAGAATTTTCAGGACAGTCACTAGCAGTAATTTGCTATAGAAGCCCAAACACCTAGGCGGTAAGATTTCTAGAGAATAGTGATCTAGTGCCTGATTTATATATAGTTTCATACACGGGACGTGGTAAGAGAAGTATTTTCACCTGGACAGCATTAGCAGTTTCATCAAGCAAATCAATGCTTTTCCCCTTCTTTTGGTCGTTGACTGATAAACTTGACATCTACACAGAATGATATTTGAGAAGACCACCGAAAATACCATTAAAAAGACATAACAGGGCTGCTTATGAGGCGCAGTATTCTTGTATGAATAATTCAAGAGGTTTTAGTGCAGGATAAACGGCAATTTCCAGCAATCTCATCCAATGAGGATCACTCCTAGTGACAATTCCTGCTCACCATTATAGCCGAGCTGAACATTTCCAAAATTTCTTCCAAAAACTCCGAGGCAACTTTGCGGGGGCACTATCACTCGCTTTTCGGACACTGGCCGCTATATCATAGGATGGAGGATTTTGGCCAAGTTTATCATTCGTATTATCCACCTTTGTTGAGGACTCAAGTAATCGTCTAGAAGAGCAAAAGCAGTCATCGCGATCCTGAGAGTTCTGGGCTAGCTCTCTTCGCATCTAACGGTTGGGATTGTGCTTCAAGGAAGCGTAAGCTCGGTCGAACTCACTGTCGGGGAGACTTTCCATAGCCATATAGATTTCGGGGGTTTCAATGCGTTTTTTTAGAACCTTTGCTATCTCTGTAATCTTCTGCATCCCCTCTTTCATTAACAGAAACAACTTCTCGAGGAAGTCTATCTTTAGCGGAAATTGTCGTTGGGCAAAGGGTGTTTATCGACTAGGTTAGCAACCTCCGTATTTATCTTCGTATACTGTTGTAGTGCTAACCGGAGACTACACTCGTTTTCGATGACAGAGGTGAGTGCATCTGGGCTTGGCTCGCATGAGTAGTGGAGAAGGGTGACAGTCGGAGACCGGCTTTAATTCTTGGCTTTCAAGTAGTTCGGACAATTTTTTCAGAGATAATATGATTCTCGGTAAACTTATAAGATAGAAAAATGAATATTAAAGTATATAATTCGAGAGGTTTGAAATAGTAGAAAGATATATCTGGACATCATAGATATACTCCTTGCCGCCGCCTAATGAGGAATAGATCTCTTCTTGGCGTGCCATTTCCGTATTAGTGCTCGGGCCTTGCCGCCTTTTGCTCACTGGGTAGATCTGAGCATGCCCTGATTCGCGCCCTTATTCGCTCACTGAGTCTGAGCTGAGCCTCCTCGTGGAGAGTGAGCGACCTCGGAACGGCGGATCATGGACCACCTACTCTGTACTTCTCACCTCGTTCTACACGGCGGTTGACTCCGCCTCTGATCATTTTGAGGCCCGGGCCATTGGGCGTCCTGCAAAGAGACGTTAACCCCTGCAGATGATGGAGTTGAGCCATTCCCATCATAACGACTAATGTAACATAATAGATTGTTTAGCATTAGTACGAAGTACCTAGGTAGGTTTTGGGCTCTGTGGGCCAGTGCGGTGGTCTAAGCGTGCCGTTCTCCCGCCCCGATATAAAAGCTAAAAATGCTACTTCAGTTCTTACGTGGTCTAATTCCCGTTGGTGTTACTATCGACCTCTTTAGATTCACCATACTAGAAAGATTTAGGGAGAGAAAGGATAAGTATGTATTATGGGTGGGACACCCCTAGGGCTAGTGTCTGGCTACTATCTACATGCATAAATACATAACATGGAGTTTATGTATCCCGGTGTATAATTAATAGATATGAATACCAATATCTGTCATATTCAGAACAACCTCGGAAAATGGGAAGCTGGGCAAACTGCCTAGATTGGTCAATATCAGGCATCAGATCCATTTTGGCTGACAATGTTGCATTTTCTTTTATCCTTGTAGAGTAGGCTCTAGTTCCTGGGCATTTCATGGAGAAGTTCTTGGCACTAGTTTATAATCTCAATAGCATAATCGATCTGTATAGCGAAAGGCGATGAGCTGAGTAACCGAGATCCCATACTTTTAGTATACAATTGAAGACATTCAAAATACCGGTGTTTCATTTCTATAGTCTAAAAAACAGTCTTCAACCCTTTTAATTCCTTTCATACATTTCACTAAGCCACCAGAAACTGTTACATATCCCACTAACATTACCATTTCGGCCCCCATAACTCGTGCAGGCCAATATGCATAGGCTCAAGGATATATGGATAATCCCTACGAATTCTCATCCGTATTCTAAACCGCCAAGATTGGTCAACGTGGATAGCGTACTATTCGAGTAAGACATACAGTTCTATGGGCTGTTTCCTTCTTAGCTCGGGGGCCGTGGTATATGGGCAGATTCCTGCAATGTAACCTCTACCAAAGACGAATGAATCGCATAATGGTCCCTCAATGGGCATTCTATTCCAATATTTCGCAACGTATCATACTCAGGCAGCCTTGGCTTTTGCTCCGAAGAAGTATAAGTACCTCGAACTATCCTCTGGAAACTCATTCTCCTAAATATCCAGCCTCCCTACACAATTACCAATCTCAATCAAACCACAACATCCAACACCAATCTCAATCAAACCACAACATCCAACACCATCTTCACGATGAAGTTCACCGCTATGCTCTTCACCCTTATGGCAGCTACTGTCGTCAGTGCTTCAGTCTTGGAAACACGCGACGGCTGTGGAAGCACCTATGGTCCTGACCAACGACGCACCAACAGCCCATGCGCATCCTCTAACGGAAACAAACAATACTGTGGTTGCGATAGGAGCGGTATTGTAGGTTGACACGTCCAGTTTTCAACATCAGGTCATGTTTTGCTAATGTTTCCTGCTATGAAAAGGTCCAGTGCAAAGGTGGAAAGTGGACAGAGGTTCGTGACTGTGGTAACAACGCCTGCCACGGCGGCACCGAGGGCGGAGCCTTGTGCTAGGTTGATACCAGCACCTGAGCTGACATCGGGATTGGGTGATATCCTGGTCCATCTTCCGGAACTACTGGGCAACTTGGAAGGATTCAGCATCAGACAGTTTGCCAGTTTCTAGAATCCAGCTTGAAAATATCAAATTGTGAACCAACATCTATCTTATCCACTGATGGGTAGATTGTTATGGTTTACAGAATTTATTCGAATGTTTTATCCCTTATTGGACGTATGATTGATAGGTAAACAAGTATCTTCTTTGATTCAAAAATAAATGATCCTGGAAGAAATATTGCGGTGAGTGCAGTTTCGTCCGAGACCAGTCTCTTCATTTCCATTGGGCCTGGATAGAAGTACAAGACGCCACAGGTTATAGTCACCTAGTACATGACACTCTTGTGCTCTAGCATGTGCATATTTTATGGTACTCGTAGGCTGAACGGGCATTTCAGATTATGCACCGCCTGGCGTATTGCTTTCTTTTTCTGGGGGTAGTTGAAGTGTTACCAATGTAATAACACTAATTCGTATGCCAGCAGTTCAAGCGGAGAATTGGAGACATCAATTTGACATACTTGGAGTAGTTGACTCACGAGAGGTATAATTGGATATGAACTGAGAATTGTTGGTTTTCAGACTCCTCATGAGGCCATGATCTACCAATTCTGATAGATTATTCTTCCCTTGTATCCGAGTTTACTGCAGTAGCTAAAGTTTGCTTGAAAAGGAGCCTTGTCAAGAAGGTACGATTAGTGACCATAGAAGCCGCCGCACCAATTTTCTTCTCTTTTCTTTTGCCCTCTGTACTTAGTATTCTGGATGAATGCATACAATTATTTCTCGAGAACACTCGTCCAGTAGCATTCTCTAGAGAATTGCAGTTGATGCTAAGAGGAAAATATCAATCCTCGGGAAAGAAAGACAGGAAGACTTTAGATATACCGTAGGCTTCTTTCCTCATTTTCTTGCATCATCCCTCTAACATAGCAGCAAGTACGCTCGATTTCAATTGCAATCAAATCACGGTATATACATGAATAGAAGGGAGGTCATGTCCCTTCGAAACGAATCACCCATGAGATAGCCAGGTGCTAGTAATCTCAGCCAGCTCCCCATTATTCGGCATCAAAAACACCCCATTCGGAAGCAAAACACACAGCTCCAAGCATTCCATATTCAACCAGTCCTTGGGGAGGAAGTAGTGTCGCTGTACTTGGTCCGGGTTGAAGTTGGAACCGAGGCTCCAAGAACATACCCAGTAGCTTTTGTCAAGGAAAACAAGGCGCTGACGCGAGAGAATTCCAAGGGGGATTTCAATCTGGCGTTGAATTTCGGCTGGGATTGTCATATTAGTTTCGGTCGAGGCAGATATGGTTGGCGTAGTTGGTAATTGGGACAGAGAAGATGTTTGAAACAGCAATGTGGCGGTTTCTCTGCGGCCGTTGGTCAAGACTGTGGTGTGGATGAGGAAGTGAGAGCCCGAATGAGCGCGGCAGATGCGCTGGATTTTGGCGTTTTGTTTACTGTGCTGGCGGTCTTGAACAATATCTGGAGTGACCTTGGGATCTAATTCGGATAGTAATGGTGGTCTCGCCAAATCCATGACAGCAATTTCACGAAGATCGTCCCATCTATAGACACGAGCATGACTGGTGCTGAAAGACAATAATAGCTTTGAGTCTGTTAGATGGTTGATCCACTTCGTATCTGGCGATGTAATAGCGAGAGGCTCTCTGCTGGATCGGGTCGACGTCACCGGTTGAACGGTGACTGAAGGCCCATTTTTGACTAAAACAATTGTCCCATTTCCATTGAGCAGGACTTGTTGAACGCCTTCGGGACTAACATTGATTGTCGCCTCAAATTCTTGGTTGACACTCCAAGTTCGGTCGCTGCCTGTATGAGTCTCATGAATCTTCTTCACGACGACCCTCCCTGCCATTTCCACACTGGCTAGGAATCTTCCGTCAGATGACCAATCCAAATATTCAATTGGTAGTTCCAAAGGTGATCTCCAGAGCTCAGATGTCACATGCTCGCCATCTGAGGAGTCTATTACACTGACAACTCCATGTTCATTTCCAACAGCATGGTATCGCCCTCCGAATTGAACGGCAATTGCGGTGATCTGTGCCCGTACTTCTGCAGAAGCCTCGGAGACAATGGCCGATGGAATGCTGGCCGCCTCACTCCCAAGGTCACTATCCTCACCATTCTCGTCCCCTGCAAGTAATGCATTCGGCTCCCAAACATTGCACCATGGACCACGAAGGTCATATAGTCGTTTGCTGTCTGGACTGAAGCAGATATCGTTGATGACATGATCGCAGGAGAGCTTGTAGATTAGGGTGAAATGATGGAAACTATACAGCTTGATCATGCCCTGGGTATCGGCCACCGTAAAGAACTTGCCCTCAGGACTGCACGCAATAAGTTTTCCCTCGGCTTCCAATTCCTGCTGGCTGTTCGTGTATGGGTTCCATCTGAAGACTTGCCCTCCCATATACAGACCGAGAATTTCTTGGGATTTCGGATGCCAGATCATCTGGTCTACAACGGTCCAAGAATTCCCCGCGTATTCATGGCTACGCATACACCGTCCCAGGAGAGTGGCAGTCTCCAAGGACCAGACACATAGAGGAGAACCGCGATATGCGACAGCCACACAGGTTGCGTCAGCATTAAATGCCATACGCCAAGGGACGTTATTCACAGGCCTGTCCAGAGCCGTGGCCGTTGTCAGAAGGCTGCCATTTAAGATCGACCAGGTGGGAGCTTGGTCCGTCAGTCGAGCGACTCTAAGAAGTCGATCCGTTGATCCGACGACAATCTGGGTATCCTCGGTGGAGAATATTATGGCCAAGGCCGAACTCCCAATGGGATTCTTGATCCGATGCATGATTTCTCCCGAATCGACAGACCAAATCTTTGTTGTCCGGTATCCGTATGTCACGAGAAGATTGGAGCCGCGACTGAAACTCATTGCGGAAACCCCCTCTGCGTGCTTGAGCACATGCTTAGTCTCAAAAGTCGTGGAGTTGTATAAAGTAATTACTCCTAGGCCGGTCAACACAGCAAAATGATCTCCCGCGCAAACAATTATGAGACCCTGCGTTGCTGGTTGGAGTGAGATCTTTGCTAGTCCATCATCCCACGTGGACTTTGAAAGTCCCTTGACTTCCAGAGAATATGGACGGGGAGCAAATTGTTCGAATTGTCGATATATCATCGAAGCCTTTGGGCAGAACGGCGGGATTTCCTGGTAGATAGAGGTAGGGCACTCGGTCAGATGCAGCCCAAACTTCCCGATGAGTTTAAGCAAGTCTGTTGCCCAGGATTCCACCAAGTCCAGTTCCTCAAGCCGATGAACCATTGGGTGTGTCACAGCATTGCGGCCTCGTTTGCGGCGGGCGTATAGGTTCATGCTCTTTGCAGAAGACACGAGAACTCGTAATTTCCTCGCTTCAGCCAGTGCCACAATCCAGTCTAGAACGTGGTTGCCTTTGAGGAACTTGGCCAAAAGAAGTAGCGGTGCATCTGAATCAGAGGATACTTTATCCAGGTGATAAGCCCATGAGGTCATTGCATAGTAGAAAAATTCTCCCCTCAAGCTGTCTTTCCGATTCCCGGGTTGAAGATGTAGATCTCGAGGTTGGTGCTGCTTCTCCTCCAAGACAGCCAGGCACTTGGTCAACAACTTCTCATGACCTTCTGATACATTGACTCCTAGTTCTGAGTCTGTCGCCACTATATGATCCCTCGCAGTCTGATGGACCATCACTAATCGACCAGTAGCAGAGTCAACAATGACAAACTGCCCGCAAACACGATTGATGAGGAGGCTCATCTCCACCATGGGCAAAAAGTCCGGCTCCAATGCTTGTGCCAACTCACTGAGGACTAACGGCCGCCGGGAGCATGTGGCCCACATCAGGATTCTCTGTCCCAGTTTGCGGTCGCGTGGCTTTGTGCTCGCGATGATGGTGCGCTCCATGCGTTGATATAATTGTTCCATACCACCCGGGATACCACCCAGCGTTTCATCGACGTCCTCTTCTGTATTGCACTCCGCCACCTCGCGCATTGCGAGACTGGCCCATAGGAAATTACCATTCGCACAGTTCACCATTTTGTTCACCAACCGCGCTTTGAATTCGGGGGCGGCACGCAAGTATTCTACTTCTCCTTCGACATAGAGCCTTATGTCTCTTTTGGTACTCTCCAGTGGCAAGTACGCCACCGAAAGCACAGTTGACAATCTGTCAAATGTTGTGATGAGCCCCGACGTTTGCCGACTAACAAGGATCACCTTGATGCGCGTCAATGAATGCGATACACTCCGCATTAGCTCTACCAGCTGCTGTGGGTTGTCGGACTCGTCAAGTGCATCGATAACGCAATAGATTGTTGAAGAAAATCTAATTTTGAACAGCAGTTGAACGAATATTCTCTCCCAAATGACCTTGTAGTCCGTTTTTTCCAACGTCTTTGTGGCGGAAGGCATGTTTTTCAATGCGCGGCAAAATCCGGGCAGCTGCTTTGCAATCTGGAAAGCAATGCTCCTCAAGCAGGCACTTAGCGAGCGCTTGGACTCGTCACTGAATCGAAAGAAGTAGTACACACAAATAGACTCTTCTAGGAGCTTATGCGTGACAAAGGCCGATAAAACCGATTTGCCACTCGCTGGCAAGGCGTGCAACCACAGCATGGTTGGGGAATCCTCGGCTTCATCCATCCAATGCATGAAGGATGGATGGAAGAGAATCCAGTCGCAAGTTCCAGGTGTCCACCTGGAATGAAAGAATTCGAGATCATCATTAAAGGCATCTGACACTGCCAACAGAGTCTGCAACTGTTCAACTTGTGTTTTCCCCTGGTCTCCAAATAAAGATTGTCCTATTATATCCAGGTCAGTACATGTTTGATATCAGAAGTACAAGTTCAACTCACCTGCCGAGCGAATAGACGAGACCAAAGTTTTCAAGGCATTTCTAACGCTGATGTAATTGTCGTCCTGGGTACTACCAAACTTGCAGACCGTATGATGATCGGCAACCAAAGGCTTTGAAATCTCTTTCGGATACCCGAGAGTAGCTGATTCTTTCTCCACCACCATCTACCGGCGAGTCAGCACGTGTAAGCTAAAGGTGTAATCCTACATACCATCTTTTTCGGGCCGATTGAGGTCTGTAGGGTCTCATAGAACGAAAGTATGTCCAGGTTCGGAGCGATGTGGCGGAATTGCTCGTTCAGAGCTGCTACAGTCTGAGACCCGGTAGTGAGCTCTGATATGTATAATTTGGGACTATGATTGAACAGTGACACTGTCAGGATCTTGGTTAAGATATCAGCCAGATTAGACCCGCGATGTGGTGTCGCCAAAAACAATATCGCACTGATCGACGATACGATGTTCGAATACTGATCGTCGTTTTGGCCAAGAATATAGGCCTGCTTAACGACGAGGCCCCCCATGGAATGAACAATGAATATAATGGGTCTCTGACGGTACGAGTCGTAAATACCCATTCAAACAAAAGAGCAGGAAAGATAGAGGACTCACCAAGCCCAACTCAAGCTCTTCCAATTTCATACCCTTCGCAAACTTCATCGAATACAACAGGTCTTTCGCAAAGTCGGTTATTCCCGTGATAGGGGTCGATCCGGTTGATGCCCAGTTCGCGTTATAGCCAAAGGACAGGATCCTTGCCATCCGAATCCCTGGCTCGAGAGGAAGCCATTTCTCTGGCCAGAAATACTCTGGATCCCGACCCCGTGCCCACGTAGCTCGGCTGGTACCGCCTAGACCATGAACGAAGATGATGTCGAGAGAAGGCGATGATTCTGGTTCATAAAGAACAGTCAGGCCCAGAGGGTCGTTACGTCGGTCGGTGGAAACTGATAGATTCCGCGAGGGGAGTGCGAATGTTGAGTTTGCTCGCAAAGTCTCAGCCAGAGAGAGCTTTCGGCCCAGCTCCGTTGGGGTGTGTGATGGATCACCAAGCTCATTGGGGGACCACACTATTTCAGAAGGATCAGGTGAGAGAAAAGGAGTCGTATCTAGGCCTTCTAAGGCTGTCTTGTCAGGTGTGGTTTCTTTTGGTGTCTTTCCTGGACGAAACTATAGGCAAGTTAGAATCATATTTGCTGAAAAGAAACATCCATTTTATGCCATGTCTTCACTCACCCATTTTGGACGGCTGTTCGGCATTTGTAGCAAATTTTGAAAAGTTGCATGTCTCTTTCCGCTTGCCTTTGAGATGGAATGTATTGGGGGCTGTGACTTTGGGAGGCCCCGAAGCTTGCGGCTCAACAAATTGTTCCCCGTATTTGCTTTTAGTTCACAAATTGCGGTGACTGGACTGATCCAAAGGTATTATTAAACAATCCTTGCTCTTCCCTCCTCAGATTGGTCTACACACATATTGTGGCTGCTGATTATGTACAAGGGTAGATGCCGTCACGCGACAACATCCAATCCCCGAGGGTTCATCCCGCAATTCATGACATTCACTATAAACTACCCCTCACTGGGCGCATTTTGTCTCATTTTCATTGGTTTGAACAGATATTGTACTACTACGTGGCACGGCGTTGTTCACAGGTGCATGCACCCGGGTGGCCGCTCAAGCCCTGGAGCCATCCAGGGGGCTCTGCTCTTACCGTTTACTCGTACTGAGTATATCACCGGGCCTTTTTGTCAGGCAAGTAATTAATAAAGCCTTTATTCGCAATAGCCCTCTCTGAAACAATCCACCCTACTATTACAATCACAAGTAAGATGGCGACAATAACTGAACCGGTTCTTGAATGGACTCCCCCAACAGTTTCGCTGGGTAAAGTGCCTTTAGTCACCCCAGCTCGAAGCGGAGGACAAGATATCAAGGGTGACTTTCCGTTGGATCAGATTGTAGTTGACAGTTAATGCTCCCTCTAGGAAATACAAATGTCTTGAGCTAACCTCGTGCTTTAGATTTCCCCCCAGGTACCCAAGTCCATTCCTCTGACCGATATGGAGCTTCGGCCTGGACGGTTACTGCAAGAATTGTAACTACCCTCCCAAACGGGGATCCAAAGCTCTATTTTCTGAAGGTATGAGGAGACTGACGAAATAAAATCAAAATTAACTCATTCATCTGCAGTGTGCCGAAGAAGATCAAGGGAAGGCCATGTTAGAGGGAGAATTCAACTCTATGGTTGAATTGTACAAAACAAGCCCCAACTTTGTCCCAGAGCCTTACGCATGGGGTAAACTTAGTGTCTCTCAACCTGCGACGTATTACTTCTTGTGCGACTTCATCGAGATGGGCAACATGAATCCAGATCCCGTTCAGCTCGCCACCAAGCTCGTGAAGTTGCATAAGGCAAGCATATCTCCCACTGGCATGTTTGGCTTTCACATCGATACGTGCCAGGGCAGTCTCCCTCAGCGGACTGCGTGGAACCCAAGCTGGGTCGACTTCTATATCCAGCTAGTCCGGGGAGCGATGGCACTCAACACAGAAAAGAATGGCAACTGGAAGAATCTGGAGCAGCTTGTTGATCGACTCATTACACATGTAGTCCCTCAAGTGCTAGGACCTTTGGAAGCCGATGGCCGGGTCGTAAAGCCAACTTTGATCCACGGCGACCTGTGGGATGGAAATATCGGAACCAGCCTTGAAAACGGGGAGCTTTACATCTTTGATGCGAGTGTTTACTATGCGCATAACGAGATGGAAATCGCTATGTGGCGTGCAAGATTCTGCAAAATCCTGGGCGCGAAGGTTTACCTCAATTCCTATCTCAACCGAATGGGCATCAGTGAGCCCGTCGAGCAATTTGAGGACCGCAACCGGATCTATAGTTTCTACATGACACTGCACGAATCAGCTTGCCATAATGGTTCTAGCTTCAGAGAAGAGTAAGTTGCACTTTTCACAAATCTTTCTCGAATCCTTACTTATCAAATGCCGTGACAGGTGCTATGAGAATCTCAACTACCTAATCAACAAATACGCTCCACTTAACGAATAAAGTAGTTAAAGTGACATCGTCTGGTTTCCAATGGTTATCATTTATTCATGGATTGAAAATAATCTCGGATTGTAGCGAGCCTCTATCTTGCTAAATGCTCTTTGCCAATCAAATTTCGAATAATTCACTTGTTAAAGCTCGAGGGCCATCTTAATTGAACTAAAGTAGTAGCTCGGCTCATCTTTTAAAGCGTGGCTTTTAAAGCGTGGAACACATGGTAATGAAAAGGCACAGAGATCACGGCAGATCCAATCTAATCACGGGGACTGCTCAAATATTATACGATCCCTGCTTTTCAATACACAAATCCTTCATAATTTACCCCTCAGTGCCTAATATTCGGCCCTAAGCCTCATCCACACAGTCCACCTGCAATTATCCAAAGCCAGTATTACTTCAAGGCGCAGACCTGCCATATTTCACTCCAACCTTGCACAGGGTCTCACCATAGTCTCGTCACCATATACTCTTCTTGGGATAATCTTCTACCTCTGATGCAGATAACTACGATGAGGAATGAAGAAACCACACCAGGGCATACTAGGGCTTCAACCGAGAATGTTCCTCAACATGGCTATCCTTCTACTCCTACAAGCTTTCCCCGACATAACTCTCAAGACTTGCTCAGATCAAAAGAGGTAGACTCAGTGCCTCAACAGGAAGCATATTCTGTCTTCACCAAAAGAGAAAAGCATATAGCAGTTTTTCTTATTACATTCGCCGCGACATTCTCTCCCTTGTCCTCGTTCATCTTCTTTCCTGCCATAAACGCCCTCTCTACGTCTCTCAAAGTTTCAGTTGAAAAGATAAATCTCACCGTCACGTCCTATATGATAGTTGCTGGGCTCGCGCCGGCAATCGTTGGTGATCTAGCGGATATGACTGGTAGGCGGAACGTTTACCTGATCACTCTTCTCATTTATGCTGCCGCCAACATAGGATTGGCGTTGCAGAATAGTTGGATAGCGCTTTTTTTGTTGAGGATGATGCAGAGTGCTGGTGGTGCTGGTATGATTGCTTTAACCCCCCGTCCTTTAACCTAGAAAGGTCATTGATGTAGGTGTATCAAGTTCGCTAACGAAGAATAAGCAACTATTGCGATGGGGTACGGGGTGATTTCTGATATTGCTCCACCATCCGAACGTGGGGGTTATGTTGGCGTTGTGCTTTTAGGGTAAACCCACATCCGCTCTCCATCACTGCAAATCATATCAAAGTCACACCATAACTCTTCCGTCTTATAGTCCCAATATTGCAACCGCAATTGGTCCAATCCTCGGAGGAGCCCTGAGTGAAGCTCCTGGATGGCGCTGGATATTCTGGATTCCCGCTATAGCCTCTGGAATCTGTATCTTGCTTGTCGCTCTTTTCCTGCCCGAAACAGCCCGTTCTATTGTCGGTAATGGTTCGCGTAATGTTTCAGCTCTCTATCGCCCAATTTTCCGCTATCATCGGTCAAGAACCCCAACCCCTCTGCCTGCCCTTAACGAGGAAGAGAACACCCCACGAAATTTCCGGATTCCGAACCCTCTCGCGACTCTGAAGATCCTCGCATCCAGAGACAGTCTTCTCATTACTGCCATCTACGGTGTCTATTACATGAACTTTAGCTGTCTTCAAGGCTCCCTGTCAACACTTTTCATCGAAATCTACAAACTCTCAGAGCTGAAGGCAGGCTTGGTTTACCTACCCTTTGGTATCGGGTCCTGTATTGGTGCATACTGCTCAGGTATAATTGTCTTTATTTCCTTTGCCTGGAAGAGAATATCACTTAACTGCTATCTGGCTAGGAAAAATCATGAACCGTGACTACCGCCTCACAGCTCGCGCCCATAATCTGGTAATAGATGCCACACACGGCGACGATCTGACTGCGTTCCCCATTGAAAAGGCCCGTTTCAGGAGTATATGGTACTCCATCACCGCAACAGGAATCTCTACCGCCGGATATGGATGGGCATTACAGTCCAGATCTGTGAGTAACCTACCCAGCTTTATGACTTATCAATCGTGATAAATGCTCATGGACCCTTTAAACTTAGCATATAGCTGTTCCCCTCGTTCTACAATTTATAATAGGGTTCGCCATAGCGATCACTTTCAATGCAAGTATCTTCCATTGGACATATGTTGTCCCCCCTCAAGAGCCTCACTAAACATTATTGTTCTTAACTAGTGCTGCGGTACTCTCCTGACAGACTTGAACCCCAAATCCCCAGCTGCAGCGCAGGCTGCGAACAATATCGTCCGTTGTTCACTTGCGGGTGCAGGACTTGCTTTCCTCCAAAGTTGCTTGGATGCAACAGGGCCTGGATGGACGTTCACCTTATTTGGAGGACTAAGTATGGCCTGTCTTGGCTTGGCATGGTTGGAATGGGAGTATGGCAAGAGGTGGAGACAGGGATAGTTCAATGATGGCAATATTCATTTAAAAATAACATGGTGAGAATTACCATAAATTTTGATTGATTCTTGTGATCTTCAAAGCTAAGCCCAGTTTATCCTCACCCGCATGATAACCGAAGTCCACCATTCGAGGCTATAGAGTTGATGCAAGCCTAGGGCTTCGTACGGAGTGTATTCCGTATGCGCTTTGCGGCTGCACCCAACAGGGTCCTACCCTACCCCAAAAATGATACCTCCAATGAGCTAGGGATGTGTGCATATGCCAAGATTCTCACTATCCCATACGGTGGTTGTCACCCAAATCTCACTCCGCGAAACCCCATGCCGCATGGTTACAATTATGCGGTAGGGTGCTCACCGTCACCCACCATCCACTCATATACTAGCCAAGCCAATAAGCTGGTAATTGAATAACCACCATGAAATGTCACTGCTGCATGTTCTTATTAAACCTTTTTGTCTGCGGCATTTTTACTCTTAGTATCCTTCTTGGTTTGAATTCTTCGGTTGAGAAGTATCTAATTACTATAAACCAACCTAGGAGGGGACATATTATAATAATAAAGAAAACTCTTCACAATCAATTCATTCTATATGTCTACTCACCTGAAATTGAGCTTCAAAACATCTGATCACAAAAGCAGCAAAACTAAGCTAAGAGTACTCTCACATATCCTCTAGATCAAACCGCATGTACAGCTTGTGGACGTCAGCACCAATGTGGAAAGTAACGATTCTCGCAATTCGCTTTCTCTCTTGGCCCCATGCGCACAGAACAAATGCTGCAACGACTTTGCCTATTCCAACCCCTAGCAGAGCACAGAACTCAGGTGAGGAAGGCTCCCAGGTCTGCTCCGTGCTGGATGGATAACGTAGTCCCTCACGGGCTTTGTACACCTGTCTGACACACGATAGGGTATTCTTTTCGTTGACATTAATTACAAATACATTCTTCAGGCTATCCAGGGGGAAATCCATTTCGTAGGCTGCCTTGGTGAACTCAGACATGTATGGATCGTCACTTCTCTTGGATCTGAAGATGTCGTCAATAAAAATCACCCCTGGCCCAGTACGTCCAATCCACCACACCGGTGGACCTTCGTCACGCTGGGTGATACTGATATTTCGATAAGTTGAATTTGTGTTGTTCATGTGAAGGGCAGTTAGTAACGTCGCATCTAGCTTCACAGATGCGCGGTTGACAGTATAGTCCTGATGTCTAGTCGTCAAAAAGAAGGTGGAAATAGGGTACGGGAAACGCATTTTTGGTTTGCTTTCTATCAACTCCTGCATGCGTCGTCCCTTGATTGCCCACACAAGGTAAGCTTCAGACATTTTGCTTTGTACTGGCGGTTGAAGGACTGGATAAGATGAAGTATTCGAGAAGAGTCTGTAGAAATGCTGACTTGTGGGCTGCTTGGTATGGTATGGTATGGTATGTCTTTCTAAAGGAATTTAACGGTTACTAGAGATGGCTTTTATATATTTCAGACCGAGAAAAGCCCGGGAGTACAAAGAAAACTCGATCAATGCAATTAATCAAGATTAGGACAATGGGGTTAAAGCCAACAATGCGAAGCAAAGGATTGAATAAACAAAGAAGTCGTTGAGGCTGTAGTTGAAAGAGCTAAGTGGTCCGGGTTTCATGCGATTAACACCTCCATACTCACCTGAGCTCATTTGACAACATATTGGCAGTCCACGGGTGTTTCTACAAAGCAAACTGGCAAGATGTGTTGATAATCAATTACCCCTGACCCCCGGCAAAAAATTGAACTGCCAAGTTGGCAGTTCCATCGATTGAACCTTTGGATGACAGTACGTGGCAGAATATATCATATCCATATCCTGTGAGGAATCTAACATGACCAATAGATTATAATTAGACATCAATTTTCCTAGTGTTAATCTGTCGAATAACACCTTCCAACAACACGGATGTTTACGCAACCGTAAAATCTGCCTCGCCTACTCGCGAAGCAGCATATGAACTTGCCTGGTATCACAACAAACCTTCGAAAAAGCATTTCCAGCTCAGTATATACAATGAAGGCAAGACGTGTCATACGTTAAATTCGGTGTGATCCAGGACTTTCATTTTCAATTGACTCGACGAACTACACATGCAAATTGCGGAATAATACACAGTAGCCTCCCTAATATGCAGAAGCCTACAATTTTGAATTGACAGATATGTACATATAAGCTGTGATAAGGCTCAGCAACTATTATAATCCACCATATGAAATACTAACTCATAGATTATTGGACGAATAATTGGTGGGTCTTCGGAGTTGAGCCGAGGCTTATCACGCTAGTGTACGAGGTCAGCATTCCAAGGTTTTCATTCGAGTGACTCAACCACACTGCAGGCACTTCCAAGAGGACATTGAAAGCAGATATCAACATGGCCACAGAGGGTGAATTTGTAACTGTGAAGGCATTCTTGCCCACAGTCCCGCTTCCCGCAAATAGCGAGCGGCCAGCAATAACCACAGATCGCTTACTTGTCCGCGCCCTCCAATCAACCGACTTGGAAGCGTTACACGTCTTGCGCACACAAGAAGAAGTCATGAAGTGGACGATTGCTGGGTGCATTGACGAAAACATCGAAAAGACCAAATCCAAATTGGATCCTTTCCTACCACCAAATGACCTTATCACCGCCAATTGCGCCATCTGCCTAAAGGAAACGGGCGAGCTTATCGGTATCGGTGGCTGCCATCTTTATCCTGGAAGGCATGGGTGGCCTGAAGTTGGATACATGCTTCGGACGGACGCTTGGGGGAAAGGTTTTGCGACGGAGTTCTTGACAGCCTGGCTGCGGTTTTGGTCAGAATTACCTCGGACAGAGCGGGAGGTCAGAGTTGAGAAAGAAATGGTCATTGGAGAAGGTGCAGTGGATGGACATCTTATCGCTCTCACGGAAGCAAGCAATAGTGGAAGTCAAAGGGTGCTGTTGAAATGCGGGTTTGAGCGATTCCGCGAGTTTACTGAGGTGGATGATACCAAGACAGTGAACCTCGTTGCTTTCCGTTTTCTTTCAAAGCGATAGCTCACATTAACTATACCACATCTGTACATGAAAGATATGAAATAGTATTTATATCGTTTTGATCATCAGAGGTGTTTATGTGCAAAGAACGAGGAACGAAGAAAATGCCGTAACCCCCACTCCGACATTCTAATATTCAACCCGTCAACTCCGGGCCCATCCCCGTCCAAGCTGGCTCCCTAACGTCACACAACCTTGATGGAGGAGGAGGGGGAGTAACACGTGAGCGGACCGTCCCCGTCATACCCGGTTATAGATCACTACCACTGAAAGCATGAAGCAGACCGATCCTAAGCACTGATCAATCTAGTACGGACATCACTCGGAATACAAAAACTTATTCTCGGAGAAACAATGGAACATTTTGACATTGCAGTTGTTGGACTTGGGGTGCTTGGAAGCGCAGCTGCGTATCAAGCCGCTCTAAGAGGCAAGAAAGTGGTCGCATTCGAGCAATTCGAGCTGGGCCATGTGAAGGGAGCCTCTCATGATACTTCACGGATTGTCAGAACAGCAAATGCAACACCTCAATACGTCTCTCTAGCCAAAGCCGCCTACAAGGACTGGGCCTACCTGGAAAAGGCCACAGACCAAAAGTTGTTAACGATCACCGGTGGTGTCATGTTCTTCCCTAATGGCTCAAACCCTCCACGCGTTGACTTCACCACAAGCCTCGCCGCTAAAAATGTGCCGTATGAGGTTCTGGATTCCAAGGAAGTCAACAAGCGTTGGCCCCAATTCAACATCCCGGACACAGTCGAGACGCTCTATACGGCCGACACCGGCATTGCTCACGCGGCTAAGACAGTACTAGCTATGCAAAGTCTAGCAAGGACAAACGGCGCAATTCTGAAAGAACACACACGAGTGGACCGCGTGACGCCGAAGACATCAAGCACCGGTGTCGTGATTGAAACATCCAAGGGACAATTCCACGCAGCCAAAGTCATCCTCGCTACTGATGCATGGACCAATAAGCTTCTTGCTCCTCTTGGAGTACACATCCCATTAACGGCAATGCAGGAGCAAGTGACATACTTCAAGCCGACGGACGAACAAGCCTGGGAACCCGCCCGTTTTCCCGTATGGATTTGGGGCGGCGATCCCTGTTTCTATGGCTTCCCATCTTTTGGCGAGCCGACTATCAAGGTTGCCCGTGATACTTCGAACAACTTCATGACACCTGAGCAACGTACTTATGTACACTCGCCTCAGTTGCTAGAGCAGCTTTGTTCGTTTGTAGGCAATTTTATGCCTGATAAAGGCCGTCAACCGCTTCGCACTATCACTTGTCAATACTCTATCACTCCAGATCGACAGTTCATTATCAGCCCGTTGGAAAAGCACCAAGATATTATTGTTGGTCTAGGGGCTGCCCATGCATTCAAATTTGCACCGGCCTTCGGTCGTGCTCTTGCGGAGCTGGCAATTGATGGGAAGAGTACGGAGGACCTTTCGAAGTTTGGGATTCCAAATAATGCTATACATACTCGCAAGCTCTAGGCTAGGATATTCATGATTTATGATATTTCAAATTGAAGCCAGATCATCCTCCAGGGGGTTAATGTTTCTATCAATAATGGTGCAGGGTGCCATGGGAGTTTTATTGATGCAAGAATCAAGTGAAAAAAAAGAACCAAAATTGACTCAAAGTTGTTAATACATATCTCAACACCAAGACCTGGAATCATCTATACAGTACAGAGTCCCGTCGTTTCAATGCAATCGACCGGATAATGAAAGAAGAAGCAAAATGCAATCAGAAGATAGAAGGCACAATACGCAGCCGCCTACTTCCTCTGCTCCTCACCACCAGGAGCCATACCCGTGAACGGATCAAGACGCAGCTCCTCGGCTTCGATAGGGGTGTAAGTCGTACGACCATGTCCGGCCATCTTCAACCGACGGGCCTGACCCGCCTCACCAGCGCGACCAAGAATTCCCGCAATAAGACAAGTAGCGCGCAGACTATCATCGTTCGAGGGAATCGGGTAGGTAACACGTGTAGGATCCGCATCGGTATCAATAATACCAATAGTAGGAACATTGTTAAGCCCACACTCATGCAGCAAAACAACATTCTCAAGCGGGTTAAGGCAAACCACCAAATCAGGCTTGAGCGCCGGGCGATCGGCAAGATCAGACTTGAAGTTCGGCAATTCCTCGTCCAGCGCGTTGACAACCTTCGTCTCACAGTGACCGAGAATCTGCTCGCCATTCGTCAGAGAGCCCGGAATCCACCGCTCGAAAATGTGGTAGCCCTTTGCCAGCGACGCGGCCTTGACAACAGCCCGCTTCTGGCCCTTCCGTGTACCGGCGAAGAGAATTAATCCACCGCGTGCGGCGACCTCCTCCACAACTTTGGCGGCGCGGCGGAGGTGCGCAGCTGTTATATCCAGTGAGATGATGTGCACACCCTCACGGATACCGAAGATATATCGCGAGTTCTGTGGGTTCCAGCGCGAAGTCGAGTGGCCTAGGTGGGTTCCTGCTGCGAGCAGCATTTCCAAGGAAATCTGGGATGGCTTTGGGGGATTGCGGATAACATCTTCGGGGTTGTAGGAGGATTTCACGGTTGTGCCGAGTTTTTTGAAATTGCTTCCTGGGGGGAAGAAAAGGAAGATAAAGTTAGTTGGTGCGTTGGAGGAATCTCGAAGGAATTGGCGGCTCACTTTGCGCTTCGTCTGATGTGAATTCTTGTTGTGCGGGTGTGCTAGCCTCATATTGCGTCTGCACCATCTCAAAGAGGGGATTTTCCGGACGAGGGATTTCATCTCTAATAGATGTCTGCAATGTCTCGACTGGGGTTTCGGGCAATGTCGACTGGAAACGACTCGAAACCGGCGCTCGTCGGCTCAGAGCAAGGAGCTGGCGGCCTGTGGGATGATGTTAGCAGGGGCATTGAAGATAATAGCAGCAATTGGACCACACTCACTCTGGCGCATACAAAGCTTCCGTATAATCATTTTGGTAATACTAAATTGCAGATGTGTCTGACAAGGAGGTTACTGGGGACTTGTCCGCTCGAACTTTTGTCGGGCTTGGCAATTAATGCCTGAGGCGCTACGCTATTCCACTTGTGGTGTTTTGGCCTCTCCGCCTACAACGCTACTTCTCACAAACGGCAGTGTCTATGTATTATCACTACATTTTATGGTTCACTGTTCGGTTTTACTGTTTTCCACAAGGAACATTTCAGCAAGGTAATCGCAATGCAATTCTGAAAATTATGGTTAGATCACATAGAGGTGATTTCCGATATCAACGCAGTTCTGTCATGGTACAAGCCCTCTTGAAGGCGAAGAGAAAACCCCATGAAAAATAAAGTGATCTGGCGGAAGAAAAAAAAAATGCAAGCCGACCCGTTCCGATAACAAGAGCAAAAAAAGAAATTCATGAAAACCGTGTCATCAGGCAGAAAACGTAAGAGGAGAGTTCATCAGAAACCCTCTATTTCTTGAAGAAACCACCGAGCTGATCCATCATGGAGGGGCTGCTGCCGCTGTTGGAAGGAGGGCCGCCGTAAGGGCCACCGTGTTGCTGAGGAGACTGGCTGTTGCTGTTGCGGTGCTTCTTGACGGCATCTTCAGCGATGCTACCAATGATGGCTCCACCAATTGTTCCGAGGAAACCGTGATTGACCTTGTGGCCAGCGAAGCCACCAGCGGCACCACCGGCAAGGGCACCGGCAAGACCACGCTCGCCCTCCTGGGCTTCACCGGGGGCACCTTGCTGCTGCTCATAGCCACTGTAGTCTGTTAGTACATCAACGACGTGAAAGGTGAGTGAAGTACATACCCCTGGCGGTTCTGGTCGTGCTGTCCGTAGCCCTGCTGTTGGTGTTGCTGGCCAGCATAGTAATCAGATGAGCCACCCTGCTGCTGACCATAGCCTTGCTGGCCGTAACCGTGCTGAGGCTGACCATACTGTTGCTGTTGGTCGTAACCCTGCTGGCCGTAACCCTGTTGAGGCTGACCATACTGTTGCTGCTGGTCATAGCCTGGCTGGCCGTAACCTTGTTGGCCACCGTAACCTTGCTGTTGGCCGTAACCTGGCTGACCGTAGCCTTGCTGGCCATAACCTTGCTGGCCGTGGCCACCCTGGTTGTATTGGTCGTAGCCGGACATGATGTAATATGAATTGGATAGAAGACGGAAGATGGAAGATAGAAGGTGGAAGACAGAGTAAAGGGGTGTAAGTGATGAAGAGAAGTCAAGTGAGGGGGCAACCTTTTATAAGAGGTACACTCTCAATTGTACGGAGTAACCACAGGGCTGACGGAAAGAACCCCACATGGCAAGCGAAAACTTACGGAGTGAGGGGCGCAGAGCGTCAGCTTTTCAGCCTTGTACATCTTTGTTTTTACCGTCATTTTACTAGTGAAATTGCCCCAGAATCCACGCACTCAGCCCAATTTAGTTACACAGCCACACTCCGCGCAACATACTCCGTACATACATGTACTTAACTCCGTAGTGTACCTGTATTTAACTGTGGCTATGTCGGGCTGAGCCTCCTTTATACACCTGAACGGATCGGATAAGTTCAAATAGATTACACGGATCCCTCGGCTTCCACAGATCTTCTAGAATATCTTTCTCCACTGCACAGCGCCCAGCATTTCTGTATTAAATATTTTATTTGGCTGCCTACGCTAAGCCCCTCCGTCTCCGAATACCCGAATAGAACACCCGAATTTGGAGATTGCTACTCCGAATTGTTATGGCGTCACCCGAACACTCTCCTGACTATTATTATTAGTATCACATATGATTGATAATATGGTCCATTAGCGTCCACGGGTGCCCATTTGACGTCTTAATGTGTTCAAATCCATGCCAAGTCAAATTGCATTGAAATCATGATGACGATATGTCCAAGTGATCTTCACTAGCGAATTGGGAGGAAATAACATAGGTACAGTATAGATCATTTGTAATATACTTTGACTTCAGAGATGTCAATAACATATATTTCAACAATATATATATATATATATATTGTTGAAAAACATGCAATCAAGAATTACAGGATATAATAAACACATCTTGTCTACAACATACAATGAATACTAGCAAAGAAGATCGACATCATACATATCACACACCAACTGTTGATCCCGTGGACCACTCAGATGCTCTTATTTTCTAGTGTGTTGGATGATCAACTATGATCGACGCATGACTAGTTTAAACATTGGGATATAACATGGGACTTGATCAGATGGCAGTAGCTTAATCCATCCCCGGCACCCTTATATATATCCTACGTTGTACAGCGTACGCGCTGACCACTGCCGAGTGTTAAAGTCCAAATCACGTCTGAGATATATTCCGAACACACGGTCTTGATCGTCACTAGATCTTGATGTATATACTTTCAAACTATATCGTATAATGTACTTGTGCTATGAACTTGAAATAGTGAACATTTCGATCACTATTAGCACCACTTCAAATCCCCCAGATCCCCAAGATCATTCCCGACCCGAGCAGATCAAAGGAGTGCAGAGGACGTGCAGAACATGCTAGACCAATCAAACCGACGAGTTATAGCACGATCGAACGAACCCCCGCTTGTACGTAGCACTAACCTGTCAACTGCTCATCTGAGCTCCAGCAGTTTATACCTGTTTCAGCTCTGGTGCCCTTGCAGCCGGATGATCATTGGAATTTTACTCTGCTGATCCACTTTTTTCTTTTTTCTTCATGTGTCAGAACTATTTTCTCTTCGGTGTGAGACTTTATTGTGGGAGCTGGATCATGGCCGTCATGCACTTATAACTCAAGCTGAGGGCACGATCGGCATGGAGGTTTTGCTTTTTTCACACTTTTCAAATTGTTCCTAGGGATCGTTCTCTTGATTCTTGACTGCTTTGTTGTTCAGACATTAGCTATTACGTGCGTGTTTGTATATGACTGGGCTATAGTTAGTCCATGCGCAAAAAATGCTCCTGCAATCGGTCCTTCCAGCGCTGTGCCTTTTTCTCGGTGTCGCATCTGCCAAATCACACCCAACGGTCTATATGATTCGACATGGCGAGAAGCCTCAGAATCCAGACGAACATGGTCTAAGCTCAGATGGGGTCAAGCGGGCACAGTGTCTGAGGCATGTTTTTGGCCAAGGCTCAGAGTATGACATCGGGCATATTATGGCACCTCATGTGAAAAAGAGTATGTTTGTAGCAGGACTCGACAGTAAACTAATACCACACATAAACGAACCGCGGGGGACGCTGAATTTTACAGACATGGCTGACAAGATGTTTTCTGTCTACAGATGGCGCGCATGGACGTTCGTTTAAAACTGTTCTACCGCTTGCCAACGATCTCGGTCTGACAGTTGACACGCATTGCAAACGGAAACAAGCGAAATGTGTGGCTAGGGCGATCAGGTCCTATGACGGACCGGGCAACATTTTGATCGCATGGCGGCACAAGAATATGGGTGAGATTGAGGAGGAGCTTGGTGCTCTTGATCCAATTAAATATCCAAAAGAGCGGTAGGTTATTGTATTGTCATGTGTCTTTCGTTGTACTATGAGTTTCGCATTTGGGGAAATGCCTGGGAGACGGTTGTCCCATGGAATCCTCGACTCGTAATTCCCGTCGATAGAAGCTCGTTTGTTTGTCTTATGTTTCATTCTCCTGCTGACTATTTCAGATTCGACCTCATTTGGACAGATCCTTGGCCGTATGGGAACGTGACGAGTATCAAAAGCGAGGAATGCCCGGGGCTAGATGTTAGGACTGGCCTGGTGGATCAGTTTTGATATAGAGATGGAAAGCATATCTACTTCGTTTGTCATTGAGCGTGTATTCATGGGTTGAATAAGACAATTTCTATTATCAACGAATCAATAGACAAGGCAGGTAGAATAGAGCACAATCAAAAGGCATGATGAATAGAAAGTGGGAACAATCAACCCCCAAGAACCTCTCTATCAACGCACAGACCAACCTAGCAAAATTGTTCTGTGAAGGCGGTGAACCAGCCGAAGCGGAGACAATTGTAGCGCCAAGATTTCCTCCCCCCAAATTTTTCGTTGCGCTTGATTGTCGAGCTTTCCCCTCCAGATTACAATTTCTGTTTAAGGGAAAAGATCATGGATGATATCGAGGTTTGTGCACTCGGAGAATGCCCCGCAAGGATTGCGAGCTGACTGCCCCCAAGGAACGGCTGCGCAGCCATGCGCAGGCATTTGACGGTCTACTGTCTTTGATCCCCGCCAAATACTATTATGGCGAAGAAGATACAAGTGTATGTAGTCTTTGTTGCGTCTGATAAGTTGGCTGTGGTGTGATTGGAGTCAATTTCGTGTCCTTGCCTTTATCGTTCATTCCGAAGATCTCTGTCTGACCATCATCCTCATTTTTAGGATCAATGGCAACGCAAAAAGCAAACCAAAGAACAGGCACGCGAGGCAAAGCGGGCGAAGCTGAACCCTGAAGCCGCTAAGACCGCCAAAGATGTGATGGATGAAAACGCACGCAAGCGAAAGCGGGAGGACGGCACCCTCGAGTCCGACTCGTCCGACGGAGAGTTGGGCACAGAGACCCCCAGGGAAGGACTGCAACGCGGAACCGCCAACATCAAGAAGCAAAAGCAGGTCGACAAGACTGATAAGCCAGACGCTGCCAAGACAGCAGAGGCCGAGGCACGGAAAAAGCAAAAGGAAGAGAAGAAGGCCCAGAAGAAGGCTGCCCAGATGGAGAAAAAGAAGGCTAAGGATGCTGCCCGGAAGGAGAAAGCTCAGCAGATCAAAAAGCCATCGACTACCCCAACTGAGGGTTCTGAAAAATCTGCACCCAAGCCTAACGGCAATGCAGCCAAGGACACCGAAGCTTCCGAGGGTGAAGAGGATGATGACCAAGAAGATGACGGTGTTGTCGAGGAAGGCTTCTCCGTTGAGTTCCACGTTGAACAGGAAACCCCTTCTTCTGTCCCATCTACCACCGACTCTCCTAGCCTCGATGCCTCAAATCCCCAATCCGGCTCTTCCTCCACTTCCTCCATCGTTCCTCCTTCCGCCTCCACCGAAGCCAAATCCTCAGAGCCCAAACCTCTCAAGCACACACCCGAAGAGCTGAAACAGCGTCTACAGAAGCGTCTGGATGAACTCCGGGCCAAACGCCACGCTGATGGACTCAATGGCAAGCCTGCACGCAACCGCCAAGAGCTGATCGAAGCCCGCCGGCAAAAGGCCGAGCAAAGAAAAGCACACAAGAAAGAACTGCGCGAAAAGGCCAAGGTTGAGGAAGAAAAGAAGAATGACGAGGCCATGGCCCGCCGCTTCTCGCCCGGTGGCTCTGGATCTCTCCTGGCATCACCCCGCTCCCCTGCCGAGTCTGTCAGCTCCAACAACAATTTCTCCTTCGGCCGTGTGATGTTTGCAGACGGCCAGCAGACAGACGCCACCGGAACCAGCGTGCGCGACAAGCCGAAGACCAGCGGTGCCCGTGACCCGGGCTCCCAGCTCAAGGCTGCCGAGGCCAAGAAAGCCCGCCTCGAAGAGATGGACCCTACCAAGCGTGCCGAAATTGAAGAAAAGGACCTTTGGTTGAATGCCAAGAAGCGCGCTCACGGCGAGCGTGTCCGCGACGATACCTCTCTACTGAAGAAGGCCCTCAAGCGCAAGGAGTCAGCGAAGAAGAAGTCCGAGCGCGAGTGGGGAGACCGCATGGACGCCGTCGCCAAATTCAGGGGAGAGCGCCAGAACAAGCGTGAGGAGAACCTTCGCAAGCGCCGGGAGGAGAAGGGCACCAAGGGAAAGAAGAAGTCCAGCAGCGGTGGAAAGAAGAAGGCTGCTCGTCCTGGATTCGAGGGCAGCTTCAAGGGTGGTGGCAAGAAGAAATGAACAAGCTTCTCCCCGGTGGCTTAATTTTATCTCATTTCTCGCTTGCTTTTACATCAACCCGTCTTCTTTTAGATTCTTCTTTCTCTTTTCTCTGCATACCCTTCAAACGTGTCTTTGCCTCTTGGATGTTTACATCCCTGAGACAAAATTGCACACGGAAGCCCCCGAACCAACTAAAAAAAGTGTTTTGAGACTTTGAACTGGGAAATATCCGTCCGGAGATCAAGGTGCCTGGTGTTTGCGTTTGTGTCTTTGGCGGCTTGGTCCGTCAATTTATGTCTATGCATGACAGCATCGGTAGCGATTTGATTTATCTGTGAATACAATATCATTTTCTTATCGAGCTGTATATGTCTTCCTTGTGTCTTTATGCCTATGTAAACCACTAGAACTCAATATGTACGTTATGTATGCGGTTAGCGGAAAGGTGCTCCGCGTAGAATATAATATGGCATCAATTGAATTTATATATTTTGAATTGAATCTCAACCAGAAGAAAAAAGCTGCTAGATTCCACAACATAGGAAATAAAAAGAGACAAGGGAGCCAGGGTTCCAGGGAAAGACATTTCCTTTAGGAATTGACTAGTACAAGATGATAACACAGTCGAGGGCAAGTTATGTACAGTGATGTGATGGGGCTTAAAATCTTTCTTGTTTTTCAAGGCACTGATTGATAGTGCCTCTTGAATGGATGGGTATTGCGACCAGCATCTTCTTGTGCACACATCTAACATCTAGAATAGATGTGGGTTTGTCTGAAGACACCAATGAGATTGGAGGAAAATAGATTATCGGTAGGGAGCATCTGCGCGAGCAGCAGCAGCAATCTCAGGCTCCCACTTGTCACCGTTGGAGAGAAGCTTCTCCTTGTTGTACAGAAGCTCCTCGCGGGTCTCAGTGGCATACTCAGCGTTGGAAGCTGGTAGATAGAACGTTAGTAATCCGGTCTGAATGTTAAAGATGTAACCGGGGAGTGTTGGACTCACTCTCAACGATGGCATCCACAGGGCAGCTCTCCTGGCAGTATCCACAGTAAATGCACTTGGTCATATCAATATCGTAACGGGTCGTCCGGCGGCTTCCGTCCTCACGCTCTTCGGCCTCAATGGTAATAGCCTGAGCAGGGCAGATGGCCTCACAGAGCTTGCAAGCAATGCAACGCTCCTCACCAGTGGGATAACGACGGAGAGCGTGCTCACCACGGAAACGGGGGGAGATAGGTCCCTTCTCGAAGGGGTAGAAGATGGTGTAACTGGAAGATGAGGACACAATTAGATGATATAATTCGATGCCACTGGGTTTGGACTGCGATCCGCTTCGCCGGCAAGGTGTGGGATAAGGACTTACGGTGGTCTGAAAAACTGCTCGAGCACCACGTACATGCCGCGGAAGATCTCAGCCATAAGGAAGTATTTGCTGGCCTTATCCAAGGCGGACTCGGAGTCCTGATCCCAGCGCTTGGGCGGGGGCAGGCGGAACCCGGCCTGAGGGGGTCCCGCTGGACTTGCTGCGCGGTAGGTCGAGGTAGAGAAGTTTGCGGCCGAGCCCAGCAAACCGAAGGGGGTCGGCCGACGGTAGGCGATTAGCCTCGCGACCGAGCGGGTGGCGGCCATGGTTTTGGAGAGGAGAGTGAGTTGGAGGGATGGGGAGTCGAGGTTCAATTGGAGGTGGTAGGGGAGCAAGTCTTAGGTTGTGGTGGTTTGCAGGTTTCGGGCTTAGGTCATTCCTTTCTGTCGGGCGTTGATTGGCCCGCAGGATTTTGCTGGGCGCGACCTCACATCTTTCCTCTTCTGCGGCAGCCGTCTTCCCCCAATCTTTACCCGTTTACTCTCCACCATTTCTTTTTAATACTTTAGATCTTTTCAGCCTTTGTGCTATTCCGATCAATTTATTTCATCATGTTCCGCTCCGCCATTGCTCGTTCCTTGAAGGCTTCCGCCCCCCGTGTCATCAAGACTCCGGCTCCCTTCCACATCCGCAGCTCCCCCATTGCTGCTAAGGTCCCTCAATTCACTCCCTGCTTCGTTCAGGGTGTCCGTCTCTACTCTGCCCCTGCCGGTCTGAGCAAGAGCGAGGCCGAGGGCCGCATAGTCAACCTGCTCAAGAACTTCGACAAGGTGCGTCATGTTGTTTTCCCGGGGAATCTCGCGATCTATCGGCTATAGACGAAAAGCAAAATACTAACTCAATTTGTGTCTTGTTTAGGTCTCCGATGCCAGCAAGGTCAGTAATTATCTACTGGATGGACCGTCGTGACCTTCACATCGCTATACGCTATTGGAGATGCGACCGAAAACATTCATCAACTAAACCCGTTTGACCTACAGATTAACGGCGCTTCCCACTTCTCGAACGACCTTGGTCTGGACAGCCTGGACACCGTCGAGGTCGTGATGGCCATTGAGGAGGTATGCGCCCAGTTTCCCTCGGAAAAGCATCGATTGTATATCTCATGACGGATATCTAACTTTTACAACAGGAGTTCAGCATTGAGATCCCCGACAAGGAGGCCGACCAGATCCACAGTGGTACGTTAAGACTTGGTGAACTTGTAGTCCCCCAGAGCTAACATGAATATCACGTATAGTTGAGAAGGCTGTCGAGTACATCATGGCCCAGCCCGATGGTATGTGAACCCCATAGCATCTCTTTTTTGCTTGACATCTGCTGACATTGTCACAGCCCACTAAATATTTAATTTGAAAACTTGGGATCGGTTGGAGAATCGGATAGAAAAAGAATCGGGATGTTGGCGTCTGTGGAGTTCACTGGACACAGTGACGCTCAACCGACATGCTATTTTGTATGCTGAATACATGCCAGTGGCTTTTCTTTCCTATATCGTGTATATCATTTGAGTGCAATTTATGCAATTTTGAAACAGTATTGCTACGTGGTGATCACCGAATGCGCCTGGACTTATATCCCAGTTTAATGGTCAATTGAACCACTTTCTTTGATAGATATATGCACATGTATGTATTTAGATGCATAGTTACCTCTATATGTCTCATATGTATGAATTGTACTTTGTAGAGTTGGCTTGGTTATTTATTTAACAGTGAACATAGAACAAAAACATAAAGTAGATATATCTAAATGAAATCAGAAGATCTTATATGCCAAGTAATTTAGATTGTCAATTAAAAAAAAAAAGTTAGAGTCATAAATAGAACCTATAGGGAGATTACCATCCCGATGTCTTTTTGACGGGCGTTAACGCACCCGCAAATACTCAAAGAGCCACCTCACCGAACTTCCTTTGACCTTCACCCTTTTCACAACTTCCAGTCGCCGATTCCTCTCATATTTAGGCGGGTTAAGTCTAATCTACCCGACACTGTAATCGTTTTGGCTAGCCCACTCGGTCCCTGGTTTCCCCTGACACCGAAAGTCCCACTTCAACCACAGACTCTCCGGTCTGAACGGTCCTCCTCAACATCGCACCATCTAGACCATTCAAACCATCGGCATATAGTTCGGAAGCCTTTGGTCATTCCCGGCCATATCTCTCTCCATCCCTTTTTGATCCCCCACCCGACCCGATCTCATGGCCTCAGCAGCCGGGGGCTTGACTCGCCGCAGAGGCGCCGGTCGAGTCGCTGGGGCAGACGAGCAAGATGACAGCCGAGTGTCATCGCCAGTCTCTCGAAATGGCTCTGCGATGGATAACCGTGGACCGGAGACATCGTTTACCAATGCAGAGAATGGCCACAAGATCGCATTCGACCCCCGCGACATCAGCGAAAACGAGGAACGGGGCAAGCAGCCCAAATTGACTCTGATGGAGGATATCTTGCTGCTGGGTCTGAAGGACAAACAGGTGAGTCTTCATGAATGCTATCTCATGTTCGATTATTAGATTCGTGGTTCCGATCGCTGACCTCGCGCCCGCACCGCAACAGGGCTATCTGTCTTTCTGGAACGAAAACATCTCATATGCCCTGCGAGGGTGTATCGTCATTGAACTTGCGCTCCGCGGACGTATAAGCATGCAGAAGGATTCGTCGCGCCGACGTTTCCCCCTGGCTGACCGCATCATTGAGGTCGTCGACGATACATTGACTGGGGAGGTCTTGCTGGACGAGACACTGAAGATGATGAAGTCAAGCGAGAAGATGAGCGTCAACTCATGGATTGATTTGCTAAGTGGTAAGATACTCCTGGAGCAGAAATTTGGGTCGCGGCGTACTTACAGACCGGGCTGCTTGTAGGCGAAACTTGGAATTTGATGAAGATCGGATATCAATTGAAGCAGGTACGGGAACGACTGGCCAAGGGTCTTGTGGACAAGGGCATTCTCCGAACCGAAAAGCGCAACTTCCTTCTCTTCGATATGGCGACGCATCCTGTGGTCGACGGCGGCGCGAAAGAAGACCTCCACCGACGTGTACGCAACATCTGCAGCAACCGCACTGTGATTATCCCTCCTAGCCCGTGGCTCCCCGAAGACGCTGAATACCGATACCTTCGTTCAATCACCATGGTCTGTGCCGCATACGCTGCAAATGTGCTTGAGAACGCATTGGTCACCATGAGCCATGAGGCTCGCGAGAGAGCTTTCGCGCAGGTGGATGAATTGCTTGCCGAGTATTCGCAATGGCCGTTTGCTCGGAAAGCTGGAGGTTCGCAGGCTATTGGAGCTAATTTGGCTCAAGCAATCAATGACGAGGTCAATCGAAACAAGGACAGAGAGCTCCAGATGGAGGTAAGCTGCAATCTCCCAACGTAAAAACGCAGTACTAACCAATGAACAGATTGTCGCCGCATGCTTGAGCGTTTTTACCAGACTTGATTCTTTACTTTAACGGAGGTACCGCGTAATACATTGTCTTTTTACGATTTCTTCTCCCCTTCTTTTACCTCTTCTTGCCTTGCTCGGCTACAAAACTTCTGGTTTCTTCTGTTCATGTAGTTTGATATGGGGGCAGAGCGTCGCTTTTCTTTTCATATTCATCGGGTCAAAACTTCTTGTATGGGATATCTCATCAAATTTTTTTATTTACTTCACCTTTGTTTTATTCTTTTCTTTTCTTGCATTGCGCAAATGGTCTTTTGGCCTACCAAGTAAGTGACCGCGCAATATCTTCAAATTGATACACCCTTGCTTTTGGCATTTGTGATATCCTTTGTATTAACCAAAATGCATAAACATGACAATCTAAGTACAGACACCAGTATTAACCCTAACAACCACCATTCCACCACGCCGACTCCCAGCTGTACCAGCAGCCCCAGAAGCCAAAAGAGTCGCCGCACGCGCAAGGTCAACAACAGTAACCTCCCTCCCGCGGACGAGACTCTCCTCCACCAACTCCGCAATTCGCTCCATAGCTATTCCATCAGGATTAACAGGCACAAACCGACTCTTAATCCCGCGCTTCTTCTCGCCCAGCACATCCTTCTCAGGAACAAGCGGAGACTGCTGCGCAACCTGACCATCCACAACAGTCAACACAGCCCCGTAGTCCTTGACGACACCCGCAGCATGAGCAGCCCGGAATACTTCGCCACCGGAACAGTCGAGTACGATATCAACCGGCTGCCATCGGCGCGCGCGAAACACTTTCTCGATATTACACTCCTCCGCTGAGGGGAGGTGCGGGATGATGACTATCTCATCTACTTCCCAGTCTTGCTCGATGATCTCGGCTTCGACTTGCGTGCACGTTACACAGATCCACGGCCGAACAGCAGGGGGGAAAAGCGAATCTGCTCGTAGGATCTGCACCGCGGTGCGGCCGATGTCGTTATCCCGGGCATTGGTGACGAGCACTCGAATCTTGGGTGGCTTTAGTTTCCCGTTGCCGTTACCATTCGCGTTGCCAATTATGCTCCCTATCAGGCTGCTGCGCCGTCCATTGGTGCCGCCACGGACTAAATCGACCAGGCTGGCGCGGCGGTTATTGTTAGTGGCATCGGCAACAGCAGCGGGATCGACGGTGCTGGCAGCGCGAGTTTGACCGTTGCTGCTGCCTTTGATCAGGTTGATCAAACTCTCGCGGCGGACAGTGCGTTTGGGATTGGGGTCAATTGTGCTAGCAGCACGAGGAATGCTTTTCTTACCACTGGGATTACCGCTGATGAGACTGACTAGGCTCTCGCGGCGCACATGCTTAGGATCTGGAGGGGGAGTGGCTGCTCTGGCAGCGGGAGGGATATTGTCAATGTCAGCAGCACCATTGATACCAGCGGTGCTACCTGTATTGGTGTCGAGTGGGTCGCCGCGACGATTCCACTGCCAAACCCAACGCCCGTTTCCAGCTGCATTGCCCGCACCACTGATACTACCATTCACCACGCTGGCGTTTCTGCCTCCAGCACCAGCGACCGTGCTTTTGCGGTGTCCGTAACCGTAATCCTTGCTGCCGAGCACGGTATCACGGCGTCCACGCTGCCACTGCCACCGCCCCATCCCATTCCCAGACTCATCCTCGCCCTGCAGACCGCCAGGCACGTCGGGATCAAGCCCGGCATACCGAAAAAGCGCCTGCCAAGCTGTCAACGCTGGTAAAGCAAGCGCCGCAGCACTAGAAACAGTGATATTTTCCGGTTTCAGCGCTAGCTCGCTCTCAGTCGCAAGTGCATAATCTGCGGCTCCGCCGTCACGTGTATAACTAACCACACCGAAGACTATATCGCCAATCTTGAACTTTGGGCCTTCTTCCCGCTCGTCGTCATCACGCGGCGTACTGATGACTGTCCCGCAGAGACTGTGGAGTGGGATCTGCGGCGTGGCCTTTGGGGGGTTGAGGAGGTCGGCGAGACGGATCTCGTCGTGACAGAAGGCTGCTGTGTTGATCTTTAGAAGGTATTGCTGAGGGGAGGGCTGTGGAGTTGGGAAGCCTGGGTCGAATACGATATTCGTTCCCTTCTGCCGGATAACCCTTGGCTCTGCGTCGGGTGACATGGCCTCGCTGATTTCTCCTTCTGGGATGCCTTCGGGTGCATCGTTTTCTAATACATCTGGCGTGTAGTAGAGAGCTCGCATAGACAGTGGTGTGAAGGGTGAGTCGTTTAGTGTTGATGATGTGGGCTTTGCGGCTTGTGAAGTGGGCTTCTTAAATTCTGAGGTGCGTTTTGTGTCTTCTGGAGTGCGTTGTGTCTCTTTCGGAGTGCGTAGCATCTCTTCTGGAGTGCCTTTTGGGGATTCAGGCGGCTGCTGCATGGCTTCTGCGGGACGTATTGAGGGCTCCGATGGATGCTTGTCGGGTTCCACGATGGGTTGCGTGGGGGGTATATCTGATTGCATACTATCGTTAGGGTCTTGATGCATCTTGCTGGTCTGAATTCGAATCTTTCTAATGAGTTGTTAGAAATCTCAGGCCTTAGAAGTAGAGTGTTCTCTTTTGCCATCTCACTATAGATTGGAGGCCATTTCCTAATCTTGACGTATGTAGGGCTTAGGTCAACATCGCCACTGTAAAAGTCCCGATCAATTCCATTGCAATGAGAGTAGGAATTTGATGTTATCTTTCATTTAACTTGGTCTGACATGGCAATATGGATATTATATAGAGTTGTGCTTCATGGAAGGTGGATAGATGGAATATCAAAATCAAGACCTTATAGTCACGGGTGTTATAGATCGTCATTTGCCCTGACCCTATAAGGTACGGTGGACACCATAGTCTAGCGGTTGATAGTTACAGTGTATTTCTTATCCCTCAACTCGCTTCTCTTTGGTGTTTGCCTGCCTTCCGTATCGCCTGGACCCGACGTGCCGTTTTGATCGCCGGTCAATCCAGGCGATGACTTTTTTTAATTTAATCTCTCACCCTGAATATTGAGAAACGTAGATGTTTGAGAGCAGAATTTATGAACAAAATATCCAATCCAACTATATATGTACAGATTATTACATCTATAAAGCCTGGTCCTCCATACCCACCCCATCAACAAAATCATATAACTCCTTCGGATCCGCAAAGACCCTCCAAATATGCGATGGCACATACTTAAACGCCTTCTCAAACCTCTCCGGTTCATTCTTCTCTTCCATATTCGCCACATCCGTAACCTTGCGAATGATGATAGCATGAATCCACTCAGGATACCGACTATACATCTCCGCATAAGCCTCCGGATCCTTCTGTGTCGAGTCCCCAATACAAAGCACTTTCCGACGCGGGAACCACCGCCGGATCTTCTCCATTCGATCAACCTTGTATTCCTGCGTCTTCTCAGTGAACGACTTGATAAGCCCCGTGATATCCATCCACGAGTAATCGCGCAGCACCAGCGTCCCCGGGCAGTAGTGTTCATCAAGGAAGTCGTGCAGGAAAGGGTAAAGATTATATGGTGACGCGGAGAGATAAAACCACGCAGGAGAAAACTCAGCATGAATATATCTGTAAAGCTCCGGCATACCAGCGATAGCGTTAGGAACATCCGCAAACGTCGTACGAATAATCCCCGTCGGCTCAAGCGTGAGAGTATGCTTGATAGTGTCGTCAATATCCGAGACGATCAACCAGCCCTCAGGCGCAGAAAAAGTCGTGCTCATCGACACAGGCTCATCGCCGAAATGCTGCAATCGCGGCCGCAGGACCTCTCCGTCGTAGACCCCAACTTGGCCCATATCGACCGTCTGGCTGACGATGCCGTTGCGGTCGGACGGACCGAGCTTGTGCGACTGTGCCGGCCGAGATATGGGGACCTGCAGTGTAACTGTGCGGGCTGGTGAAACCTGATTGAGGAATGGCTGGACGCGTTCTGCAATGCGTCGACGTGGTTCGTCGTCGCCGCCGACATCACCGTCTAGCCCGATATAGTCGGCGATCGCGGCGACGAGGTTGCCCACGTCTCTCCGACCTTCCCTCTCAAAAATACAGGCGACTACCTCGGCATGCCAACGCAGTTGGGTCTCGCCTGTCTCCTCATTTACCGGCTGGTACGCTGTATTGTCTAGCAGCCACACGGTGTGCTTACGTGGGTCTGCTGGGTGCGCGAGCGGGTTCCTGGAACCAAGAAAGGATGAGAAGAAATTTATCAAGGTTGAGGCGCGTTTTTCTTGTGCTCGTGGTGGCGATTTGGAATTTGATGCCTCATGAACCTCCTTTCTGGCATCAGCGACCGACAACTCGCGTTTGTGATGCGGCATGATAGTGATGCCAACTTAGTTTCAAGTCTGAAGGTTGAATCGTTACTATGACTGAATGGCAATAGAATTAGTACCGAGGAAAATCCTCGAAAAGCACATGTCAGAGCGTGAAGATGCAAAGAAATAAATGAAACTCATTAGGGGAGACACGACGATCATATACGGAGTACTAGCCCGCGTTTAGTTGACGATCTAGTGTTAGTGCCATCCGGTGCCCTTAAGCCAAGAGCCTCCATTCCCACCTGATCTTGTCTGCCTTTGATGGCACTCGTATTGGTGTCATATTTGGAGTGAAGACACAACATTAATGTGACTGACAGGGGCAGGGCCATATGCCATATCAGTTGGTCAGGTCAGGCGAACGGAGCACCCGTGGGGATGGGCTTGGCAGTAGGGCTGAGCTCCTGATGAACTTGATGAACTGGTCTTTTTGCCCCGGGTGATCTGAAGCACAGCCTCGATGTGGTTTGAGAGAAGATTCTTGGGGCTCTGAAGTTATGATGTTATTTCCTCAGTATGGGGAAATGATTCTTCTCCGCATTCTCTATGACCTCATACAATATTTACCCCATTAAATTCCAGACGTCCCTAGGGCATAATGAAATGTGTATAAACAGACATATATCGGATATTTTAGTCATGTATCATGTCTAGGTATATTTAGTGACCATCCGGTGAACTTCTATGAAATGTACACTATCCAGACGTCTCGGATCATTCCTGCAACGGGTATCCGTATCCAACCAACATGGCAGGCTCGTCGATGTTATGATGCTGATAACTGCAGATAGGAAAAGGGTTAACAGCCAGGCTAGCGAAGTGGGATAAAAGATAATTACCTGAGGACGCCAACGGCACCAGGGTCAAGCATCAAAGAAAGAGGGAACTCCATAGGGTATCCCAACCAGCGCTTGGTAAAAGCACGAAGCAAATGTCCGTGTGCAACCAACAGGATATCAGCAGGATTCTCTCCATGCATGCTGTCCTTTTGGATCGCGCGAATCTCTTGAATGAGATTATCAAGACGGTCCGTCACCTGTTGCGCAGACCTATATTGACCTGGTCAGATATACACAATCGTAGGCCACAGGACATAAATTCAAAGGAAATGTTATTTATTGGAAAAGAAAGACTTACTCTCCATTTTCGCAACCGTCTCTCCAGATATCCCACTCGCTCTCGGTATCCAGGCCGTGCTCCTTTCTCAAGGCGCGGATTTCCTTGGTCAACAGGCCTTCATACAAACCGTAGTCCCATTCGGCCAGTCTGTCAGTCTCAGAGACCTTCTTCGCATCACTAAGCGCCTGCTTATCAGCATCAGAGAAGGCAATCTCATAGGTCTGCATAGCTCGCCGGCGAGGACTGATATAGACATGCGCAAGCTTGGCCGGGTCAATTAGCTTGCCGGATCCGACAATCATCTTGCCAGATGCATTGACTTGGTTGACACCATCTTGAGTAAGTTCAAGTTCGGTGATACCGGTGTACCGTCCGTTCTTGGACCATTCAGTCTGCCCTAGAACATAGTTAGACTACGGAAAGAAAATATTGACGCTCTAGCACATACCGTGTCGGTAGAGGAAGACACGGGGTGTGCCGGAATCTTTATCAGGCATTTTGCACTTGTTCTTCAAGGGTATTCAGGGTGGTGGTTGAAAGTGGGTTGCGGGAGTGTGGGAAAAGTGGAAAGCGTTTCCGCCCCGGTGAATGCCTAGTGAACTTCACCCGCCACGTGTACGGATTCAACTTAGAGGATACATATTGACCCTTTATTCTAATTTTTCTAAACTAATGAGGGTGTATAAGAGAATTGGTACAATGGGGTACTTGAGATCTATGATGTTGGGCGGCATTTGCCCCGCCATCGCGGGGTTCAGTGGTTTTATAGAACCGGGGATTTTATAACTGAATGATGTCTTGAACAATATAAAACCAAATCAAGTCTAAGATCTCAGACACATACATAATGTTGTATTGATACCTTGCATGTCCGATTCACCTTCAAAAATGAATATATCTTGACCCTTGCATATTCTAGGTCCTGTGTTCCCTAGACATCCTATAAAGACTTCTTATTATGATTACCCTAGCATGCAAAACATAAAGCTCAACTTAATAACTGAAGTCGACAAGTCAGATTGTATACTCCATCTGTAGTTGGCACGAATCAAGACTTGACCAGGTAGGCATGTATATACCCGTGGGGATTACAGAGCGAGTATAATACTAATCTATACTAGACGAATACATTCCTCCAACATGCCTGTGACAATTTCACCCTTGCTACCCAAACCATCATCATCTCAGCATCAACACGCCTTGAGATACTCCCCTAGGCGGAAGTACCGACCCAGTCGAACCCCCGTCCGTCCAGTCTATACAGATGTGAACCCGCTCATCTACCACACTTCTTCACACTCCTTAACGCATTCCTGGCCCAAGCATCATGCAGTCGATTGCCCGAGATGTCATCGGCACCATAGTGTTAGTTTCTGCAGGCAGCAACGGCAGTGAGAAGGGTTTGAGCTTGGAATCTTCTTTCGGGGATATAATGTAATTTTTTTGTTGGATCTACTTTTTATCTACCAGTAGGAAAAAAGAGAGGGGATATTTCATCTCATTGAATTGGACAGAAAACAAACATCATCGATGAAGAACAAATAGGCTTTGCTTAGCAATAGAATAATATGATATACATCCATGGATGAGAGCAAATGGGAGTAGGTGTAGAGATGGAGGAACATTTAGTTTAATACCTAAGGGTGGAGTGGTGAAATGGGGTGTCACCGACAAGTAGCACTCGCTTGAATTCAGACTCCATAGACGCAGGTTGTTAACCGGCAAAGCTTTCATTGTTCGCATGCGCTTTGTTCGAATGCGATAAAATCCAGAGTTATACCCACGGTTTCTCAAACAGGGCATGCTGCTCGGCTTTATATACCAGTATCCGGTCGAGGAGATGAGAAGTGCCTTTCTCGTCATTTCCTTGCAAATGTTCAAGGATCAAAGCCAGCTTTCCATTTTGTTCCTCAAGATCACTCGCCATTTTTCGTTTCTGCGCATTGAGTTCGGAGATAATGCTCGTTTGTTCATCAATAATGCTTTTCTGTCTATCGAGCTTTATTTCCTGTATCTTGAGCTGGTATGATTGTTCGTCAAACCGAGACAACAGCTCCTCATATAGCTGTTCAGACGGCGGCGTATGCTCAAGATTGAACATCATATCTGAATGCTCGTCGTCTGCTGTCCATTGTTCGATGTTTTCAACCAAGTCAACTAGAGTCTCGTGGGTTGGCTGGAAAAACTCCCCATCGTTCGGTGCCATCTTGCTGATCAGTTCTTCTCGATACTCGAGCTCTAAGAACATTATGCTGGCAGTGTCACCGAAGATTTTTCTCATCTTCCTATCTCGCTTTTCAAGCGCATATGCTATTCTGGTTTGTTCCTTGAGATCACGAACCAGCTCTACCTTTTCGCACTCGAGGCCGGCAATCTTCTTGTTTTGTTCCTTGAGCGTGTATACAACTCTTGCTGTGTGTTGCTCAAGCTGGGCCGTGGCTTCTTCCTGGTATTGGGCGAGGTTGAGAATGATCTTTTCCTGTTGCTTTATCGTATACCTTAGCTGTGCATTTTGTTCTTGGAATCCCTTAAACATGACCAGCCGTCCATTTTGTTCCTGAGACTGCTTGAGCAGGTCGTCATGATGTGAGGGCATAGAATCCCACGACGGTCCAAAGTTGTTCATCATGTGTTGCGGATTGACTGCGGATTCTACCCATTTGGGTTCTTCGAGGACCGAGCGTTTCATGTCTTGGTCGTCATGAAGTGAGGGCACAGAATCCCGCGATGGTCCAAATTCATTCATCGTATGCTGCGGATGCACTGCGGATTCTACCCATTTGGGCTCTTCGGGAATTAAACGGTTCAGGTCTTGGTTCTGCTTTCCGAGGTCGCGTATCATCTTCGCGTTTTTCACTTTGAGTCCAAGGATGACCTTCGCATCCATTTGGTAGATATGGGATCTGTGGCAGTGTTGGATCCAGTGAGCAATTTTTGTTATTGTATGGGGGTTGGGTTGAAAAGTGACAGTTGACAGGTATTGGAAGGTGCTATGGTTGATTTCCTTATATTCCAAGGTTGTTCCCTTAACCTCCGATTCTATATTTGGCCTGGACATGAGTCCTTACCAAACTATAATTGTAACTAAACCAACCCAATAGTTTGAGGCCCATGGGTGATACCTGATTTTTTCCCCTTTCCAGTATCTTCCCTCCGGTACAAAATAAGACGTGAGTCATAACACAGCATGAAAACAAACATATTTGCAATAACCAAGGAACAGATGAAGTTGCGTAAGTCGTATGACTTAGGAAAACATTGAAGGAAACTTGGTAATGCTGTGAATTGACCGAAGGGAAAAATGATCCGCAATGACGGGACGGCGAGTGGCAGGGTAGCAGAACGCCAAACTCATATTGAACGAAGTGCACTTGCTAGGGGAGTGTCGCAAGAAAGCTGTCTGGGTGTTTTGAGAAGAGAGAACACTCAATGTACTCCAGAAAATGGTGATAACCAAACCCTTTTGAGTGGGTAATGTTCAATAGGGCCTCCCGAGGTCACATTCACCATCTCTTCGGGGCGGAAATCTCCGCCCGAGAGAACGAGCCAGAGAGAATCTCACTTCCTTTACGCTGCTGGATTGCTTTGATTCCTGTACGATCAGTGACTGTCGTCGCATTAATGATATTGTCAAATGCCTCATCCTCGCTTCCCCCTGAGCCGGACTCAGCATCTGAGTCGACATACAGCTGCTCCGGCCGAGCGATCTTTTCCGGCTGCTGCTTTTCCTCTTCTTCGGGATTTTGGAACGATTTAGAGTTGAGAATCTTCCGGCGTATTTCGGCCATTTGCTCTTCATCTTCTGAGTCATCGGAAATTGCGAATGGATCCTTGTCCTCATCTTCTTCGTTGCTATCCTCGTCTTCGTCATCTTCATCTCCACTTTCGTCGTCCTCGTCATCTGAGGTTCGTGCAGGCAAACGATTAGTGTTGCCTTTGGTCCAGACATCATCACCTCCATCGATGCGGTTGTCTTCGTATTCGCGTTCGATTTTGGCTAACCATTCCTCTTCCGTCCTCTTTACATCCTCTTCCGTTTCGCAGGCAGCGTAGCGCGCCAGAAGTTCCTTGTTGATTTCCAAGAAAGACGGCCCGTAACTGAAATGTCTGAGTAGATCTTCTGCCCACTCCAAGCGACGGCAGATGGCGAAGCAAGCGGCGAGCGCTTCGACGCAGTTCAGACGCCATGGCTTGCCGTAGTTAACAGTGTTGGCGGCGATAAGGTAAGGAACTATATGTCAAGATAGTTAGCATCCCATGGATCCAGCGTATAGTTGCCCAATTCTTATCACATACGAAGTCGTTCGCATTTTCCGCCGATCCGCGACCAGGGCACTTCCTTGACTCGCACCCAAGAGCATTCCACCACTGCAGCACCGTGCTGTTCCATAATATCCCGATCTGCTGGAGAGATAATTCGCTTGGCGTTTGGGCTAGTGAATCGTCAGTATGCAAGCCGAGGGAACCAAAAAAAGCGCTGCGAAACATACGAGACAATCACGCCAGGGTGTCGCTGGCCAATGTGAAGCTCCCGCATCAGACCGAGCTTCATCAATCGCTTTCCTGAGCATCGCTTAGGATCGCAATGTCCCATATCCCAGCATGCTGCCTTGTAAGGAGGCCTCGAGGAAGTCGCACCCGCAACTTCTTCATCACCGCGGGGCACTCGGGGGCGGGGGTTGTTGAATTTCTTGCCTCCTCGCGTGAAGTTGTCTTTTTTGTGGCGGACCATGGTGGATGATGTGAGCGTAATCTAAAACAATATTCAAGAACGCCCTGGTGTATCTTGTAGTATTGCGTAGTGGTAAACGCAGTGATTGAAAAAAGAAGATCCCAAGGCCAAGCACAAGCGCCACACGTGCAGTTCAACGGGTTCTCCGCCCGCCTCCCCCGTCCGCGACTGTACACATCTCCTCTGGATATTCGTGCTTTCCAGTACCTCCCTCTTAATCAGATTAATATCCCTTTCTCTATTGTTCACTAGTACACCGCCATCCTGGAGGCTGCATCTGCACGAATGGCGGCTAGGGACCGCTTCGGTGCCTATCCTGATCCGGCCGCTACGCCGTTGCAGCGGGCAATTCGTGAGTATAGTGCTGGAACGTGACACAAATCATTTATGCTGATTCTTAATATCTATAGGAAATGCTTGCGATCCTCAAAACTACGAGCCGAACCTGGCCCTGAACCTCGAAGTTGCGGATCTAATCAACTCCAAGAAAGGCAATGCGTGAGTGGGAGCTACCCCTGTTGTATGGCGCACACTCATAAATTCACCTCTTAGACCCCGAGAAGCTGCTCTCAATATCGTCCATCTTATCAATTCTCGAAATCAGAATGTTGCATTGTTGGCGTTGGCGGTACGTGGGGAGCTCAAGTGACAGCTGACGCGGGGGAGGCTGACAACTGCGATTTCTAGCTACTCGATATTCTCGTCAAGAACTGCGGATATCCGTTCCATCTCCAGATTGCCACAAAGGAATTCTTGAATGAATTGGTTCGCAGGTTCCCGGAGCGACCACCCATACGGGCCTCCAGGGTCCAGCACCGCATTTTGGAGTCGATCGAGGAGTGGCGCCAGACCATCTGTCAAACATCGCGCTATAAGGATGATCTAGGTTTCATTCGGGATATGCATCGTCTGCTGCTTTACAAGGGGTATATGTTCCCAGAGATCCGCCGAGAAGATGCCGCGGTCTTGAATCCAAGTGATGTATGTGACCTTCACGTGGTATTGTTTTCGGAGTGGAATTAACGTTGATTAGAATCTCCGCTCAGCCGATGAGATGGAAGAGGAAGAGAAGGAAGCGCAATCTGCCAAACTTCAAGAGTTGATTCGGAGAGGCACTCCCGCTGATCTACAGGAAGCGAACCGGCTCATGAAGGTTATGGCCGGATTTGACAATCGGCATAAAACTGACTATCGAGCAAAGGCCGCGGAGGAGGTTGTTAAGGTGCAACAAAAAGCCAAGATTCTGGAAGAGATGCTGCAGAATCAACAGCCCGGGGAAGCTCTCATCGAAGGCGACGTTTTCGAGGTAGGTGATAAGATATCCTGTGTTCTTTGTCCGCCAGTCGATTGGCCTCTAACACTCTTATTAGGAACTTGCGGGTGCTTTGCAAAGCGCTCACCCCAAAATCCAGAAAATGTGTGAGGAAGAATCGGATGATCCCGAGGCTGTCCACAAGTTATTGGAGATAAACGACAGCATACATCGCACAATCGAGCGGTATAAGCTGGTTAAGAAGGGTGATCTGGATGCTGCATCTCGGATTCCCAAAGGTACACTAGGCACCACGACCGGAGTCTCAACAAATGCAAATAATGAGCTCTCTCTTATCGATTTCGACCCGGAGCCTGAACCCAGCTCCAACGGTAATGAGGCAGGCCCATCCCAGGGCGGTAGCTCCTTGGAGAATGACCTGCTCGGCCTTTCATTAGGGGAACAAAGCCCCTCCCCCGGAGGTGGTATCTCTCTCGGGACTTCCGGTAAGTAACGTGGTACAATATTCCTCAAAGCACCATCACTGACCGATATCAAAGCGAATTTCCCGTCCATGTCAGCAAGCTCAACACCGCCTGTTCCATCACAACCTCAGCAGCAGGCGCAACCAGCATTCAAACCTAATTATGATATCCTTGCTTCTTTCAATAGTTCGCGGCCTGTTTCTCAATCCCCCACACCTGTCATGGGGGTCTCGCCCCAAGTCCAATCCAAAGCGACTCCTCCGCCTCCAGCGGCTGACCCATTTGCATCGCTTGTCTCTGCCAGCCCACGGGCGACATCTAGTCCCTTCCAACCACCGACGCAAAGCCAAGCTACTCCCGCTTCGTCTTCATTACTTGACCTGGTCGGAGGCACGGATTCCTCTCCGCAACCGGCGCAGCAGGCCGCTCCAGCGGAAGATGATGAGTGGGATTTTGCATCTTCATTGCCAGCAAGCAATGTACTTCCATCGACAAACAAGATCCAGGTCCTCAACTCCCAGCTCCGTGTTGACTTTGCTGCGCGCCGGGTCCCGAACCAGCCACGCCAAATTCACGTTTTAGCCATCTTCTCAAACACAACCAGCCAGCCTATTGGAGATCTCCATTTCCAGGTCGCGGTGGAGAAGGTAAGCCATTTGCTGTAATACAATTTGTACATGAGTTTACTAACAATTAATTAGTCCTATAGGCTACAGCTTCGGCCTCAATCAGGCCGAGACATTGCGCCCCAGCAGCAAAATGGGGTCCAACAGGAGATGCTCATGGACGGAATCGATGTTGGAAAGGGCAACTCGGTCAAAATTCGGTTCAAGGTGGCTTACAAGCTTGGCGGCGAGGCCCACGAGGAACAGGGGATGGTGCCACCGCTCGGCATTGCCTAAGTGAACGCCGATCCCTGAACTTTATTCTCTTTTCGTTTCAGATTTCCCTCCAGATATGTCTGATGAGAGCTTGCCATGAGTGGACCATCTACCATCCACTCCTGTTGAATCGTGGTCTTCTGTATTGATGCTGCTACTCCGATCTAGCGCAGCATCACCGGCGGATTTGGCTCTTCTCTACTCTTGATGTCCTTTCCCTTGGCTTTGCACTCATTGAGAACTTAGCGTCTTTTATCTATTCATGCTGTTCATAAACAAGATTTCATTTGCAATGGTTTTGCTCTCGTGGTGAGGGGTCAGGGTATTTGTGGCTTGATTCGCAATGGTACAGATACGAAAGTAGCCAGGAACGAAATTAACTAATCCCCGTCCTCTCCATGCGCGCGCGCGAGAGAGAGGCCAATGCCCCTTGGCATACTCCGTGTTATCATTATGTCTATTAGATTGGCCTTACCATTGTAACCAAGTAACGACTGCGAGCACCGGACACAAGGAACCGGCCCGGCCTGCCGGATT